AAAAAAAAAAAAAGGAGAAGAGCGACAGTAAGACAGAAACGCAGCTGCGAAACGCGCAATGGATGGCGAGATTCTAAATGATAGGAAGGATAGCCGATATCGTCCAATTCCACCGCATCGGCGCGAGACCAGCGATCAATGGCGCATAATATGGTAACTCCTCCGACCAGGGAGCTGGAGAGTTATTATCACAGGAAATCAAAATGCCTCAGAAACAAGTCAGTCCATGGCAATCCATAGTCGCCGGAGCCGCAGCTGGCGGTGCCGAAAGTCTTCTCACAGTAAAACTCCCTTAGCAATGCCAATTAGGTTGAAACCAAACGCTCACTATTACGCATTGACAGTATCCCACCGAATACTTGAAAACTCGGCAACAATTGCTGAACCCCAATGCCACAAAACAGTCTCCGGTACAGCTATTAACCGCTACTATCCGACAACATGGTGTTCGCCATCTGTACACGGGCAGCATGGCCTTTTGCGTCTCCAATGCATCTAAATCCGGGATTCGCTTTTTCGCCTTTGATAGTGCAAAGAAATGGATGCCTATGGACTCGTCCGGGAAGGTGACATCAACGGGAAACATGTGCGCAGGTCTGGTTGCAGGAGTCGCGGAAAGCGTACTCGTTGTCACTCCCGGGGAAACATTGAAGACCAAGATCATTGATGATCGAGCGGGCGCGAAGGTATACAAGTCGGCCAGCCATGCTGTTCGCACTATTCTATCGACTGAAGGCATATCTGGGTTATATCGTGGAACATTGCCCGTCACGCTGAAGCAATCATCCAACGCCATGGTGCGATTTACCAGCTACAACTTCTTCCTGCACCATCTCACGGCGCTTGCGAGTGCGGGCGCGGCTAATGGTGCACCTGTCTGGAGTACCGTGGTCGCCGGGGCCATGGCTGGGGTAGTGACTGTGTATGCAACAATGCCATTCGACACTATTAAGACGCGCCTACAAGCGTTGGACGGCTCTCAGCGATACCGAGGTTCCTTCCATTGTCTACGGTCAATCATCACTACAGAAGGTACTTGGGCGCTATGGAAGGGGACTACTCCTCGCCTCGCCCGGCTCAGTGTACGTCTCCCTATTTGATTCGTTCAGTTTCTACCGTCAACTTCTGACACCTGATTGTAGATCTCGGGCGCCATCAGTTTTGCGATATACGAGCGTGTGGTTCAGTGGACGAGATCGTTCCGTGGGTAGAGTGGCAGTCGGATAAATATTCAGTTATACTTCTTATCAACCAACGAGCTAGATACTTTTTCAATATTACTTCTAGGATACTATGTTACCCGGAGGGTTAAACATTTTCATCCTCTGACCCGTAGCGATATAGGTATATATAGTCGAATCACCTACTATGTTGCCCATGTAAATTTAATGATATAACACAAAACATAGACAGTGAGTGTGGACAAGAGCTTGTCACTGAGAGGCCAAAGTTGCTACCACACCAGAATTATCTGATCCTACATGGCATCATACCTATTCTCATTCACGATATCGTTGCAGTCAATTGCTTGGTCATTGACGGGGTTGTTGGATTCGGACCGCTACCGACAAGAAAGCAAACAATGCAAACTGCCAAGCCATTCCCCCCCGGATCTTCTTTCTGGTGCATACAGAATGCATGATGCTGGTTGCCGTTCCCCACATCCCCATGGTCTTGGGACAGAAAATCGTTGATTCATCTTGAATGGGTGTGTGACTCTCCAGTAAACCATATGGCACCCACGGAGGCCGACGCTGCCCAGCCAGCACCTTCGAAGAAGGTGCGGTTAGCCTGTCGTCGATGCCGCGCTAAACGTGTGAAGGCGAGTAATCTCCATTGCTGGACGGCCCCAGCTAACATTCTGCCAACTAGTGTGATGGAAGTATTCCAGCCTGTGGGAACTGTGCTCGTGCAGGTGTCCCGTGTGTTGATGTCGATGGCCGGAATAATGGTCTATCCATCCCACGAGAGTATGGGATTTTGGCATCCCACCCGGATAGACAATGGCTGACGATAATTCAGTTTCATCACACGATGTTACGCCAGGATTAACTGGCTTGAACAAAGACTGAAGGAGATCGACCCTCAGTTCGATATATCTCAAGGGCCCGCAGTCGACATGACTAGCGCGGATGAAACAACCACCCCTCATCGTCCTGCAATATCTACCAGCGGGACAGGTCAGGAGCATGCACATGCCCCGTCACCGGTACTCGAATCTGTTGATCGCCCCCTTGTGGAAGGTACCACGTCTTCCAAGCGCTCGTATTCTATGACAGAGGGGCCAGAGGTGGAACAGCCCATTTTCGTTGAGCTGGGCATGCTCTCCTTGCACTCCGATTCCCGACAGAAACATTATCTTGGATCGTCATCGGGTCTGCTTTTCACGAGACTGATTGGAATTGACAGCGAACGAAGTTCGACGGCGAGCCCAGAGTTTGTAACGACATCCTCCCGCAATGGTCATCGTCGCCGGTTGACCCCTGGTCGTAGCCAGTCACGCGAGGCCTACCAGGTTCTTTATGACCGATTAAGAGAGGTAACCGTGCAGAATGCCGCTGTAAATCTTCAGAACTTGGGGTGCTGATCGTGAGTAAGGAATTGCCATCACCCGAGGAAGCCAGTGCCTTGTTAGAGGTCTATTTCCAGGTGATCCACGTGGATCACCCATTTCTTCATCCGCACTCAATATGTAATGCGTATCGGGCCCTGAGAGACTGTGCAGAGCTCGGCTGCAATGGCCATGTCGGACTCAATGGCTGGATTGATACTATGAATCCTTTTTCCTACAATGGAAGATACGATGTCAGTGCCGGCAACGAAATCACCCCGATTTCTGTTTTCACAGCTACTTTCCATGTCTTTATGGTGTTCTCACTTGCGGCGACCGTTATGACCCGGAACAGAAGCTTTGATCACTCTCCAGATAAATATTATCGGATAGCCATGTCAGCTGCCTCGGAATGCTTTTGCAGCATCTCCGTCCCAGCTCTACAAGGCGTGCTGCTGCTAATGGTCCAGGGCTTGATTGGGCCTGCGGCTATCAACATCTGGACGCTCTCGTACATTGCGACGTCACATTGCATTGACTTGGGCCTCCATCGGGAGCCCGCAGACTACTCTGAACTCACCCCCACCGCATTGACAATTCGCCGCCTTATTTTCCATACAGTCTATTCTCTTGACCGGTACGTTGCTGTCCACCTCCACGCACCCTGTAAGGCACATGCTAAAATGCCTGGCATAGCTCCATATCAACAATCCAAGGAAGGCCCCTAGGTATCCGGGACGAGACCTTCGATGTAAGGTGGCCGAAGTTTGAGGAAATCCAAGATTTTACGTACCCAGCCGACCAGAGGAATGAACTCGATATACAACTACCACCACCAGAGACCGTGGCTTTGTGCATATATCGCTTCCGGATCGACTCTTACATCTCGGAAATAAAGCTTCTATTCTATAGGTTGCCAGCGCAAGGGGATGCCACGATCTGGCCCACGGATCTGGTTAGCATACAGCAGCGCATAAAGACTAAGCTAGATGATTGGCTAGCGGAGACCGCAAGTCTTCGGCCGACGTCGAGCATGCAGGACATCGAGGACGGAGAATTGAAATTTCACTGCGAACAACTTAAACTGGAATCGTTGTACCATTCGGCTATCACCCTTCTTTTCCAGCCATCCCAAGTCTTCCGATCGCCCTCAAGGAATGCTTTGATTCTCTGCTACCAAAGCTGTCGGAGGCGCTTACGGATATACAAATACCTCAACCATGAAGAAAAGCTGCACTATACTTGGCGTCATGTACATGGTATCTTCTCCTCTGGGGCCACCATTGTCTATTGCTTTTGGGCCTCGCGTGACCTTCTGGAAACGATACCATTCTCTGAAGCCCTGGGCGACCTGCGCACATGCTCTAACCTGCTCAGCGTTGGCAGCCAGTGGTGGCCCTCTCTTCGCAGAGGAAAGGACAGTTTTGATAACATGGTAGATCTCACAATCAAGCGATTGAGCCAGCTACAGGCTTTGTCTCAGCTGCAGTCCTCATCGCGGGCACAAAGACGACGGATAGTGCAATCAACCGATCCATCATCACTCGTGTCGAACATAGGGTCCATGCCGGATGTAGTTAACACGCAGATGGGGTTACCTGTTCTTGACCAACATCATGCGGTCGTATATGGCTCTGTCAGCTCTGTTGACGCCACAGCTGCAGCTGCAGACACTGTACGAACCGAGTCATACCCGGAACACCATTTTGAGAATGAGCCCGACTCATTTATTTCACAGATTAATGGCCTTCTCCCAGCCGATTCCGACGAATCTACTATTGACTCAGCTATGGAGGGCTTCTTGGTGGAATATTTACATGGTGACTGGGGCTGGGATCCGTTCTCTAGCAGCATGGTAAACCCGGAGTACCCATGATATGCGGAACCCTACAAACGGGCCAGATTTCTCTCAACTCAGCGGGGCTTATAGCTTAATGCTATACGAAGTACTTATTGTGCCATCTACCTACTTTCTCAATCGCTTAATCGTGGGGCCCATTTCTTCACCCCTTTCTAAACACAACCGGGTCTCCTCATCAATCTCATACCGCTCCTGACAGAGTCGCACGCATTCCTCCACCTTATCCGCCGGGACTGCCACCATACCGTCCACATCTCCCAGCAGGTAGTCTCCTGGGTTGATAACCACCTCTTCGCCAACCTCGCTATTCTCGTACGCGACGGGTACGTTCAGCTCTGATGACCTGGTGAAAGTATTTGATCCCAAGATGCTGATTCCCCGCGCGAAGAGACCCATATTCAATTCTTGATGCTCGTTGATATCTCGGAAGCGGCCGTCGATAACGACCCCAGCTGCACCTTGTTTCTTGGCGCGGGTGCTCATCAGGCCGCCCCAACACGCGCTGATCAATCCTTTTGGCTGCGAAACGAAGACGACGCTATCTCGAGGTATGTCATCGACGAAATGGCGTTTGGGGGAGGGCGCGGTTTTGTCGTTGGCATGGACCATGCGGACCGTGTAGGCAGGGCCAAAGATCTTCGCTTTCGGGCTCGGCGGCCCAGGAGAGAACATCTTCAATCCCGACAGATAGCCACCGCAGGGCACCTTAAGCTTGACTAGCGCATCACCTATCTTTCTCCATATTCAGTGAGCTTTTTCCATCCATGACATTCTCTAGAAAGCGTGTTTGGTGGTCAGTAGTTTAACTTACATCGCAGGATGTAAATTGTTGAAGAGCTCGGATGGCACTGGATCGGCTTGCCATATTGATTGGGTTTCGACCGAGGAATAAAGTTCACGTATCTATCGAAGAAAGGAATCGAGGCGAATCAGTGCAATACCACCGAGAGTGTGAGGGTTAAAGAAGCCTGGAAGGTGAAAACGCCGACGAGCGGAGGAATGCCGAGGGTTCGGAACAATCCGAAAGCTCGCTGATTGGTCCGGAGTACTCCAGAGAGCTCCAAAGCTCCTCCGATATTGTACACACCGGATCTCCAACTTGTCTTTATTTTTTCTCGTCTTCTTGATCCCCGCAGAAGTTTTGTTTCTTCTTCATGGTCTCACGGACTGGATGAGAAACATTGACAATGCAGCGCTTTCTATCCCCGGTTTTACGCACGGGACGACCGCAACCTCGTCTGGTCGGGGCGCCTGTCCGAAGGCTCGCCACCCAGAATAACTCAATCCCGGTGTGCACTTGACATTTTGAATATTGACGGAGGTTTCGTGCTGACTTCTGTTGGACCCTAGGTGTTTGGTGTCAATTATGGCGAGCAACTTAGTAACCTAGACGCAGTAAGGCAAGGCTCGACGCGCCCTCTGACATTAACCGAGAAGCTGCTGTACAGCCACTTGATCCCGAGCGATGATAAAGTATGGTCATTGCAAGAAATCGATCGGGGAAAGACGATTTTGGGATTGCGACCGGACCGTGTCGCCTGTCATGATGCTACCGCGACCATGGCCCTCCTACAGTTTATCAGTGCGGGCCTACCGCGAGTCGCCGTCCCAACGACGGTCCATGGTGACCATCTCATCATTTCCGAGAAGGGAGCGGAGCCAGATTTAAAGCGTGCACTTACAGAACATGCCGAGGTCTATGAATTCCTGAGCAGCGCCTCTAGAAAGTATGGAATCGGGTTTTGGAAACCCGGTTCTGGTATCATCCACACAGTGATCTTTGAAAACCACGCCGTGTATGTTTTCCCCGACATTGTTTAGAGAGATAGAGATGTCTATATAAGTACTAATTCATATGTGCTACCCTTAGACCTGGCGGCCTGATTATCGGTACGGATTCTCATACGCCGAATGCTGGCGGTTTGGCTATGATGGGCATTGGCGTTGGTGGCTCCGACGCAGTCGATGCGATGTCCGGAATGCCCTGGGAGTTGGTGACGCCTAATATCGTCGGAGTGCGCCTGACCGGCCAACTATCCGGGTGGGCATCCACAAAGGACATCATCTGCAAGCTCGCCGGCATCCTGACCGTTTCTGGAGGCAAGGGTCGCGTTATTGAGTTTTTCGGCCCTGGTACAGAAACTCTGGGGGCCACGGCCATGGCGACGATCTGTAACATGTCTGCGGAGATTGGCTCGACATCCTGTATATTTCCTTACACCACTGCGATGGAGCGATATCTTGCAGCAACGAAGCGGGCGTATGCAGCTCAGGCGGCCCAAGGGGTTAAACAGGCGTTGCTGCAAGCCGATGAAGGGTCGGAACAATATTATGATCAGATTATCGAGATCGACCTGAGCACGCTCGAACCACACGTCAATGGGCCGTACACCCCTGATCTTGCCCACCCCATCTCTGAATTACGAAAGGCAGCCTCCCAGAGTGAATGGCCCATTAACCTCAGCCATGCGATGGTTGGAAGCTGCACTAACAGCTCCTATGAAGACCTTGATAAGACGCGACAGCTCGTCGCACAAGCGCGTGATGCTGGGCTACTAAAATTCAAAACACCCTTCCTTGTCGCACCTGGCAGTGAGCAAATCCGCGCCACGGCTGAGGCAGATGGTATCCTCGAAGAGCTGCAAAAGGCCGGTGCCGTTGTGCTGAGCAGCTCTTGTGGGCCCTGCGTTGGGTCGTGGGACCGCAAGGATGTTGATGTACGGGGCAAGGAAAAGAACTCGGTGGTATCCAGCTTTAACCGGAATTTTGTGGGCCGGCATGATAGCAATCCAGCGACTCATTCATTTGTCACATCGCCTGAGTTAGTTACTGCTTTCGCTTACGCTGGCCGGCTCGACTTCAACCCGTTAACGGACAGTATTGCTGTCGAGGGAAGGAATTCCTTCCAATTCAAAGCTCCTATGAATCGGGAACTTCCAGCAGATTTTGTTACAGGGGAAGAGACTTTCCAAGAGCCTCCAGCCGACAGTTCAGCACTGTCCGTGATTATCGACCCGCACTCCGACCGTCTGCAGCTGTTGACCCCATTTGCACCATGGCAGTCCGGGTGTGCCACTGACATGGAGCTGCTGATGAAAGTGAAGGGCAAGTGCACCACCGATCACATCTCCCCAGCAGGCCCTTGGTATAAATACCGGGGTCACCTAGAGAATATCAGCAACAACATGCTCACCACCGCATCCAACGCGTTCCTCCCTGGCAACGATCCGCAGATGCTCGGCCACACTCGCAACCCGATTACATCGGACCTTGAGGTTGTTCCCCAGGTGGCTCGTGACCTCCAAAACCGCGGCATCCGGTGGTGCATTGTCGGGGACTTCAACTACGGTGAAGGAAGCTCACGCGAACACGCTGCCCTGGAACCTCGTTATCTCGGAGGGGTGGCCGTAATTGCTCGCTCCTTTGCGCGGATACACGAGACTAACCTGAAAAAGCAAGGGATGTTACCTCTTACCTTCGCCGACGCTTTGGACTATGATCGGATCATGGAAGGCGATCGCATTACATTAATTGGGGTCGAGGATGGTGAATTAGTTCCCGGTCGGCAGGTTACCATGCGCGTCACTCCTCGAGAGGGACCGTCCTGGAATGCGCAGTTGAACCACAGCTATCATGCCGGCCAGCTGCACTGGCTGCGAGCTGGCAGTGCGTTGAACCATATCAAGAATACCGCCCTCGCCAAGTAGAGGAGAGAGTTTGTCTTGGTTATATATGTCACTATAGATCTCACACTTGTATATAGTCTAACGGCGTTAATTGAAATGATATGATGTTAAGAATATTAGCCTCCACCGTTCCCATGCCCTAATGTCTCTCAGCCCGTCAACGTTTCGCCTTTTCTACAACACAGTGATAATAATCGTGATAGTGTTAAAGATAAACAGAAGAAGGGACAAGGCGCCCACTCCCGAGATGGGGATAAAGCGTATACCCACCATGCTATCTCAAGTTTCAGGTTAGGATTACAAAAGGAAGTCTCTCATTGGCAATGGATCATGTGGGGTAGTTTAGAATAAGCCTTTTCCACCCCGGAACACTCCTCCCGGAGCTCTCCAGACTCCACGCGGTCGGCGCAAAAGTCCCAGTGGATACGATGGAGAAATGCAATCTGGGGTATCTCGGTGTAATCCACCCTGGCTGAGTGGTCAGACTCGTCAGTGTGAGGACAAGCCCGTCTGTGGAGAATTTCACTACTGACTTGCCACCTCCACACCGAGTCTGCCAGGCGATACTCGACGACGACACTGAGAAATGAGGCTTGGACCCCGCGCAAACATGCTCTACAGTTGAAGGGTACTTAGGGTTGAGGATTTTCCAGTCTCCTGGTACCCTACCCTGCACTGGGATCTCTACTGGCCATTGGGAATATTGTCCGTCCGCTCTCAGAATCCTCCACTGTTTGTTTTTCCATTGTGTCGTGTCTCTCTGCACACTCTATCTAAGAGACATGGGTGCTGCAGGTGGTGGCTTCTCCCGGGATGCCGTGAAGCAGATTCCCGCCGAAGCCAAAAGGCTGTATATCTGGCTTGCCGTGATTTGGTCCAGCTACTGTGGTGGCCTGCATGGATTCAATACATCTAACATATCCGGGGCGATGAGCCTGGATCCCTTTGTCCGGGATTTTCACTGGACAGATCTGAGCGACGCTGAAGTATCAAATAACAGTGGCTGGGCGGTCTCCTCCATGCTCCTGGTATGTCTCCTGTAATCCCTACATCTTCGAATCTGTGGAAGCGCTGACAGAAATAGGGGCAAGTGGCAGGAATCCTTATATCAGGACCTCTGGGTGAACGGCGTGGGCGGAAACCCGTTATCATGGCCGCTGCCATTTTCTATACCATTGGTGCACTACTAATGTGCGGGAATGTTGGTTCGTTTGCAGAATTGCTCGTGGGAAGAATTCTTTCCGGTATAGGATCGGGATTCGGTATGACAGCCGGGCCAGTATACATTTCTGAAGTCGCCCCCCAGGAACTACGCGGTATGATGACAACATTCTATAATGTCAATATCATGGGTGGTGTGGCGGGAAGCTACTGGATCAACTACGCTTCACAGGGCGTTATCTCCTCCGAATCTAGCTGGCAGTGGCGTACTACTTTCGTCCTACAAGCTATTCCATCTGTTATTCTCTTTGTGGGCTATCCCTTCTTTCCGGAAAGCCCTCGATACCTTATGCTGCGTGGACGGGTGGAAGCTGCTCGCAGCAGTCTATCACGCCTCCGGGGAGGACTAGAGGAGCCCAACGATTACTTCACTCGGGAGTGGATCGAACTGCAAAGCAAAGTTGACACCACGGCGGAGGCATCTTCTCAATCAGCCCTCAAATCAACACTTTCTCTGTTAAAAACATGTGTCTACGATTCACCCACACGTCGTCTTTTGACCTTCGTCACGTTGATCCAGACCTTCTTCATCATGTCAGGAGGAAATTCCATTACTTACTACGCGCCAACAATTTTGAAATCAATTGGTCTTAACTCCACACAGGTTCTTCTGTTCACAGCTGTGTATGGACTTATCAAAGTGGTCTCCGTTTTCCTCTATGCCTTCTTCTTTACAGATCGATTTGGTAGGCGGCCACTTCTTCTCATTGGGTCCGCCATAAACACGGTCTGCTTGCTCTACCTCGCCGTCTATCTCGGAGTCGCCAATCTGTCAACTTCAGCTGCACCCTCGCCGGCCGCCTGGGTCAGTATCGTGGCAATCTGCCTCTTTGCTGTCGGGTACGCCATCGGCTGGGCGCCAGCTTTCTCCCTGACTGCGTCAGAGATCTGTCCCACACATCTGCGTGGCACCATCGTCATGATCACATTCACATACCAAAATCTGCTGAATTTTGGCATTACGAGAGGATTTCCTAATATGATTGTTTCGATGAAATCGTATGGGCCGTTTGCGCTCTTTACAGCGTTTACTGGGTGTGCCACTGTCTGGGTATTTTTTGCCTTCCCTGAATGTAAGGGACGCAGTATGGAGAGTGCCAATGCATTGTTCTCACTCCCCTGGTATAGAATCGGGTTTCAGAAGGTTCTGACACAGGGTGAGACAAGAGAAATTGATGATGAGGAGAAGGTTATCTCCATTCATGATGAGGATGTCCAGGCGAAGGACAAAGATATGAGGCCCTAAGGGATGGCTTTGGTCACAGGTATGGACAGACATGCGGTCGTAAGGATACAGTCATAGCTATAAAACTGAATTACACACACAGTACGATTAGTCTATATCTTCTAGTTGCTATTCTGCTTGTAGTTGTAGGATATCTCAGGAAGAAACGAGGAATAGACTAGTATAGGTTAATATTACTATTAGGTATACTAGGAGGAATTATATCTCTTTAAACATGGATCTGAGGTACGGCTAGAAAGTTCAAAATATTAGGGCAAGCTGTTTTATGCCCATTGTCGCCGGACTCAGCAAGCCATGCACCTTTTAGCGGACTGGTTGGTTATTCGTCCTGCAATTCTATTATCGCAACGGGCTCAGCACATCGTGCTAGTCTAAAAGATCATGGTGTACTGATCTGTATGAGACCTTGTCTAATTATATTAAGAGATCTAGGGCTTATGGACAGATGGCTAGCTATAACTTTATGTTATGCTCACAAATACTCTACCAAGTCAGCTCCGCGAAATCGAGTATTACTCTCTGCTTATTGGCTTAAGCACATTAGTCGGTCGTTATAGATATCTTCTAATATTAAATGAACAAATGAATACAAATAAGGGTTATGTAGATAACTTCAAATAGCATGGGGAGGTTCTAGACAAGCTGGATAAATATCAGAACCACTGGATGACATGCTTAATCAACTACAAACATCCCTAACAATCATTCTTACGGACAATCACATTCCAGTTGTCTGCATAGAAAGCCTGTCCACCAACATAAGAGCCCAGCGTCCCCTCCTCCCAGTGATAGCACCAGTGCAGGAGTTTCTCCGCACCGTTGGCAATTTCGGCGAACGAGTCCAGCGTTTTCGACTCAGTGTTCTAAATCTCATTAGTGCTCCATTTCGCCAACAATGTCATAATCAATTCACGTACATCATTACACCACCAAATCGCTGCGTTGTAAGAACAGCTAACTCGGCCACAATTGCCCGGGCCTGGTCCATTTACAGGCTTGCCGGGGACGCCCTGAAGGTATTCAATGCCTTGACTAATGGAGGCAGACGGAACGGGAGTGAAGGGCTCGCCGCAGTAATAGCCTGTAGGGTCTGCCCGCTTCATGAGAGATTGCTTTGCTTTCCCTCGGGCTCGAATTTGTTCTTCAGCACTTGGGTTTTGCTTTGAAAGCTCAGCGACAACATCTTCGACGGTGCCTTTGACATTGATGGGCTCGCCTGACTCTGTCAGTTGGACGCTCCATTCCAGGTCCTCGACGCCATATCCTGGAGGGCCCTGTGAGGAGCTTTCGACTGGACCCTAATAGCTAGTTAGTTGTAATTTCACGCTTCCATGGAGATGAAGGCTTACAGCCGCCACTGAACAGGCAAGGAGTACTGCAATCAAGCCGGTGTACTTCATATTGGAAAGAATAATGGTGTGAAACGTTTGTTGGAGCAATAGCCTTGATTTCTGTTCAGAAGAAAATGAATAGAATGGATGATACGAACTCATCTCTATTTATCTCTTCCCTGGACCCCCACCCCTTCGGTATCTCGCGGATTCATAATTTCAGATTCTTACAAACATTAACACCTTGGGAGTGAACTATTTCTTTCACCTTAGCTCTGCCCCCTTTCTGCGCGGATTGAAACAAAACTGACTATCCTAGTTAAGGGTTCATTCCATCACTGTTGGCGCACTGTTCGAGTCAATTGGTGGGTTTATTCGAATATTTCTCTAGTTATTCAGTAAATAGATTAAAGTGGGGTCCATTTGTTGCTAGGGCTGGAGGTGCATCTATGTGCATATACGCACCCAGAAGTGGATATGCAGTGAGATAGATAGCGTGCTAACTCATAAGCTTAGCCTCTTGGCATTTATGCTTAAGACTCGCTAATCTATGCACAAACGCAGCAGGTATGAAGAATCTCGAGGCTTGTCTTGCCAAGTATGCTGCTCTCTCGATTTATTATAATTTATTACTTCCAATAGAGATTATTTAAGTAGAAATAGGTATTTGAAGAGTGGCCTAGATATCAATGCATATTACTCCATATCTAGCCCTAGTTCTACTACAGTGTTGCCCACCAAGAATAGTATAATGCTAGCTTCGCTTCGCTCCGCTGCGCAATTAGTTTAGGGGCGGAGACCATGAGATGGCAATGTAACATCATGAATCCTTCCGTCTCGCCTATGCTAGACTTAGCGCCGTTTGGTTGAAAAGTGCATTCCCTCTTGCCGAGCAGGGTGGCAGTTGCCTGGGAATGGCTCCATTGGGAACCATAGTGCTATAGAGACCTACACCATACCCCAATATTCTCCGGAAGGATGACTTGTGTCTCACTCGTATGATTCAATAATGCCTTCAAGTTGCATATACGCCATTTTCGCCCCAATATGTCATTTTATCAAGGACTATTGATGCATGCGGGCTCGGGGCTCGGGGTTCAGTGACTCAACTGCAGTGGTAGTTCGTAATTGCCAGGCCAATCAACATCTCTCCATGATACATGCTCAACTATAGATCGATCCGGTGAAGGTTCAAGATTGAAAAACGATATACCAGAGGACCCTCTACCGGCCATGTGATTCTATACCATGTCCGCACCAGCATTATGGAATCCTGGCCTAGTGGCACAAGTAGCCGACATGCTCTGTTTGGAGCTCGGTCAAAGCCCGAGTTTGACAAGTATAAGAGTCGGATGTTTGCCTCGCTTCCTTATGGGTGCTTCAGGTTCAACATTCTCTAAGTCAACCAGATCCCCAGTACTTCACCATGCGTCCCACCTTCGCCATTGTCATCGCCACCTTCTTGTCTCTTGGGGTACTTAGCCGCTGTCTTGACATAAGTCTCGAGTCCAACCTGACTGACCTTCCTCCTTAGGCACAAGCCCTGGAAGCTCCAATTGAGGGCTACGGCGTTGAAGACTTTGAATGGGAAGTCGAATATTCACCCGGTAACAAGCTCCGCCTCCGGGGAACAGTTGAAGAAGTCACCAACCATGTCCGTTCCCTCAACCCCAACTACAAAGGGAGTGAACTGCAGACCGAGACACGCAACGATACGGACGCCTTGACGGGCTCCCTGGAGAAGCGCTACGACGAGGAGAGCTTGATTTGCTACCCGAATGGGTGGGGCGCTGCAGATGGAAACAAGGTTCAGGAGGGAATTGAATACCTGAAAAACGACGTTGCTGGCAAGCCTACAAACGGGCCTGGACCTGGAAACTGTGGCCGAGTGAGTTGCAGTTATAACAATGCTATTTGGTGGTGCAATGATAACGTCAGTGTCCCCTTTGGCCGTCTATGACGGGTACCTAGGTTACTAGCCAGAAGCTAACTAATTTTTCGTGTAGACCGAAAGCAAAACTCTGGACTCTTTCCGAGAGATTGGTCTTGCTGCGGAGGAAATCTGCAACAGGTGCTGGATGTCTGCTCTTAGTAGCGATTCAGGCTTCGAGAATCTTTGTGCTGGTCAGATGTTCATGAAGGACAAGTGGAATGTGATTGTACGGGATGCGAAGTGTTAGTTTGCCCATGTCTCTAGACTTGACGAGACCCTCATTGGGTGCCTAGAATTTAGTTCTTGAATGTAAAGTGAGTTGGTATCTTGGAAGAGCTTGAAGATTAAAGCGATACCACGTCCGTCTTTCCAGCTTGTATATTTGTGGACTATAGACCTGTGTCCGAATGATAGGGGTATTGTGGTATGTGTCGGTGGAATAGTTTGTAGGGAGCTAATTAGCTGGAACCCCTTGCGCTTGCCATAAGATTTCTCGTGATTGAAAGCCAGGGCAAGAACGGGAAGCATATGGATCTGCTATTCGGGTAAGTGTCATCCTTCGATTACACGACATTATGCCAACACAGACGCCAATTTGGCTACCTTTCCGCAGAAATACATATGATGGTTACTTGAACGAGAGACTCAGCTTTATGGGACTGGTAGTTCAATCATAGGCCAACCAGTCGATCCAAAAATGGCCAGGGGTCAAATCATGTAAGAATTTGGAAGCTGGGTTTTACTTTGGAGTTGGGCAGGTGTAACGATCATGAAGGCTTAAACGAAGCGCCCTGTATCTTCGAAGTCTTCTCTTGATTAGACACAACCTATCACGACGACTAGTGTTCAGGTCTTAGTATGTATTCTACCTTATCTTGGATTGTTCATATTGAGTGCTGGAATAACTTACCGATGTCCCGCTTCAAAAGCCGTTTCTGATGAAACGAGCTTGAGAATGAATGTAGTGGACAGGATGATTAACTTCTGGGATAGTGAATCTGTACGATTTTGATATTCTTTGATAGTGTGACTGTGGAGCTTTCTAGATGGAGAGCTGGCTCCTGGGTAATAAAGCACCTTTCTGTGCGAGGATATCATTTAGGCAGCCTGTACCTCGTCTATCAGCCGTTTCTACACACCTTTCCAGTGGGTGAAAAAGGCTCATTCCAAGCAACTTCATTAGACGAATGTGTGGGCATATGTCCTCGCCTGGAGCAGATACGTGAAACTGTGAGAGACTAAACAGGAATTAACCAACTTACAGGTATGAGCAAAACGCCAGATGCGTCCCCTCGAAGGTGCATATTTTATGAAGTAGGCATCTACATTATGAACGTTCTGTAAGACCTCCCAAATGTGTAGCTCGATACATACTACGTTAGATGTATGCGCCTAAAAACAGAGGTCCGTGCTACTTGTAACAGGTATACTTCTTCATAACAAGGCTACACAGCGTACTCTGTTATTTAAGCATGGAACCGTAAAGAGACTATAGTCGAGTCAAATACCTTTTGAAAAAACTTTAAATTGATCTTCTCTTGGAGGAGTCTGGTCTCTACTGTATTAGAGGATAAATCATCCAGCTGAAATGACCTCTAACGACTCCGTCCCATCCTGAAGCATGCCACATGGTGTTCCGTTGACCTCTCAGTCTAGGTCTGATCCAAACAGTCCTTCCAGAGATTTGGCTTACTGATGCTTAGACCTCACGTCTTGCAAGTTGCGCTAGAGATGGTTCAGGCTAAAAATAGTTATGTTGTTGGTTGAACTATAATAGCTGAGGTAGTGTTAGGTTCGCGGCTCGTGGTTTCTTCAATTAATATTATATCATGGTGCTAATGGAATCAATCATATCCAATTGTTATCACAATTCTACTAGGTGTTAACTATCTGTCAACCGTATAATAAGACTCTCATCAAGAACGGTTAAACGACCACAAGCCTACTCAGAGGTTACCTGACCTATGATCAGTATTAGGCCACGTAGACACTTAGATAGGAGGAATCAGATTTAAATGTCCGTTAATTTGATAGGCCTAGTTTACTAGGTAATACCGAATATCTCCGATTCAACAGATATGAACAGTTATGCAGTTGTAAGGATACGCTTATAGCTATAAAATCAAATTAGACGTTCCTTATATCTTCTTATTACTATTCTACTTGTAGTGATAGAATATTTCAGAAGTGAGGAATAAGTGAGACTAGTCTAATACTGCTAATCAGTATATTAGGATAGATTGTATCTCTTTGAATATAAGTCTTAAGCAAAGATAGAAAGTTTAAAATGTCAGGGTAAGCTGCTTTATGCTTATTGCAGCCGGACTCGGTAAGCTGTGCACCTCTTGGCGGACTGGTCTGTCATTGGCCCCAGAGTTCGGTGATCTCGCAACACGCTTAGTACACATCAAGTCATTCTGAGAGATCGTGACTAATTATAGGTGAACCTATCTGTGGGTTAACAACCTAGATCTTTATCGCTAAGTGGCTCTTCGCATCATTTAATCCAAGGGGAACGGAAGCACACAATCCTTCACCTATTTAAAACTGTAAAGATGCACCCGGAGGAGTACAACAGCAATAACGGCTAGTATGTGTTCAAAAGCAGTGTGTACTCGGCTCTGGACGAGCAGTTACGATGAGCAGGCGGAACTAGGGTCACTTCAGGGTATTTGCAGCTGAAGATCGTCGCGTTGACGTCGTTAGTACTGATGGCCAAAGGACCATTTTAGTATGGGGCTAAGACTGGGTTGTCGTACAGTCTTTAATTACATTACTTCTTTTTATGGAGTACTTAAAATCAGTTCATGTCATGGTCAATTTCCTATGTCACCTCTCCCTGGCCACTTTATAAATAAAAATGCCTGTGTAACTGAAGACGCTAGGTCTTAGGAGCCGAGAAAATGCGCCTGCTACTGAACCTCTCACTTGAACTGGAATAGGGAAAGCCAGCACCAAGAGAGAACGATGCTAAGGCCCCGGGGAGCTTTAAGAAAAGCCTGGATCTGTACATTCGAGAGTGATGTTGCCGACACAGAACTCATTTCTTTCGTTGTACATGTCCAACGTTAAAGTTGACTCTACCACACGTCCTTTGAACCTACAGAAGAATTACTTCAGCTTCAGTCTTATAATGATGGAAATTTAGGAACGGAGACACTTACCAATAGTAAGACTCCTGTGCCTGATTCTGAAGGAACTCAATCTCCTTCTCTCCGGTGTTCAGCTTTCTCAACCCATTCAGAGTCCCGACGTGGATCGAGTTTGCCTTCTTTTTTCCGTAGGCATCCTGAGTCCACTGCCAGGTTGCGACTACCGGCCCGTCTATGCTCTCGGTGTCCTCATCAAAGATCACAGTAATGATCTCATCTTGGCAATAACTCTCGTAGTTGATCTTGCCAGTGTATACAAGCATTTTGGCTGTGTTATGGAGCACGGTGACTGGGGGTTGCCGTCAGATGAGTGGTGGATAGGTAGTATCTGGTAGACTCACGGAGACTGATATGAAGAGAGGATAAATGCTCAGTGCTTGAAGCGAGCCGGAGTTTTGTACTTCACTGGATCTGGAGCATAACACCTGCTAGTGGACTGGGAGAGCCGACGGTATTTATGTCTTTGGCACCTTACCCACGGCCATCCTTCACATCATGATCGCTGGAGTGGTTTAGATATTGGCGACTCGCTCAATGAGGGGCTGTGTGGCTAGAGCTGACGAGATCGGCAGCTGGGAACCAATTGTACCTCCCACACCTCGTTTGCTCAACGGAGTTATTGCTCCGCCATGGAGGTGCGAGCCCACAGACTCCTCCCAGCTGAGGCAGTGCCCCTCATGTTGTGGAATCACGTAGACAGTTTAGGTCCAGATCGGCTTGAGCTCAGCTCGCCACTGCCGAGTAGGGTTGGATTAAATTGAGTGATCATGCAGATCATTTCCGAAATATCGTAGCCGATCTAATCAGGACCCACCCGATCTTTTGGTACGTACCCTGTTGAAGCAGGGCGAGCCAGCCACGCTGGAATCTCCCCAAAGTTTATTCAAATTATATAGACAATGTAATTGGTTCTTTCTGTTCATATTATTTCAACAGTCTCAGTTGCCTTTCAGGCAGTTCGCTACCGTCGAAATCAATGCTCTAAACGGTGCATACATGGTCTTCTGCTCTCCACTTCCTTCTCCCTCTCGTTGTTTTATGTTGATTACCTCTTGACTCTCATTATCACGAAATAAAGTGTCGTTGATCAACCTAGCTATATACCTGGAGATCCTAATACGACTAAATTCTATAGCCTAAGAACGTCTCCAACTTGCCCTACATAGCTGGCGTCTCAGGAATCGCTACAATATCACGCAGCTTTGAGCGACTTCCCCATTCACACGTTTTAGATTCTTGCCGTGGTATCTCAGAAAAAAGGGCAACCTATGTTCATTAACATCTCTATGGTCCTAATATCGACTACCGGGGTCTGACATTTTCGTTAACACACCTTGTCACATGTATGTAACACTCTTGTTAAGATCCACGCTTGATCCAGAACAACCCATTTCCCCGGTGGTCAGGATGCTACTACCTTTCTCGTCCCATTTCGCCGTAGAGTGTCCAGCTTTTTGGAAGGTTTGTCACAACAGGCAGTCACGCTGTGCGAGAAAAAAAAAAAAAGCCAAGCTCGATCCACGGTCCACTCAGACCATGCGGCTGACACCACATACTTGGTCAAATGAATTCCCCCTACAATATTCTGTGTAGGTATTAGCGCACTGGGTGAAATACTCTAGGCTGGTCGCTCAGGTTACAAGTCTCGCGAGGGTGGCTAAGTGTTTATACAAGGGACCCTTATGACTTCACGATTTCCTCATGAGGCACCTTTGATGGGAAAAGCATGATGCAAAGATGTCATGTGATAGGGATGATTGCTCTCTTCTGTCCGACAAACCTCATCCTTCTCAGCTGCTAAAACCAAATATCACAATACCACCTAGTATACACTAGGTATTACGTATTACAAAACAACGGATAGTCTTCAATTTCGCTTTGATTTTCAAGATGGCTGAACAGCCCCAACCTACCATCAAAACGAGGTTTCTCATCATCTCAGACACCCACGGCCGCAACTCCATACCATCATTGAATGAGCCGGCAGATGTGGCCATCCACTGCGGCGATCTCACGATGGGGTCCACCTTGCAAGAATTCAAAGCTGCCATCAACCTCCTGAAGCAGATCAACGCCCCGCTCAAACTAGTCATCGCAGGCAATCACGACTTTACACTCGACCCCCTTGCGTTTGAGAACAAAATCCGCGAAGCCCAGAGACTGCAAGATATCGACCCACTGCTAATCGAGAAAGAGTATGGCTACTGTGGGCAGGTTCGAGAACTATTGGACCATATAGACGTGAAGGAGAAAAGCGGTATCCGACTTTTGGATGAAGGGACCCACTACTTGACCCTTCCCAACGGCGCGTCCTTAACAGTATATGCCAGTCCGTACACACCATCGTTTGGGGAATGGGGGTTTCAGTATAGCTCACATGAATGTCACGAGTTTGCAATCGGAAATGTTGACCTGGTTATGACGCATGGCCCGCCTCGAGGCGTCCTGGACAATACCATCTCTGGCCGGCGGGCAGGTTGTGAGCATCTCTTTGCAAGGGTTGCTCTATCTAAACCGCGAATGCATTGCTTTGGACACATTCATGGAAGCTGGGGAGCCAAACTGGTTGCATGGCGCAACACGATTAGTGAGAAACCGTCCCATCTGACTGATATCGACAACGGCCGATCAACGGTAATCGAGAAGCTCTCCAATATCAAGGCGAGTGCTCCCCGACCATCTTATATAACCAGTCACTGTGCTGATGATGCAAATCCCCTTCAACATGGGCGTCACACTCTGTTTGTCAATGCTGCTATCGAAGGCTCCGATGACTTTCCCTCCCACCCTGCATGGCTCATTGACTTAGGCCTCCAAAGAGCCCTTTGACCTGCCAACCATGTACTTTCCCTACCATTAGTCACATCTAATTGAAAACCACCATTGCATCTCTCTCACTCAACACACCCAGCAAAGCCAGCTGGTCAGTCCTTCCTAGCAAAGAGCCCCCCAGCCTCGGCGATATACGCCCGCCCTTCATTACCAAGGTCTGGAAGGATATGCTCGCCTCTGGCCACCTCTGACAATAACCACTGGAAATCTACATCATCCCCAAACTTCACACGGTCGATAAACGACAATGACCTGTAGTAGTAATAGGTCCGATACGGAGGCTACTGACCCTTCAAGAAAGCGCTCCGCCTTATAGATGCAGCCAATAGGGTCATCACCAATTTGGATCAGATCGATCCGGACCAGGAATCCCTTGTGGGCGTTAAAGCAAATCGTGCCATCGGGCTCCATGGATGAACTCAGGGGTGCCGACCGTGACACCCGTCCATATGTTTAAGAGGACATTAATTGGGGCCCCAACATCTACATCCTCAGTGTATTCCTGGGCCAGCCATCACGTGCGGTCTACCAGCAAGGTCCACCATGGGGATGATACACGATATGGGCGGCGGAGATTACGCGCGTGATGTAGTCGAGCGTACCAGACAGCCATAGGCGAGACATCGCGAAAGGCATCGCGTATGAGTGCTGCCAATAAGCCGGTCTGAGGCTTCGATTGGACTGCAGGGCGCAACAGCTACCGGCGGGTAACGGGGAGGGGCAGAGGGCTGAGTTATTGAAGGCTCCATTAGATGTGACAGAGGTGTGGCTAAAGGTGTATGGAAATACATAGTGATCTGGATTTAGAAGGACCGCGGTCTAAGTAACTAGCAAAATAAATAGTCTAATGAGTAATTGGGGTGGTCCTTTTAGCATCCCCTCCCAAGTCTTACCTCTTCTGCATTGAAATCTGCCAGACTAGTTGCATCTGGCTTGATCTGCTGAGGTGTGGGCTTTGCCACCTTGGCGAGAGCTGGTTCACCTTCCTTGCAAAGGTCGATGGATTGCCGAACATTCTGTGCTATTGCAAATCTATGGATGATGTTGACTCATTGTTTCCAATCACTGGGGCCTGGGAGGCTGGTCCTGAAAGAGGCTTTCAGATCCGTTGGATCCCTTGTTGGCGATAGCAAACAGCGGAAGCCGGTGAATAGCGTCAAAGGTACGGAAATCCGCCTGATCATCTTTCTGATCACAACGGCATGCAGCGTGGAACGGGATATAACTGCGTGCAATGAAGTCTGGGCCAAACCGAGCTCATAACCGTCATGCTATGATGATCTGTTGCTCTGGTCAATTGAAGAGTCTTGATTTTCTATCTAAAAGAGAGACGAAAGTCGGCCTCTTATACTCATGTTCAGTCATAAGCAGCAAAGACAATCTGTAGGTAGGTAGCTGTGCAGCCTTGTGCTAGTGTTGATCGCGCTATCCGTGATACCGTTCACGATGCCTGATCTTGACAATACTTGAAGAAACGTACATTAGGAGAAACAGATTTCAAAGAGACGAGCAACTAAGATTTGCTTGCGCATAGTCGAAAGCATCCAGATACCCAATCAACTGGACCACGGCGGCGCATACCACCAGAATGTGGAAGATCGAATGGGAGCCCCATAGGTCGAATTTGCCAGGATATCGACTTTCGGGAAACCTGGTCTTCGGAACCACGTGTGTTAGGGTTGATTTCTGTCTCGTGCGCCAAATTAGGAGACTCACTGCATAAAATGAAGTCCCAGATAGAAGGAAGCCTGCTTTTGCCAGAGTATAGGGAAAAGCCTTTCTCATCATCTGCGACACGCCAAACACATTGAGTCCATGGATCAAGGGCGCAACACCGGACAAGCCAGTCGCCACGAACATCAATGCTCGGAAGAGGCGATAGTTTCGGCCCTGGAACTTGGGATGCATTGTCATGAAGATGGTCAACGTCCCGAAAACTCCAATCTATCAAGCGAGGAAAGAAGAGTGTTAGGCTCAAGTGGTAGGTTTGAAAGAAGCAAAACAAAACAGTGCACCAAGAGATTCACTAACCATAGACCAGTAGATATTGCGGGGCAAAGGTTCACACCAGAAAACCATATATATTCCCAAGATAAGGTCACCCAGTATGAAGATCACTATGCCCAGCATGTCGAGTCGCAGGCAGAGATGTTCTACGTGTTTGGAGTGGTTCATCAAAGTGTGGTACGTCGCTGACAACGACAGGCACGTGACGGCCGTCACCATGAAGATGGAGAAAGCAATGAAATCGGCACCAGTGACCCCGGAGTATCTGCTGGCAAGGTACTGCTGGATATACCACTCGCCGAGTAGGAAGAAAACCGCCGGGATGAGATGGGAATAGATATTGACTGACTCGTTGTGAAGATACGACCAACTGCAGAACGAAGCGTGAGCCGAGCCTGAGATAGGCCGATAGCCATGCAGAATCCACTGGTTGGATTCCCGTCGGAACCATTCGGGCATCTCATCGAACGAGAGAAGAACTGGGCGTCCCGCCTTGCCGGCCTCGGATGCGGTGTCGCTGATGGATTCCATCCCCTCTAGCGGTTGCAAGGCCGGAACTCGAAGACGGGGAGCGGATGCCATTTACTGTCGTGCCAGATGATAATGTAATGCTGGGGGCAGGGGGCAGATGAGCGTAAGTGGAAATACAAGGTGAAGAAAGGGGTGTCCCTCTTGCTTTGTTTCTCGCACTACTGCCCTTTTGTTCGATTACTCTTGCTAAGCGCCAGCCTTGTTCGCCCCGTTAAGAGTCCCACATAGACCAATTAGGCACGACACATTCAACGCCACGATCGTCCAGGAAGAGGGATTTAGCAGGATGTAAACAGAAATCAAGAGGCGGTCAGGCTAGAAGATAGCATCGAAATACTTGTGGATAATCTCTGGCAACAGCCTAGACCCGCATTGGTCTTAATTTAATTCACTTCATGACCCAAGTGCTGTCCACGACCCTGTCACGTGATTGCACTACCCTAACAAGCCACCCTTTCTGATTTAATGTTTGCGGACCGGACCTTTTTTAGCGTACGGCAGCCCGGCGGCTCGCGTGAGAGAGACAAGAACAAGCGGGAACCAACCAAATCAAATGGTGCGAATCAGGATAGTTAGCCTCAAATTGTGCAATTAGTCCTCGCGACAAAAGCGACGAATCTGTTTATATCCTATCAGGCACTGTCCCAGGTGCTCGTGCGTGCTCGTGCTGCTCTCCAAATCCTTCGACCGGAAATTAGCTGACTACGGGTTGTGCGCCTGCTAGTGGTTGTGCGAGAGTGTCCAATGCTGTACTAGCTTGCAAATATTGACTAGGATCTCCGAGACTGTGGTTGGATACATTCTAAGCTATCTATATTACGGGGTATTACGAAATTAGGGTATAAGTTATTTACACACACAGGCTAAACGAAGGAAAATAAAAACAAAAAAACAAAGAAGGGAGAAAAAGAGAAAGGCAAAACACCATTACTACTAAGGAGCTTACTATTCGCTTTACTTGCCTCTCATCAGACAGGGAAGGTTCTAAAAAGTTAACCTCAACCGAAAAATGACAGGACGGTAGAGGTCACGCGAAGTACCACTATGCCACTTCCCGGGGTACTGACGCCGCTAATGTGGGTGAGCTGATCCTTTTCCTGATAGGGTTCAATAGGGTGTGCGGAGTGGACTTTGAGGAGGGCGCAGTTGGGGATTCGAAGTCGTACCCCAAGTCCCGCGGTAATTCTTCCCCTCTTCTTGTTTTGTTTTCATTTCCTTTCGGTTTGACCGGCCGTATTCCAGCCGATAGCCAAATCGCTGCACGCTAACTGACATGAGGCACTAATCCCTCCTCGCGGCTGCGCCGGGCTTACGGTGGAAGGGCGACTTTCACAATAACTTATGCTGCGCCGCACAAGTGGCTGACGGAATTTTTGCCCAAGCGGGAATCTCAGGGGCCACTCATTAGCGCTGGCCAGGATCGGCAAGAGAGAGAGAGAATCGGAGACCAAGCACGTCAGGTCGTCCTGAGGGTCTGGATGTGAATGTTGCACAGCCTGATCTGATCAGTAGTACACAGCGCACTTCCGTTGATCGACCCATGTTCTTCCAGCCAAAAAGTCCCAGTGAAATCTTCAACCGCATCAGCTTCGACACACACCCATGGACGACGACACTGATTCCCGGAGCCTGCTGCAATCCGTGCTTGGATTATTCGCTCGAAAACGACCGCAAAGGTCGACAAAGCCGGCGTCACTAAGATCACGGAAACGCGAGGCCTGGCTACGCACGGATGCATTTCTGCAGCGCGATGATATTGGCGAAGCTGACCCAGAGAGTGTTGCAAGGACTTTGCGTGCATTTGAACATCTTGTTCAGGACGACTCTGATCGAGAGACAGATTTTGTAGGTATTCTTGATATACAGCAAACTCTAGTCTTTCGGTCTGTTGGGCTCTCACATCCTGCCTACTAACGACAGTTTGCGGAGCAGAGTTTCCAACAACCCGGAGATGAGCGGTATCCGAAGCTTCGCCGTATGACCGAGAATCCGAACCGCCATCTGCATGCCGACCAGGACACTGTCATTCGCGTCAGTAAACGGAGACGAGAATGCGACGATGCCATTCAGGAACTCTTCCATTTGGACGAGGAGAGAAAGAAGCGCCGAGTTCTGCCTCGTGAAGAGCCAACTCATGAGTCCGATCTCCTAGACCCCGATGCCGACTTCGCCGTGCTGATGAGAAGACATTTGGTGTCCTTGGACAATGCGTTGCGAAGACACTGGGTTTGCGTTTGCCAGAAGTGCTCAGGGTTAAGCGTTAGATTGTCGCTGCCACGACACAAACAGGGTCTCGAGGCTGAGGCGAGTTTCGAAGTATTCTTCGGCGTGCGGTCCGTACCTGCAACTGCATTGCAAGAAGCTAAAATCACGGTCAAGTATGCTCTCAATGTTCTCTATGATGACTGCTATTCGCTAACACTGTCGGTGCAGAGACCTTCACAGCGGCACATTGAGGCGCTCATCTGAGCCTATAATTAGCAGCCCACCCGGATTTGCCCACATATGCCAAAGCGTCACAGAGTCCCTCGACCAGCGAAATTGCTTGCACTTCGCTCTCCAGGATGGGATATTTCAGAGGCTTCGCCCGCAACCTAAGACATTTGGTAGCGACCGAATGTCTCAGACAGTATCCTTGTCGGCATTTTTCCATCGCCAACAAGAATTACTCCGTGGTGAATCGGTACTACCACTCAAGGGGAAGCGAGTCTTGGCTGTTACACTGGCTTCAGCACTACTTCCCTTCCTGGAGACACCGTGGCTGCAGTTTTCCTTCAATCATTCAAAGATCCAGTTTTTTGAGCCACGGCAGGATGGAGAACTCCCCAACATCACGAAACCTTTCCTAACTCTGGAGCACGTTCCAATCATATCAGCTCGCCATTCAGACAACGGGGACAGCTCCGGCGCCTCGAAACACATGGTTCATCCCAACGCCAGTGTGCTAGCACTAGGCATTCTCTTGTGCGAGCTTCACTATTGCACACCTGTGGAGCTAATGGCAAAGGACCCGCAGATCATCAGGAACGTCAATGATGATTTTTATACCTGTCTCGATAAGCTTCAGAACCTGGAAGACGACGCTGGTGTGGATTACTATCTCGCTACGAAAGCATGCCTTACTGGGGAGTACTATCCCCTTGGACAGCACGCTGACTTCGAAGATGTCAACGTTCAGCGGCTCTTCTACCAAAATGTCATCAAACGACTTGAGGCCGTGATATTCAAGGCATGGGGTATTCGATTAGAGAATCTAGGTTCATTCGATTCTCGACAGAATGAATCTTGCTGGGGCTCTATCGGTCGAGAGGTTCTCCGCCACCATACAGGCAAGGTCGATTCCTGTCATGCAAGCAATACACAACGGGTAAGTCCACATCGTTCAATGTCCGACACCCCGCCCATGGGCCACGCATCCCTCCACTCAGATATCACGCTACGAATATCGGCAGAACCTTCTTTGGGATCGCAAGCCCACGGACACCTCGCCGAGTCTTCAAAGAGCTTGTACTTTTTTGATGCAAGCCACCAGACGGGTCCTGAACAGGAGTGAGGTGCTTCCCATTGGCGTTAAGACTTCGCCGTACTAATGACCTGCCAGGAACCCACTCTCGGAAAGGTGGATGGAGAATCTGCTGTCCTCGATCTATCCATATGTTGACCTTGATTTCAACCTTGCCGAACCGGTGCGAATAGCGATTCTGGACTCCGGACTCGACCCTGAAAACCCATTCCTGGTCGAGGATCAACAACGGGCCAACCCACGAATCAAGGACGCACGAAGTTTTGTACATGGAACAGAATGGCACGAAATTCGAGACGAGATCGGGCACGGCACTCATGCTCTTGGCCTCCTTCTTAAAGTTGCCCCAGGTGCTGAGATCTATGTCGCCAGAATTGCGCGACGAGAGACTCTGGATCCCAATACCTATAATGACATTGCAAAGGCAAGGTTGTCTCTATACCATCGCAGACCTTTTGGACTGAGCTAATAATCTATTCAGGCCATCGATCACGCAGTTACACAATGGAAAGTGGACATTATATCAATGTCATTCGGGATTCGTGAATATCACGAGCTCATGAGCACAGCGATATCTAATGCACTGAACAAGCGGACTTTGTTGTTCGCAGCAGCATCAAATGATGGAGCAAATCTTGGTAGAGCTTTTCCAGCTCAATATCCCAGCGTCTTTTGTATACACTCAACCGACGGAAACGGCAATCCCTCCAGTTTCAACCCTACAGCAAGCGAAACGGACATCAACTTCAGTCTACTTGGGGAGCAGGTCTCTTCTCACTGGCCGGCTGGCATGAACGGACACGATCAGACTGTCAATGTTATGTCAGGAACATCGGTCGCAACACCAATCGCCGCTAGCCTAGCCGCGTCGGTCCTATCTTTCGTCCGGCAGCAAGATCAGCACATTGCTGTAGAAAGCGAAAGGCTGGGACCGTGGCTGAAAAGGGACAATTCCATGGATGCGGTCTTCAAGAGTATGGTCAGACAGAAACGGGGAGGGGGCTACGACTACATCACACCTCATGTGCTCTTCGATAGCGGTTCGACAAGGGAGGATGTTTACAAGAGAATCAAGGACATTAAAAGGAACATGTACAAATACTAGTAGCAACCTAGGAATGGTTCAGTCAACCTCCAATCACATAAGATTCACTGATGTCTTATCTCCGGTGTAGTCTAAGATTCGTTTAGCATGATTAAGCGGGGACGCAATAGACGTTGCCATTCTCGCTCACATCGGGAACAGCCTCAGCAGTCCTGATATCAGCTCCATCCACGTCCTCAAGTAAAACACATTCGTCGTCATCTTTCTTCCCACCAACTGTCATAAAGGCGCCCTTGTTGTATCCTTCAAGCTTCAGTCTCCGCCCAAACCTGAGCCTCTTCACGCGGAACGCAAACACAAATTCCGACTCACTATTGGACTCCGTCGCATCATCATTCGTGCTAGTCCAGTGGCCTTTCGGCCCAAAGGTTGTGCCCAGCGCCGTCACGTTGATGCCGAGGTTCCCCTTGACCGTTGTGCTCTGTGAAGTCGAGTATCTGATCTTGGCTCCCTTGACGATCTTCATGCCCGTGATGATGAAGAGCTCGCTGACGATTGCGAACTTCTGCCTGGGCTCTCTCAACCATGCCTGCACGGCCGGTGCCTTGACGGCCTCTTCCACGTAGTCCTGCGTCGGCTCGAACGCCAGCGTTGTCACCGTGTCGAACGCGAACGTATTTGCCCTTTTTTTCGAATGCTCAACGTTCACCTCGGGCCCAAGGGACAGTCCACCGGTAGCCAGCTGCAGGAACTGTGCATAGACACCCAAACCGAGCCCTTTCTCGGTTGAAACAGTCTTCTTCCAGTCGGTCTCCACAACAGGTGGGGATGCATCCGCCACAGCAATAACACTCTCTCTGTTTAGAGGGTATTGCGGAGCTGACGGGGAGAGGATTATAGACCCAAGACATAGCGGGCCCATTGGGGGTGGAGGTATGAAATCTGATGTCGGACACAGAAAATATGTCTTAGTAAAGGCCATGGCATCAATGTTCAGGATCAGATACCAGCTAAGTTCCTTGGGACCGAGCGAAATGATCAAAAGAGCAGCAGAAGAGCATGTTCAGCGAGGCTTAATTTCTACAGGCACTACCCGGTGTCTAACCATCACGCACGTGCCCCTCCCCGGGTCCAAATCCCCCACAGGCCCTTTCTTCTCATTCCTTCTGTCACACTGCCAGACCGGTCGCGCTCACAGGCCAATCAAGTCGTGCATGTTGGTTTGGCCAGGTGGCGCAGCCGAGCGCTAATTAGGGGCAGTCAGCGCGCTTCCTACTCGTAACCCGGCCGCGCCCAAGACACATGCTGCTTTGACACTCTCTAACAGTAAGGGTTTAAGCAACGATTCATAGTCTCGGTCGCGATTTGCTTACCCAGGACCTTCGGAACGTCCTTTCCATGCAGAGACCAGGATCGGCTTCCTGAATCTTTGGCGCAGTTAGGTCTCGCAACCGCCCGCACCGCGCCCTCTCACCATGCAAAGTCTCGAGTGCGCGGGAGACGAGTCTATGGAAGATGTCTTCCTCCAAGATGACCTTCGCCCAACCATCGCCGAGCATGCGAGACAATGTCAGTCTCTTTTCCACAAGTACATGGTCATGCCGGAAATCGTGCCAGACCCTACTACCATAGACGACCAGCTGGCACGCTTTTCCCTGTGGGCATCAAACATGGATGTTTACGGGCCGCTCAATGTCTCGCTGGACTACAGACTCCGATTCAGTCCTGTGGCCGCGGATATCATACACCAGCTCCTGGATATTATCTACGATACCTTACTGTCTTGTGAGTACTTTCCGTACCACATTCAGATGGATTGAACATCAATGCTAATGGGAGTCTCGACAACAGTAAAGCCAATCGACAACCTACCACCACAAATCTTGAGTAGGAAGAGACAACGCATTTCAGTACAGGGCAATTCGGGGGTCACAAGAAGAGCCGACGACGACACAAGTGACTCAGAGAGTGATACCGATCCAGCAGAGGAGAATATTTTGAAGATCACCGAGACAATCGGCGGAACATTGACGCGACTCTTCCGTTTATCCAACGCCGTTCGAAAGTCCGCTAAATCCAACCGGGCTCGCAAGATTGAGAGGTACAGAGACGACGAAGAGGCAAACAAGGCCATAGATGAGTTGCGTCTTTATACCAAATGCTATATTGAATTCCGGTATCCCGAGGCGCCGGAGGCGCTCCGCTCAGCATTAGTCGAAACCAACGCCCTGCGACTTCGACGGCTGTATTATCAGCGCTCCCATCGAAGGCGCATTGACCTGAGTAGTCAGAAGTCGGAAACGACTCCAGCCGTTATCCAACTCCCCAAAATGACGGGGAGTGCGCCAGCTGTACAGTTTGCGCTGAGTGCGCTGCCGCAGCCTACGAGGACCAACAAAATTCCGGCCCCTTCCCCAGTGCCAGCAACGAATGCGACTACTGCTCGACAAACTGCCGTTGCGGCCTTCTACGCTAAATCCACAACCGAGGTTCCCCGGGCTAAATCTGTTCTCGTGAACAACAAGTTGTCGTTCCCTCCCATACCGCCGACGCAGCAGTGTCCATACTGCGGCGTCATTGTTGAGTTCAAGAACATTGCAAAGTCATTACAGTGGCAGTAAGCATGTCATTCCTGGGGCTTCGTAGGAGCCTGTGGCTAATATGCACCAGAAACCATGTCATCGGAGATCTGGAGCCTTTTATTTGTGTTTTTCCACACTGCCTGGAACGAGATCACCACGGGCACGGGACCGGTCCGCTCACGTTCGAAACATCGAAAGCCTGGGCCAGCCACATGCAGACCGCTCACGGGCATACATGGGAGTGCAGGGCCCCTTCTCACGACCCAATCGTCTTTGACCTAGAAATCCAGTACCGGGAGCATTCCATCAACGAGCACGGCGTGCCTGAAGCGCACGCCGGGACCCTCAGCAACGCCGCACGGAGGCCAGTCCTCGATAGGGTACTGGAGTGTCCATTTGGCGACGATTTCCAACCCTCAGGAAAGATAGAAAACAGCACCGTCTTCTCCAGTGACGCTCTACAGTCACATGTCGCCGGTCATATGAAGGAAATTGCTCTGCTTACACTGCAAAAGCTTCCCAGCGACGATGACGAGAGCGCGGAGAATGTCGATAGCGACCAACCGTTAGAAGATGAAGGGCCCGCCGGGGCTGTTGGAATTACACGTGCATCCATGTACAGCGTATTGGACGACGAGGACCTGGACTTCCAGAACGATGACGCTGAGGCTGCCGATGGCAATCTGGGACACTACGAAGAGTACATCAGTACACAGGTGACAGTACTTGCCCTTGAGGACAAAGACGACTTGGGTATGACGAAGCTTCACCATGCAGTGCAGGCCGAGGATCTGGGCTTAGTTGAGACCTTGATCCAGAGCGGCGCAAGTGCAAATTCTAGGGACGCAAATGGCCAAACGGCCCTGCATTACGCGGCAGAAATGGGCTTCATCGAGTGCATGGAAGTCCTGGTCAAACACGGCGCGGATTTACATACCATTGACAACTTTGGGTTTTCCCCGTTTCTCTGGGCTGTCGTTGCCGGGCAAGAAAGCGCCATTAGGAGCCTGCTGTTCATGGGCGCTGATGTCAATTCATTCAGCGCGGATGGAAAGTCTGCCCTCGCGTGGGCAGCCAGTTTGGGATGGTCTCGGACTGCTGAAATGCTTGTTGAACACGGTGCCAGCATATCTGATACCCGAGATACGCAGCAGACTCTTCCTTTGGAAGAAGCGGCAGCTTCTGGCAACCTTCCCACTGTTCGATTGCTCCTCGGATGTGGTGAGGATCCGAATCATCGTGATCGCGATGGGTGGTCTGCAATACATTGGGCAGCAGAGGAGGGCCATCTGGAAATTGTGCGTTTGTTACTGAACGCTGGTGCCAACTCCAATGCTGTCAGCTCTTACGGTACGTCACCATTGCACTGCGCTGCAAACGGAGGACATGTTTCCATTGTGAGCTTGCTCCTCCGACAGCAAGCCGACCCACTCAAGTCAACATGCCACGGCTGGACTGCACTACACCACGCGGCCTTCATGGGGCACTCCCATGTCATCCAGTGCCTCTTAGAGGACGACCGTATACGATCCACTGCCTCTCAGCAGGACAACCATGGGTGGTCCGTTCTTCATTTGGCCATCCACAATCGAGACCTAGCCACCGTCCGTATCCTGCTCGACAAATCCGTCATTGCAGAGCCTCAGACCCTATTCGACGAAAGCAACCTCACTGCAGAAGAATGGTTGGATCGCGGGCCGACAAGCCATTCCCAGAAAGCCACCAGCAACTTAGCGTTCAGCAAGTCGCGCTGTTGCCGGGCCGTCACAAGCCTTCGACAAGCTGTTACCATGGGCAACGTTCCCATGATCAAACTTCTGTTCAAAATGGGTCACGACATCAATGGAATGGATTCTGGAAGGAGGACCGCCCTCTACCATGCCGCGAAGAAGGGCATGTTTTCCATCATGTATCTACTACTTGACCTGGGTGCGAATCCCAACATTCTCCCCACGGGGCGGAAGAACTGGGAAGAATTCATTTCGCCTGGTGACATTTTACTGCGGCTCAACCAAGCAGGATACTTGAAGCAAGATACCGACCATGAGGTAGAGCGCCAGATTCGTCACGCACTTAAAGTGCAAAGTCAGCCGTCTGTACCGGATCAACCAGTCTGGTTCGTATTGGGCGAGTCGACTTTACCAATGCCGGACCAATCTGTCTCCCATGGGCCGGACCGACCGTCCTCGTCTATTCCAGCTTCGTCAATGCCACCTGCTCCGGATCATGCAGCTCCAAGTAAACCGACACACTCACCGGCGCCTACACACCAAAGAAATGGCAATAAGCGCAAGGCAAGGTCAGGACTCACGAATTGGTGGAAACGGCTCATAGGTGGGAGATAGCGACCTCGGTCCCTAAAGGCGAGAATGAAGATCGATGTAATGGCTGGGGGCTGTACCGGCCTTGAGGGGATGTGACATGACTCATGTCCAACTATAGCGGTGGCGGCGATCAGGTAGATTCGAAACTTGCGGATTTGAACCTCTGAGCTGAAAAAAGGAAAACAATTCTGGCGCCCATGTCAGTGAATGAAGGGTCAAAGGTACATCTAGGTGCTTTCCGTGTAAATGAACGTCATTCGACTAGAAGGCCTTTTTAATATTAATCCCAAAGGTAACACGTAAAGCACAATTATGAACACAGGCTCAAAAGCTTCCTCATGACTTAGCTCTGTCACTTCTCAGACAGGTGTATTGCGTGTTGCTTTATGAACCAAGGATGCGATTCACCATATGTCCGACACCCGGCAAGGACTCCAGATGCTGTTGCACTCTTTGCCTCGGTGCGCCCCTAGGTATTATTAAACCATACTGCTTCCCAATGATGAGGCACTCCACGAAAGTCTTGCAAGCCCGCTTCTGCAGCGATCCCGGAGGTTCCTTTGCTATCAACGTCCCTATTTGCTCCGGAATGGCCTCGCCAATCAGCCACCGGTGAGCGGTGGCATTCTCCTGGCAAAGAACTAAGCATGCCGCTGGGGGTATGTTGAGAAAGCGGTCCTGTCCCTTCTCATGTGCCTGCTGGGCGAACTGGAAAATACTGGTCAAAAAGAGACGTAATCTGGCGAAGTCGCGACGTTCGCTGATAACGAATAGCTCATTAGCGCAAGCCTGATTGGCATCGCGGAACAATTCAACCTCATTACTGCTGCCGATGTATCCTTCGAAGAACTCCGTGACGACTCGGGAGAAATACTCGATCGGCCCTGGTTCTTGTTTGTCGATCATGGCGAAGTGGCCTGTCATGAGTACGGCCATCCGAAGCACGTTCTCTTCCCGGTTCCCATTCCGAACACAGGCATCGAAGTCGTTCAAAAATTCGCGGATACCGAAGTGGAAGAACTCCAACGCATCCCTGTCGCAGCTGATGGCGGCCCAATCTGAAATTGCCGCAGCTGTGATGGCATCTCCTTCTCTCCATCCGTGTCGGACAGTCGCGAGCTTCGTTTCCATGCCGGTGAAGACCGTGATGGCCAGCAGTGCGTGAAGATCTCTGGGCGCGGTCTTCTGCAAGATCTGCGTCGACAGGTCACCCATGGCCTTCAGCTTCTTCGACTTCCTGGCGACAACCAGTCCCAAGAAGAATATATGGTACAGTTTCGCCCATGATCGCAGTTTGTCCATCTTGTTCTCCTGGACGAGCTCCTGCAGTACCGACAGACTGTCCCAGCGATTCAACGCCACAAACTTGAGATAGAGGGACATCAATTCGAGAAGGAGGGGAACGCGGAGGGAAAGGCCCAGCCCTTTCATAACGAGGCCGACAAACCGCGATGAGCGCTTGAAGCGTGCGAGGAAGACCTGCTCCTGGAGCCCAAGTAGCTCTTTCACCCGCTCGTCCACCGGATCCGTAGGTCCCCTCAGGGAAGCAACTCCCAGCAGAGCAGGCAATTTATCCACTCGCGCTCCGTGCTCAAGTAATTCCTGCGTCATTTCTCTCGAATTCGCCAGAATAGCTCGGACCAACGGCGTGTCCGTCTCACCATGCTCCGCCTTGGCCTCGAGACGGGCGCCATGTTCGAGCAGCACAGACACGACGTCCCTGTGCTGTCCGGTGACCGCGATATGGAGGGCTGTCAACATGCTTCGATCTTTGAAATTGACACGCGCACCGTGGTCAAGCAGCAGCTCCACCATTTCTCGGTGACCTTGGTTGACAGCCCAGGACAGCGGCATCCGGCCGTAATTGTCCTTTCGGGAAATGAGTCGGGCATGCTTGCTGATCAATAATTTGGCCCAGGGTACATTGCCAAAGTATGCCGCGAGATGCAAGAGTGTGAAGGAGGGTGGGCTTCCACCGTTCTTCTCCTGCTCCCAATAGACTTTCCACCATTCGTCCCGGATCGGAGAGTCGACTCGGAAGAACGGACGTGAAAACTCAAACTGTGGATCGATCACATGAATGGCGTGGTGGAAATGCACCGGCCAGTATTGGATGGCATAAGATAGGAAGGGATCGTGGTCAGACCTTTCATGAATCTTTCCAGGATTTCCGTATCGGCGCTCGACGTGTGCTAAACAGGTCTGCAGGAGAGTCCTGTGGGTATCCTGGCTCATATGGAACATATTGATCCCTTTGATGTTGACTTGGTCGCTCTGAAAGAACTCCTTCGCAGATTCGTGAACCAGGTTGACGACATCTCCTTCGACCTTCACGAGTAACCCGCCAAGTTGGAGCCGATTCTTGGTTAATTGCGTTGCTGGAAGAATACCAGCCGTCTTGATCCCTGCAGCCACGGTCAATTCTTCCAGTGTGAGGGGCCGGGCAGCGAGAACCACCCATTGAAGAATGGGGACCAATGCCTCCTTGTCGCCGATCTGCTGAAGAAGCCGCTGATAAATCCCACCCAGACCTTTAGGAACATGGTGGAGGACTTCATCGATTTTGCTCCAGCTCCTGCCCTGAAGCTCTTTGGCAACGAATCCAACCCACAAAAAGGTCCCATCAGCGCCAGCGAGCAAGGTCCGCTGAACCTGCGTGACCATCTCTTCGGAAAGGTTTTGCTCGGATGCTAGTTCGGCAACTTTAGCGGATATGTATCTCTCGACATCATGCGAAATTTCCGTGTCGGAGGTGTCTAACTGGATCTGCTGGTATCGGCCGAGTTTAGTCTCCAAAACAGCCGGCTGAGGTCGGGAGAGGATAATGAGCTTCAATTGTGGCCTTTCCTTCCCTTCAGACTTCGACAGGTGATTTCCAACGGCATCAAGAAGCTGCCTGAGTGATTCTTTTTCGCATTCGTCCAGGCCATCCAGAACACAGACTACCCGGGAAGACGTGCTCTGCTGGAGTAGGGTCAAGAAAACCCTCCACAATGAGACAAAATTGGAAGTGGTATATTTGGTTGTTTCCGTCCCCTCAAAATAGTTCTTAACGGGTTTGGCCAGATGCGGATGGAGGTCGATCCACTGATGAAGGATGCCTCTCATGATGGTCAAAGCGCTGTTCCGATTCTTGTCGCGGTTACTGCAAAAGTAGTAGAGGAGAACATTGTCAGCGGCCTCAACCATTGGCTGTAGCACCTCGGTGATATAAATCGCCAGCATGGTCTTCCCTTTCCCAGGGCCACCTGAGATCCAGAGGAGTGGGTGATTCGCATCTGCCAGCCACTCTTGATATTGGGGATGTTGTATGAGCCATTCGCAGGTGCCATCAACCCTGCGCCCTTTCAGTGCAATGAGGGACTTCCGATCAACCTCGGGTCTTGTTAGAAGCAAAGCGTCAAGAACAGGCGCGGCTTCAACATACGAGTTTCTGGCCAGAGGTGCCGTCCTAGACACCGTAGGTATGAAAGAGAGAACCTCTTTGGCGTATGCTGCGGCAGCCGCTGCGGCGTAGGCGTGCCAGAGCTTAGACCTGTGCGAATCTGCGTAGTCGCAAATTCCTCGGATGACCAAGTACTGGGCGGCATCCCTCAACCCGGTTGCCTCCGTCTCGAAACAGAGAATGCCATGCTTGTGTGCGCACTTGTCCCGAGTTGCTCCGTCACACGTCAAATGATGGACGGAAGCAATCCGGCCATAATGAACTATGGGGTCCTGTACCTCCCGAGGTTGACGGGGTCGGATCCTATCCGGGTCGCAATGACTGCATCCGCTTTCCTCGGATTCGATGGCTGCATGATCATAATTCGGCTCGAAGAGGACATCTTGCTCTGGGCCAGGGTGGGCAAATGTGACGGTATCTTCCTGCACAATCTCGGAGATGTACTGGGGCACCCTACTTTCATCAAAAATGGCGGCTGTCTCGGCCTTCCGCATAGCTGCGAGAAGCAATGATGCCGGCTGATCTACCGCTCTGCCGCGAACAAATTGATCTTCTGTTCGCTCCCCGTTCACGTCATACCGGACGACACCTGGCCAGCCCGCTGTCGACTTGCTGACAACAACATCACCAAGCCGAATATCCTCCTTCGTATCTGGCACTCCTCCCGCAATGCCGACCATGAGATGGAGTCGGACAGATGTGTAGCTTGCGTGCAACTGTGTGGCCACATCGGCCACTGATGTTTGACCGCACAGCCCGGGATTCGGATACGCCACAACGACATTGTGGCCTTGAAGACTCCCAAGGATGTAGTTATTGTTGTCGTCGGAGTTCGGATCCGGAGGTAGGTTGTCATGGACGCAATCAAGCGTTGCTTTAGCTGCGGCGACCTCTATAGGTCGTGCGCAAACCCACCCGACTGCGTAGTCGTCACGCGACGCCATCTCCAGCTAGGGCGCACGTCAAGAAATGAGAGACTGCAGGAGCGTCGGTACCGAGGCGTTGTGGTACGTACTATGTCGAAGCTGCCCGAACTGTCCGTGCGTGTTTGGGACGAGGTCGACTTTGTATTATGGGTGAGCAAAGTAATGAATTAAATAAGGAGTCCAGGCCAGAAACTTAGACAACCTGGAACATATCCAATCAAAGTCATAAAGATCCTGGTCGCATATGCAGGCTGCCGCAGTAACGGATGCGTTCTTACTGGCAGGCACACCAGACGTACTTCGCTAATTCCCGAAGGATTCGGAGATCTGCATGAGCACGAACGAACACCCGTGACCGTGTCTGACAGAATCCATGTCGCGCCCCTTTTATGATTGTCCTCTTGGCGCTAAATGACAAGTTCTCAATGGCCCGAGGCTTTTCAGCGTGCTCAGGCCTGTTCGAAACCTCTGAACCCCCCAATGGGAAGACGTGTTCTTCACCAGCATGTGTCGGTCTCTTCGCCGCAGGCAACATTTACACCGCCTAAGCAGTGACGGCTTCGTAGGGCAGGGCGGTCACGTTTCCCCGTCCTTCCAAGACGTTACGGCCGCTTCCCATGGGGAGGAAACTCGCAGTGGCCACGTCTCTTTTCCTTGCTCCAGGTTGCAAAAGCCAGGGAATTCAAGATTGTGCGAGGATAGGCGGACGCGATCTGAAGCACGGAGTCCGCAGAGCGTATAACCATTCCGTCTGTCGAGGATCTAAGTAACAAGCCGAGCAATAATTACCAAGGCAGCTGCTTGGTATTTCCAAAAATGTAAGTCAAAATTCTAAATTGGCGACATGCCACGAAGTCCTAGGTATAAGTTGCTTTGCGGGGACATGAAATCAAGTGTTCGGATTGGAGAATTCGCGGGTTTGCTTCGACTTCTGCCCCTGGCACAGAAGAGCCTCAATTTCACGGGGTTCACGGATTGGCTCCGAGAGAGACAGTGTCCCTGCTGTTGGCAATTTTCTTCCAACCCGTCGCAGCGTAGGATTTCCAGCTCCATGGGTATTCATAGCTGGATTGAGAGCTCGTGAATAAACTCTTGCAATATTTTATGCGACATGGACGACATTTCTTGGAGCATTTATTGGCTCTGCAACCTACGCAGATTGTGAGGCGAATTGAAGTAGCATACTCAATAAGGGCATCGGAGGTTTCCGCACTTACCCGGTATGATAAAGTACTGACAACCGCGAGAGGACTGAGCTTCACTAATCGAGGGTCAATATTTATCATGTCCAAATCGGGAGATAAGACGGGGGTTATGGTGTCTTCTTGAGATTCTGATTCCATAGAGAATTCTCTAGGAGAAATGTCACCGGGACTAGACTGTGGTATGTTGGGGAGGTGACATAGCTTAATGTTGATGTTGTATTTGTCTTCTGTATTAGTATGGGCCAGATATTCTCTAACTGCGGTGAAGGTTGGAAGAGAGACAAGGTTCCCAGTTGTAGCAAATTTCGTCATGTGCATGCATTAGATGAGAGCCAGATTGATGACGATGTGAAGAATCTGGATGCTTAGGGCAAAATCCACCCCAAGGGTCCGACGCCGAGTGACGGGATATACTATAGCAAATGATATAGATCTCTGCTGGGCATTTTATATTGTTTTTCTTAGGAGGTGGGCGTTCCTCTGGCCGGACCGACGGTTTGTCATTTTGTTGTCGAATTTCCAATCAACATGATTGCCTCGCCTGGTGGGCTTGTACTTAGAAGTATAACTATGTTTTTGGTAATCTGGTTATGATGTGCAAGCAGCTTGTCCTTGACATAGGTCTCTGTCTCGGGCCCGTAAAAACTCTCCACGAGACGCAGGCGTTCAAAAGAAAATGTATCCTGATATAGGCCACATCTAGTCTTTATTGTTAGCGCTGTCACTATCATTTGGTCCAATCTCATCTTCACTCAGCAGCTGCCTGATATGTCGGTTGACTTTGAGTCAGGTGTGAGTTGGAGATAATTCTTTCTGGATGTCTCTTGAGTATTATTCTCTAAAGACTAGTGAAGTTTGCTTAGTTCCCTGTCCACAGCCTCGTGACAGTACGGCATATTCGAAGGAAGAGAAAGTCACACTGGGCGTTTGTTTGGGGACAAATTTTGTTATTGGGAGACAGCCCTATAGACTAGACTGATTGGGCATTCTATATTGAACTCTTTGGAAGATACCATTGACAGAAGGTAATTACCCAAACTGGATGATCCGCCTAGGTATATTTCCTATACATCGTACTTACCATGATATAGTTATAAACTCCCTCCCTATTGGGATAGCTCTCCCTAAAGAGAGTAGAACTACTGATTACAGTAAATAGTGGACGAATGGTTTGCATGAGTAGTAGTTGTTATAGATTATAATTACCCCCTATAATATCGTCTTTGCTCTACGAGGCATGCCAAAGCGTATTCCTATTCCGGCACCCCTCCAAAAGGCACTTGTCGACTGCTTTCAAGCAATCACTCACATCGTCCGACCAAAACTTCGGCGTGAACTGTTGCTGGTCGGCGGTGCCGCAAGCATCACCCATGGCCCAGTACACTACAAGTAGTATAGAGGGACCTGTGAAAACGTCGCTGAAAATGACAGCCTTTGGCGCCAGAAACGGGCCGGCCGGGCCGCCTTTCCACCCGTAACTTTAAGGCAGCGAGCCGCTGCTTGACCGTCCACCATGTTCTGCCCTTTATTCTGCACCCACACGGGACTGGCAGTCATCCTCGTCTCGTCCTGTTGAAGACGCTGTGACCAAAACGACGCCGAAAATGGCTCCCCTCTGCATCCGAACCAGGTTTACGAGGACGATTTTCTGCTGGCAGATCAAACGATCTACATGAATCATTTCCACTGGATACCTGAGATATCAAGAGAGAAACCACTGTAATCATGTAACAAATGCTTGGCAGAGCGTTATCATTGAGACATCTATATACAGGAAGAAGGCTCCCCTCCCCAAGTCCAACTGGGCACCATAACTAACGCCTCCATACCGACCACGAACAAGACACCAGACAGCCAAGAACATCTCACATAACCTCATTCCAGCACTTGCCGCGGCCCAGTGCCTTATCACAGTCACTACCAGGGAAGTTCCTCCAGGTCGAGCCATTCTTCTTGCAGTTCGAGAACCATCCGTTGTAGTCCATGCAGATATCATGTCTCTTCTTGCACTTATTGTTGTGAATATTGAATTTGTCGCTGCAGTTCGGACCGCCATGATTGTTCATGCACGATTTCTTTCCCTCTCGCTTCGAGTGGCTGCCATGATGATGGTCGAGGACAATCTTTTCACCGAAGTCATAGACGAGCACTTTACCATACTGAGCATGTGGCTTTGCAGCCTTCTCGAGGTAAATAATACCATCTTTGATGATATTGCCCTCAACACCCGTGATAGATTCGGTCTGCCTTCGGCCCAGAACAGAACTGTCGCCGTTAACTTTGGCGAGGTCCAACTCGCCCAGTGAGTTTGCCTCGTGGTGCTGGCCGTCATGCTCAACAAGCGCTCCGTCGACTGGGAAGTAGGCCCGCAGTGTGCCAGACCCCTGATCGTAGAAGTAGTTTGGCAAGTTTTTCCACACATCTGGGTGCTTGTTGTAATGGTCGTTCAGGTCGTCTAGCTCTTCAGCGGGGATCTTGATCGTTTTGTACCCGACTAATTTAACAGTGTCGTTACCGAGCGAATAGTCCAATGAGTTAATGTAACGCTCCTCGAAGAGTCTCAGATCTCGTTCGGAGAGAGGGAGGCCATAAGAAAGGTTGGCGGATATTGCCAACGCTGTCAGCGATAGCAGCTGGGAAATGAATGAGGTCTTCATGTTTAGAGACTTATAGTCGGTTATCTCGATGTTTGATGAGAAGACTGGTTGATGGTTTTGAGATTTGGATGGCATTTCTCGTCCTATTTATCCTTCATTCTCCAGCACGGGTGAAAGGGTGATATCATACTCATTGGCATCTTCTTCACATACTCCCCCATTAACACGAGCTTCTCAAGTCGTTGAAATGTGTCACGCAGCAAACCATCCCAGAAACGTCGAAGATTGTCCTCATCACGGCTAATTTAAGAAGTTATACGACCTCTCGCTCGAGTTCACATCCAGCCGTCTTCTTGGACTGAAGAGAATACGGATGTATTCATGTCTGAAGAACTATTTTTGGCACAGCCAAGATTGTCGATCGCGGGGCATTGTTGCATCCAATCGTTTGTCAGTCTTTACGATGCCAATGCTGAATAGCCTCGCCGATTGTATGCGAATACGAGCTCCGCGCGCTGAGTGCTAGCCTTGGCGCAATTTGATGTCGCCTCGTATCAGTCACCCACGTGTTTGTAATATAGCATCCACGGATTGTGACCCTGGTGACTGCAGTCGCTCGATACTAATGCATACATTGACGCGAGACTGATGTACGGTGGAGGGCTTGGGTTCGATCGTGCTCGTTACGATATCACCTTGAAGATGGGCGACTCGATAAGCAACTTGTGTGTCTCTAGACTATTACACTTGGGAGTTTTGAAACCATGTGCATCATATGCAGTGTTAGGCTAGATTACCCACCGCTTCCAGTCAGTTCGTTGATGATATAGAGGATTTCAGCTGTGCCAAGCTCACAAACCTCAGTACCATCGTCATATAGAACAGGCGAGGCAGAGATGCCATCGCCTCTTTTTGGACAATATATATGAGTTTCATTCCAAGTTCGTGGAGTGTACACAAAGTTATGGAAGTAAAAGAACCTGGCTTATCATCCGGAGAGCGTAGGTGGCAGAAGTTCAAGTCATGAACACGACGCGCTCTGTCTATGCCATCTAGACTGGGAAAGAGTCCCAGACCCAATAGACGCTTCCTTGCCACTTACTCGACCATTGACCGGTTTATCTATTGTGTCAACGTTGCCACATTTGGTCCTCATGCTAAAAAGTGGTCTGAAAGCCTGCTCGGATCTAGATTCCTCGGAGACACGTTCATAGGTTGATATTTCACTTCAGGAATCCATGGGTACCCAGAGCCCGTCACATCATCCGTGGAGATCTTCAGACTCGTGGACAGTGATACTAACATAGAACCCTGGTGAGAAAACCTAGACGAGCCGGATATCTACACAGACGGCGGCGCCATCCTGTGTTGTATCCTCCATTCTGTTACTCATTGGTCCCACGTCCAGCTCGTTCTGGTTCGACCAGCTCATCAACACTGAAATAACCAGTGTCCGAATATGACTCTAGTGCGGACTGCAACTTGTGCCTTGAGAGGGCGGGTGATCTCAGCGAACTCGAAGGGACATTCCGGAAAGCAGACAGAGACCTATTGTTGAAAATGGAATCGGAGGCCTCACCACTGGTTCTTGATAAGTTGTTCTAGGTGCTGATCTATAACAATCTGCATCCAGAAACTCCTTAGCATGGGGCCTGGGTCTTTAATCTGTGAGCACTTGCCCGGTAAATTGACAGAACTCGGACTTATTTGCTCCGCTAAAGCATGCACCAGTTGCAGGGTGGCACGATGGTAGTAGCATCGTTGGCCCGTTTTGGATATGATATGGACCCATCGCATTACTAGTAAGTATCCTGGCGTTCTTGATTCGGTTGTGCAAGTGACATATGTTTCAGTAGTGCCCCTGGAACAAGAGCATATTCTTAGGTATGTGCGTGTCGTTTTATGGTACATCTTAGACCACTGTCAGGCACATGTCGCCATGACTGGCATGTGTAGAAACTTTTATGTCTGACTGTTGCAAGAGATTTATCTCCTTGGGAACGCTCCCAGCATGAGGCAATCACACTTGAGAAATTCCATGATACGGTGCCCTGACTACAATGGCCGATACAAATGGAAGCTGCACATAAGAGGACAAGCAAAACTGATCCGAAGCAGCGCAACATCCAATGGCTTAATTTACCCTGTGTTTATTTAGCATGATACAGCAAGAATCATTGTTCCAAAGATCGACTCAACCCCCATTTATCGCAACAAGTGCGCAAGCGTCGGAGAAATGAACAAGGGGGAAATTTCCAAGCCCGGTCCTAACATATACAAATGGTCTTGAGTGCAGGACCGAGTCGAGAGAGCGCTGCCACAAGATTATAGAATTCTTTGATTATACTAGGAACTAGAGATGCGTTCTCTCTGACCCTTTCTTACCAAATACGTGCAGTAATATTGATTTCGCCGCATTTCCATGGCCAGCCACACCAACAATGCGCCTTTGAACGGTCGGCCGATACTTCCAGGTCAACTTTTATGTTTCTCTTCGGTAGAGCTACTACGACTACATCGAAATGAAACCGTAATAATCTCGTGCCACAGTGTTGGTAGTTTGCGGGCACCGTTGCCGAGCCTTCTCATCTAGCATTTAAATGTATGACTGTTTCTACAACTGCCCCATAACACGCGAGCCGCATTGGCTGCATTCGTGGCTAAGCGCCGCCTCGATAGACGCTTAAAAAGATGGGCATCCTTCTCCCCAATAGTCATTGAGTTGCGCGTTCAGGTTGATAGTTCTTGATTCAAGGTGAGTGTGATCTCGGGGTATTCTGTCTCGTCGAATCTAGCAACCGAAATGGGTACCAGAACAGACCCGGACAATCGAGGGCTATAGGGCTCATTGTGAGACACCAGAGTGATGTGATGGTCACGGGGAGCATCTAAGGGCAACTCGCACGGTTGCAAAACACCGGCGGCGCATTGGTATCCATCATGGATAGGCTGTGTACCGGGCATTAAGAGATATTGGATTGTACACACGGTTTACTCGAATTATGGAGTTCAGAGATTTTGCGAGGTCAATGCGTTTAAACATACCAATCAATCATAGATATGTACATTACACCATGGGACCATGTGGAGGCGCAATAACGTGGGGCACCTGCTTTCCTCGCCATGGTCCATACAGGTCAACAATCTAGAGGAACTAATCTATTCAAGTGGGTCCGCGGCAGTTAAAGCTCCCGAAAAGGAAGCCAAGATGGACATTTATGCTTTCCGATTGACATCCAAACTCACCTGCCTCGAGCCAATCATCTCCGTACTTCCCCTTGGCATCAGACACGTCGGCCCTCAACATCGCGATACAGCGAGCACGTAACCGGCTATACAGGTCAATGATAACGAGCAAAAGCAGAAAAGAAGGATAAAGCAAAATAGAGAGGAAACTGAAGCATATGGCGAGGGAGAGACAAAAGAGATGATTGAAATATGGAGGATTAGGGAGATCTCCCATCCTTAGATATACATGTATATATATATATACACTTAAAGATTCAATCACAACCCTTCAAGTTCACTTCCAGACGCAGTGGACCATCCGTATAGTCAGACTGTGGCCTGACCAAATTACATATCCAGTTAACACTGGAACTATCATTGCTAACTGGAGTATCCACCGCTCAAGGACATTGGAACGTTGGTATACTTTGTGATATAGTAGAAGCCCGGTTTGATCACGCTCGACACCGATGCATCACTACTGTGGAATTGAAGAGGCTATTCCCTAAATTGCATAGCTAGGTAATTCGATCGGCGTTTTATATGTACGTGATTCTCGAAAAGTTTATCTTGCTTCTAATGGTTCTTAGGAGTCATTGGTGCTTTCTAAAGCCTTAGGGCGATAGTCGTAGTAGAAGTTGGGAGGATGTACGGGAGAATCACTCAGCCGCACCCTTCTAGAAACAGCGGCGGAAGAACGAAAGAATTGCCAGAAAAAACTCAATTAAATTAATGATGATCGCTGGTATGATTTTTTAGTACTCGATTCATTGAAACGTAATATCAACCCGACAAACGGGAAACTCTTTCGCAGGTAAGCTTTCCTCAGGCACACCTGGACACCTTGTGGCCTGGTCGGCAGGGCAGCCGATGATCCATGCCGACGGTCGGAAGGGCAGCCGGTCGAGGAGATCATGGGACTGTCGACCACAGTCCAGCCCTCACTAGTTTCTACTTCTGGGGTTCCACGTTACTAAGAGAAATTAATTATAACCAGAGAAGATAATCAATTACGGAGTACGGAGGAGATAGAAAGATAACAAAAGATAAAGGGGAAAGGGACAACGGAACAAAAAAAAAAAAAAAAAAAAAAAAAAAAAAAAAAAAAAAAAAAAAAAAAAAAAAAAAAAAAAAAAAAGACAAACGAGTTCGGAATGCCATTTACTGCTTACTGTAGCAGTAACCCTAAGAACAGTGATATTGCAAGAATTCAAGGTGCACGCATGACCTGAGATAACGTTTATATAGAAATCTGGACGGACATTCCAAATCTGGAGATATTATCCCTTGACCCACATCGAGAATATCTTTGGTTCCTACCCCGCATTAAGTTCGAAAGGCAAAAAAGTGGTTATCTCAGCCTGCATGACGGTTTGGACTAGCACGAAGAGATTCGCAGTCCAGCACACAGATCTCCGAGAAAAAAAAAATTAGAATCGGGCAGGAAAACTGCTCATTCAACTATGATCTCTGTAAAGCACAGGTCGCCTTCCAAATCCATGGAAGCCTCACATAATAAAGACAACCGCGTCAAGAAGCGCTCGTCTAATGCGTCAGTTCGTTCCTGTTCTCGGCATGCCATTCGCCACGTCTCGCTAACCCGAAGACCCTGACTATAGCTGCCAACGATGCCGACGACAAAAGATCAAATGCTCGGGATCGCAGCCGTGCGACACTTGTAGCAAGCGCAAATCAACCTGCACGTTTGATGATCGGGACCAGAAGATTCTCGTTACCCGGGGGTGAGACGCCTTGGCTGCTCTCCTGTCCGTGCGAAAGCCGCAGCTAACCAGAACCCTGATTCTCCCCAGATACCTCGAAGACCTGCAGCGCAAGCTAGCACTCCTCAAGGGCGGCGAAGATGAAGTATACAGCCCCCAGAGTATGGAACAGGAGGTGCTCCGACCGACCGACGGTAAGCCGTCGCTGCCGGACGCAACCGGACGTGCCATCCCAAGCGATCCGATTCTAGGAGGCGACGACCTGGCCGTCGAAGGTGAACAGGAATGGGGTCAGAATCTCGAAGGCGCTTCACAGTTAACAAACCCATTGTCGTCGGGTCCGTCGACGTTTATGGCGGCAGCATCCGGTCGAATCTGTAAGTTTTCTTGCCTCGATCGCCGCCCTTTTCCCACCTTCGTTCGCAGGGCTGAACAGACGCCTGTGGTGTAGTCTACCTAGGAACCTCGTCCAATTGGTCCTTCGCGAGGAAGATTCTGAGCATGACGCATGAGCATCTCTACAACGCACCCTTACCGACGGGGAGTCTCAACTTTGAGGGGTCCGTATACGATCTGGGCTGGGAGGGCACGAGGACCACCGTGACCAACGATATTCCCATGGCGCCGCCCTTGGACTTCTCCATCTACCTCATCAATGCCGTCAAGTTCCATGCGGGTCAGCTGTTCCACCTCTTCGACGAGGATACCTTCATGGGGGGCCTGTACGCCTTCTACGAGAATCCAGAGCATCAGATGGCGCATTCGGGCTTGTGGTATATCCATTACTTGCTCATTCTGGCGTTTGGCAAGGCGTTTGTCGTGCAGCGAAATCAAGGGAGTCGACCGTCCGGCTGTGAGTTCTTTACCAAGGCGTTGCAGTTGCTGCCGGACACCACCAACCTCTGCCGAGAACCCATTGTCGCCACGGAGATTCTCTGCTGCATTGCCTTGTATCTGCAATCGCTCGACTTTCGCAACTCGGCCCACAATTATGTAAGTCACGGATCCTCCGCCGTGCCGCAAGGTCGTTAACCGTGTAGATTGGCCAAGCAACGCGGATCGCCCAGGCCCAGGGAATGCACACCGATATGTCCGCGGAGCACCTAGGGGATGCCATCGTCCAACGATGCCGGCGGATCTGGTGGACGATCTACATCCTCGATCGCCAAATGACCTCGTTGATGGGGCTGCCGCAATCCATCCGAGACGATCAGCTACACCACGAGCTTCCCTACTTCCCGGGATCGCCCCAGAAGGCGATCGCCCTCAGCATGCAGATCAAGGTGTGCCAGATCATGGACGAAATCAACAGCAGTAAGTGGCTCGACAGACCTTGTGAGACGGCGTGTGCTGACGGTCCGAGGTGTCTATGGGCCGGATGGGCGTTTGAATCGGAATTTCCTGTTGCGCACGAAGAGTGCCCTCGCCAGCGCGGCCGAGTTGATCACGGAGCTTCGAAAATGCTACGACTTGCGCTTGGACGAGTCCTCGATCAGCGGTGTATCCCGACTCTCGGCGCACTTACATCTCCTCTACCATCAGGTTTGACCCCCCTTCGCTCCGTCTGGTCCGGTGATGGCGTATTTCTGACGCGTCGCAGTGCATCGTGTTGGCCACTCGACCGGTGTTATTTTGCTTTTTAAGGATGCGAATCCAAACCAGCGACAGTTCGCTCGAATCCCTGAACTCGTCGGCCAACGTACGCAAGCTGCTGCAGGTCTGCATCGACTCGGCGCAGCAAATCCTGAACATCCTCACCGTCCTCCAGCGACAGAACCTCCTAGGTACGGACCCCTTCGCGGACTCCGGGGTGGGCCCCGCTGACCGACGTCTAGACAGTTTCCTCCCGTTCGACCTCGAAGCCACATATACCGCCGCCGTAGTCCTGGTTGCCGCCCCCGCGGCCGACGCGTCCCTGCTCGACGACTGGACTCCGTGGTTCCACAGCAGCGTCACGGTATTGGATGAGATGATCTCGCGCGGGAATCTGATCGCCGGGTTTCGCAAGTCCGAGTTGCAGCAATTGGCCGGGATGCTGAGCCATCTGTCCGACGGAGTCATTCACACTACCGACGTGGGCAGGAAGGGAGGCCAGCTCGATCGTATTATCTCCCGACTCCCCTCCCCGTCCACCCCGGATCGGGTGTTTGGGATTTCAGATATTCCCAATCTCCATCCAGGACTAACGACAGCGGAGATCATGGCCGTGGCGGAGTCGATCGACACGGGGGATGTGGATTGGATTGCGCACGCGGTCACGGAGAATCACATCTGGTAGTTTGATGATTGTTGTTATAGTAGCGATGATATCCGATAGAAATGAGACACGAATTACTTGCCAAGCAATGGACGTGCGAAGGTTGTTCCACGACCTTCTCCGTCCTCTCTCAGTCTTTTGAATACTGTTTGGACAGCTCAAAGTCCGGGAAACGCAGAGCGTTCGTTGCATCTTGCCTGCACGTGATCCGGAAAGGCTGCCGAACGGAAGACCGACCGATCGGCAAGGTGTACCCTAGGTGTCAAACACACTCAATGTATGGCACCGGTGCGGCTTTACGATTCATATCGATCCGGAATGAAGCGAAATTCTTAGCCAATAAGGGGGTGATCGGTGCTGTTCATCGGACACTACATAAGGTACGTAGTTGCTATGTGAAGGGTTCAAAGCGCATGGGAGAGACGGGTGTGAGAAATGATGATGTATATATAAAATTGTGATCTATGACCTTCTTTCCTATAAGATAGTGCAATCGCTTCAAGTACATCGTAAAATAGAGAACAGAACGTTATACAAACAGTGCACGTACGAGACAATCAAAGCTTCGGCTTGCCAGGTTGAATATCTTTGAATTCCCTGGTCTGCCCGATGCGCCAACTGACTGCATCGCCCCATTTGCCATCACCATTTTGCTGGGGCTCCTTCCAGCGCCAGCGCGGCACGGGCTGTTGCTTGTTGGGGGCCTCGAGGAAGGTCTTCACCCAGCTGCCGAACAGAGGGAACATCTTGAAACCATGTCCGGAGTCACCGGACAGCAGCACCACCGAGTTCGAGGTATTCGGAACGTAGTCAATGATAAAGTCCGAGTCACTCGTGTCCGCGAACCAACACAGGGACTTCCGCACCAGTGGTCGGTTGGCCAATGTGGGGAGTGTGTGGGCCAGCAGTTGGCGGATCTTGGCTTCATCCTCGGGGGGCACGAATGCGCTATCCGAGACGGAGGGAGCGTGCGAGACACCGGTGGCGGGATCCGTGTTGACGTATCCACCACCCATGGGGCACAACTTCAAGAGGCGGGTGACGGGATCCGGCTCAAAGAAGAATCCCAGATCGCGCGCGTAGGTGATGGGGATGCCTCGTAGCGCGGACGTCTCCTCCTCGGTGAGGTGAACGTGGGCGACCGACCACGACTTGGCCACGACCTGAGACCCGATGGCCGGCACGAGTTTGGCGGCTGCAGCTCCGGCCGCGACGATCACAAGCTCGGCGGGGTGGAACTGTCCGTTCTTCGTTCGGATGCCCGTGCTCTTGCCATCCTTGTAGGTCACTTCGGCGACGGCGCCATGCTGCGCGCCCAGGAAGAAGCGGACACCCGCCTGCTGGGTCGCCTGGTAGACAGCCTTCAAGGCATTTCCGGAATGCGCGTAGCCATCAAACGTATTGAGGTATCCATTCCAGCCGGGGAACTGGCCGTCATACTGCCAGAACCGTTGTCGGATGTCATTATCTTTCTCGAGGGGCACGACATGTTGTCTGAGCTCGGGATGGTCGTTGGCGGCCGCTTGGAACCGTTTGAGCGTGTCAACCGCTCTCTCGGGGGCCGTCCCCGAGACACAGTGGAGGAAACCTGTCTGGTGGAAGTGTGGGGCGAAGAGGGGAGTTTTCCACAGGGCGATCGCTTGCTATTCTGGGTTAGAAACAAGGGCAAAACGGGCAGATGGGGCCCTGGAGTGACCAACCATGGTCAAGTCCGTGTAGAACGGATCTTCATACTCGGCGCGCACAATCTTGTTCAGGTCATTGGCAGCGGAGGGGCGAGGAGGGATCTGGTCATCTTGTTCAAAGACGGAGATGTTGTTATAGCCATCCCGCACCAGATGGAGGGCTGTCGAGAGGCCGAAGGCACCGCCTCCGACGATGGCAATGGGCGTGGATTTGGAAACCATGACGGTCAATTCGTAGACTTCGTGAATGCTGTCTCTATATTCACCACTCTCGAGAGTGTGATCGGTTCTTATATATACATTGCAAGCTGCCCCAGAACTACCGGGAAGGAGGTGAAGGCCCGGGAACGTTGCCGGTCCAGGGCCAAATAGCGATAGCCCAGACTCTCCCCCGATAACAGCTTGGATGCGGGGGATTCCACACCGAGCCCCACTTATAGCTTATCGCCCCATATCAATATCAATCCTCGGGATGCATGCCGATGAGGGGTTGCCACCATACATCGTGTGGTTCTATGGTTGTGGTGTGTTCTCCTTGCCGTGCCTGGTGGATGCGGTGCGAGGGTTTGATGCAGCATGGGATCGTGTGATGTCCCTTATCGGGAAAAAAGTTACAGGCATAGCATCCAGACACATAATATTTGAGTTTAATTGGCCAATTGAGAATGTGAGAGAAAGGTGGACACGCACACAAGAGACAGCTGTACACAGACAGACGGACACACACACACACACACACACACACACACACACACACGTAGAGGGAGGCAGGGAGAGAAAGGAGAAGGCGGGATAGAGAGACAAGGGAATCTCCTTCTACACACTCGAGATTGTAACTCCATGCGTCCGTTGTAATTACTATGGGCAAAAATTACACATCTTAAGGGTTGATAAATTTATGGGTTGTGTTGGTGAAATACGGAGAAATATGCAAAATAAAATTAAAAAAAAATGTGAACACCGTGAAATTTTGAAAACGATCTAAACTATATATACATCTTTCCCTTCATAAGATTGAAATTCATGGAGTCATGCCAGTGTCTAGTGGTTGCTAGGGTAGGTGAAGCCATCAATGGGGAAGAACTCCTCCTTGATCATTCTGGGGCTGGTGAAGCGGCGCAAGTTGTCGGAGCTACCAGCCTTGTCGTTCGTACCACTGGCACGAGAACCACCGAAGGACTGTTGTCCGATCAGAGCGGCAGTGGTCTTGCAGTTGATGTAGAAGTTACCCGCGGAGTAGCGCAGAGCATCCTCAGCTTCACGGATCACCCGGCGATCCTTGGCGAAGACCGCACCGGTGAGCGCGAAGCCGCCACCCTGCTGATCGGCCGTCTTCAGGATAGAGCTCCACTCGGAGTCAGGGTAGACATAGATGGCCAACACGGGTCCGAAGATCTCCTGATTGAACAGGGAGTGGTCGAGAGTGTGGGCCTGGTAGACCGTGGGGTTCACGTAGTAACCCACCGAGTCATCGTAGGTACCACCAGCCAGCAAGGTGAGGTTGGGATCCTGGTTGCTGGCATCGATGATCGACTTAATCTTGTTGAAGGAGTTGCGGTGGATGACAGGGCCCATGAAGGCCTCAAAGTCCTTGTCGGGGCTGCCGATGGTGATTTCCTTGACACCAGCCTTCAGGGCCGTCAAGAACTCCTCGGCACGGCTCTCAGGGAGGTAAACACGGGAAGTGGCCGAGCACTTCTGGCCTTGGTACTCGAACGCACCGCGGATGGTGTGGTTGACCGCGCTGGTGATGTCCGCGGTGTTGTGGATGAGGTGGAAGTTCTTGCCGCTGGTCTCGCCGACCACACGAGGGAACTCCCGGTAGGTCTTGTTCGCGATACCCTCGCCAATCTTGCCATAGATGCTACGGAAGACGTCGGACGAGCCGATGAAGTTCAAGCCCGCAAAGTCGCGGTGAGAGAGGGCCACGCTGGTGACCTCTTCAGCATCACCGGGCACAAACTGCACAACATCTGGAGGCAGACCAGCCTCGAGCAGAATCTTGTAAACCAAGGTGCTCGCGTAGATGCCGGATGGCGAGGGCTTCCACACGACCACATTACCCATCAAGGCCGGAGCCGAGACCAAGCTGCCACCCAATGCGGTGAAGTTGAAGGGCGAGACAGCGTATACGAATCCCTCAAGGGCTCGGTATTCCATGCGGCTACCCAAGTGAGTTAGCTAAAGATTCCTCTCCGTTACGACGGGCAGTCCATACCTCCACATGCCATCCGTGCCCCGGGTGGGTTGCTTCTCCATCAATTCCGCCGCCCAGTTGCAGTTCTGACGGAAGAAGTCGGCCAACTCGGCCGCGGCATCGATCTCACCCTGCCAGACATTCTTTCCTTGACCCAGCATGGTCGCAGCAATCAGCTCATAGCGGTATTTGCCCGTGGCCAACTCGGCCGCCTTCATGAAGATCGATGCACGATCAACGAAGGGAGTCTCCTCCCAGCTCTTCTTGGCCTTGAGAGCCGATTCGATGGAAGCAGCGACCTGCTCCTTGGAGGCAAGGGGGTAGTTGGTGAAGGTCGTGGCATGCTCCGAAGGCATCGGTTGATCCACCGACTGGGAGACCTTCTGTGCCACACCGTTATAGTAGACTTCACTCTTGACGGGGAGTTGGGACCGGAGCTCCTTCAAGGCTGCTTCCACCTTGGCGCGCTCCGGAGAGCCTCGTGTGTAGTGTGGCTATGATCAAACTGAATTAGTCGCGAACAATAGGAAAGAAAAAAATTGAACCGGTGTGATTTCTTTTGCACTCACGTTGGGTTCATTTCTGGCATCGGGGAGTCTGAAAGGCATCGTCGCCTTGGTGCGGATTTGCAAAGTCGCACTGGGGAAGGGTCGCAAACTGCGCGCCGAGGAGCGCGCAGTGTTGGACAGTCTCATGGAGAGCATCTTAGTAGAAGACATGATTAAATTGAGGTGATGAGGATGAGAGTGAAAGCCAGAACAGCAATTCGAAGCTGCGGGCAAGCTTCTTATGAATTGGAGATTTCGGAAAAGCATCCGACGCTAAGTCTGGGGTTTCCCCACGCCATCCATTGATAGCTATCATGCACCGTCGGGAGAGAAGCCGAATGTCTATCTGTCTGGATACGTGTGACCGATGATAGAGAAGACTATTACTCATGGAAGCAAGCGCAATCCAGTGCCCCTCCTCTCTCTCGGCCGGTTCGCCCTCTTTCTCGCTCGATCAAGGGTGCGCATCCGGCTGAGGAAAGGATACGATGACAACCACCAAGGGAACAACGATCCAGGAAAACAGAACAATGAGCTACACGGCATCACAGACCCTCCAAGGCGATTGGAGCAGCTCCGTCGCGGGGAGACTCGCCGGAGACTTGACGGCTGCAGCAGTTTCGGCCTCACTGATCGCGCCGACGGTGACTATCATTGATCGGTATGTTGGGATGGACAATGGTCGACTGGGGACCAGTCGCTGATCAAGAACCTCCAGAGCCCTGGTCGAACGCGCCTCGTCTGATAGACCTCTACTCCAAAGCCTTCGTACTCACACGATTGCTGCTCTGAAACGACCGGGCGCATTTGTTTTCTCCCGCCCATATGGTCTGATGTGGACTTTATATGGAGCTACTTATGCGGTCGCTAATGGAACAGAAACGATCACAAAAGAGATTTGCCCAGCCAGAGTTGACCCGATTACATTTGCAACGACGTTCATCGTCAATGTCCCTCTTGGTGTCTGGAAGGATATCCGATTTGCGTAGCTCTTCGGAACTCGTATCGAATCGAGCGCAAAGGATGCTCTGAAGGTGTCTAGCAAGATCGCCTCCAAGGCCGCTACGGCGACCTTCCTTCTCCGCGATGGAGTCACAATTTTTGGTTCCTTCACTCTGGCCTCGTGGTGCTCGTCAATGATCCCCGATAGTCTCGCCTCCCAGCCGAGTTCAAAGATGGTTATCACCCAGATCCTGGTGCCCGTCTTGTCGCAATTGGTGGCTACTCCGTTACATCTCCTCGGTCTCGATCTGTACAATCGCCAGTCGGGGGTCTTATGGGCGGATCGAGTCGCTACTATTCGGAAACATCTACCGTCTGCGACAGTCATTCGCTGTGTTCGGATTATACCAGCCTTTGGATTTGGTTGTCTAACCAATATTGGCTTACGAGAGTTCTTTCATGAACAGTGTGATTGATCTGACTGAGTAGTCATTGAAAACCGAGGACGGTAATACCCATAGAAACCGAGCAATCCATAGAACAAATAGCATGAGATATGAGGTGAAATGATAATCAAATTTTCATTACTTCTATAAATTCGCTACTCTCTAGTATCATTCAAATGACGGGTGCCGTCCATGAGGCGCGCAATGGTGACGGCTTCTCGTAAGGCTCTCCCGATGTGACCGCGCACGCCGGCCTCCTCCATAACCATCAAACCTCCAATGGTACACCCTTCAGGCGACGTACCCTGATCTCTCAGGACGGCCGGATGCATTCCACTTTGCATCAGGGCTGCGCTTCCAGTCATCGCCTGAACTATCATGGTCCGTGCCAGGTCCCTCGGCACGCCAACCGCCACGGAGGCATCAATCATCGCGTCGACAATCACGGCAAAGAATGCGGGAGTCGATCCGGCCACCGCCGTCGTTGCATCCATCAGAGTTGGGGGGATGTGGACTGTCTTTCCCAGGTTCTCAAAGACCGCATCCGTGATCTTCTGGTAGTGTTCGGGAACGGCTGGCTCTGAGATCTCAATGGCTGTGAGACCCTGCGAGACTGACGCAGCGATATTCGGCAACGTGCGCACCACCCACGCCCGACCTTCGGCATTGCTGCTTGTCGTCGGACTGCCATAGAGCGTGGTCTCAAGCCTCTGCCGGGTCCAGCCAGCAGCGACACTGATGAGGAGTTTGTTCGATAAGGCCTCGCTGAGGCCAGGAGTTGACAGCACTTTCTCCACGACAGCAGGGTCCACACCCAAAACTACCACATCCGCCTCTTGAACAGCCGTGATGTTGTCTCGGGCAATCGTCAAGCTTTGCGAATGGTGGGAGAATTGCGCACTCAATCGCTCCTCGGATTCTTGACTCCGAACACAGGCAATGAACCGGGTGAATGGCGCGCTCCCCTCTTTGTCTTTAGGACCATCGACCAAGCTCTTCAGAATAGCGCCGCCCAAGTTGCCTAGGGAATGTTTAGCACAAATTGCCATGGCCGCACCGAAGACATATTACCTACCGCAGCCCAGAATACAAAGCGTAGAATTCGCCATCTTGCTCAAGATCGAATGGTAGGGAATGATTTTTTCTATGCTGTTTGTTTGTTTGTCTTCAACAACAGAGGACTTTTCAATTTGAAGAGGGTAAGTAAGTATCCAGACAGTGGTGGGGTGGCAGCAGACGGAATGTTGATCTGGTGGAGCTCAAGTCGGACGGGCATCCGAACCGATAAGATAAACTGACGGCTTTACGCCCCGAACCACGGAATTCTTGGACGATTCGAATCCCCCTCAATTATGACCGTCTATCGGTGGTTTCTCTTATGCTTCCGATGAATCCATCCTGCAAGGGAGGGCGGAAGGAAGAAGGACAGAATCAATCTACGGTGATTTGTGGGCACGAGGGCAAGCTACGTGACAATACAGTCTTTGGCTACTGGCAGTGAAGTGAAAACAGATAATAAGTTTATTTGAAGTCATGATAATCGTAAAATATATTTCTTTCTAAAATATAGTATCGCCTACGTCGAGAACGTCACAAGGGATTTCAGTCTTCTTCCAACCTCCGACTTTAATGCCCGATATTCATCCTGCGTTCTTGACACAGCATCACGGTTCTCAATTGCGCGGCGGAGGAGATATGCCAGACACTCCCCCATTCCACCCCACGTGGAGCATTTGTAGACTTGGGGAGACCCATCAGGTCCCTTCAATTGTAGCAGACTAAAGCTGACATCGTCCGACATACCGTGCAGCTGGGCGAAGCCAACCGGCACAGTGGGCAACTTGGCGGCGAGGCGCTGCTGGTGTAGATGGTGAGCAGCCATGACGCTGTCCTTGTTGTGGCTGGCGAGGAAGAGGTTCACGGAGGGGAAAGGGCGGCCGTTGCTGGCGCCAAACTCGCCCAGCTCCTGTCGCAGTGCGCCCTGTGCAATAGAGTTGTATGCGTCATCGGTGTTTTGTTTCGTGTCGTGAATCAAAGATCGGTCGTCGGAAGCCATGTACGCGCCTCGGACCAGCTTGAGTCCAAGAGTGAATCCCTCCTCACTAGCAGCAGTGAGGTGAGTAGCCAGAGTAGTTGGGGTGCTCTTGAGATAAGCCTGGTAGGTATTATAGACGAGGGCGTATCCATCCCGGTTGTACTTGCGCTGGAGATCAATGGTCACACGGGCAATTCCCTTCTGGAAATGTTGGGATTCGGCATCAATGAGAATGCGAGCGCCTTTGGCTTTGCACTTTTCGGAGATTTCTTCCAAGGCTTTGATCATCTGTACAGGGGGCAGTTCGCCGGCAGCGAAAGCTTCCGTCACGGCGGGTCCGGCGCCAGTTAACCTGAAGAGTCAGCAATACGTTGGGCACGAGGTTGTACGGGAGCGCATACTTCATAGCCAAATAATCATCTTCACCGAGCAGGTCGACGGTCTTTACTGTGCCCTCGCGCCAAGCCTCGATATGCTCACAATATCCCGTGCCGTTCGCCTGGTCCGTGGTGACACCAAGGCCTAGTTGACTCTTGGTGGAATGATCGAAAACAGTTTCCTTTGCGTATGTGAGGAGCGTACCCCGAAAGCCCAGATCCTTGAACATCTGCACGGTGGCTTGGGTCTCCCGGCCATTTTCACCCGCGCAGAATTGCTTGTAAAACGTCCATTTGAGGATGGTGTGAAGAATGATATTGCGGTCTACGTTCAGCAAAAGGCCATTGCCTGACTTCGACAGGAGGGATAGAATCGAAAGAGACGGTTTGAGGAGGTATGGTTTGGAGGTGATAGCAGCCACCAGCAAGGATCGGAGTAACATGCTGGTGGGCAGGGCGGACAGAGGAGGAGGAAGGGTGGCATTGGGGGCACTCTTGGTTTCAGCCAACACTGAAGTCGACACGGAGCGCACTCTTAGTCGGCATTTGCCAACATTATTGAGCTGTGTGCCTACTCCACATCGTGATGTGAAGGTTCCTAGGGTTGCGAGTGGCGCGGCTTTGCCGGAATGTATAAGAACCATTGCTTGGTATGTTTCGTCGGATAGCTGGACCAAGCAATAGAGAGATTATCCAGCAAGATTCTATAGTGGTATTTCTCTGTCTCCTGATAGTCAAGTACATCTATATATACATATACGGCCTCCTTGCGTATCCACTAATTTGAAGAACCATGGTCTCATGATACTCTATCGGCTGGCCTCCCGGGGTAAGGGATCTGGACGAAAGCTGGTGACCCCGCGGGGTCATTGATAAAGAAGCCAGACCACGGTTCTGACCCACGGATACGTGCGACATGACTGGGGCAATTCCCTGGTACCGAAGGGAAGCTCTCCCGTAGATGCGTCTCTCATATCGGTCTCCCACGCCGAGCTCGCTAGTAGTAGCTGGACTCTGTATCTTTCGTCGGATTACACTTGATAGAACCAATTGAACACGAGAAACGCAGCCCTCAAACCTGTCAGGTGACCATTCTCTTGGTTATCTCCTTCTCTGTCTTACTCTACGGAGAAGACATGCGATAGAAGACGGAACTACAACCGGGAAACCTCATCGGGATGTTGTTACAATGATGCCGATCGATGTAACATGCTGGATGGCATCTTTCAAGTCACTTAGTCATCGCAGGGGCATTTAACTATTATACAACCTACATGTATGATACAGGCCCTCGACGTAGTTATACCCTCAAATATCATGAGATCACGAGTGATTGCAAACCCGAATATGATTTGGTTTACAGGTTCGGTTTTCCCATGAGGAATGGTTCTTCTTCTTCCAGTCACGCCTATGGACCTTGAGGCAGTCGCTTTCGAGCCCGTTGACCATTGCGTCGACGATAGGGTTCCACCACCCTTTCTCTGGATGGTATCCACAAGCATCATCCCCTGATAAACACCTTTTTTTTGGGTGGGCCGCGATAAGCACGGGTTTTACTGCCATATTGGGATACCGCAGTAATGAGTTCTAATGAATTCTTATCATCTGGAGTTCTTCCGATCTCGTGCAGCTGACACCGGTATGGCTTTCCGTTGTGTGTGGACATATAATCGCTGTATTTCGACGATAACATCAACTCGAATTTCTTCTAACTATGACCAATAGTAACGCTATCTCGAGGTGTAAGTGTCGAGCATTTTTTGCACCGATTGGTAAAAGAAAAGTTCTGTGGTTTCTTGGCCACCATCATTTTCCTACCGCGTCTGGTAAAGAAATCCGGACCGTCCGCTACTGGGCCTACGGACGTCTATCCGGCTGAGGTTGAAACAAGCGCCAATGCTGGTTGCAACCCAAAGAGCTTAATGGCCACGCTAGTTCCTATTGCTAACTAACTCCATGGATATATGAGGATCACCACGGTACCACGCAATTGCTCCCAAAATACCCAACGGGGTGTAGGTCAAAAGAACGGAATCTTCGGATGCGAGATATTCAGCGTTCAGAAACATCATTTGAGGTCTTGCTCTTCCTAGAGATAACGGGCTCCACCACTGTGACGTCTCCCCCGCAAGTCCTTTGGCGATGACCACGAGAAGGTGGACCACGGATGCCTTCCCGGTGCCCAGTCAACCGCCGAATTATCTGCGACCTTGATTATCGGCTGCGTACCCGATAGTCGATCTTACCCACGAAGTGGGTATGGGGTTTGCGGGGAAATCTCGATATGACGATAAAGGATTCTGTTATGTATGCTATTCAAAGCATTGAGACTTCATATTCTATCAGTGGCTGTGTCATGTCAGCCCAGCCCGACGCTATCAGACACCGGCCCGCTCTGCTTGCGCAAAGGAAGCGATGATAACGACGGACTCCTGCGCTAAGCCAGACTAACGGGGATGAAACACAGGTTTAAAAAGGCACCAGCGTCCCACTTCTACGTTGGGACTCTGAACTCCAGTTAGCGCTGGTTCGCACATATTCCCCACGATGTTGAAAACCAAAGAAGACCCTAACGAGCTGGCTCCAGTTCCTTCCCAAGCCGGGGAAGTCCGGGATGTGTCCACCTATGTTACCGATGATGTGTTTGGCGAAGTCACCGAGAATGGTCCCAACTATCGTAATGTACGCACCTTGCTACAGGCGCCATCTCGTACACAGACTAACTCTCTGATAGGTAGGATGGATCGGAACCGTTGCGCTCATGATGAAGACTCAGATTGGCCTGGGGGTCCTTTCCATTCCAACCGCCTTTGACACTCTAGGACTTGTCCCCGGTATCATTTGCTTATGTGCTATTGCAGTGATCACGACCTGGTCGAATTACATGATCGGTGCTTTCAAACTCAATCATCGTTCGGTCTTTAGCATCGACGACGTTGGTGCGATCATTTTTGGCCGTTTTGGCCGTGAGTTTCTGGGGGCTGTCTTTTGCCTTTGTATAAAACTAGCCTACCCACATATCATGGAAGTCACTTGCTGATCGTGCATTAGATTGGATTTTTGTGTCTGGCTCCGGCATGCTCAGTCTCTCAATCGGTTTGAACGCTGTCTCCACGCATGGGGTATGTACTGCGGTGTTTGTGGCCGTGGCTGCTATCCTCGGATTCATGTTCTCCAGCATTCGGACCCTCGGCCATATCACTTGGCTGGCGTGGATTGGGCTTGTGTGCATTCTGACCGCGAGTAAGCCTTTCTCTTTCCCTTCGAATCCCGTGGCTCTTCTCTGACAACCTGGCCAGTCCTCATGGTGACTATCGCTGTTGGGGTTGAAGATCGGCCCGCGTCTGCACCGAAAGATGGCGTTTGGGTGTCCGACTTCAAAATTGTCAATAACCCGGGATTCAGCGAGGGTATCACGGCGGTGTCCTCGCTAGTTTTTGCATACTCGGGCACGCCCGGGTTCTTCAATATCGTATCGGAGATGCGTGATCCTCGTCATTATACTCGCTCGCTGATCATTTGTCAGGCGGGAGTGACCGCTATTTACATTACGATCGGCTGTGTAGTCTACTATTACTGCGGGTCATACGTGGCTTCCCCAGCCCTTGGTTCCGCCGGACCGACTATGAAAAAGATATCTTACGGCTTTGCCTTGCCGGGGTTGCTAGTCACGACCACCCTGGTCACCCACGTAATGCCCTTTGCAGATAGATCCCTGTACGCTGCATGCACTAACGGCTCCGTAGATCCCGGCAAAATACATCTTCATCCGCATCCTCCGAGGTTCCCGACATCTGACAGCTAACTCGCTGATCCACTGGGGAACATGGCTCGGCTGTACCTTTGGAATCACCCTAATTGCCTATGTGATAGCGAGCGCGATCCCCGTCTTCAATAGCCTCGTCTCGCTTATCGGTGCCTTACTAGGAACCCTCATGTCGTTTCAGCCCATGGGCTGCATGTGGCTGTATGACAATTGGAGTAAAGGCAAACAAGAAAGGTCCCTCCGGTGGATGTTCATGGTCTGCTGGAGTGTCTTTGTGGTCGTGATTGGCACGTTCCTTATGGTTGCTGGTACGTATGGATGCATTGTGAGTGTCATTGATACCTACAATGCATCTGGTGGGTCAGCCGCTTGGTCGTGCGCTGACAACTCGAACTCAACATGATTTCTCTGACGGAGATAGCGGCTGTCTGTTTGGGGCATCCTTTTACGAGTTCAAGATATAGATATAGATGCTTCGATGTGTCAACAATTTGGTGTAATCTAGAGCGTAGGTTCACACCTCTAACGTGTAAAGGTGGATACCTCTGGCTTTTTGCATAAAAGGCGCAATACTAGAACTAGAAAAGCATAGTGTTAAAATAGAAGAAAAAAAGGAAAAAGGAAAGAGAAAAAAAAAAGGGGAAAAAGGAAAAAACCAAAAAAAAAAGGAAAGAAAAAGAAAAGAATGTTCAAAATATGTCTGATTAGGTCATCAGATCACAAAGTACCCACTGGTCAAGCCTGATATACTATACTTCGTAGTAATAGTGCGTACAACCGGATAAGTGTCCTCCACACTGATACTCCGTAACCAACACTCCAAGTGTATCTCACTTGCTCTAGACAGAGTACGTAAATACTAAATTCTTGCCCCATACACATTATCACATGCTCTCCATTCAGGTGGAAGCATGTCAGAATTTGATGGTGGAGGGCATGGAATCCATGTCACCATCTACGCGTCTTCGATTGTCTCTCGAACCCTAACGCCAAGGTCTACTATACCATGTAAACTAACAATAGCCCCGGAAGAACAATCTCCTGTGTCGTTATCCATACACTAATTGATCCAAACTAATACGTGACCAATGCTAACTATTTGAAATTGTCTATTGTCGTCCCTGTTCAGTTGTAGCAACCTGAGCTAGGAGTACCTCGGTCTTTTAGTAGTCGGCAGAAAGCTACAGTCTTCTTCATGCTCTGTAGTGTGAGAATTTAAGTCTGCGTCAAGGTGCCAACCGGATCCAGAATCATTAATGGCCGTAACTTATCTACAAAAGCACGTATGAAGTTCGATATATCGAATTCAACCCGAGATCAATATGAAACTCAACTGGCCACCAGCCCAGAACAATGAGAAGCTCAAACATAAATCGCCATCTTAACAAGATATATATCCCCTAACTACCGTGAAGCTTCTCTCAGGCTTCCCAAATACCAGGATTTGGCACTCTGATGGTATTGTCATCGGCACGTCGTTACGTGGACCAGGGATCTAGACCCAACAGGCACCACCAGGTTTCGCTCTGGGAATGATAAATTAGCCCCAACCGTCTCTTGCGCTAGTGGTAAAACTCACTGTGGTGCCCAGCCATCATTAGTGCGGTCAGAACCACCCGCAGGACAACTATCGACGATCTTCTTAAGCAACTTCTTGCACTGGTCGATGGAGAGGACCTTATCACCCGAGTTGTCGTTTTTCATCCACAGATTAACGTTCTTCGGATCATAATCGACCTCAAGGCACTGTTTCACCTCTTGTCCGCCTTTAAACGTGGAAGGGGCAATGTTATTGCACCATTTGTCGATTCCATGCGCGGCTGCACTTCTTGCCTCTTCGTGACTCCAGTGCCAATAGCCACCTTGAGGGCAATCTGGTTCACCCAAGATAAGGGTAGGGAATGCAAGCACGGCAGCGAGAACGGGGAGAGCTTGAAAGCGCATATTGGTAGACACAACGGAAGAATTGTTTCAAGGGAAAGAAGCAAGAGAGGATCTTGATTGTTTTGAGGGAAAACAAAGATGAGTATAAATTGAGAAGGAAGAACTGTTGAGAGACTTTTATATCCTTTCCTCGAGAACGCCAAGCAATATTTCTCAGGCCATGGCCTCGCAGTTGATTCTATGAGCCGTGTCTCGCTGTCCATACCATGTTAGACCAAAAACCAACATCAGTTCCGAATATCCTCGAAATGCAACCCATATAGGATGATAGTCCTCAGGCCTTGACACAGCCCGCCCTTGCGCAGAGGGTGCCATTCCTGTCAAGCTATAAGTTACAGTATTCTATACATATGTTACATATATTCCCATAGTCATATCTACATCTGACAGTAATAATACGTAGAATAGGGTTCTGGCACGCTGCTCTCAAGATCTACACGGAGCCAAGTTGGGGGGCCTTGACCCAGGGAGGCATAACACGAACATTCAACCATTAATAGGCCCAGCATGGTCTATGGAATGTCTTACGTCGCTATTAAGCGGGAACGAACCGCGTGTGCCAACCCAACAGATACTAGATCTGCATTGAAATAACACTTTGAAGTATAGTTAATGCTGGGGGCCTTACATTAGGTTATTTAGGTGCTTAACCGATCAGGCGCCCCAACTGAACGGCAACCCTGGAATTAATTAGTTTGCGGGGAACCTGCCGCTGAAGATCTCACGGCCGGAATCCTATGCAAGAATCCAGTCTAAGTGAAGCAATCATATTTGTTATCTTTCCAGAGTTAGAAGAGAATATAAGGGCTTTATCTTTAAACGCCCGAAATCCGACAAACAGACTCTGTCGTTTCTCCGTATACACGCTGGACAAGTTATATATTTCTCTACTTTATTTGGTCTGTACTTGATACCAAAGATATAATGGATCACGATTCAATACGCTTATAGCTCGGGTAATATGCACCAGTAGTAGACTTGGAGCAAAGACGCTAAGGAAGGGCTGTGCTTGCACTCCGCCATCTACCCACAGTCCCTTTCCGTCTATCATGCTCGAAAATAGGTCTAGCTCTGCAGGGCTGATGGTGGCCACATGCCATCGCGCTGCTTCCGTTACCGAATTAGGAGGAGAACAGAGTCTACGACGATCTACTAAGATGTATCCACTGCCACGTCCACATCAACAACAAACGCTATGGTGAAAGACGCGGAAGAGGATAGGGTGTTGACTCCAAGTGCCTAGCACCAGTTATTCCTAGAAAAAAGCTACAGATTATCCTTTGATGGAAATAGTAAGAGTACCGCGGGGAAACGAGCTCTCCCCTCCCTAGGGCATACCAGCACCATGAATGAACTTAACAGCTTTCAAAAGACGCGTAGATATCCGAAGTATAGTTTCCTATTCGGGCAGGGCAACTAGGGAATAATGAGGACAACAAAGGGGCTGCATTCATTCTCGGTAACTGAAGTCCGGAGAGCGAGTGAGTGCTCTATTTGCAAAGTGCCCAAGGTAAAAGGCAGTCATTAACAAGCTGGGAATTATATCTCTTAAGAGATGAGCTTCAGAGTCGATTATTCGCTCCTACTATCACTTTGCCTAAGCAGGCGGGGCTACTCAATAAGGTGGTGGTATAATAACGGTAGTATGAGGTCTGGAAAGGACGAAGCAGTCCACTATAATTACCGTTATGTTCAGACCCCTTTAGTCCCCAATATACATATGCATATGCATATCTATGATGCAAATGTCGATGAGAGCTGCTTCGTATACTGAACGGCCGTTGATGACCCGAGAAGAGACCTAAAATAGGGGCTGGATTCGGGTATAATGCAACTACGCTACTACTGTATATTGAGGCAAGGTGTTCTATGCCGCGGGATAAAGAAGGAAAATACTATATATGTATATATATATTTTAAGAACAAGAACAAAAAAAAAAGACTTTAAAATTCGGCTGTGAAGGGGAAGCATTTTTGGCGTTGTTTTGGTTGCCCAAACTTGCCAGTAGAAATGGAGGGAATAATCATTAAAATTAAGATCCAGTAACTACTAAGACCAGAGGATCACTACATAACAGTTCTAGTACACATAGAATAATGGCAAGCCGCCGTTTCTGGCCTCGAAACTTCAAAGTGGTCCAGTTCCGGCCATCAAATTGTCACCGGTCCTCAGATTCCCATGTGAAAAAAATGCTTTGGGAACGCCAAAGAAGCCACACGGGGCGCCTGCTCTTCGGTAAAAAGCGGTACCCACTTGCAGTCTCGTCCCTATTGGAATGGTTGGAATGGTTGGAAGGTTGCCAAGCCAGCTAAAACCCGCTGGGAACGCCCCAATGCCGAACCAATTCTGGTGGTGATGACTGAGGGCCTTGGCAGGCACGGATGCGTCGGATTTCTTCTTTCCTTGGAATGTGAGAATCCAACGGTGAAGAAAATCAAGATCACCCCCAGGGGTAGCAGGGAATCTCGATTCTCCAGGGGGAGAACAGCGGTTACTCAGGAGCTTGGCCGCTGATCGTTATACAGAGTATGTACGCGCATACCCTACGCAACAGGACGCCATGAGGCCAGTTATCAGCCCTACGCCACGGAAAGCTCTGACTGGTTATTGGACGCCACTACTATTTCTGGCTCCTAGCTTTTCGGAGGTTTTTGGGATCATGAAAGTTGGGCTTCAGGCTCGGGGGTAACATCTTGGTTATTGGTTGCGCTCGGCGTTTCGATTGTTAGGGCATGACGACGCTTGGGCTCCACTTTGGCCGGAACGGCAGATATTGACTGGGGAACCCGACGAATATCGTTGCCTATACTGGTGCAAGATTCCCTCTTAGGCCTTCAGTATCCTTGGCTCGTTATGAGTTTTGCCGAGAAGGGAAGGGGATAAAGAGAAAATCCAACGTTATCAACGACAGGCCAGGTTTTCGGACCACAGTCACTCACTGAGGCTATATTCGGAAATAGGAACAGAGGAAAAAAAAAAAAAAAAAAAAAAAAAAAAAAAAGGGGAAAAAAAAAAAAAAAAAAAAAAAAAAAAAAAGAGGAAGTCCCAAGAAAAAGAAAAATATTGGCATTATTATGTGGCTGAAATTGTGCCACTAATGATCCACTTGCCAAACAATATCGGGGATTGGTCACACTATTGGTCACTAACCATTGTAGAGGGATCAGATACCCCCATGGTCGCGTGCATATGGAGATCATAATTTCATAGGCAGAGAGCATATCTTACTCATCGGAATTCAACAATGCATCCGTACTCGTTTCCATTTCTTGGCTTTCTATGGGGAACGGTCCATATTTATTGACTGCCACCCCCCCCTTTCCCCCCAGGCCCTGCCGGGCCCCTTCGTAGGGGAAATTATGAACCACTCAGACCATGGTGAGTAACATCTTCACTTGGTTCCTGTATGTCGTCAACCAGGTGTCCGACCTGTCCCTGCGGCCGATTCAACCTCAGGCGAGGTTGAGGCCGGGGAATCAACAGGTCGTGGCTCCTCCACCCAGCACGACTCAGGCGTTTGATGCTGGTCCGTCTATCATCCAAACCCCAACAACTCAACCCAGTATCACCCCGTCCCCCACGAGTCCACCCCCAGCGGAGGCGACCGATGAATACTGGGACGACATCATTACCGGCGTGTATGGAATCCCACCGCTGCTCAAGGTCCACGATCGAACCGGGAGAATAAAATGGAGTTGGGGGCGGGACGACGTGACCCAAGAGCTCCCTCCCTATATCAGGTACTGCTTGTATAGCGACGCGAACGATGCCACCGAAGTCAAGTGGATTAAAAACGGAACCGCCATCGCTGCGATCTACAGCGATCTGGTGCTAATAATCAACCATACCCCTGACAACCCGGAGACCGACAAATTGATCACATTTGCTGTCTGCCGGCAGAATGAATTTCTCTGGAATGCTCATACCCTGGAGCCATTGCCCGGGGATCGAGTAGCGGTCGGTACGACGGGTTCCAACGCATGGGACGGCATCCTCGTCTATAACTCCAGTGTCGATAACCCCCTGGTGGACGAGCCGCTGATCCTGCAGAATATCACAGGCCTGCGCGCCATACACGGAATGATTTGGGACGAGCAAGAGCAGATGCTGTGGGCCGCTGGTACGGACGCGGCAGCCGATGGGTCAGACCCTATACCAGCGTACGGAACTATCCAGGGCTATCCCTACAATGCAACGACCGGCGAGCTGGAAGACACCAACGAATTTATGTACCGGCTCCCAGAGGCATGGGATCAGGAGACGGAATGGGGCCCAGGATATCCATGGTGGTGTGGGCCTCACGATCTCGTGCCCATTCCCAATGATCGAAAATTCCTGATGTCGCAAGATCGAGGCTTACACGCCTTTGACCTGAACACCCGTGAATTCTACCTCGATAGCAAAGGCGTGATTGATACGTATATGAGAGGGTTCGAAGTGACCACCAACGATCGAAAAGGTTTTAACCGGGCAGGAGAGTACCTGGAGCTCCCCGAATCAGACCTGAAGGGTTTCAGCATGGCGCCGGATGGAAGCTTCGTCTATGTACAGTCTCTATGGCGTTTGCTACGGGGCAACCACACGAACATCGTCGTCGATGGTGTCCGACAACAGATCAACCTGGGGGATGAGATTTACCGATCCCGTTGGTTTGCAGATATTCCCGGTTGGCCGAAGCCAGCTGCATAAGAAACCCGACGAGACTACAATTCAACATTTCTTTTCTGGGCAACCCGCATGCTATGACTCTCCCAGTGGGAACAGACATGGCGCCGCTCTATGGAGTTGGCTGCGACAGTGGTCATTAATATCGACGACACGTTTGCGCCACTTCCACCACCTCCGGAGTGAAACTGCTGAACCATGCCATGCTATCATGCCGGTCATGATGTACGAGCATAGTTTCGCATATAGCTTAATCGAAATATACTCCAAAGAGCAAGGGGAGCCACAACTAGACGACGACCCACGACCACCACATCATACCTGTTTTGGGAAACAGATAATATCGTCAGCTCAACGCCGCTGCGTGGTCGCATTCCCTCGTCTCTCGCTTCGGATCATATGATCATATATCGCCATGTATTCATAAGGGGGAAAGACGACATAGAGGGAGATCAAGTTGATCTCCAGGACTGGATATACCATCCACGCTGATCGCGTGAAGTACATAATATTATTCTGCATATGAACACAATAAATACCGGCATAATTGGATACATCCAATTGCACTCCTGCTCAATCCTCTTTTAGTAGTTCCCCTGTAATGTACTTTAGCTAGTTGACACTCCCCCTCTCTAGTGCAGTGACCATGCTACCTACCTGGTCACTTTACCACAATGATTGCCACATAGTCTAGTGTCTGGCTTGTACCTGTGCACTCTAACCCCTCCAATGCCCAGACATAATGTGGTCTTTCGCAGCTGTCGCTTGCATATCGAAGGGGCTTTGACAGACTACACGCTGTCGCAGCCAGCCCATGTCGTTCACATGCCGAGCACTGGCTGTCTACGGGTTACGGATATGAGATCGTCCAGCGCCAATCTCACATCGCGTCCTGTGTCGCACTAACCCAGGACATATTGATTCAGTTGGCCATTGTCTGCCCCCGTGAAGGTTAGAGCAACATGTCTACTATTTGCCATTCCGAATTGACGGTAATACACAGTAAAACTAAAGCCCCTCATGCTTTAAGCAACATGATGAAAGTTGATATGTAACAGTCAATAAGATTCAAGACTTGGTCCGGTAGATATACTGTTTGCCAACCAATTCCTTTATTGAAAGCATTCATGATAGACAAATATACGATGACCACATCGGTTGACTGGCTCCCATAAAGCGGAAAAGGACATCTCGAATTCAATGAACAAAAGCAATGGAAGAATGAAAGCATCCGACATGAGGCGGAAGACGGGATGAGTGCCAACATTATTATCCCAGCTGGGATAGGAGGAAATCACTGGCATCGCCAGTATCAGAAAGATATGAGAAATGCGGCGGTGCCACAATCAGTGTCCCAAGGCAGACCAGGTCTCCCACAGCGCAATAGACCTTCACTTTCTCTTTGGGGAAGTTTGCAATCTGGCCCCTCTCTTGGGCGTTGCGTGTGTATCCGAACAGGACAACACCTTTGATCTTGTCCTGCACATCTGCGGAAAGGCGCTTAATGGCCCCATTCATGACCGCTGTTCCTTGGCTGGAGATAACGTCAGCATGACTGGAACATGTATCAAACAGTCCAGACGCACCTGTAACCACCGGCAACAATCTGAGTGTCGGGGCACTTGGAAACGGCTTGCTCAAAGAGTCCTTGTGCCTCCGCGATTGCGGCTTGGGATGTTCCCTCAGGAAGAGCATTTGATGGGAGATCCGCTGTATATCTGGGTCCCACGCCCTGGCAAGCGACATCGCCCGATCTGGCTGACTTCAACAGATTGCAGACCGCAGGACCCGTTGAAATGCCCTACATGTGTGAGTATCTTCACGTAAAACGGAGGGCACTCAAACTCACCAGGAGGCCTGGCTCCGTGGAAGCCCTGGCAAAGATAAAGGTAATGGGCTTGCAAGGGCCATCCCGCAGCTCATTCCCACCAGTCACTGATCAGGATAGTCAGCATGCGTGCCGCAGAGGGGGTTTATTCTCTAACATACGCTGGCGTTCCTGGAGGTCCACTGGGCTTGCCACTGCAGTCGCAGCCAGTGCAATCACTATGTTGCGGAGATGCATAATGAGGAAACGGTTTTAGAAAGCAGGCTGTGTCTGTGAAGTTCGAGTGCGATGCAGTTTGTATCGACGTTCTTCTTGGGATAAAGCAGCCATCTTTATAGTGATTGCATTGTTCACAGCATCCAGCATTTATGCCTCGGTATATTTCCCAGTCTGATATTCATATAGTGCCTAGCCTTTGTTGGCAGACACCGTGCGCAAACATCTGTGAACGGGATAGGTCAACTGCAGTCGCAAGCTGGGATCCCAGTGAGACAGATGATTTTCTCCCAGCTGCCGAGAATTGTACGTTCGTCTTTTGGCCTATAAGATCCATTATCAGAAACAAAGTACCGAGGAAGACGCGTTAAAGTTTCTTGGATTGGGTCTCTTAATTAGCCTGATCAGCATCTATAGGCGGAGATCTGGGGTCCCCGGTGGATCTCTCAATTTAAATTAATCTAGTTTTCCATGAAGAACTATCACACACTACACGCAGAGCACCCTTGTCCTGACTTCCATATCGGATGGTGGTCCGTACCTCAATGAGGATAGTGAGTGCCTAGGGTGTTTCTGATATTGTCAGAAGCGGGGTCTCATATTGTGATCTGGTAAGCATCGTCATGCATCCTTGGGGAACAGGGTCTCTGCCAGGCCAGATGGCATATTCGGTCTTCAGATGAGGGTAAACAGTTGTGTTTTGGGAATGCGTCACTGGTTGTTGAAAGGTTGCAAATTCCACGTTCATATTACAATCTCCTCTAACCTTCAGAGCCAGTGGTATAAGTCTTCATAGTAGTTGGTACGGTGGTTGCTTTTTCGTGGCTTCTGCACTCCGCAATGCCCGACTTGAGGATATAGCGGGGTAGCAGCCCAGGAAGGACATGCAGAAGACTAGCGCTTATTAGATCCTGTGGTCTATTTTACCGTGTGGATTACAGGGCAGTAGTAGTAGAGAGTCTAAGTCTCGTGACTTCTTTATATTCTAGGGTCTGGAAAGGAAGATATTACCAACCGCATTAGAACCACAGTGGGAAGTTGAACAACAGAAGACTGGGGTAGATAAATATATGTCGATACCAGTAGTACTCTCAACACGTCGCATGTTAAAAACTCTCGAGTAGTACCCAAGAGGCCTTTTCCGTCAGTAGAATTCCACCTAATCATGTAGCAAAAGTTTCTAGCGTCTTATCATTGTCTTGTTGTTGAGACTTTGTTCCTATTGCCAGCTCTGTTTGGTTAGGAGGATGGTACAACCTCAGGCTGCAAGGCAGCAATCGCCACCTTAGGCTTCCAACCACGGATCATCTTTGTTCCGGGTCCATTTCAGTTCTTCAAGGATTGTGGTCTGTTTTTGTTTATGGACCCTGTGCTATAACGGCCTCACAGCATTGTATTCGGCTCCCTGGCTCTTTTGACTGTATGCAGCGAACAATCTGCAAATATCAAAGCAATCCGTTTTCACTTGATCGCGCTGTTGTCGCTCTGCCCTTCTCCTTCAAAACATGGCATAAATAGATAACCTGCCACTGCGGAAGACTTAACATGATAGGATCCTCACCGTTCTGCAACTCTGCAGAAATGTCTCGGCTCACACATTCCATCAAACAAACGTAGATGCCTCATAGCTCGAGTCAAGTTGAAGATACCCCCTAGTCGTATCTTGGAGTTTCACGGGTTGGCACAGCTGAGGGGTGCGTGCGCTACAAAAGAAGATCTGTCATTGGCGGTTGAATTAAGAAAAGATACTGTTGAAAAGCTACAAGTATTTGACCCACGTGGTAGTACTTCGTAGGCGGGATAGTACCGATATAGCTTATGATCTATTTCTGGGAGACGAGTCTATATGGTACTACGTGACTACAATGACGTGGTAGGAGTACTAATGACACAAGATCCAGATAGAAACAAAGCTCACCTCATATAGGGCCCGTGCAACTGTGTATCTGAAAGTAGAGGAACCGACAAGCCAGAGCAGTGAATTGATAATGATTCTACGCCCGCACATGATTCAGGCTCTGGAGGCATGTATCATGAGGAAGATTGACATATTCGAAGTTCAACACGGCATGCAGTTTTTATATTACCTATGATGGATCTTGGCTAAAGTGAGGCGATACAAAAACAATCGAACCATATATGCACGTGGTTTTCTCAGCGTTGGTCTATCCCGTTAACCTGCCCTTCCCATCATAACCAGCCCTAATATCGAACAATTCTTGACAAGCGCGAGATCGAACCGGGAATCAGAGGCAGTGAAGAAGGCGAGCCGGGCATAAAACAGGTGCACGGTAGCACATTGAGAGTCGTTCCTTAGTGCTATAGAAATGCATTAGCCTGACTCTCATGAAAGCATCAAAGTTCACAGGACATGGTTACTTACGCTGCAGGAAGAGCAGGAGCAGCTAGAGCAGTTACCGCTGCAGCAGTTGCAAGAGCAGGGAGACATTTTGATGAATTGGAAAGTTTTGAGAGGTTTCTCGAAGTGATTTTGTAACTTGAATTGAAGGCTTTGATGTTTGTGTGCGATGATTGAATGCGATGATGGAAGAAACTGGACTCTCGACGGCAGAAATGTCCTATTTATACCTTTGAAGGTCTTGCTTCCGAGGCCTGTGCAGAGTGAGATAAAATGAGCTTTACCCGCCAGAACCGCCGAAATGGCATTGGGGCATCGGGATAGCGCATCAGCCGACGGAAGCACTAGGCTTTCATGGCGGCGTGGGGGGAAGAGGCGACTCTCCAAGCCTCATGGTCAGTGTTTTCATCATACAGTGGCATGTTGTGGAGTTGGATCAGGTAGACTGTGACAGGGATGGTATAGCCTGACATTTCCAGCCGACGTAGGTAAGTTTCAAGGCACCATGGTTAGCCCCACTCCGTGTAGGTAGTATACGTGAGTAGTGCGCTTTCCAGTGTCGACGAGTGTAGGCCGACATCGCTTATACTGGGATCCCAACGTGCATCCTAGACTGCTCAAAGCAGATACAAAAGCCAAAACCAAAAGAAAGAATCCAAGAGAGCTGATCAAGTCCTTGAGATGACACTCTTATACGCAAATACAGATGAGGACCTTGGGAATTTGAGCACCTTGGGAGCACTCGCGTGGGTCGTAAGAACCCCCTATTTCCTATTTTTCACTATCCTGAGTGTGTCCTCTAATGCAATCTTTTACTTTCCTACCAGGTGGCCTAGCACTTACAGAGAAACGCACTAAAGGGGGCAAACTAAAAAAAATTTCTGTTCCCGTCGGATTATAGGCATTGCCCAGATTCGGAGAGATTCGCAGCACCCACAGGAGAATACTTATCACCCACGCGGGCAGCTGCTAAAATCGCGCATCTCACGATTCAGCTAGTAAGGGGATTAAGGCCCAATGGGATAGGTCGTCGTCGTCGTTTATCTGCCCCCACCAGTAGGTCAAAGCAACACAACCTCAAAAATCCTCCACTCAACAGGGAAAGAGTCGGAGCTGCTTACGCGCTTGCCTGATCAGTACAGGTGCTGTTGATAGAAATGACAAATGTATATCTGGTGTGATGCCCCCGTGGTGAGATCCTGATCATTCTTTGATCCACCAGAAGATTGGTATTGGCCCAAGCCAGGCATGACTTACTGCGGCAGCGTCGGTAATCTTCCCTAAGAAGGCACCCGGTTCGCTACGAGCCGATTAGTTTCATGTAGCCAAGCGTAAGAGATGGTCTAGTCAGCGTTATTAGACACAGTCTGTTCCTAGGTTTCCTGCGGACAAAGACTTCCCGTCACCTGTGAAAGCAAGTGTGCGACTAATTCCAGCGGGGTCCCACTTCAAAACGTAAGTCTAGACAGGACATTGAGTATGGCTGCCTGTAGCTCGTATGAAGTGCCGAATTTTCACGCGTAGTGGTATCTAGGGAAACCCGGCGTATGCATATGCACAAGCCTCTGCGCCAACTATATGAAGCTACGGCATCTCCGAACAAGCAAAGAGTGATTGGCAGCGTTCTTCGCAGCCCCCACGCTCCTAGAAATAAGGATATGCAAGGCTATTACATATTTCCAACATAGAGAAGGCGATTCCGGTCAGCTGTAACAATGAGCATGGCATTTGACGCATATCTGCCTCGTGGTAGCCCACGCATATGAACTGGTAAAGGAGTACCTCCACAGTGTAGCCTTCCCTCGTGCCCTTTACAACACTGCTGGGTCGCGAACCTTATGTACTCTGTCAGGTGTGACAATAATAGACTTATGCCTTTGGATGCCTGCATGGATTAGCTTGTCCATACCTTCCTTGAGGGAGCTTTAGTAAACTCTTGGCATTTATTTGATTTGCTTATCTGTTTTCTGTTTTCTGTTTTCTTGGCTGATCACTGCCTACTGGACTTCCTGTTAAATAGAGGTTAACTACTCTAAGGCTTTCTCTACACTGCGTAATATGGGATTGCCCCTTGCTTCATCCGCTTCGTTTTCTTCCACAACTCCGAGTTTCTTGCGTCAATGATTCCCGGAATTAAGATGTAAATGGTGAAAGAAGCTGGCCCTAATTCTAATATGTATGCTACAAAATCTTACACATTATGTAGTTTGACAGATGATATATAATGGTTGTGTTCATGTAGCTGTACATAGAATTCCTTCCCATAGCCTAGGCGCAGCGTTAGCCACCACGCCAAGGCAAGGGCAGGCAAAATAAGAGTATTAAATCAGACACTTGAGATTCTAAAACACGATAACCTGATGGAAAATGCAGAGTAACTGCACAGCCACAGAAGGAAGACCTCGAGACTGGGCATCTGGACAATGCAGAACCGATTTCCTGCGCCACAATGCGATACATTTTCTAGGCCCACTTGCCAAGGAGTGCCATCAAACCCACTCCCCAAAGCATTGAAATCACCATGAACGCCAGTCGCTTGTTGTCCTGAGTACGATGGGGATCGAAGAGAAAATCGCGAGCCAGCAATTCGACCAACCCCGTGTAGATAAGGATACCAGCAGAGATGGCGTCCAGAACCCCCGAGACCACATTGGCGGTAAAGGAGCCTGCGTTGTAGGTGGTTCTGACTCCGAGTCCGATTGCGATGGAAATTGGTGTTGTCAAACCATAAAGCGTGCACAGAATCCAGGGCAACCAGCTGCCTTTGCGGAAGGGAATCGCTGACATGCGGGCACCAATACCTAATCCCTCAAAAGACTGGTGGAAGACTAGGACTGGGTACAGAGTGGAAAATTCTTCACCGGTAACACCGAGATTCAAGCCGATAATGACCGAGTGGAAGATGACACCGAACTCAAGGATTAGGAAAGCAGCAATCTGCTGCTTGAATGATCTCTCCGTCAGCGAGTCATTGACAGATTGCGATTCAAGCTGTGCTTCCTTCTCCACAGGGGCTTGGTTAGCCACAGCGGCAGTACGCGAGGTGTTGTCCGTTATGCTGGTCATGATAGGCTCCGGGTCCTCACGACAGATTCCGTACTTGACCTCCACATATCGCTCCGCCCCAAAGTCGAGAAGGAAGATTGCGATGAGAGAGGCAAGGACGATGGCTGGGCACCAAGAATAGTCCCCCCAGTGGCCGGTCATGCCGACGCAAGATGCCGGTCCTATTTCATCATACGCGGGATCCAAGAGATGGATAAAGGCCGTCGCCACAATGACACCTGCACCGAAGTACCGTGCGAAGAGGTAGACGTATAGAGGGATGTGAAGGCGAGGAACTCGTTTGGCCAGCACCGGGAAGAATGTAACAGCGCTTGAGATGATCAGAATCACAAAGATTGCCGATACACGAGCGCCTAAGCGCCCATCGTAGTCGTTTTCTGAGGCATTGAGGTAACAGATGATTTCTGCCGGGTCCGCGGTATCGAGATCGACGTTGTTGGGATTGAACGACATGGTGAAAGAGATTGAGTCTGTGAGGAAAATTCCAACGTGCTTCTTCTGGTTCGACTCGCGCCGGGATGCTGGGATTTATAGGGGAAAGTAGGACATCTTTGTGGGATACCTTGCGAGCCATGACTCCAATGGTGAGGCATTTGAACCACTGAAAGGAACCATGGAAGCCGAAATTACCACATTTTAGTCACCACATGGTGGCAAGCGATTCATAAGTGTCTGAGCCGGTGTGTGCCACCGTCAGGATTATTTCTTGACGGACCGTATTGGACAGGCAACTAGAGGCAGCTAAAGTTCATGCTACTACGTTCCTAACGAGTCGATAGCATCCTCGACCCGAAATTACATGGCATCTGGGTGGAGTTGTCTGATGATGCATCCCCATGCCCTGGTCCACCCTGGGAGCAAAGTGGATCTTTCGGGTAGTATCCGGACTGTCTGTTCGAATCGAAGTCCACGCGATATGAACATTTCCCCAGGGTCCCCAAAGTTGTTTCAGCTTCTCCACCCACCATTCCAAGTTGATTCTCGATTCGCTGGCTCTTTGTCTTTGCTTTGTACCAAGCAACTCTGGGCAGGAAACAAGCAAAAAGGCCAAGTCAAGGAAATACGAGTGTGGTAGTGTCGTTGAAGATTTGAAGTAGGCCCTTAACTACGGCTCGCAATTCGCAACGTACAGCCGTGGAGACGGATACGGAAAATGTCTGCGTGAACAATTTCTGCAGAAGCCCATAGACGGTAGAAAACATAATGAATCACGCACGACTGCGGTCCTCATTTTCTAGGGCCGGCTCAGGAGAGTCGAGATACTCGTTGACATATCACGAGCGACCTCTCGGCCGGGATTTCGTTAGCATGGTCGCGACAACCGCGACTAACATTTTATTTATGAAATACGAGGACGGAGCATACTCCACAGTGGTACTAGCTCACAGTGTCGCAGCCTGCAATAGTCCAGTTTGATTTCACATTCCATGGTTGAGGCAGGATATCCTTCCCTCACGATATTCTTATTCGTGGTCGAGCATTAGTAGCGATTCACCGGATAGACATGGTTCGCATGTGATGAAAGATAAGGAAGTCGAAGAGGATACAGGAAAGAAGCGGATGAAGGGGGTTGTTATCGTCGTGCTTGGGCGAATGTTGGGCACTCAGGCGATGAGGAGGCTGTTAGGGCTCAAGTTCCACAGGAGGCAATAAGTTGAGGGAATATAGACATCGGTGTCACATGACACACGGCCTGACAGGACAGGCTGTCAACTTAGGCGTCGAGATGAACTCATGCTTCTCTCACAGTTCGCTAAATCGATCGGAAGTATCAACAGATCCCGCGACATCACGACCTTATGTCCCCTACATTTCCCCTGTTCCCGTTATTGCCGCCTGAGATCCGACACTACATCTGGCACTTGTCTCTCACCCATGCCCGAGTGATTCGTATCTCGTGCGACCGGGGTATCCTTCCCAACTCGCGGCGATATGCTCGCTGCTTTCGCGCCGACTGCGCCAATCCACCTCAGCTACAAGTAAATACGGAGGCCCGTCATGTGGCCCTGCGGTGTTATGCACCTTACTTTCGGACTAAACATATGCCTCACTGCTGCATTTATCTAGCGCCAGACCAGGATGTCGTGCATCTGCATGAGGCGGTGTTGGCATACCTCAGCACGGCAGAGAGAGCGGCCCTCCGACGGCTGATAATTGACGTTCAGGATTACGGTTCCTTCGGTTCGTACTGGATGGATAGCCTGTGTAGCATGGACCGATTGCAGGAAATTGTGTTGGTGGTGTTGCCAGGCACCTCTACTCCCTATCGAGTATATGACCATCTGCCCGTGGCAGACGATGAGATTGTTTGGATGCTGAAGGCTGCCTTCGTTGAGGGTGTCAGGACTACCCCGGAGTGGGCGATGCCGCGCGTCAAAGTCATATCGCATGATGGAACCGCGATGGGGGATATCGTCGTAGAGGCGGATGATCTGGAGATATCTTAAGGCCGTAGGCCTTCCGGGAGAGCCGAAAGCGACTCTCCGTCCAAGCGAAGGGTGACGAAACGATCTGACAGCCCGTCCTGGAGGAAAGGTGGATAATCCTTGCTCGATGCGGAATAGGGACGCACGGGGCGCGAGTGCCAACGTCTCGCTGGAATGTGGGGACCGGATGCGGGACATGGAATATCTCTTGCGGACAGTGCCTTGCCCATCGATTGATCCTCACGTCTGGACTAAAGCTCTGTATCGGCCCTACTCGATTGATAACAATGAAGGTCATTATCGTTGGTGGTGGTATTGGTGGTCTCGCGACTGCGATTGGTTTGCGTCGTGCTGGCCATCAGGTCAAGGTAAGAGGAAAGCGGTTCCTGTCGATCATTTTAAAGACAGGCTAACCACCGGCTACGGGTCTGGCAGATCTTTGAACGATCTTCGTTCCTCCACGAAATTGGTGCAGCTATCAACATCTGCCCAAATGCCGCTCGGGTTCTCTCACACTGGGGATTCAATGTTGAACTAGCCCGCATGGTAACCGCACGGCAGTCTATTGTAGCACTCGGAAGCTCACTCAAACCATTGGCGGAAGTGGATTGCTCAAAGTGTGAGGAAGTGTATGGTGCACCGTGGCTGCTGGCCCATCGAGTCGACCTACATTCGGAGTTACGCCGTCTGGCTACAACTCCGGAGGGACCCGGATTACCGGCAGACATCGTCTTGAACTCAAAGGTCGTTGGATATGACGCTTCGGAGGGATATGTAACGCTGGCGGACGGGTCTGTGCATGGGGCGGATCTCATCGTCGCAGCGGACGGAGTCCATACGTCCGCTATCCAACATGTCAATGGCCGTGCAACACGACCAGTTTCTACCGGCTCAGCAGTGTTTCGGTTCCTACTCTCGACCGAGGATTTGCCAGATGATCCTAATATAGAGCCACACTTCGGTGATGGTCTTTTGCGGATTATGGCTGCGGAGGGTGTGAGGCGGTTGGTTTGGTATCCATGTGCTAAGTAGGACTGCCTTTGGCTTGCCCGTCCGGCATCATTTCATGCATCAACTGATGGCATTGCGCAGTAACTCAGTGCAGAACTTCGTGGGAATACATCCAGATCAATATACAAACGGCGACGAACAAGAATGTCAGTCTTTTTTTCTTTCTTTCTTTTTTTTTTTTTTTCATGTTTGCATTTTGTGCCCATTGTGACTGACGACCAAGTCATAGCCTGGGACCGGTCCGCCCATGTCAATGATGTGCTGGCGCAATACCACGACTTCCATCCCAGCATTTTGAACATTATCAAGTAACGTTAGGTGGCCACTCTTCCTTTTCATATGCTAACATGCCTCAAGGAAGGCGACCAATATCAAGCGGTGGCCACTTCTGTACCGGGAACCCGTGCCAACTTGGAGCTGTGACCGTCTAGTGCTTATTGGGGACGCAGCGCATCCTATGCTACCTCGTACGTTTTCCTGACTTAGGCCTGGAATGAAAGATCCTCCCTAACACTCGTGTTTTAGACCAGGGCCAAGGTGGGGCTCAGGCTATTGAGGATGCAGGCGCATTGAGTGAGATCTTCACTCAGTTGCCTGCCAAACCCACGGCAGATGAGATCCGTGACCGTCTCGCACTATTTGAAAGGGTTCGGATCAAGCGCGCGTCGGCGATACAGGTCACCTCCAATGTTGGACAGGACGAAGCGTGGAAAATCCGGGAACACGCACAGCAATACATGCCAGAAGGTGTTGATGTGCCCACGTCGCCAGCAGAATTCATGGAGCATAACTTCCGTTATGATGTTCTCGAGGATAGTCGGCAACAGCTCGAGGCTTTCTTGGGGAAGAGTTAGGATCAGAATGGTTGGCTTTCCGATTCACTAGGTGGACGTGAACACAATCGAGCCTGTTCTGCGTTGACTCAAAGTATATCCTGCAAGTTTCCTTCATATTAGTCGTGACCACTGAACGCCTTTGTGAGTGGGGAGGAGAAGAAGCACAAAAAACAAAAATTTATTTTTCTATGGACATAGAGTTTGTAGGCCGGTAGAATAGAATTTCAATGGCCACCGCGGGTGAGCGTTGGTTGATCACTTATATGTTGGATCTAGAAGACGATACCAACCCTCCATTGCCCCAAATATTCAAGGCCGTTAACCCTCCATCAACTAATAAATCACCCCCTGTGGCAAACACTGCATCCTTTGAACATAAGAACGCAACCGCGTTCGCAATGTCAGCCGTCGTCCCCATCCTCCCAGCAGGAGTGCGATCAATAGAGCTCCGAAGCATAGACGCCGCAGGCCCCTCCAGCTCCTCCTTCATCATAAAGGACTGCACCACCCCAGGACTGACTGAATTAATCCTGGCACCTTTCCTCGCCCACAAGGGTGCAGATGCCTGGACGCGCAGGATATTCCCTCGCTTGGAGATCGCGTACGCGCTCGTGCGGGACTGCTGGTCTGTCCTCGGGGTCTCCGAGTCAAAGATGCCTGGAGGGAAGTCGGGATGCTGCAGCAAGGTTTGCAATGGGGCCGTCGCCAGGTGTCGTTCGAAATCCGGGGAGAGTGAACCCTGAATGCGGTGTCCGGCTGCGCTGGCGATTGCGACTAAAGAAGTCCCGACGGTCGCGAAGTGGTAGAACACCTCGATCACATTCGCCGTGCCACGTAGGTTAACGTGGTATATTCGACTGGGAGGAGCTTGATTCATGGCCACGCCAGCGGTGTGCGCGACCACTCTGATCGCGCCCAGCCCAGCGGCATGTAACGCGAGCCTCTTGACCGCGCTGATATCAGCTACATCTGTTTGAACGCCTTCGACGTGGTGGCCTTCGTCACGAAGGGTTTGGACCGCCCTCTCGAGGGCGTCTTGTGAATAGTCGGCCAGGACGATGTGGCAGCCGCTGCCCAGGCGGCGCGCAATGGCAATGCCCATGCCTCCACAGCCGGTCACGATCACCACGTCCTTCTCAGGGGCCATTGTGGGTGAAAACAAGGTGTAGAACGTACGAGGTAGCGAATCTGTCAAAGTGATAGCAGTCAACCGCTTGAGACACCCGGCACTGAGCAGCGCCTACCTTTCCACGTGTACTTTATACGCCCTGAGAACACGTGGGGTCCAAAAGTGCTCTGCTGCTATATATAACGTTGGCTGCAAAGCAGTGGATGTCATTGGTATGGAAGAAGACGGTAGACCCACTGACACACGTCAGATCTCCTTCGATATCACTTCTCTAGGAATGGTGGTCAGCTTAGGAGTAAGAAAAACAAGGATGCGGCTTACACACATACCACTTACAATCTAGTCGGCGCGAGGATGAGTTCCATGGCATCCTCCAAAGTCCCAGATACCCTCCGACCGATATACCCACACAGCCGTGCAAAGGGGAAGAAGTCCAGGTGAATGCGAGGTGGGTATTTGACAGGCTTTTTTGTCTCCATATACCAAAAACGGGGGTCTATCGAACTAAGAGTGACATGGCGGGTTCGCCGTTCTATATTACATATGATACATGATTCATTTCCATTTCCACTCCGAGTTGCGATGGATGAAATAGTCCTTGCTCTGAATCGCCTTGCGAATGCCCCAAAGCCCACCCAGGGGCCAGATGTCGCGCAGTTTGCGACTCCACGACTCGCTGCGCTCCCTCCGATCCGCCTCAACATCGATGCGCACTTTATCATACACACTGGGGAGGGTCTCCGCCCGATACTTCCGTCGCAAGCCCTCATACCAGTCGCGATCGTACATCTTCCAAAACTCCTCCTGGCTATAATAGGTGTGGGCATAGAACCACTTCATGCCACCCAACTCCCGTAATCGCCGTTCCAAGTCTCGATTGGCGGCGACAAACGTGTCCGGATCCTTGGGTCCGAAACCCCACACGCCAATGTTCAACATCTGGCCAGGCGTGAAGCCCTCACTCTCACCCTTGACCGTGGTCTCATGCGGATGGAACGTCGGCGCTGGGCTTTGCTTCAGCGGACACAGCCACAACGGCCAAATGCCCAACTTCTCACTGGTATAATTGATGAAGGACTCGGCTGTGGCGTACGGCAGCGCCAGATCCTGAATCATGTACCGACTCGACTCCCCGCTGGCATGCAGCGCCTTGTACAGCATCCGGGTGTGTAAGAAGTCGTCCAGCCACCAGCGCGTGAGTCGGTTGAAGGGGAAATGGAAGTACTGGAATGCCGACCGTCCCACCCAGAAGCCGGCGCGATCATAGCGGAAGAGATACTCGGCCAGCGGGATATAATCCGAGACAGGGCCCTGAGCCGCTCGTGTCTTCTCCTGCACATGGAGATAGTACCACGGGTCCCAGGCATGACTGAACGTCTGCACCTGCGCCGCGGAGGGCATCTCGTCCGTCATCTCGCCCGCGACCACCACCCCGTGTTCCGGCCCGTATACGATCCCATCGACATAGTGATTCCGGTCGTTTAGCGTATGTTCGTGTACCGAGTGAACGGACTCCTTCACACTCCGCTGTGGATGATATGTGGCCTTGACGAATTTCTTCGCCTCGATCAATTGCAGCTCAATCAGGGTGGTGACGCCTAAACTGCCCACCGCACCGGCGGCGCCGTGGAAGAGATCTGTGTTTTCACTCTCCGACGCCTTCACCACACTGCCATCGGCCAGGACCATCTCCACCGAATGGATCGTCTTGTCAAAAAACCCATATTTGAAGCTGGAACTTTCTCCGGCCGTGCCCGCAAAGCCGCCGCCAGTGGTGATCCCCGGGAACTCCATCACGACCGGCGGCACCAGTCCGTATTTCATAGTGGCCTCCACCAGTCGGTCCATGGGCACATTGGGCTCGACGAGGGCCCTTCGCGTGGTGGGATCAACGTGTAATACATTGCGGAGGTCGCCAATATCGACTTCGCGGTCTCGGCGGATCGGTCGCGTGCTGTTGGTCGAGCCGTGGTTGATTCGAAAGGGTTCCTTGCGTTCGTAGAAACCCCGAATGCTGTTGGCGATCCGGGAAACCGCCGTCTTATGGCGTGCCAGCCCCATGGCGGAGGAATTGTGCTGGTGGTGGTGGTGATGGTGGTGGTCGCACTTCTTGTCTGGAAGGTTAATTGATGGTCACGTTTTCCCGTCTCAATAGCTTTGACCTGCGGGCTCGGGGAAAGTCGGGGAGCACTCGGGACCACCCGGAAGGAATACCTGAAGCACATCACAGCCAAGTCTATACGTCTATACGTCTATGCATACATCCATCCCATATGTCTACATACTTCAGTCATTGATGTGCGTTTCCACGTCGTAATATCCGTATAACTGGTATGTATTGTTTGACAATAGTGATGATTTATTCATTTCTCGCAACAATGCCATCCAACCTAGAACCGTTTCTATCCTCCGTAGGGTTATGCTTCTCACGCCCAAGATATTCTGTATGGTGATTATTCCTAGTGGCTAGGTGGTCACTGGGTAGCCACAATTTAGAAACGAAGTTCATATTAAGGAACTGTCAATCTAAGTTGTGGATGGTGTGGTGTACCCTTTGTAATTCGAAGAGGTCTAAGATTCTATTCAAGATACAATAAGAGGGCCAATTTCATACATGAGACAAATACAAGACCCATTCCGTAGCCACATTATACGTCTCGGCTCAAGAGACTCCCTTCTCAAGCATCAACCTGTTCTACCTGCTTTCGTTTGAACCTAAACATTTGAATCATTTCGGTCCAGAACCCCGGGGCGGGACTGGTGAACGTGGCTTCGTAGGAGTCCACAATCGGTCGGTCCCAAACCAAGTCGACATCCTTCGGCTGGAGGATCTTTGTCCGGTGAGCGAACTTCCATCCGAAATACAAAATGGGCGCGAGGATCTGCATGGTGTAATTCTGGAAGAAAACCTCCACACTCCATGGCGCGAACGCGGTATATCCGTAGAAGAGCAAGACCAGGACCATACACACCGCACCGATGTAGGAGCAGTAAGGCTGGAAATAGCCGTAGTACGGAAAGCTCTTTCGATCAATGCCTTGCGCGTTGCATGCCCGGTAGAACTGGATGTATGTGATACATACGACCAGATAGTCAATGAGGGCACCGGCTGTAACCAAGTTGACTAACCACGTCAAGACTTGTGCCGAGTTGTCCGATAGTTGCAGGAAGGACAGGAACGGAAAACAGATGACGATGAGGAAAGCGTAGATCGGGACACCATTCTTCGTCTTGCTCAAGATTTTCGGGGCCCGTCCGTCGAGGGACAAACCGTAGAGGGAACGAGTGGCGCAGTAGGTGAGAGTGTTACCGGCGGAGAAGACGGAAGTGATGAGCAGGGCATTGACGATGTCGGGCAAAATGGTGATCTTCAAGTTCGACATGGCGATGACATAGGGAGACGCACCACCTCCCTTCTCACTGCTCTCCCCAGCAAGAATGGCTTGCAGCGTCGGGTCGTTCCACGGGATGACGATTCCGACACACAGGGCACCGAGGGCAAAGAATAAGATAAACCGCCAATAGATGGTCTTAAAGGCGGCCTTGACAAAGATCCGAGGGCGCTTGGACTCGGCAGCGGCCATCGCGATATACTCGGGCCCCACAATGCAGAAAGCAGCAGACCAGATCGCCGCCAGGAAGCCCTCAAAACGACCGAGGCTACCGGCCGTTCGATGCGTGGCGAAGGGGCCTGGATCGTTCCAATAGCGAAATCCGTACGCATCGTGAGCGGGGTTCCCCCCAACCATAGTCACGAAGGTAAAGAAAAAGAGCAGGAAGATCAGGAGGACCTTCCCGGAAGAGAGCCAGAACTCCGCCTCCCCGTACGCGGCGACGGCGAGAGCATTGATAGCACTATGGAATATTCAGCTTGGGTTCTCAGAGGGACTAATGAACCTATAAACATCACAAATGGGAGAATATGCGGCAGAGTACGTTACGAAAAGTCGCTTATGGGAAGTGTGGAAAGGCCGGGTAGGATAAGAAATAGTTGCTCTGGGGTCATACGCAAAAAGAACTATACACGCCGCACAGACTGCGGCGACCGGAATATCGTCTCGCCAGTAGCTGAGGATCAGGTTGATGGCGGTTATCTCGAAGGGGATCATGAGTGCTTCGTAGAGGAAGAAATTCCAGCCCACCATGAAACCGAGAGCGTCATCGACCCATTTGCCTGCGATCCGGATGAAGCCACCGGACACCGGATGGAGGACAATCATTTCGGAGAGACAATTGTTGATACATGCGAGCACACCACAGTACAGAACGTAGGCAATGAGCAGACTGGCTGGACCACCTGCTGCCAGGCCATTGCCGATGGTGACGAACAAGGCTGTCCCGATGGAGCCTCCAATGGCGATCAGTTGAATATGTCGGTTCTCGAGTCGCCGTTGAAGACCCTCCGTGCTGTCGATCTGGCCATCTTGGACATTTGCATCGACCAGCTGAGGATCCTCCTTCATCTTCAAGTCAAGATCGGGCTCCATGTTGTACGATGGTTGGTGTCGCACTGGGCAAGGGGCAAATCGGAAAGAATACAAGTGAGCAACCTAGTGATAGGTTGCATATCAATGAGGGATCTGGTTTTCGAGGAGGAATGCAGATACAACCCTGTAGATTATATAGTCCGCTCTCTCCCTCTGGACCCTTATCGCTCTCCATGGTTGCCAATCTCGGGTTCCTTCCCGCGAGACGTCATGACCGCTGATCTATCTCTATCCTCTCCGGCTTCCGACACGAACTGAGAGCTTTCAATCCTTTGCCTCAACCCCAGATTGCGCATGATCTGAATCCCTTGGCAACTCTTCCCCGCAACTTTAATCTCACAACCCACTCACTTCCCCGCTTTAGACGTTGAGCAGGAGTTGCGTTTGCAACATCTGGCTCGCCGAGTCGCCAGAGGGAACATCGGTTAGGGCTTCCAGGGTGGAGACCGCGGCATTTTACCCCGCGTCTGGGGCACTGCGCCACATAACCCTAATGCAGACACTTCCTTATCTGCTACGAATACTACCGTAGCTCTTCCAAACTACTAACTCTTTAGACTGGCTTCTAGCCCGATACCGGTTCAAATTAATTAGTCCGAAAGCGGAAATCAAAATGAGAGCACCCACACACGGCTCCAGTTGATCTATCTCTCACAGATGTTGTATATGGAAGAGAATGGAATCAGAAAGACGGGCAAGCCAGGCGTAATTCATTTGTTGAGCCTAATAAAGTTCTCAACAGCTCCGGTGGGATGACGAACCGCGATCATTTGGGGGAATGCTCTCTGGCATCATGGTCGAGATCTTTTCCACGAGGTGCCTCTCCAGGAGTTAGGAACCTCGTTATCCATCCGCGCCAGTACTATGTCTACATACGAAGACCAAGACAGTATGGTTCATACCGGAGAGTGTATTTGCAAAGGTGTAGGGTTCACCGTTAAAGGTCTCCCAGAGGATGTGTTCTGCTGCTATTGCCGTGACTGTGCGATTGGAGCCGGAGGACCCTGTCAAATAGTGAGTCAGCGATAGTTCTCCCTGATGTTGCGTTTCCGAGACTGACGGCTCTAGACCGCAAGCTATGCTTCGTCCAACGTTACCATTCGCGATCCGGACGCGCTCCTCACCTGCTACACGATCACAAACGGGACTATAAGTGGCCATGCGAAGGAAAAGCATTTCTGCAAGCGGTGTGGGTGCACAGTATTCACGATTCCTTTCAGCCTGGGACGCCAATACGTCGTTATAAGACCGGTGCTCATCGAAAACGGGTAAGCAGCGGTGACTTCATTGAGTTCAATACATTAGTGACATTCGCAAAGCCTCGAAATCTATCAACCCGGGCTGGAAGTTTTCGTAAAGCGACGTCCAAGCTACTTTGCAGGGTGCCAGTCAGCCCAGCAGTACGACATAATGCCGACAGAGACTGGGAGCTCGGATACAAAGGAATAAAGTATGGTGAATCTTTCTTTCTTTCTGTGACTACATAGCATGATACAAAGCTGATGTATTACAAGAGCGTAATCACGGGATCCACCCGCGGTTGAGAACGATTTAGTCTCAACGAAAGACGGATCCGAGTGCTATATCATATATCCAAAGCTCGAAAAATAGCATCCACCGGTACCATGTCGCGAGGCTCCTTACACATTTCTTTTTACATCCTCCACCTCTTCCGCCTCCGCGATAACCTTGTCTCCAGAAGGCATAGCCTCCCCACAATAGGGTACCTCGTTCCAGGTGTCACTAGTGCATGGAATGGGGAAAGCCTTTGCCAAGGCCCAGTATATCGCACCAGCCACCAAGAACCCTGACAGATAATTGATGTTGTAGATATATTCCGCCGCCACCGGTACTTTTGCGCCAACGGCGCCAGCAAACCCAACGATATTGATCAGGATGCCGCATATGTAAGCCGTATAGCCCCTCCAGGAGATACCACAGGTTCCATAGTAAGGGCCGTGCCTTTCGGCGCTATATAGCGCTTGGATGTCAAGGTAGCCTCGCCGGACCAGGTAGTAGTCGCTGACCATGACCCCGGCGATCGACGAGAGAAATACCGAATACGATGACAAGTAGACTGTGAATTTGTTAGAGGAAGCTACCAAATTCCACTATGAGGGTTGTTAGTGATGCTAGTGTAACATCCAGTATATATGGATCGAGAGAGACGGGAGGGAGGAGACTGACCGGGCACATAGCGAGACCAATAGCGGCACACACATAGGCCCCTCGGCGAATGGTGCAAAACCGAGGGAGTAAGGCCGAGAGGTTTGTTCCAGCCGATACAGAGTTGGCTGCAATGTTCGTTCCTAGTTGAGCCAACGCGAAGCCCGCGGCGATGACAAACACCCCGAACCGTTCTGCCGAACTGGCGTTCTCCAAGAACATCCCGAGCAGAGTGAGAGGATTCCAGACTGCTTGGCCAAAGATCACTGATGAGGATGAAGTGACCACGATCCCAATAAACGACGTCACGGCAAAGCCGACTGGGATCGTGATCAATTGTGGCCATACCGCATCCTTCGGCTGGCGTGCATATCGGCTAAAGTCAGGGTTATTGATAATCAAAGCGGCGAAATTGGCAATGCAGTTCATAATGCTCTTCACGAAAGCCCATGCCAACACGCTCCCTTGCGCAGTATTGGGCTGATGGATGATAGGGCCCATGCCATGAGCACGCACAATCGCCCACACGAAGAACGCGATCGCGCAGGCAGGTGAAAAGTAAGCTTTCACCGTAAAGAGGTGTCGGATCTTATAGATCGGAAACCAAAGGGCGGGCAGTGACCCCAGCCAGAACAGAAAGAAGCTGGTGAACTCCATGGTGGTGACGCCTGCACTGGCCGGGATGTGATTTGGGATGTTAACGTAGCTGGGCCAAATGGCCTGGATCATCAAAGTCACACATTGCCCTACACCAAAGTTCGTCATCATCGAGCAAAAGAAAAGAATCACATAACATACCTCCGAGATATGTCTGTTTTGCGGAAGTGGTTAGAGAAGAACTTTGGCGACCTGCAACCAAGCACATACCTGCACGCCATACCAAATGACCGCCATGGCCGCGCGATTTAGAATCGGCCAAAAGGAACCCCATATGCCAAAGGATGCTCGGTTGGCTACTGCGAATGGAATGTGGTAGATGGTTGCAATACGGCCCATGGCAATCACAAAGATACCCGATATTGTATAGCCGACCCAGACGCAGAGCCAGGCCTGCCACCAGGAGAGTCCATCCACAATCATGGACGAGGTGATCATCCACGTGTTCTAGTACAGTGAAGGATGACGCTTAGAAATAATGCGTGGGTCGCCTTGACTGGGTTGGCTATGAGATAGTAACATACAACATTCAACGAATCGGCAATCCAGAACGCTACGAAGTTCAGCCATCTCCATTGGCGACGCTCGGGTTCGACTGGAAGCGATCATCTTCATGTATCAGTGTCCAATTGACAGGATGTACGCGCTCTTCATGGGAGCATATATGAGAATGCATGGATTATGCTAACCTGGCCTTAGATCATCATTTGTTAACATCAACTCCGCCGTCGTGAGACCGGGCTCTGTCGGCACCTGTAGTACCTTGATGGATTTCTTTATCAGTGACATTGTCGTATGTTATAGAGCGACTCGAAGCCGTGAGGAGGGAGAAACAGAAATGTATACAGAGACCCAGTGGCACGAGATATAAGGGCTCCAGGAAATACGTGCCAACTTGTTAGTCAATTTCTACCCCGCATTATATGGAGACAAAGATCAGCATGAATGATTTTTGGTCTCCCCCGCAGGCGGCCGACACCGTAGTGGAAGCTAAATCAAAAGCTCCCAGAACCGAGGCTAGTAGAGTAAGTCAAGGACCATTCGAGCAAATCCTAGACCGCCATTGAGGGGGGAGAATATGAATCTTAGGAGATGGAGGTTGAATCTCTTCAGCCCCGGTGTTGATCGTCCTGGCCCACAATGGTTTCGATATCAAGTCATGGCGTGTATTCTGAGACGACTCAATCGTTGGCCATGTGTGAAGCCTCAAGGAGAGCCCCCCCAAACCTCCTCTCTCTTTTTTCCTCTCCTTATATCGATTTTACATATACGAATGTTTCTTGTTCCTCTCTTCCCAAATACTATTTTCCCCAGAAGATAGTAGTTATTTCCAGACAAAAGGGTGTCGAAGAATAATTCCTTGATCAATTCTATCTCTAGGAACTTATCTCAGTCACTATCTAACTAAGAAGTATATAGGGGCTCGGTCTCTTTAGGAACCTACTGTGGGTATATATCTCTAGATCTTGATATGAAATGACTATAATAGTATAATCTCCCTGCTGAATACTATTCTTAATTTGAAAAGTATGAGCGTTGTTTAACTTTATTCTTTCTTCAACAGTCGTCAAGCTATTCTACTGTTAGTTGAATGCTTTAATGCATATAAGGAACTAATTATTTATGATATCCTTATCTAATAAAATCAAGCCTGATGGCTGAACACCTTCCTAACTAGGAAGGTTCGCTGTGTATCCCTGGGTCACGGGTGGATCCTTACCCTATTCTTTCTGCCACCTCGAAACTATTGAAGCCATTTGTCAATCGATCGACGGATCACCCAGAAATTCTCAATGGTACGATTGTTATTTCGTCTTGTTTATTATTTTCCCGTTTCCCGCGCCCGCGACATCTGCTCACGCGTTGGCTTAAGTCCACGACTCTACCTCTTTCCACCAGATGAGAGCTGTTCCCTTCCAGCGCAAGACGGGAGAGATACTCCCATGGTATGTACACGTCGCGCCTAGCTGTCCAAGACGACAAGATTAACCCAACGCCCTTTAAGAATGTCCCTGGCTTCGCAAGCACCTGATCTTTATTCAGTGCAGGTTCCTCGCGGTCTATCCCGGTTTCACCAGCAGCATTCTGATCCCCGGAACCAATGCCGTAGCCCAGGAACTGGGGATCTCTTCTCAAACAGCGACATATCCCATCGCCGTCCACGCCCTCTTCCTCGGACTCGCTCCGTGTTTCTGGATCACCTGCATGAAGGCTATCCTGATTACAAGCACCTTGTTGTGTTTCGCTGCGCTGGGCGGAGGGTTCGCGAAGACCTAAGGGGTCTCATGACGGCCCGTGTGTTCCAGTCCCTCCGCATCCCCGCCGGGTTCGTCTTTCCCGGCGTGATTGTGGTGGATATTTTTTCGGAAGAATAACGTGGTCGCCAGAATGCGATCTGGGCACAAATGGTGCCGATCGGCGTTCTGATAGGCGGGCCTGTGGTGTGCTATGCTGGCTGGCGATGGGCCTTGTGGCTCACAACGATCATGAATGCTGTACAGTCGATCGCTTTCATCTTAACGTGTCCCGAGACCTCACACCAACACCGCAGATCCGGAAATGCTAGGCTTCGCATACAACACGTCCTAGAACCATTTCTGATTCTTCAAGTGCCCCATATCGTCTTCGTGGCAATCGCGTATGGCGTCACCTTTGCGATTGTTTCGGTGGGATTGGCAACGATTGTGCCAATTGCCCTGGAAAACAGATATGAATCTGGCGCGGTCAGGGTCTCTGTTTCTTGGGTTCATTGGTTGGAGCCCTTATCGGCGAACAGCTCGCTGGCCCAGGGAGTGACTAGATCATGAAGGGCGAGCGGAGCAGTGCTGCTGCTGCTGGAGATGTCGGTGGAACTGCGCAACGCTTGAAAAAAAAAAAAAAAAAAAAAAAAAAACTTTGACTGATTGTTGGCCTTCCAGGATTTCTGATCGCCGTCTCAGGCATTTCGATCCTCGGTCTGACCTTACAATACCGTACCTATTAGATGTGGCCCTGCATAGGCTTCACAGTGGCAACTCTGGCCTTCGATTGGTGATCACTCCCTCGAAAACGTATTGCGTCAAGAAGAAACCTAAGGCTGCCAGCAATGGTTGGAAGCATAAATAGAGCGGAGACCACCGTACGACTATTTCTCGGGAGGTAGTTATCGATAATTGCCCCCAGCACGATCCAGATCACCACGATGACACCCTGCGGTATACCGAGTAGGGCCGTGTGGAAGGTACCGAATCCGAGGCCTTCGATCACCAAGGTCAAGGGGTTGGAAATTCCGCCATTGGGAATATTGCCGACAACTCCAAGCAGGAAGAACAGCCATGTCTTATAGTCGAGGTACGCTTCCTTGATTTGATCCCATTTGATTTTTCACTGCTCCACACCGGTTTGGTTGCGCCGCACGCGAACAATAATCATCAGTCTCTCCTCACAAGTAAAGCCCCAGAAAGTGGTGGGAGAATTGGGAAGCACCAGCGCTAGCAGAAGGTCCCAGGACGAGCAGGCCGCGCCCACAATGAGGAATATATAACGCCAGGATTCTAAAGCGCCCTTAATGTTACCAGTCCCATAGCCTACGGATCATGTCTATTGAAAAACTGACCATGAGCTCACATAAGGAGAGTAGAAGATAAAGCCTACCAATAAGCCCACCACCAGTCACACCGATGCCATTCCAGAGGTAGTATGCTGCAATGCGTGACAATTGTTCCTCGTGAGTAGTCAGTCGAGATGAGCAGCATGAACGCTGGATCTTCAAAGGCTTCAAATGTACCAGACAGTACTCGAAGCGCGGAGAGAGGCGAAGTTCTTCGATACGGCCTGGCACATAAGGAGCGCCCCCAACATGAAGATGTTAAAGCAGAGATACCAGGCTGGTGGAAGTTTCTGCATTATCAGATTCAATAGAATAGCCCATGCTAGCCACCCAAAATAGAAAATGCTCGATAGCCACGAATGCTCTTGCTAGTCGAGATGCAGAGACTCTTTGATCCCAAAGATCGCTGCGTAAGAAAGTGTCGTCTTATCGACATACTTCATATTGATAATCTATGATCAGTGGGCCATCCAAAAGAGAAAGCAAAACATAGGGAGATAAGAGAGAGTGTGTGAGTGAGTGAGTGAGTGAGAGAGGGAGGGAAGGAAAGGCCCTTGTGGCCATACGTAGAAGAAATAGCAGATTCCGAGAAGAGGGGGAATCCGCATATACAATTTACGTATCAACTGCTGCCGGGTCAATGGCCGCATCAACTGAGTACCTTTGAATTCCATTTGATTGATTGCCGCGGCCGTCAACGATTTGGGGTCGCTGTGTGTTGAATGAACATGTCACAGATCCTCAATACGCACCACGTCTAGCACCTCATCCTGCTTGGGATCCATGCAGTGAAAGTATATCGTTCGGGTAGACCTCGAGTAAGTGAACAACTAAGCATCGAAAGGGAGAGATAGAATCCACTGAGAGCTATAAGAGACATGCACCATTAATATACCCACTATGCAACTAGCTCACTAAATCAGACGACTAGCTCCGGTAGCAAATGATAAGTGGATAAATTGTACCCAAACTTGCTCTAGCAAATAGGCTTCTTGGCAATTGACCGGTTAGATTAAGAATATGCGGGGAGAAAACGACGATCCCATCCGGAACCCGATTAGGCAATTCATTTTGTTTTTTCTTTGCTTCCAACACATTTGCTTCCCCGACCCGGGCTGGCTTACTCCATATCGTGCATACTATTCTGCGAGTACGTCCCTTTCGTGTTCCATTCTCTGATGCTGGTAGAAGTCATGGATGGATCAGAGCTCGCAACCATGTCATTATACCGACGATATTTATAGCTCCTCCCACAACAGTAGTACTTGATGTTCGAAGTATCTCTCACTTCCACTACTATTGAGTATATATACTTAATAAGTCTGGTCTTTTAGACTTGAGTCTAGTATTAACAGTAGTCTTGTACTGACTGTATTCCTGATCTAATAATAGCCTAGTATCGACAGCAGTCCTACACCGACAGCGGTCCAATAGTGACTCCCGTCCTACCGCGACTGTAACCTATTGGTGACGGAAGTTAAAGGACAATTTCAGGTTAGTAAACCGTCTAGTGTGGTCCACTAACTGGTCTCAGACTTGACAACGAAGCCCCGGGCGTAACAGTCTGCTGACCTAAGAGACAGCTAGTGTGGCTTTGGGGTTCAACCCTACATCATCAACGAAGATGTTGACGACTTGCCCTTCTAGAAAGAGCAGAGGATCCGAGGTCCTAGTATACACACAAAATATGATTGTATCTGGTTTCCAAGTCTTATTACTCAATGCAGACACAATTATGGAGACGGGAGTTGGAGTCTGTCTCCCTCGTGCGGGTATTTATGATCATTGGCGACCTCTTCCGTCTGATTCCCCATTGAAATGTGGCTGCTATTGGTGCTGATATGTTTAATGGGATATTAATTTCGTGATATATACTACTTTCGATTAATTGACTCATGGGCATTCAGACATTATCGAAGGTCCAACGAAAGCTTCTCAGTGAAAGGCTCAATGGAAGTTGATCAGAGGAGACCTCGTAGTGGATTATATGACGTACAGAAAGTAAAGACAGGTGGTGACGGGGGCCTCGAGTTGTCATCGGGCTACATCTGCTTCGCGTTTAGCCCCGACATGGTGGCTAGCCAACAATCCCATCACAACACCAGCATGTCGCTTAGCGCGCTCGACCAATCGGGTCATCTTGATGAGATGGGAGTGCCCCCGATGCAGTCGACGGCGAGACAGCAGCCTGCGAAGGATGCTGCAAAGGTTCCACGGATGCTTCCGCCATTTCAAGATCCTCAGCACTACGTGCGGTGGTAGATCCCTGCCGTGAGTCCGGCGCCACACTCTGCGATGGACTCGGGGTCAGTAGGCGGGGTCCAGGATTCTTTCCCGGCTGCTTGCTTGTCTTCACGCGTGCTGGCGCCGGGCCCAGCATTGGTGGGTATTTGAATCGAAATCCCCACACGAAGAACAGGCGCAGCTTTGTCCAGAACCCCATGGCATCCCATCGCTTCTTCAGAATCTCCGCGTCAGCCTGGGAGCGGGCGCGATAGCCCTTGCGGAAGAAACAAAGAAGGAGAAGGCTAATTGGGATAACGGTGAGAGACCAGCAGACGGGCAGACCACGCCGAGTTTGCCAGCCAGTCATCAAGCGGCGGAACCGAACGAAGGCCTCGATAAATCCGAGGATCAGAAAGAGGCCGATCCAGCCTAGAGTGAGAATGAGGGTGAGGGCCAACGGAGAGATACCCATATAGTAGTCATCAAGGAACCAGTTGTAGTCGTCGCCGTAACCGTAGTAGTAACCGCCGGTATAGCGGGAGCTGTCTGTACTTGTGTAATAGCACTGTGCACCTGTGTACAGGGAGGTGGGCCGGTTGTAGTAACTGAGTGATTCGAGAGTGCTACTGGGGACCTGAGTTGGATCGACATAGACCACGTCATAGGTGTAAGTGGTCGGCTGGAACGGCACGCTGGAGTCGACCGAAACTGAGGTTTCCATGCTGGTCTGAGGCAGTAAATCCTGCACCACAACGGGCGGAGACACTGGAACGGCAGTGGTCTGTGTCCATTGTGTTGCGCAGCCTGTCGGGGCTGAGTAGGTCAGATATACCTTAAAGATGGTGTAGTGCTGATCATCACTGTAGTAGTAGGGATAATCGTAGTCATCGACGGGTTTCCCTACGCCAGTGGGATACAGCTTTTGGATGACGGTAGCATCTCCTGCATAGTATCCGGTGCCGATGGAGGTGATGGTCGATACGGCTTCGGGGAGGGAAGTGGCCGTCGGAGAAACTTCCTGAATCGTCGTTATGACCTTGGTAGTGTAGTAGTGGGATTCAGTGACGATAGCCTGTTCGTAGTAATCCGTGACGACCCACGGGACTGCAAGAGCGAGTGAACACAGGTGGGCAAGAATGACAGACAAAAACAACGTAAAGGAATGTGAGGGCGCCATCCTGGATGGCCGCCTGCAATGGTTGCGCAAAAGTCCCCTCCCCTTTTCTGGGACACAGTCGTAGTGGCACCCATGGTTTTAATACTACTGCTGGAAGAATCAGTGGCCAAAGGCAACGAGAGCCTCATGACCTCGCCAAGCGATGTTAAGATTGCTTCATGTAACATAGTAGCATCGCATGGTGGTGAAAGCCTGTCGGAGGCTCGCAGGCTGATGATGATTGGCAGGGTTTCAATCCAGACAGGGTCTAGCAGTTCATGAAGCTTTAGCTCGTGCGCTATCAAAGACTTCTTTTGCTGTATTAGGGCTAGACTTGGCCTGTGCTGGACATGGGCATGGACGAACTACTCTGGAGTCGGCTAGTGGCTCTGCTTTTTTGGGACCTCATTTCTCCTATCTCACCATTCGAGTCCGTGCAACACGCAGCAGCAAATGGTACGAGCCTAGGTAGTGGTTCGAGGCCAGTATGGCCAGTCGGACCAACTTTTAGTGTGGCTTCGCTTCAGGGATTTTTTGGCCATGCTAGGGAGAAAATAGACTAGAATGCTGAACAGCCTTTGGAGTCCCAGTTTTTCAATGGTTGTTTGACATGTTTGCATCACGCTTAGTCCTCCTGGATTGGGTTTAGGCTCGCATTGCTCCGAGAAAAGAACTGGAAATCAACCCCAACCAAGTGGAATTTGCTTGATACTAAGTCCACTAGTCCATACAGGGGTATAATTGATCTAACTGTGAAGATACTAGTGTGCTTTGACATCAGTTAGCCATATCCCCGAGAGTTCTGCCATCGCGGACAATGTCCGGAATTTTAGATTCGAGAGAATGTTGGCCACCTGGAAGTTCTTCACCCAGCATACATTAGTAGCCAACAATACCACCTCTTGATTTAGCATTCATAGTAGGGTTTCCAGGTTGGTTATTTCCATGCAGTTAGATTTATGTTGGGTGTGTATTGTATCAATGTCAATTATGTGAATGAAGAAAAGTGGTAGGAAGTACTCGTTTCGAAGCAAAGAAATATATAGCCGTCTCTTAGGTCAGCAGACCCACCCGCCATTCGGCGTGTTGGTCTGCCTCACCTCAACGCAAATTCCCACTTCAACGCAAAATTTGAAGCTATTCAAGCTCCTATACAACATCACCTCGAGTATCTATCCAATAAGGTAGTTTGGGATCTTCCTTATCCACCTGGCTAGCCCCCGTACTAGGCAGATTCCCTATATTTCTCTATTATAGTGATTTATTATGTTCTAAAGTTCCCGTTTTCCTAATCTGTCTGAGACCCTGTAGTCTTTCTTCCTCTGTATGATCAGCAATATAACGTTTTATATTATATACAGTCAGTGGTCCATTATACCGGACTCTTCTCTGTGATTTCTGTCTATTTTAAGACTTCTGATATTGGTAGTATTATTGTAAATTATCTTTCAGCTGAGCAACTAGTTCAGTAACTTCTAGTAAGCTCTGAAATACTCGGTTCAGATATTGGACAAAACTCTGATTAAGCTCTGGGCTATTATTAATAAAGCTCTATACTTTATTAATACTTTAATATAGACTCTATATTGTAGATAGCAGTAATAAGCTTGATAGTAGTAATAATAGTATTATAATTATCTCAAGTTCTGAAGTAACTTCTAAAACTTTATATAGAGACTTTATTATCGGCTCTAAATTTAAGAGATATATATCTTATTTCTTAAAGATATCCCGGATTATATATTATTTAAAAATCTTTATATAAATAGAATAAATCTGTTTTAAGAAATTACTTTTATTATCTATTTTAATATTTTTCTGAGTAAGCTTATTGTTTTGCTTATAATAGAAATATTTATAGACTTGAAAAGACTATCTATCAAGAGACTATACAAGATATATTATATAAAAAGGGAAATAATAAGATATAATATAGTATTGTTTACAGAACTGAAGAAATTTATAGATAAGATAGAATTTATAGCTATTAAAAAGTAATAATTGAACCTTATTTTTAGAGATACAGTACTTTGTATAACAATAGAAGTATTGAATCCAGTTAAGACTAATCTTATCTGAAGTATAGCTTTTAGAAGATAGAGTTATTTAATACTTACTGGGAATATCTGTATTGTACTATCTCTCTAGATAATATATATCTTTGAATATAAAATATAGAGAAAGAACAAAACTATCTACTATAATATACTCTATTGTAGAGACCAGTTTCCCTATTTCTTTAGATAGATTTCTCCTTGTAGCTTGTAAAGGTATAGTAGTTATAATTTTTTGAGACTTTCTCTGCTCTAGTTAAAAGCCGGTTTTATTAAAATTATATATATTTTTGGAAGAAATCTACTTGATAAAGAGCTCTAAGCAGTTGAATCAGTATTAAAGAATATCTATATTCTCTATATCAAGACAATTTCTATTTTTAGACTTCTGTTAAATAAGCTTAAACTTACTTGGGAGATATTTAATAAAGTAATAGACCCAGTTTTTATTAACTATATAAGATAACCTGTGAATTATATTTTGCTGCAGTATTTGATTAGTACTCTGCTTAATTATTCCGGCTGTAGGAGGATAATATAGATTATCAAGCTGATAAATCTAATAGATCAGTATCTTTTTCTGTGAGTTATCAAGGGTTTTAATTAAGATAGAATATATATTTCGAGTAACTCGGCTATAAATATATATCCTGAGTCGATAATAAGAAATATCAAACTGATATGCTAACGCAGAGATATTTAGTTTTTTTTGGTCTTGAGCAGCTGTATAGACCTCTAAGATTTGTTCCTCGATATCAGAATAAGAATCAGGTATGGTAGTGGTAGGTAAAATCTCTGAATAGCTTCAAATTTTGCGTTGAAGTGGGAATTTGTATTGAGGTGAGGCAGACCAACACGCCGAATGGCGGGTGGGTCTGCTGACCTAAGAGACGGCTATAATCCGTGGCGCATGGAGAGGATATGTAGGTACTTGTTAACGCATCAGTCGTTCGTACGATTCATTGGGAGTTGTACCTTCCCGCATAGCAGCTCTTTTTGAGTATGATAAGCCAATATGCCAGTATATTACTGGGCGAGTCAGTATGTTTATAGGAGGGACTGATATCATTCGTGATACTTCGTGATTCATGAAATTCCTTGATGTGGGCGGGAACCAAACAGTGCAAACAGCCTCCGGAGATCCGATGGAATTGCCATTTTCGGTAATCGTCGGGGAACCATCTCATTCGCCAAAAGTGGAAATCGGGAGATAGAAAGATTCAAATCTGTTGCCCATTACGACAAACCAGGATGTCCTGGGAAAGTACTAAAAACGATTAAGGTTGGAAGCGAATCGTCTCCCTATTTTAATGTAAAAACACCACTACACGGGCTTTGACAGCAGATATGCCATCCACATTAGTTCATTCCGTCCAACAAAAGTTGAATCTCCGGGCGTATGAGGGTACTATTGAGAATTTGAAGAGCTTGAAGCCTTTCACACCGGACACCCCGCTCGCGGTGCCGAAATGACATTTCTATGGAGATGGAGTACTTTAGGTGAGTCTGTCAAATAGACAGTTATCCAGAATCCATCGTCCTAATATCACATAGGTGAAAAGCCTCATTGGCCGGAACTTGGTCAACAAGTGCCGTCGGGACTACCTGGGGTTTGTTCACCAGGGATCTGGCGTGTTGAAGCCCGGCACTATTCCCCAAGACAGTATATTCCCCGGAAACAATTAGAGAAATTTCATTCTTCCTGGCGGTACCCATCTCGCCTTAGGTCTCAAAGATGAAGGACCTTTCGTCGAGAACACGGTGGAAAGCCATGTCGCACCGTTTTGTCTGAATTTCAAGGACGAAATTGCCAAGCAAATGGAAGCTTTTGTGGGGGAACTCTTCGGTTTTGAGATCATTAGTACTTACCTCGCTCACTGTTGCAGTGCACAGTTCCTGGCGCAGAATCAACACCGGTCCACTATACCCAGATCTTCCTCAGGTCCGGCCCCCCAACCAGTGTCACCGCTTGGGTGCCTATCGGTGATATCGAGAAGGACGGTGGCGGGTTGATATATCTCGATCATCACATGACATTGGGAAGAAATACGAAGGAGAGTTTACGTGCCTCAGCATAGACTTGAGTGAAGAGAAAAAGGTATCTCATGTTAATCGAAACATGAATGCGGGAGGCTGGTTAGACAGGAATTCGTCGCAGTTCGGGAAAAACTGGGGCCGGAACTGGCTCGTGGTAAGTTATTACTCCAAGAATGATAAGAACCGATATGAACATTGCTTCTGATTTCATATTCAAACTTACAGGGTGAATATGGAGCTGGAGATGTTGTTTTCCACAACCCACACATGATCCATGCTGGGCCCATCAACGAGTTGCCCAAGGGTCGGATTCGAGTATCAACTGATCTACGGTGTGTCGACACATCGAAGCCCTTTGAGGAACGATGGACTTTTCCTGCCTTCAGTGAAAGCGATCCTAACCTGGCGCACAAACTGAAGCTGTCCGCCTAAAGGGTGCACTTGTGGCTCTCTGACGCTTATATATATCGATAGAGCTCGCTGAATGCAAGGATGATAGGCCATCATAGCCTTTTGTGCGATTGACCAGACAGTGCTAGTTATCTTATATTCCGGCTCACAGATACACGTTAGGATTGCCAGTCACTCCCGCTATATTTTATTCTACTATGTTAATCATGGGCTATGGTCTCCTATGTGGTTCCTAGCTTATATGTTTTGCTTACAGTGCGGATATCTTGATGATGACCAGGTATAGTTGTTAGTAAATCGTATCTTGTAGGGGACTGTAGACCCGGCAGACCAGTAGTGCGATGGCACCCTCTTCCGCCCAGTTATCCTTTGAAGCCTATCCTTGGGGTCTTTGATACTTTATATTGTCCACCTGTCTTCTAAATGAGGCTGCTTTTCGAGACTGATGTTGATAACGGGTCAGTAAAACAGTGTAATAGTTAATAAGTATAAATAAGTTGAGACGGGTCTTTACTACTTAACGTATAGATACTAAGTAACTGAGTAGAGTAATTATAAAGAATTAGACTAAGTATATAAATAAATATCTTTATATATCTTATAGTTGACTACTCCTATTGTAACTTTTCTGGGGATAGATAATAGAGTATATCTAATTGTAGTATATAGTACTGTATACTCCTGGTATACTTCTCCTGGGATAGAATCGATAGATTACAGAGTAGATATTATATAACTGAGTTAGTATTAGCTATTTTATTAGTTATTTACTATAATTATTCTTTGGTAATCCTGTAGTTATTTCAGTTCTTGTTATCCTATAATATTCTGCCTTGTGTTTCCACCCTCGATAAGGTACACTAGACAAGGGTCTGTAACAGTGTGTTGGCCACGGATTCCTGTTTGGGCCTAGTGCCCACGCGCGCCTTTGTCTGTAATCGTGTAGCTAGAACCAGAATAGTAGAAACGATTTCTAGACTCATGAGATTTCATCATGATGCAATGATTCTGGACCTTGGGGATCTTGTAATATATTGAACGTCTCATGTGAACCTGTGCCTGTCGCGCGTGCACCAGTATATTGAGGGATCTTAATATCACAAGACCAGAAGCCTTCAGTGTTCGAAGGGCAACGCCGATAATCATAATCGGAATAACACAGACAGTATCTACTATCTATACTCAATAGATCTGGTCTTTCTCCCTTCGGCTGTTGTTGCGTGGAATATACTTGCATTGTGTTGGACCCCCACGGTTGTACCAGTAGTTAAGTCGCATCGAACCAAGATAGCTAACTGGTTGCAAGAGCCTTTGGACGAAACCCCTCACACCATCTCAGCGAGATCGGAACTGATTGCTGCGTGGTCCTCAGCCCCGCTAAAATAGCAGCCCAGAGTGCCCCACACTAGCACTAAGATCGAAAAGAATCGATGGTAGTGAAGAACACGTCAATATGTCGATCCACTCGGACCCAAGCTGAAATAAGTTCGGATCGACAGAAATACCCGTGTGGCCAAGAATCACCAGCCAGCCACAAAAATATTAGACACTGCGCTGAGAATTGATGTTAGGATATTGAATTCGTGCTAGATTCCAGCCTCTCCCTCCAATCTAACTACATGACAACCATTCCGAGAATCCAATTTAATAATGGTGTATCACTTGTAGGAAAGGTTATATCGGAGCTATATTGAATTGTTCACCTCAGGCTAGGGTAAGCGAACTTGACCAGGTCAGGGTCTATTTGCATTCATATATATAAGTGGCAATGAGTACAACTGCCCAACCAACAGTCTGTTTCTTCATCTTAAACTTCTCATTGTCGTAAAGGTTGTATCAGCCCTTGCACACTGAGTCTCCGACCACTAACCTAGACACTGTACTGTTGAAGCAATTAACGCCCGGTGTTACTGGCCCAGACGGCGTCGCCTCTGTAAAGAACAAGGTTACCGTCATTCTGCACAGCAAGGATAACAGGGCCATTGCTTGGGGCGGTATTGCTGTGCCAGAGGGCGTTGTCGTTCTGATCGCTAAATAGCAGTATGAAAGTTAACCAAGAAGAGCTTTATATTCAACTCACAATATCACGACAAAGAGAGATAGAATTGGAGCACAATAGGGAAAGGTAAACTCACTACAGGACAAGATTTCCATCTTCTTGCATATGAAGCCCCTTAACATCGTACCTCTGCTCGGATGTATTCTGCCATTCACATCTCGCGTTCACGTAAAGCGCGATCTTGCCATCCTGTTGCATTTTGAACTCGGTTTCGCCATTCTCACTCCAGAGGCTCTCGCCGACTTTGAGCCATTCGCCGTTACCAAGAGTGTTGGGCATATTGACAGAAGGACTAGGGAGATAGAAATGCAATGGGTTGAGTTGTAGGAGGGGATGGATAAATTGATATGCTTAAGAGACTGAAGTATTGAGCGGGCTGTAGAAGGGGGATGATGGCATTTATATATTACTATGAGACACACTTCTTTTACCGACTATAGTGCCGAACGCAAAGCCGTACGTTATCATGTTGTGCTGTTCTTGCAGGACAGACGATGATCAATGATCCTATGTTCAGCTCGCCTCTGTCCATCCAGCGAAAATGGCCTCCCTATTGGATTCGGCCTCTTTCAGCTCATTAACAGCTGTGGGGCTATGAGCGGTGCAGCTGAGCAGTATGTCAATCAATGCAACGCCGTCAGTTGTTCTTCACAGCGTCGTACTTCAAGGTGTCATGTCATTGGGTCATGGAGTTGACGTACTGCAGCATCTACATATGTGCTGAGCGCTCCGTGCGCAGGCTCGCAGCAAGCGAGCGTTCTAGAGCAGGTAATCAATATTCGATTAGTCAGAGAATGGATGGAAGCGGAGACCTTCCTGTCTGAGGGTGACGACTCATCATTTCTTTCGACCGTAGTTCTATCATTCTCTCTCTTTGGGCCAGTGGATGATTATACGGTGTCGAATAACAGTGGAAGAAGACACAACGGGATGTGTGATCTGATTGGCGGTAGACCCGGAATCCATCTCGGGCGGATGCACAGTTACTCCATTTATTATGATTTATTTTTTTTTTGTGAAATTTATTTTTTTTTTGGGGGGGGCGGTGTGGGTGGGGTAATTGATGCCTGAGGCAACAACCATTCCATACGAATTAAATGTTTAGTAACTAATGATGGCAAGTTGGGAACTTTTATCTGCCCTGAAGTTATCTACTATCAATCCCTTACTACCTCTCCTTTCAGGATTTGTCGGTTACACTTGTATTGCTACTATCATAATACGGTGCCTAACTTAGCTATATCGACAATACCGCTAGCTGAAAATATGATTTCAACTTAGAAACGGTGGGCTGAGTGCCCAGATGGATGTTGCTGAGCCACAAATGTACAATCAGGAGGTTACTGTTACAAATATCTGCTGTTAAAGACAGCCGGCTTCCACTTCCCTTATCCTTTGTAGTAAATCTTGGTGAAAGGATCGGGGGCTCTCTAGAACATGCCTGTATTCCCATTTCTACTATATTAGTATATCAGTTTAATATTTTGTATTATCAACTTGGAGTATATATTTATAACCGAGTTACTTGAAATATATATTCTATTTTAATTAAAATCTTTGATAACTTACAGAAAAAGATACTAATTTATTAAATTTATTAGCTTAATAATCTAGACTGGCGTTTGGCCAGGTTAGGTTATGGCTAGGTTACAACGGTTAGGTTATGCCAGTCTAACAGAGACTAGTTAGATAAATAAGAAAGATCCCAAACTATCATATTAAATAGATACTTAAGATGATATTGTATAGAAGCTTGAATAGCTCAAATTTTGTATTGAAGTAGGAATTTGTATTGAGATAAGACAGACTAATATACCAAAAGACGGGCGGGTCTGCTGACCTAAGAGACAGCTAATCTCTATAAGAATGGAGCAAGCAAACAAACAAACAAGCAGTTCATGCCCTCGTTGATCTCATGGTCGATCTATTCTCTCTCTCTCTCTCTCCCACTCCCTTCTCTCAATACAGTAGCTTCCCAATTTGTGTTTTCACTGTGCTGATCCCCATCGACTATACGCTACATCCCAATGGGCTACCCGTTACTCAGGAACTCCCAAGCGGGATACTCGTATCCTGGTGGCATGGACGAACATTCTTCCACATAATTGTTTCCGGGACTATCACGCTGAAATAACCCCAAACTTAAGAGGCGATAGTTGCATATTTATCATCCTTAAGGTATTCTATAGTCGGTTGGACATTGGCGTTACGTGATTCTCCATCATCGAGGACACAAGCATCAAAAACAGACGGGCCTGCGTCGACACCTTGAAGTAGGCTTAAATACCATGTATCGTTGAGAGACGCACTTCTTTGTCGACCTCTCAGCCGGCGTTGATCCTTCTGCACGTTCTCCTCAGTGGGCACGGTTGTGGCCCCGGTGGCAAGCCCTATTGTCCACGGAAGCTTTGGTAGGCCCAGAACCACGTATGTCGTGTCTCTGATTATCGGTGGTAGGAGTTCGTTTCGTGGAAGACGACCGGTTGCCAGACTAGAGTCAATACACGTTGAAAGTAAGAGATACGCACGCGGATATTTCAGGAACGCTTCAGCCCAACCTCTTATTCGCAACCTTTTGAACGCAGGGGACAGAAGCTTATCACGCCCTTTCTCCTCTACATCATTGCCTTGGAGGCATTTTGAGTCTTCGGTCAGCGACGGGCCTGTTTGTGGCACATTGCCTTCTAGGAGCAGGTTTTTGGTAATGGCGTATGCCAGGTGCAGGATCTGGTGCGTGCCTTGGGAGAACAGTTCTGTGACGTCGTACACTCTCCGTGACTGATCGATGACCTCGGAGCATTTGTCAAGAGCACGCTTTCGTTCAATCATGTCCGAAAAAGACATAGATAGCTTGACGTCTATCGCTGCGAGCACCATGGGAGTGCCGCAATACGCAAGTCTTCCAACCTGGTCAGTAATGGGAAAAGCAACAACAACGACAAACAAGAAGGCCCGTTTGAACGGCACTTTAGCCTCAATTCGTATTTTGAAATTGACATCTCGGGACATAGGGCTCATTGTCAAGAGCAAGGTGACTTACACACTCAAGGGGATATGTTCTGTTAGGTTTCTTGAGCTGAAATAACCAAGCTTTTGCGTGATCTGAAATACGGCGTCTTTCAAGTCCTTGGCCACAGGCAGAAGGATCGACGCCGAGCGGTCTTGGATTATATCAAGGTGGCTTTCCACGAGAAGCGTTTCATAATGGCCCAGGACCATACGAGCGGTCCTGTCAAACCTGTAAGTGAGAGCACAGTATCATGTTCGCCGGTAGTAACTTACTGATAGTGCAAAGCAGTTAGATTGATGATAATTCCAACAGTTTCCGGCTCGGCGATGCCAGTATGATGCAAGGGGGAATAAACCGTTTCTTCCCACTGAGTGAGCTCGGCTCGTAGCTGCTTGATCCGTGTGAGATATATATCCAGCTCATGAAGGGATAGACGTGGAGCATCCCCGTCCGACGCCGAGAATGAAATGGTTATGACATCCGTCAAGATCGCAGCCAGCTGGCATTGGGCCTGGAACACTTTCAGCAGCAGGCGCTTGGCATTGGGCTCATAAAACGGGGACATCATGATTTCGTTGGCCATGTCTTCCTCGTGTAGATAGTCAATGTTCAAGTTGAAATTCGCGGATGTGAACTGAGGCCGACGGTGACGGCCAAGCCACAGGAAGCGATCGCGGACAAAGATAGACCACCACAGTCGTTTCTTGGCACATCTATTGGGATCCTGGACCGAAGGATGGAGACCCAGCCCTGTAGCGGTTGCATTGTGGATTGCGCACATGTTCCAGGTCATCGTTGCCTGGGGGTCTTCGGCTGTGGTATGGAATGTCAGCAGCAGGGCACCTTGAGCTCGTGCTAAGGGGTCGCTCTCGAAGTTAGTATCATATAGCATCTAGTTTGGTCAGGCGCACATCAGCAGAGGGATAATTATTTTTTTCCAGCATGGACAAATATGCAAAGAAAGACATACCTTGGCGCGGTGATAAAACGTTCTTCTTGCTTCGCATGCATTATTGAAGCCACATTGCTGGATGGTTTCGATGGGCACAAACTGCACCGTCCAGTCCATGGTTAACCTGAGGCCCAGTGGCCACATGACGGGAGAATGGTACATACCGCGCAGCTCGAAAGAAGTATGGCTTGAAAAACGAAGAGGGAGATTTTGGGCGCGTAATCGGTGTCCTCCGGTTGGAGATAGGTGTTCCAAAACTCCACTTCATCCAAAATGGGCACAGACGGATGGACGAGCAGAAAGTATTTCATGATGAAAACATCCATCGCAGCCTTGGGGGGCATGTCTAGACAGCCCCCTGTCACGAGGATATGCACATCGCTCATCGGAAGCAGAGATAGGGCATTCAGGTCTAGAAAGTGTTGTCCAGAAAAGGTAGCACCGACACTGCCCAACCTCATCCGAGGCGAGTTCATAGGCAGGGGGTCTAGTATCTGGGTCGAAGAATCAGACTCATACTCAAATATCGTTTCAGTACGACTGGGTGACTGCAACAGTGCCGGCAGCCCAGCCGCTGGTGGTAACACGGCGGATTGTGGAGTGGTTTCGCAGGGCTCTCCACTGGCATTGAAGGTGCTTTGTTCGTCCTCACTCGGCTTCGCTAATCTTTCGGCAGTGTTCCGACGCTGGCCCTGTTTCAGATTCTTGAAACGTGTGGTAGCATTGGGGCGCAGAGTACAGTCCGTTCTGCCATCGAGCACGCAGTTCGTGCAAGGATAGCCGAGAATCGATGCATCGCAGCGCACCTTGCGTCCATGGCACCGATAGCAGGCCGCAGCCGCCCGTCGGATGCGTTTCTCCGCTGGCCGAGGGCCTTTAGTCTGGTACATGTTATCTCAGGAGGCTAGCTCGTGGGCCCAATCAGTGGAAGAGGGTCTGAGTGGATAGAGGCTATAAACTTTGGGAATATGTCGCAACAAGCGAGAGAGAGATATGACAGCTGTGGAAGTTCCGTGGCTTTGGGGTGCTCCAAAGGCTGTCCAGCGTTTACATATCAACCAGGGCTTTCCTGGCGACTTGCCTTTCTTACTATGAATGGCCATGGCTGAACGCCGCGTCACACACAATCCTTTCCCCAGGTTTACAGTTCGAGAGCATCTCCAATCTGCTCCAACCCCATTCAGCACACGCCTGATTCTGGCTGAATTAGAGAGCACCATCTAGTCTCGCGGCCCGCGGTATGCAATTTCCCCCGCGGGGAAACCCTAATTTGCAGCGACAGACCATGATCGACCTGCGGGGTTCTCCTCGGACTATTCTGCCCATCAAGCGAATTGGATTTGCGATCATCCTGCTAGTGTCGTGTGAAGATATAGCAGCGTTGTCTGTGTGTACCGGCTTGATCTACCTATTGGCCACATCTGTTGCGGGTTTCGTTATACGAGTAGGTGGAGGGGCGATATCTTGCTTGTCCTTACGTTCTGACCCCGCCAGGTCGATGGCGCTCAGGTGATACCGGCTTCCATTAATTTAATCCTGATCAGGGCACCAGTTTTCATCCAAAACATCACATCTCGTTCCCCGAACCCCCCGATGAGAATCTGGCACCAAATCATGGGACAAGTGAAACAGGGGTTACTGAAGATGCCACCTGCCAAAGAGGTGGACCTCGAGGCAGCTGACTACCCTGGAAGGCTCGGATGGCTTGAACGATCATATGCATGGCCACGATTCAGAAGTCATCTGGAGGGAATTTTGTGCTGGACACTCTCGTGGATTGTCTTCCTTGCTGTCATCTATTTATACTGCAAGTCAATCGATGCTAAGCTAAATGGACTAAGCTAATTTGTGACAGTGGTTTCCTGAGGGCTCGTAGTGGATGCTGTTTTAGAGTGCGGTGAATTTTGCTCTTGTTCTTTGGGTACGCTCGTTGTCTGGCGTTTACCAATTGGGCTCCTATATGCCTATCTATGTCCTTTGGACCAACGTACATGTATACCGAGCTTTGTTATATGGATGGGCTGGACGTATCGATGATTCATATGCTACAATTGTCAGGAGTGCTACCAACCCCATCGGTGTGATGTAATCTGTAGTCAATTCATATTTCAGTCTGGTTGCATACGCGTAAAGGCGTAACCTATGGAAGAATCGAGAGCAAGACGGCTTATTCATGAGAGTAATACAGAGAGCGTACTTGACACATTGACAAGAGTGCCAGTAGAGCCAATGAATAGAAACAGGAACACACTGCAGGCTGCATGGGAATGAGGGAATCATCATCAAACATGAGAACACTAGTCGTCACGCATTAGGCCATCCTCCTCAGTCGACGACGCATGTCTCTCATGTAGTATTTCATGGGGACCGTCCGAATAAAACGAGGAATGATCGGGTAGGCGATCTTGGCCCCCAGGATCACTGATTTATAGATCGAGCGCCGCAGACGGCCGTCGCTCATGCCGTACTCTACGCGCAGACGTTCAGGGAGCATCTGAGCTGTCATCAAGCGCACGAAAGGTAGACCCATCCGCAGGGGCAGGAACAGCTGCTTGTTATACAGCAGGTCTTGGGCGATGTTGCGGGCGTGATCGGTAACTTCTAGGTTGGCCACCGTCTTGTCCCAGTAGCGCCAGAAGGCCTTTCGGTCCTTGGGCCAGATCTCGAGCGGCACCCGCAGGGACCGTGCCAGGACGGAATATTCTCGATAGATCATATCCGCCTTGCGGGGATCCATGGCGCCGTAGACCTCTTCATACATGAAGATGCCACTGGCATACAAGGTGGCCGCCACCCACATCTGAAGGTGCGGGTCATCCGCCGAATAATCCGGCCCTTTGACCTCGGCGTGGGCACGATTGACCATGGAGATGATCGCGCGCTTTTCGTCCTTTGTGCCAAATGCCATGCAGTAGACGAAGGTCAACGTTGTCCGCAGACGGTGTAGGGGCCGGTACGCGAAGCTGCTGTGATTATCGACGCCCTTGGCGACACCGGGCATGGCAACTTGCAGAAGGATGGCTGCAGCCCCGGTGGCGAGCAAAACCCCTTCTCGCACAATCTTCTGCACATTCTCTGTGCTTTGAAGGGAGTCAAGCAGCTCGTCGTCCGGAACCATGGTCATAGTGGCCTTTTCCGAGATACTTGATTGCCATGGCTCCGGGGTGTCATCTCGCTTCGACTCCTCCGAGTCAGGCGTAGTCACTCGTGGCATTTCCGGTTTATCCATTGTGAGGCTTTTTGAGCATGTAGATAAACCGTGCTAGGAGAGTCTTTGCACACAGAATACCACTCCATCGTAAGACTCAGACATCACACCATGGCATTCGAATATATAACCCTCTATCCTACGTATTTGGCCACATACAAAGGTAGCAGCGACTCTCATCCACGAATTTAATTCCACGGCCGCGGCAGGCAGTCCGAGGCGTGGATCTGCGGGGAAATAGGAGGGATAAATTAATCAAGCCCAATAAATTAAATTGGCGCTGGAAGGATTTTCTTCCGCGGTTAACGGTCCGAGGCACTCCTGCAGAAATGCACAGCCTTCGAGATACATCTGACAAAACAAAATTATGAGTGTCGATAGGCTGAGATCGTAAGACCAAAATCAAAAACAAAAAAAAAAAAAAAACTTAATTGAAGGAAACAAATCGAAGTGACGCCATTACTCAGTCCTATCTCTAAGTTGCTAACCTAGGTAGCCTCACCACGAGACCTGAAATCGATCCCAATCTGTAAGTTTGCTAGAATACGCCAATGTAGGGTGTTCCTAGGTCCCATTCTTCTCGTTACCAGTGCGAGCCGACAGTCTCCCAAGGCACAAGAACGGACAGACCCTGATCTTTCCGCACCCTACCTATTTCAGACTGATCCAGTCGGAGCAAGCTTGTTTTGACTCAGTGATGATCGGAGGGATCGTGGGTAGCCAAGATGTTCAATATGATAGTGTTTGCGGGGGTTACTCGTCCCCAGATTCCCGCTTTGACTGATAAAGTGTTTATCCCCCGCACTCCTGGTATGATAGTTCCACATGCCATAGCCATTTCCTATTGCGTATTGTGCATTGGGAGCTCCGTCCTGTACACCGCAGAAGGACTCTAGAGTGGTATTCGCAACTTCCGAGACCCCATGGCTATCGGTGAGTCGGAAAGGCCCTTTGAGAGCTCCAGTGCCTGGAGAGAGTCTATCGATTCCGACTCCCCAGGCAAGGAGAAGCAGCGTGAAGGCGAAGGGGCAGGGCCTCGTGGCAGCACTGCCCTTGGAGCGAGGTCCAAAGACCTCCGATACAACAAGCCTAAGGGCTTTTGGCCACGCCTCTTCAAGCATTTCAAGCGGTACTGGCTGTGCTATGGCCTCCTGGGGTTCATATTCCTGGCAATCTTCTTGCCCGTATTGTAAGACTGTCGCCTTTCTATCGGTCCGTTATTTGTTGAAAAGATGGAAAATTACTAATACTCGAGCCTTAGCTTCCTAGTCATTATACCAGCGATTGCGCAAAGGTTGGTCGATGATGCTGGCATACCAATCCACTCGGCCGCTATCATGCGACCAACCCCTGATGGCTTGACCTTTTCGCTGTCCGCATCTCTAAGCGTTCCACTCGGATTGAGTGTTCGGATCGATCCCTTCGACCTGAGTCTCTTTAATCGGGATGTGGTGCCGAGGAAGCCATTCGTGACGGTTCCGCTCAATGGACTCCGCCTGAAAGGGAAATCAGACATCACCATCACCAACCAGACGACTGAAATCCTGGACGAGGACCAGTTCACTACGTTTTTGGCCAATGCGGTTTATTCAGAACGATTTACGTTATCAGCTTACGGAAAGGCGACGGCTCATCTCGGAAAGATTAAAGTCCCTCTGAAACTGGATAAGGATATAGAACTAGACGGTAAGTGGTGCGGCACCCCAGCTGATCGACTAGCATTAACCCCCCGGCGATCCAGGTCTCAATATGTTGAAGGGCTTCTCTATTGACTCCGCTCGCGTGGCTCTTCCACCAGAGGACGATGGTTCGAACCTGCTTGGGCAAGCGACATTGCCAAACTACTCTGTCGTTACCTTTGCTCTGGTAAGCTCCATTCACGGGTCTGCCGGGGCTTCGGCGACTTACTTCTTGAACAGGGAAATGTCACTCTAGATCTTAAGATCGATGATATGATTTTAGGAAATGGTACCATTAACAACGTGCTGCTGAAGCCAGGAAACAACTCAGTTCCATTGCGTGCCGTAGTGGATATCCCAAACGCGATCAGAAATATCGGGCCCATTTTGGCCGCAGAGACGGAGGCCCTGAGCCAAGGAAATGTGATGATCTCGGCATCCGGCCAGTCGACTATCTACGAGGGGGAACATATCTCGTACTTTGAGAAGGTGTTGAACAACCTGACCATCAGCGCCAACGTGCCCATTCTCAGGGTACTGTTTGGTTCTATCTCCGGGTTGGTGTCGTCGAATCCCGACGTGATGCAGAATGTGACGGACGCCTTGCGGGACACGGACTTGTCGGCTAGCCCGAATATGCGAGTAATTAATGAGTGATACATGAATGAATGAATAATGAGATAGTGTTTATGAGACGAGACGATCATGTCGTTAATTAATTTTTTCCTCCAATGGTAGTTTCAGGGACGGGCGTAAATACACCGAACCCTAAAAGCAGAGCCCTAGCGTGTCAGTCGCCGGGCGATATGTCGAGCCCCCACTGCTAGCAGATTTACGTGCCGAGTTAATTTCAACTCGGAGAGACAATCTTCAGAAAGGTATCAGCAGTCTAATTACCCCGCAGACCACAGGGGATCAACATCGCTTCCCCAGTTTCCCCACCCTGTATTTAGTCTTTCGGCATTACGGTCCGCGGCAGTGGGGCCGGCGGTACACTAGAGAGTCGAGATAGAAAGGTAGAGGAAGTTATCAGCTTCGCTTACACGCGCTGATCCTACCAATCTCCAATAGCTGACCGTCTGGATAGCTTGGCCGCGGTCAGGTAGCGTGAGGGACTAACCGGAAATCGTACAGGGTATGGCATCAGTGTTGGTCCCCGCACGAGAACACATGGCTGCCCCGTGCTTCTTACTGTCAACCTAGGCGAAGAGAGCTCTGGTCGGAGAAAAACAGAAAAGAAAAACAAGAATTGAAAAATGGCTCGCCGAGAGGGACCATGCGGAGTGCGCCAAGGTCTCTTCATGCAGGGTAAACACTAGGATACTAGTCTGTTGTCTGTTATGATGCGCTTGGCCCTCGGCAGGGTCTGCTCAGGGTGGACTACTAATACAGGTAGCCAGCTCCTGCTGGCTTGTTATGTCTTTGCAGTGCTCATCCAGGCCAGTAAAAGTGTCCATCTCTTCGCAGGATGAGAGTTGTGTCTCTATTTTCCCCGTTGCTGCTCGCAGCGCTTGCAGTCGCCTCCCCCGACTCGAATAATAATAATGCGACTCAGGGGTCGGCTGCAGTGAGTGCCGCCAACATCCTACCTGCCAATGCAGCGCAGGAATCGGCTTCAACTGGCGACGGCAGCAATAGTGCGACGCAGGAGCCAGAGGTAGTGAGCGCAGCAGCCAACATCCTGCCTTCCAGTGCGACACAAGAACCGGCTGCAACTGACGGCAGCGACAGTGCACATGCCACAGTAGCAGAAAGTGACCAAAGCACTGAGGGATTGGGCATTCCACTTCCTACCCTTCCCTCATTGTCTCTGGGCGACATTCCTATCCCAACCGTCTCAATTTCCACCACTATCAAGGCTCCCCCGACCTCGACCGTCTCCGAGAAGGTCACAGTAACTGAAAAGAGCGCGGAGTCGACGCCCACGGCGTCCACGGGTGGCTCGGGGCTTGACCTGGAAGATCTCCTAACAGGTGTACTGGGTGGCAGCGGCTCTGGTGGAAGCTCCGCTCTCTCGGAGATCGAAGACGGGATTAAGAATGTTCTGAGCCTGTTCACGCCATCGTTTATCACGGATGCCACCACACTGGTCAGCCAAGCCTCCGGGTTCTTTGACAATGAGACGATGCAAGATACGAAGGCAATGATCAGCACCATCGCCAGTATCAAGCCAATGCTCACGTCGAGCAACAATAACAACGGTGGAATTGAGGGGATCACATCATTGATTGGCAATGGAACGTTCTTGAACGATATTGACAATATTCTGAAGGATATTGCTGCTCTACCAGCCATAATTGGCGAGATCATCAACATATTAACAAGCGATGAAGTCCAACAATTCCTCCAGGAGCTCCCTGAGATTCTGAACAAGATCTTACCGATCCTCAATCCCGACTTAATCAAAGCTCTGGAGTCGCTCATCACGGACAACCTGACACCAGAGCTGGTGAATGACTTGTCATCAACACTGGGCGCCCTGCGTCCGCTACTCCATGATATTCAACCGATCCTGTCGAACCAGACCATGGAGCCACTCCTGAACCTCGTGACGACCATCATCTCACCGACCTTCATCAATGAGATCGAAGAGGTGCTGAAGGCCTTGCCACCAATCATCAAAGATATCCTGCCTCTCCTTGGATCGGACATTATTACTCCGCTAGTGAACCTGCTGAAGGAGATCCTCACCCCCGAGTTCATCAAGCAGATTTCGTCCCTGCTCAGCGACCTGCCTGATCTGTTCAATACCCTTGTGCCGTTGATCAAACCCGTGGAAGAACTGATTACCGAGATTATAACACCAGACTTTATTAACGAGATTGGGTCCTTGATCAAGGCTCTGCCACCCATCGTTAAGGAGCTTATACCTCTGCTTGAGCCTCTCGGGAACCTGCTCAAGGAAGTCTTAACGACAGAGTTTGTGAACGACATCAAATCATTAATTCAGGCTGTACCAGGTCTTTTGGACACCATTCTGCCGCTTGTGCCGAAGATTGAGGATCTACTCAAGAAGATTCTCACACCAGAGCTTATCAATGCGCTTGAATCGGTCCTGAACGCTGTACCAGATCTGATCAACAGCATATTACCGCTGGTGCCGGACTTAGTGAACCTGGTTAAGAAGGTTCTCACACCGGAGCTTATCCAGTCCCTTGAATCGATTCTTGACGCCGTACCAGGGTTATTAAATTCTCTGTTGCCGCTCCTGCCGAAGATTGAGGACTTGCTTCAGAAGGTCCTAACGCCGGAGCTCATCAGTGCACTCGAATCAGTCCTCGATGCCGTGCCAGGACTGATCAATAGTGTGTTACCGCTTGTGCCAGACTTGGTGAATCTGGTCAAGAAGGTTCTCACACCGGAGCTCCTAAAGGTTGTCGAGTCGGTTCTCGACGCAGTACCAGGATTGGTGAATACTCTATTGCCTCTTGTACCTAAGCTAGAGGAGGTACTGCAGCAGGTCCTGACCCCAGAGCTATTATCCGCCGTCGAATCGCTCATTTCTAAAGTTCCTGGTATTATCAACACGATACTGCCACTGATACCATCGCTTGAGGACCTGATCGTGAACCTTCTCACACCAGAGTTCATCAGTCAGATTCAGAAGGTCCTGGCCGCAGTTCCTGGATTACTCAACGCCATTCTACCCCTGCTTCCACCCATTGAAGAGCTCATTCCGAAGATCCTCACCCCTGACTTCATTTCTGCCATTGAATCGGTACTCGCGGCGGTCCCGTCGATTATACAGGATGTGCTGCCATTGCTACAGGGCGATATCATCAAGTCGTTGGTGCAGATTGTCACCGATATTGTCACCCCAGAGTTCATCAGCGATATCAGCAGTATTGCAAGCCTGATCCCGCCGTTGGTGCATGACCTCGTTCCAATCTTCAACAAGGAGCTCATCACGGCGATTGAGAAGCTGCTGGCGAGCATCATCACCCCAGACTTTATCAACGATTTGACGTCTCTGATCAACGCAGTAATCCCTGTGGTGGGAGATATCATTTCTATCATCGGCAGCGATGCCGTGAAGAACCTCATTGCAGGACTGCCAGATATCATCAACGGTATACTGCCAATCCTGAATGTGGACATTATTCTGGCCCTCGAAAAGGCTCTCACTGGGCTTGTCACTAAGCAATTCGTTACCGATGTCGGCTCGGTCCTGGCAGCGGTGCCACCATTATTGCACAGCTTGGTCCCCATTTTTGGCACTGAGCTTCTTGGACCTGTGGAGAATGTTATATCCACATTGTTGACGCGAGAATTTCTGGGAGACGTAGGAGGGCTGGTTGATACTGTGCCACCCCTTCTCAATGACACCATGCCGTTGTTCCACAAGGACATTATCGTTCCAGGAGAAAATGTTCTCAAGGATCTGATTACGCCCGAGCTTCTGAACAACGTTGGGTCTGTGCTTAATGAAGTTCCGGCCATTGTTCAGAGCTTGATTTCAGTTGTCGGCAGTGATGCGGTGAGCTCACTGCTAGACGCAGTGCCGAAGCTTCTGAACAGCCTTTTGCCGCTTCTGAACGGAGACCTCATTTCCAACCTGGTAAATGACTTGACTGGCATTCTAACGCCCGACTTCATGAATGATATCAACACACTCCTCTCTTCAATCCCAGGCCTTGTACACTCCATCCTACCAATCTTCACTGGAGACACCCTCACGACACTGGTGCAAAACATCATCCCATTGATCAAGGCAGTTGTAGCTGTACGTTCCCCCTTCCTACGAGCTGCTAGGACGAATATTTGCTAACTTCTACCGCACAGTTGTTGCCATTGCTGACCAATATTCTGGGATCTATATGAGCCGGAATACATTAAGGTTCATCCTCGGACTTTCAGTGATGCTAGGCCAACCTCCTGAGTGTATCCTGTGAAGATATGTATATGTTCACCTCTGAGTATGGGGTGGAAATCTGGTAAAGATGATTGTTGACGGGGATGACTCGTCTATTGATGGAATTGAGTAACTGTCATGTTGCATATGACCCTTAACTAATGGTCTGACCAATAATATAATGATTTATGTTTTCTGTGGGCACCACGATCTATTTTCGAAATGCGTGGAGCCTGTTACGACATCCCACGAAATAAATCTCGTACTGAACAATTCTGAGCACCGGAAGAGCGCTACCGTAGGAAATGACACAATCTCTGTATAATAAAAATCTCTGTAAACGGACTTCAGCAACTGCAGCCAGGAACTCAGATATATTTTTAACACCATACTTTCCTTCGAACCCCTAGAATTACCAAACCTGGGCTGATGGTCTGCATGTAAAAGTGTCTTGTCCCTAACTTCAGCAACTGATTGCGGGAAATGCTATATACATTCTTAAAAAAAGGAGCATACTAACATACATTGGTGAAATTCATAAAACTAAATTGGCGAGCAATAGGAAACAATGCGCAACAACCCTCAGGGCTTGATCAACTGCCCACCCCGTTTCCTTATCCGCCTCCTCATCTGACCCATCATGTACGTCTTCGTAAACTGTCGTACGAATAGTGGCATGAAGGGGTAGACGCCGGACATTCCAGTAATAAAGAGGCCCGAAATCACCCGGGAAGACTTCGTTGACTTTAGGAAGAATTGATCACGCACGCGGGGAGGCAACTGCTCGATAGTGAGGCGTTTCACAAATGGCATAGCGACAACAGCCAGCGGCCGGGCCCACAGAGGTAGACCTTTGGCCGGGTGAAAGATATCATGCAAGACTGCACGGGCATCGGGTGTCACACACAGTCTTTTGTTCACCATATCATCCCAGTAGAGCTGAAATTCTGTCAGATTCTTTGGCCACATCTCAGGTGATACTTGAAGCGACGTCCCCATGATTGAGAATGCCTGATAGACTCTTTCGGCCCTCGTAGAACTGAGGGGTCCATAGATCAACTCGTACATATTGACCATAGTGGCATAGATCGTGGCTGCCACCCACACCTGAAGCTCGGGGTCCTTTGCGTTATATGACTGTTTGTTATGTTGCCCCACGACGCGAGAGTGGGCTTTATCGACGTATGCCTTCATGGCCGCCTTTTCAGAGGTAGAGCCAAAGATCATACAGTAGATGTACATCTGGGTATACTCTGCCCGACTGATAGCGCGTGTTTTGAACGTGCTGTGGTCTGCGACGCCAGCTCCTACCAAAGGGTGTGCGATTTGGAGCAGGATTGCCGCAGGGCCTCCCACAAAGGTGATGCTTTCCCGAGCGATCATTTGGAGCTCCATCATTGCCAGATCAGATATTTCAGGTGTGGAATAACCCTTCTCCACATCGATGGAGAAGTAATCATCTTCCTGGTCAATGTACACAGCACTTTTTGTTTTCATGATTGGAATGGTCTGATGTAGAAAATAATAATATCTTGTGAAGATGCGATAAGGGGTTGAACAAAGCAAGTCTTCAAGCAGGGCTATATATGGGTCACGGTCTCCAGATTTATCAGCGACATGTAACACAACCCTTGTGTCTCCGTCTTCCTTCACCTTGTCGGATTGTCCTCATGACGGCTCAGCGACGTCGGTCCGTGGAATCTGGATCAAGTAGCCCCTCTTTACCACATGGTATGTCCAGTCATACAGTGAAGTATGGACTTGTTTATGCTGATCCCATGCCTCAGAAGGTGGGCATGGCATTTCTATGCGGGGATGAAAGAGAGTTGACGAAATCACAGGTAGTAGCCACCCACCATTCCATGATGTCCAATAACAACAAAGCCATAAGTGGTTGAATAAGACTTGATTGTATCGCGGGCTCCGAAAGAAGGACTTGCTTGCCTCGGACCGCTCTGTGCCTTCGTCATCGTCATGGAAATGCATGGACATGCCTGTTGTTTCAAGCCTGCTCATTGGGTTGCGTCACGGAGCATCATGATGGGCTGGGGAAAGCATGGTGGACAGCAGTAAATGTACACGACATTATTCACCCACCTAGACTTCATCAGTATGATTCATAGTGATACCTCTAGACTAGGAGCCCACTAGGTGGTTTTAGCCTGGACCTACGTTTAACATTCGCACACCCAAGTACGACATGATAATCACACATGCCCCATGTCAAAGCTTATCTTTGGGTATACATCTGGGCCTCCTACCGAGGGTCATAACATCAAGCGATTAGATATCAGGCTAACCCAGAGCTTGATGACGAGATCCCCCACAGCTCCATCTTCCTGACCGCCTAGTTAACTTTCAACTGAAGGTCTGCGTGAATCCATGCCCCAGGAAGCGTAAACAGCTCCCCTGACAGTTGCCGAGTCGATACGGCGGAATGAATGATGCGCAACTCAGTCAGGAGAGTTGCATAGGTAACTAAATGTTAATGAGTGCAATGCTTCTTTCCTCTCTAACTTTGCTCTGACCGTTTATGCTGGGCATTGTGCCGTGAAGTGCAGCCACACCATACCGATGAGCTGCCCGCTACACGCTACTCATCATTTACAATGTGTGACTTCATTACCCGTTTAGCTCACCTCACAAATTGTAGTGCTAGCAGCGAAGACAGTTCCTGGTGCATGTGTGGAGGCTTCCGGTGTCCAATATGCCTAGGGTTTCCAGGATTCAGATCCCCGCAGACGGCAGGCTCACACTTCCGTGGAAGAGGCAGCTTTAAGCCTATAGGGTCTGGAGGTCAAACCGCGGGATCATCGCCCGGGCCGCGGGAGCCCTAGTGGTTCTCGGGGCCCCGCTGATGATGGCGTCGATCATCTCTACTTTCGGTGTCTTTTGTCCAAGATATAGTCATTTAGTACACATGACCTGTTGTTATAGCTATCCATGAAGGAGGTTGGTCCGTGGCATCCCAGCAAGGGAAATTGCGGCATGGTCGCCATTCAATAATTAGGAAATTGGTATCCGGCTTCTCTAATGGACATCAGATGAACCTTGGTACTTGAACACGGTTCGATACGGACTTTCACCCGGTAGGTCTCTTATATCTTTGTTGTATTTATATCTACAGCATACAAGCACGATGCGACACTTGCAGTACATTCCTCTACTCGCTTGCAGTATCGTTATGGGGACAGAGAGTATAGCCTGGAGAGGTCAAGCAGCTAATATCCGGGATTTACGGGACCAGAGGTGGGTGTGGTGGTCCTTCGCAGTTCCTGACAATAGTTACTGATTTACTCATTCTAAGATCCATAACCAACAACCCAAGCATCCTGCTAGAGAATGGGGCGTCCTCCAATAATTTAGCCATTGATGTACCACTCGCCTCGGACCAGATACTCTCAATAATAGCGGCACGAGTTCTTGTCGGGTTGATCAACTCACAGTTACCCACCATCCTGGCCAACCACTCACAAAATAATAACGCAATCACTGGGTACCCAGCTACGCCCAACAACACCATGGGCGATCTCTCTAACATCCAACTGCATACGGGATTGCCAGGTGACACCTTTCCAACGGGACTGCTGTTAGAAGGAAGCCTTGGGATCACTAGCGCCATCAGTACAGATGGTGCTAAGGCAGAAAATGCTCCTACTTCCTTCTCAACAGACAGGATGCCCCAAGGAATCGAGGCTATAGTGGACCGCCTGTTGATGGCCTTGAGGACACTAGGGGCAGCTATGCTTCTGTACGTATCTCTGAAGCTGATGGGAATGAGTTTAGCGTCAAGACACAAGAGACACTGGCTAATGTGGAGTACGTGACAGAATGGTTATTGCGCTTGATTCTCGGTTTGGACGCGGGTTAATCAATGCATCAATAAACGGAATTTCGGTCGTCTAAATCATGATACGAGCATGGCTAACCTACAAACAATGGAGGGCGCTGGATGACCTTCATGATCACCGCTAGGCCTGTGGTAGTCAACGACATGAGCTTTCATACTTCGCACCCTATGAACACCATTCAAATACCATGGGTTTTGCAACAGGACTGTCCCCCGGCCAAAGATACATAACGCGCTTTTATTGGACACACCAGGAACGCTTCCCATGTCCTTAAAATGAGGTATTCAGATTTTCCACCCGTTTAGGACAGCGTGGCTATCTCTGAAGCCAGTTTGTTCCTGCAAGCCCACCCTCTCTGTCCCTACCGGAAAGGCCATCCCCGACGCGTTTAGAGGGCTTTGCCAGGGTATAGGATACACCACATCCTCCATTACGGGCAGGCAGAACGCTGGGTCAATAGATGGCATTGACTGGAGGAATTCGAATCTGATGGCAGATACCTCTCTATTTTCAGTGATCTCTGGGGCATTTTCAGCCCCTTTATAGGGTGGAGACAAGCGCTCAGGCACATGCTTTCTGGCGTGCATTTGTCGCCCAGACTCGATAGTAGTCCTCGGGCTTGGCTGTGTTCTAGGACCTATGCTGTCCACATCGTTATATTCTGGATGCCTCACCCTCGGCTCTGGCGCCTTCCGCTCAGTCTCGTCCAAGGGCACTGTAGCCACCCATGGGAGTTGGAAGCCTAAGGATCCGGAGGCCACTGATCGCAGGACCTCCGGTAGAGCGTTCTCATGCGGTAGTCGGCCGGAGCAAAGGGAGTAGTCGGTAGAGGTCGAAATAAGGAGGTATATACGGGGATAGTGGACAAACAGATCAAACCACCCAGAGGCGTACTTATCCTCAAAGGCCTTCAATGTTGCATTTGAATATGCTCGGCCTTGTTGGTACGGATCCTGGAATCCAGATGTCTGCCCAGGTTGGCGTCGTCGGGTACCCAGCCCTTCCGACATCTTCGTAACCAGGTGGAGGATCTCCTTGGTCCCCACCGCAACAAACTTTGTTACATCATAGAGTTCTATAAGGACATTGTAAATGGCCCCTAGAGTGTTTAGCTCTCGCTGCCGTTGCAGGGCTTCGGCGTCATTCCGTGCAAGGCCTGCATCAATTGCGGCCACGACTATCGGCCATCCAACGAATGCCAGTCTATTTACGGCACAGCGAGTCAGTCCCGTCTGCCAGGAATGGTGCAGGCAGTGTACCTACATGCAAAGCGGAATAGCTTCAATATCCTTGGTATAGCTGAAATATTTTAATACATTGTGCAACCCATTAATGGCCTCCTGCAGGTGGCCCCCAGTCTCCCGGAGCTGCATGGTGTACGAGTGTCCGACAAACATCAAATTGGCTTCAAGAAGAAGGGCTTCATAGTGCGCTAGATGGATATGAGCGGTACTAGATAGTGGAGTTAGCCGGGGGTATAGCAGGGGCCTAGGCATGTGCTACCTACTAAGAATACACATATGTCATCTTAATGAAAGACGTCACGGAGTGAGGCACGCTAGAAGGCGTGATCGACAGAGCGTCTCGCGACTCTGTCTCCCATTGACGTAACTTATTTCTTGTCTTCAGAACTTTGGCCATGCATGCCGGGAACTCCTTTGAGGGCAGGCCCCTTGAAGAACCTTCATACGATGAGAATACCAGGGAAACCATGTCTGTAATCAGGATCGCTAGACGGCATTGCTGCTGTAGAGCTGCCAAAATGATGCGCTTGGTGTGTAAGTCATATACTTTAGATTCTTGAATCTCCTCAGCGAAGTCTGCCTCCTCTAATGGGCTGTTCTCTGCATCAAAGTCCTTCATTGTGAGTTGGCTGCGTCGGCGAAGGGCCAAGGAAATCCATCGGTCACGCAGCAGGATTGACCACCATAACCGTTTGATGGTTGATCTCTTCACACTGATGGATGGCTTCGGTGGCTTTCCTAGGATGATGGCATTCTGTATCGCATTGGCTAGAAACAAACTACCAATTTGAGGATCATCTGGGGAGGCTTGGTAAGAAAGCAACAATGCTCCCTGTGCCCTCTCCAAAGGTTGGTCTTCGGCCTTGAGGTCTAGTAGCAGCTGAAGAGGATGTTAGTGACCCAAAGCCTGGACTCATGCCATAGGAATACGGTGCTCGCCTTGGCTCTATTGAAGAAGGTGTCCCCTGCCGTGGGTCTCTCTGGCAATCCACACCCACGCAATGCCTCCGTCGATACATACTGAAACGTTTAGTTTATGTCACCCCAAAGCCATAACAAATCGGCGTACCGGACAGCTTCGAAATAACATTGCCTGTAAAATCAGGACAGAGATCCTCCGGCCATGTGATGCTGCGCTATCCCCATGCTGTGAATACAACTGCCAGAACTCTGCCTCATCTAGTACTGGGGTACCTGGATGGATATGTAAGAAGTACTTTTTCACAAACTCGTCCAGAATCGGTCGTGTGGGTAACGTAAAACACCCTTTCGACGCTAAGTATGAAATATCCCATTTGTCCAAACAGGACAGCGAACGAAGGTCAAGGAATGGATAGGCAGAAAATTCCACATCCGAGGCCGAGATGGGCGCAGCTGTCAGACTAATTGGTGCTGAATTGGTCGCAGACAGCCTGCCGCCATTTTCTGGTCTGACTTCAATGCTTTGCTGGGTCGGGGGTGATTGATCGACGAGGCTCGCAGGAATCTGAGCTCCCTGTGGTTGGTAGGAGACCCGACTCTTTCCTTCGTATGTAAGGCCCTTGGATCTGCAAGATACTTGAGCACAGGTTCTTCGTCTTAATGCTGTCCATACGGAGAGAGAATATGAGACATGATACTTACAGCCTCGGAGCGCGCTCGCGGAAAGTGCAAGCCTGGCCATCCTGGAGGCACCTTGAGCAAGGACATCCACTAAAAGATGCATCGCAGCGGACCTTGCGTTGCTGACACCAGACACAGGCGCGGGTGGCCCTTCTGGCTCGTGGCAAATACATGTGTGGATTGGTGCTTCCAAGCCCAACGGTACGCTGCGGACCTGAACTTGCTACACCTGATATGAGAGACTTAATACTATTATTGAAGAATGCTGTTGAATAGGAGAGTTGATATTATGCGGGGAAACAGGTCAGGTGAGCGAAAAGATGCAGCCAAAATTCATCCAGGACAGTCCTTGCCCTACGTAGACCACGCCGTGGACGAATAAGCGACTGGCATCTCCGACTGAATAGCGTACTGCCCCTGTCGCGTCCTTTACCTAGTTGGGCCCCAGATCTGGCCTGCAAGGACCAGGTAGTCCAATGGCTGGGTGCTTGACCGCGCTATGTCTAGACAAAGTAGACCTTAATCGTTCATTACTCGGCTATGCTTCTGTGAATCAGTCTTCATGCGTAATTAGCCTGCCCATGAATCATATTACTGACTCGCGCTCTTCTGATCCTGGGGTCCAAAGAGCCGGCGACGATCATTGAGCAACAACATGCCTGTCCTCGGCTCCTGCGCACGAACGCATTCTTGTTGTGATACTCAACATGCACCTCTATACGTGTGTCGGCGTTGGATCTACCAGCCCCTCTCCCACCTGTTCGTTCTATTCGAATTGCCATTCTGCATAACGTAGCGAAAATGCGATCAGATACGTTAGTGTCCGGGGTACCCCGCTGATCAGCACCAACTCGTTTACATGTGGAAGCCCTCGGTCCGCGGGCTTTATCGGATTGGGTACGAGCCGAAGTTCAGTCCTGGGTCTAGCTTTTAGTCCACAATCTGTACCACCAATAAAGTTGGTCCAGCGGGTAAATTGAACCTGGCCCTAGACATCGCTTTGCATGGCCCCTCACCATCTCCTGGGGAGTGTCTCCAGTTGTAGGATCCCTACCAAATCTGTCACCGTGCGGATTCACATCCGAACGTTAGGGCTTGGACTTCAGACTGGGTCCAACGGCGATAATGATAGTGACACGAATACTCATCTATATGGTGTAACAGTTCCTATTCTGCCAAGGAAAATTCCTTTCACAACTACTCTGCTCTACACCAAAATATACTTATAATGGTTCAGTCTCGAGGTTAAGGGTGTGATTAGCACTTATACACTGATATACTTCTAATGGGGGTTATTTCTATATCGATATCTTATTTTAAACTAAGGTTAACACACCGCATAGACCAAAAACTGGCCGACAGCTTATGGGGAACGTAATATGGTTATAACTGAAGATCCCGTACCGCATCCTCCGTCCAATTATTATTGTCTTCTGCTTAGTTGAAGCAGCAATGCGGGACTATAGCGGAGATTATGTATCTTAGTATTCGTGTGCATGGGTAGTAATGGTCACGGAAAAACCTTTCATAAATGAGCCTTAATGTTATCAGCTTTATACACTTATAAGTCTTACCAATATCGAAGTCAGCCAAGCTACCTGCGTCATACACAACTCAATTGCCAGCATAGAAACGCATGATAGGATTATATGGAATCTTAAACTAAATCCCTATCGCTCTGGGCTCCTCGATGACTTGATTAGAGTATATATGCTGCGTGGATGCCGATCACTAGGAAGATACTAATACCTGGAGCTTACTGTTGGGATAGAATATTGCAGTGTAGTTGTGTCCATAGCTATACCTGGACTATCGGCAGGGGAGAAGCTTTGTTGGTTTCCGCCGGACTGCTGCCTGAGAGCTGGACACTCTACTAGTGGCATAGACCATCCTTGGGGTTTTAGACTAAATACTAGCAAAGTCCGAGGTCTAGGACGATTGGGCTTAGGTGGGTCCAGTTTGACAGTGCCCTTAAGAAGATACCTGTTTGGGCATTATATCATACACTGCATCGTTGGTCGGTGTTTAAAAACTCTGTTTAGTTGGCTTATGGTATAGCAAGAGCTTCCTTGAGACTTACACCTCTCAGCAAGTTTATATGACTGGCTTGTTACTGTTATATATATTTTGTCTCAACCCCACTCGAACAAAACGCCAATGGCATTAAGGTCGCGCCTTGAATACCATATCTCCAATATGTTACTTTGAAACAATTTTCATCATCGTCATTAGGGGAAGAATATATCGTACGGCAGCATGGTAGGGGATGGGTTCCGAGTTATATTTACAATATTTTAATTCGTGAACTAGTGTCTTAAAGCGGCATCCGTGTGGACGTATGTTTTAGATTCTGGAATATTTGTTGCGATAAAGCTTCAAGACGAGCAAATTATGAGATGATTGAAAGACCACAACACGGGCCTGAATGGACACAATTCATGGAGCAAGGCAGTAATGATCGGGCCTTCGGTCCTGTTTGCTACATCCCCATGTACCTCCTGCGCCAACTCTTCTGGATTCCCCGGCATCTCATAAGCGAAATGACTGTTTAGTTCCACGGGAAGCTTATGCCGCAGGTAAGGAGGATGGGGCTTTCTGATAACAGCCGTCATCGGTTCCCTATTCCGGAGTCAAAGCCAAGCAAAGTTGACAAGTATCATGATCGCCTTGAAGGTGGTGCAGCAGTCGTGAGTCTTCACCACAACACCAGGTTGTGGTGGTGTTTGGAACCCCACAAGGTGCTAGCATCACCGTGTGATTGGGGCTTTGATGTTGCTATTGTATTTCTGATTGTTGTGTTAGTGGGCTTGGGCGAAGATGAGGGCGTTGTGGGAACGGATTTGAGGAGCATACCACATTTCCGATATAGGCTGGCAAGCATCCTCCGTCATACCAATTCTTGTCTTCCCCAAGCGATCTAGCACCCCCTTCACAACATTGCGATTCCCTTCAGATACCAGTCCTCTCTAATGCCCTGTCCCATAATGACTACACAATGGGATGAATCTGTGCCTGAGAGGTAGAGTTCGCGGTCGCTGACACCATGCTACATGATATGCATCCTAACCTTCCCCGCGTGGGCAGCGACATGGATGTTTATGAACTGGGCAGTATTTGGGGAGGGCCGCCTCGCCGACGGGGTGGTGATCCAGACAGGCTGAATGGCTGAGGTTTGAAGCTCCAGGCACGGGGAGGAGAGCCTCGCCCTGCGATTCTTGAAGGAAATGTTTCATCGTAATCAGAGAATGACAGGATTAGCATGAACAATTGTGCCAGCAGTAGCCACAACAATCTGTATTCTGGATCTCCCGCCTGGGCAGCAGCCGTACAGCAACAGCCAGAGAAGAATCCCAGCACACCCCAGAGCCCACTTCGGGTGGAGGATGAGATCATGGGATGTAATTCCACTCGCGGATGTGGTCGCTAGCCGACATGACATTGGCAGCATCCACCACTACTACTGAACCTGAGAAAGGATGACTTCGTGCCGATCAACCCCACCCTTCAGCTCAGTTTGCCGACGCCACAGCGGCTTATGGGATTCGGTATCGCTTCTTCGGCTCCCGAGTTTCTCTCTCCACTGGTCTGTGCGATTGGATCGCTTAATACTGAGCCTGCAGCAAAGCACGATTGGCGCCGGGCCGGAAATTTCGCAACGCCAGCTGATGAGTGGCAACCTTGATGAATCACCATTCATAACGGACATATATAGATCGGGCATTGGCAAACTCTGAGCTGCCCCGTTTGAGAAGCGAAGCGGGTCAACACACGAAGGTGGCTGGCGTCATGGAATCTAAGTTCATGACGTGGCGATCGTGAGGCCTGCAGGATGGGCCGGATTCGGTGGGTCGTTGCTTGACTTTTCCACATCGTGCATACCGCTAGATGAGAGTAGTGGTGTGATTCTATCCGTAGACGAGGAGGAGGGGTAGGCCGTCAATCAGTCTTAATAGCCATCGTTCCCACAGGTCTGGCATTGGGCTCTATCTACCTTCTGATTAGGAAGAAGGGCGGGACGTGTGCTAAGAAGATACCAACACCAAAGATACTATTGCATTCCACGGTAACCGTTCACCATGTCTGACCATTCTATCTCCGCCGAAGCCACCCCAAGGAGATTGGAACTCCCCAAAGGCGAGGGCGAGCAAGAACTGGAAGACCTCGAGTGCGAGCCGTTGAACAACTACTTGGGCTCGATCATCCGAAACGCGCAGGTGAAATTCCGCGACGACGCCGAGGCTGAACCGCCCGTGGAGCTTCCTAGTCTTGTTCATGGGGACTCCGAGAGCGAGGAGGAACAATTTATGCCTCGACACCAGATGGTCACAAACTTTCTATCCGCGGGCTCAGGCTCAGGCTCCGTGGGTGGAATAACCGTCGGCGGTGCTGTTGTCGAGAATCTCTCCTTAGTCGTCCCTAGGGATCGGGACGGTGGCTTTGGCGATCTTCCCGTTTTGCCGATTACGGCGATGGGGCAGGAGAAGACAGAGCTGGTGGCCATCGTGGGTAAAGATCCAGAGGCGGGTGCAGCCACCAGTATTCCGATTTTATTGATGCCAGACGAGGAAGAGGATGAGGGGGAGCCGTCAAGGGCAGGTGTTGGTGATACCATGTCGGGACTCGCAGGTGCTTCTGTTCTTGCAAACTTCGCCCCAAAACGGAAGACAAAGCCCCAAGTCGAGGAGAACCCAAAGAAGAAGGCCGGCGAAGGCACGACGGCCGAGACAGAGGTGGCAGAGGACAGGGCGAAGAAAGAGGACGAAGCCAAAGTTGCTAAGACCGAGCTGGATAACTACGTGCTCTCCGGGGATATTAAGAATCTTTTCGGCATTAAAGGGTTGAAAGGAAAACTATACAAATACAAGGGTAGGATTTCTGAAGGCGACCAAAAGCACAACCTATACTCACATTCGTTTAGGCCCTGAAACCAAGGAGGACAAGAAGAAAACGAAAGACAAGAGAGAAGACAAGAAGGAAGGCAAAGGGGAAGGCAAAGGGGAAGGGGATGATCAACCGAGTGAGAATGATCAGGGAGACGCAGAGCCCAAGGCCGGCACTGCAGGTAAGGATACCCCGGAGCTCAAAGCTGGCAGTGACGATAGCGGACCCAACGGAGACAAAGCCGGAAAGCAAGATGAGAAGGGGAGCAAGGATGAGAAGGACAAGAAAGCGAAAGAGAAAAAAGAGCCAGCTCGCGAGAAGGTAAAGATTAATCCAAAGAGTTTGGCTTTGTTGGGTAAACCTTTGGGAACGCTTCTCCCATTTCTTGAGAGCGAAGAGATCGAAAGCCTACCCGTCGAGAATCTCGAGTTCACTTACTGTGAAGAGAAAAGCGGCCAATTCTTCCCTCCTGGTCTGCGTCTCGAGGTGGATGTGCCGCTCACGGGTAGCCTGCAATGGGCGACAGATGCATTGCAGAAGATGTTTGGTGAGAAGAGAACGCCCAAAAAGGTCCATCTTAGTGCAGACCTAGGTAAAACTAGGGACTGGTCGAAGCGACCAAAAGTGGGAGATTTTGCGCTGCGAGGTTATTTCAAGGATTTTGGATGCCAGACTTGGGACATTCTCCAATTCAAAGCCCTGGGGCTAGAACTTACAGCCACGAAGGCAGCCAGTAAGAATGCTAAGGACAATACAAAAGGAAAGGATGAGAAGGAAACGGAGAAGAAAAGTGACAAGGGCGACGATGAGAGCGAGCAGCAGATGTCTCACAACGCTACCGGGGAACACCCGAGTGAGCCTAATGGAACCAAGAGCGATGAGCCAAAGGCTGAAGTCACGACAAAGCCGGCATCAACGGTGCAGGCTGAACCTGACTCTACGGAGAGTGAGGTAAGTCCATCCTTGACTTCATTCGTCGTGCAATGCTGAGTTGAGCAATCCCACTCAGGCACAGCAAGATGATGCAAATGGCAAAACTGAGGAAAGTAGTTCTTCGAAGAAGGACGAGGAGGGGAAGAGTGTATCCAAAGATGGCAAGGAGGACAGCAAGGATAAGAAGGACAAGTTGCAGAAGTCCTATAATTATGGCTTCGGTTTCTTCGGAACTGTGTCGTTCATCAAAGTTCCATACGCCAAGTCACCATTGGACTTACACATCAGGATTGCTCGAGATTTTGAGGTCGAGAAAGAGAAGAAGAAGGAGGCCAAGAAGGACGAAGCAAAAGAGAAGAAAAGGCAAACAAAAGACGATGAAGGTGAAGCGAAGAATGAGGGAAACGAAAATGAGTCGAAGAAGGCTGAGCCGCTGGAGAAGAAAGACGAACCGAGCAGGGAGACCCAGAAGGCAAGTGAAGACACTGAACAGATTGCTAACGATGCCGCCCCTGCGGATAGCACAGCAGGTGATGGTGACGAAAAGGCCTTGCAGCCGACAGAGGGAGATAGTAAACCGAAGACGGCCGAGAAGAAGAAACATTCCGATGGTAGGCATAAGAGAATATGGAACGTGGTGATCTTCTGTGATGAATGGAAGGAGATCTACGGTGTCAAGCATGTCTCAGTAAGTAGAATAGCCTCTTGATTTGGATTTACTGTGCTAACTGCTGCAGTTGAAAAAAGCCGAGCTCAAGTGGTCATTCGAACAAGGGAACTTCAAGAAATCAATGGCATTTGACCTATCCGCCGATATCAAGCTGGGCGCCGGGACCTTCAAGGTCAAGGGCAAAGTATCTAAAGGTATGGAGCCCCTGACCTTTAGTCACATTCTTCATAATGTCTAACAGCCGGGACAGCGGACAGCTTTATAGATGCTGAACTGGGCGATGTCTCGTACCGCGACTTAAAGAAGATACACGCCCAGATTCAGGGTCATGACGTGCCCGAAGAAAAGAAAAAAGAGGAGAAAGAACAGACAGCAGCGGAGCTCAAGGAGGAAAGCAAGAAGAAGGAGGCAGAGAAGAAGGAGGAGACGAAGGAGACTCAGGGCAATGAGTTCATATTTAACAAGATCCACCTCAAATTATCTAGCCAGTTCATCGAAAAAGAGAAGACCAGGGTCGGATCTTTGTTATTAGAGGGCCATGTCACATTCAACGGGAAGGCTAGTGCAAAAGCTTTACTCGAGATCAATAGGGACGGCATGACCATTTCAGGAGGCCTTGCTGACTACCAGATTCCTGATGTTCCTGTTACCATTAAGCAGGCACGGATGCACATTTTCATAGGATTCAATCGGAACAAGAAGCAGAAGAAGATTGAGGAGAGCAAGACAAATGACAACAAACTAATCACGGATCCCCTGAGTGAAGGGAAGAGCGGCCAGCCCGACCAGGGCGAAACAACAGCAGTTGCTGAAGCTCATGCAGACTCCAAGCCTGATGCGAGTGAGACCAAGCAGATTAAAGAGTCGAATAGGAAGGAGAAGAAGACTAGACGCGAGAGTGAATTTGCAGTTCTCGGGGTGGTGAAAATCCATCAAGTCACAGTATCCGTTGGTCTCTATATCGCGCGGAAGAATGACAAGGAGAACCGTGATTGGCTTGCCTTTGGCAGTATCCAAAATTGCACATTGTCCCAATTCGTACCCGAGCTGAAGGACTCGCCTCTTAATCTACAACTCGACAATATTGCGCTCATCGCGTCGTCAGAGGATCGGGAAATCAAGGAGGAAGAGGAGGACAAGCAAGATGAAAAGATGGACAAGAAGGAGGATAAGAAAGGGGAGAAGAAAGGGGAGAAGAAAGAGGACAAGAAAGAGGACAAGAAAGGGGACAAGAAAGAGGACAAGAAGGACGCTGGTGATCCACATGCAGGTGTTCTCCAGCAAGTCGAGTCCTACAAGTACCCTATCCGAAAAGGTAGGCCATGGGATTTCGTGCAATCCAAGGTCTGAGCTGACCGATTGGAAAGGGGTGCAACTATGTGCGACCATTAGGAAATTTGACGCCCTGGAACAACTGAATGACAAGAAGCCAGTCGACGGCCTAATATTGATCATTGCCTTTACCCCTGAAGGACTCGAGATCGGCATTGACCTGCCGAAGACCTTACAGGTAAGAAGTGTACCATGCGGGACGCTTGGTAGCAATCATCCTCTCTGACGAAGCATACATAGGTCAAACTGTTTGATGATGCCATACTCGGTGATTTCGGGGCCAAGATTCTTGCAACTGAGGGAGCACTTGCACTGTCTACCACATTGACCCTTATGGTGCATGGCCAAAGGCCCATCAGAGTTAACGGTAAAATCAAAGGGAGCTGCTTGCAAGCCAATGCCGAACTGTATGTTGTTCTACTAGCCAACAAGGTCCACCGAGGTTGTGACACTGACATACCACACAGCTATATGAATCCGAAAGATAAGTGGATCAATCCATTCCAGTTGAACGATAAGGTTGTGGTATCCAAACTAGGTGTCGGTGCGGGAATCACCTATGCCACAGTGTGTGTTTCAGGACCTGAGTAAGACAATACTACAACGCACTGCGAGCATTGTACTAACATGAATCAGTCAGGTGTCTATCCGGGGGAGAGTTGACATTGGAAAAGACTTCCACGCCGAGATGGCCCTCAGTTTGGGGGTGAAAAAGGAGCAGGTCATCTACTTCGACATATCCGAAATCAACGTATCGAAGCTGATCCAACTGGTTGGAGAGATGACAGACAGAGTGGAGCTGCAAAACCTGAACGGAGGAGAAGACTTCCTCGTCTTCCGTGACATCATGTTCTTTATATCCACGGGCGGCATGGCCCTTGGCGTCCGCTATGATAGAGGCATACATGTCCGAGGCAGTGTGGAATTCTTCGGCAAGACCGGTAGGTTTGATGGTCGGATCGGTGATGATGGAATTGTGATCAAGGGGGCCATCGATAATTTTAATATCGGTGGCCTTAAAGTTCACTCAGCCAGGGACGAGGGCAAACCGGCGATGATGGATATCGAGATGACGGGCGAGAAGCAGAAGGTCCTGATGGATGGGGTAATCAGTTTTCATACCTTTGAACTGAGTATCTTCATTGACGCGTATCTGCAAGAGAAACGCTTAGAGGCCGATATATCCATCAAGTTCACTGAGCATATACTCCTGCATTTGAAGGCAAAGGCGAACGTCTCCGATTTCCAATCATTGGATGGAGTTGTGATGAACTTCGAGGCGGAGATTCGTCCCGATGTACTCGGAGCAGTCTTTGAGGCTATCGACCAGGCCATAGCTACACTTGGAAAGATGGCATCGGATAAGCTTAAGGAAATCGAGCAAGAGCTCCAGAGACAGGTGGACGAAAAGGAATCCGAGCTCAATACGATGAACAAGGATCTGCAACGCCTGAAGCAACAAGTGGAAAAGCAGGTACAGGAGCGAGAGGACCAGATCGACAAAGAGAGTCAGAAAAGGAAGGAGTTAGAGGAAGAGCTCAAGGGGCTGGAGAAGGCAGTAGAAGCGGCCGAGGCAGACCAGAATAAGAACGAGCGCGAAATCAGAAACTTGAAAGCCAGGAAAGAAAAGAAGGAGCGAGAATTCGATGACAAGATACGCGAGAAGGAGCTCGAGTACCGCCAGAAAGTACAGGAAGAGCGCGATAAGCAGAAAGAGTTGGAGGAAAAGAGGGAGAAACTAGAAAAACAAAAAGAAGCGTCCTTCGGTGATGCATTGAGAAGTAAAGAAGAGGCCGACCGCAGCTGGGCCTGGTGGGTGGGTAAGTCGATGTCTCCCATGATTTCATGATACTAGTAGCGCAAAGCTGTACTCACCATTGTACCCTTCACAGCGGAAGAAGACCGTCTATACCAGAAGATCCAGGAGAACAAGAGGAAGGCATGGAGGGCATGGGATGCTTGGGACTGGGGTGGCGCGAATTACTGGGTAAGATAGGGAATCTGGTTCCATGAAGCATCAATCGCTAATCATCGGGCCTCCTAGAACTGCGTGGTGAAGAAGCAGGAGATTGAGTTAGAGTGGATGCACGGAAAGAAAGCAGCTGATGCTGAGGCCCGTCATGCAGCGGAGAAAGCCCTCAGCAGTCCTTTATGGAGGACAATCGAAAATGGTCTAAACGAGGCCGTACAGAAGATTGAGGACCATGCCAAAGCTTTAGAACATATCATCAACGGTGAGGGATACAAGGCCATTCAGGTACTGCAAAAGGATAGGAAAAGGGAGCTAGACAACCAGATTGCCGCGCTCAAACGGCTCGAAAGGATCAGCAAAGAAATCGAGAAGAAGCTCACAACAGCGCGCCAGGCGCTGAAGAGGAACAAGGGTCGCATTACCGAGGAGGAAAGGACACTACAAAAGGAGGTTGAGAGATTGCAAGGCGAGCTTAAAACAAGGCCCTTCGAAGAAGCGTATAGGGCCAAGCTCCAAGAGCATGAAAGTGTCAAGGCTCAGATAAAGAACATCCAGAAGAAGCTGTCAGAAATCCGATCGGGTATCGACAAGGCTACGAAATCGGCGCAAAGATATGTTGATGTGCTGAAGCAGGCCACGCCAGCCGTGGAACGCATTGTTATCACTGGTTCTACCGACGTCTTCGCCAAGAACAAGCCACTGGCATTCAAGGTTGAGGCCCGCTGGATGGGTAAGCCACTGCACGTTGACGTGCAATGGGCGCCCGGATGGGCTGTGGCCGAGCTTTATGATCAAATTGGCTCGAAGGTACTCGAAGCTGCAGGCAAAGAAGCCTGAAATGTTCAATTACCGTAGATATGGTGGAATTGACTTCTAGGAGGGAAAACAAATGCATTCTTCAACAAGTCTATAAATGTTGAAAGGTATTCTCTTGATGTAACAATGTTCGCATATATGGGCATAACTCGTAGGCATAAACAATAGTCCGAGCTTCTCAACCATCGAGGATGCTTGGGACATGTGCCTAGCCAGGCAACTTCATCACACGTTTCCTACTGGTGTCTGCCCGAGTGGGGTCATGCTCTCTCTCCATACGAGTCTGGGGAAGGGACTGCAGTGGAGAGTGACCGAGCCTGCCACTCTGTTGACTCTATATTCTTGGGCGAGACTAGTGGAGTCACTGCCCCTCCCCTAGTAAGTCCTCCTAGATATTGAATTCAGCCACTAAACTACGAGTGGGGGAAACGGCACAATCCACCTTCACTCTGTCTCGTGTAAGTACTAGCCCCCTAACTTGGATTATACAAGCAAAGCTCAACTACCCGTTGCACGACTCCACAAGATCCCAGTCGTCCCGTTAACATGACAAGCATCAAAGTACCCTCAATGATCCAAAGGCCCCACGATAGCTTCTGGACCTCCAAGCATGGAGAATCCAGCCATACACGGAAATCCTTCGGGAGATCCTGGATCGCGAAGCTTGCATCGTGGTTTCCTATACGTGGGGATACATCGCGCAGTCGGATAAGCCGGCATCAGATACACCCGAGGGTGTTGGTTAGACGGCACCCACGACGTGGAAATGGCACTCGTCGAGGGCAAGGCAAGTAAGGCAGAAGAGTGGAACACGATATATATGGTTGGTTTGGATGTGCGCTCCTCAGGGTAGGGAGCTCCAACTTGACCGTGAATTATTGAAGGCCAAAGGGGAGGAGATCGGTAGACAACTGTAAGCAACCAGTGAAAGGAAAGAAGTCTTCTTACTAGACGTACGTACCGTAATCATTTCCCATCATATTTACAAAAACGCCGCCAAAAGTATCGTATGGCTTCATTCGACGTCATGGGAAGAGGATTCGGCATTCAAACAATTGCTGCTCTTGGATATGTCACGGCCTGGTTTCCAGGACCCAATGCTCGGCCAGGACTATACTGACAAGGTCAAGAGCTGGCTTCGAAGTGCTCAGATGGACGAGCGCTGATTGAAATCGAGTTGGACATTACAGGAAGGTGTCCTTCTCGGGAGCACTTGTCCGATAGAAGATAACGGTAGAGAAAAGGCCGTCCAGCGGTGTTGTAATCGGATAAGCCATGGACACGCGGCCATAGGTTTGTGGCCCCAGTTAACTTGATCCTGGTCTGAAGGACGTCTTCGATGATCCACATGGGTTCAAGGACTTCTGAGTTTCAAGGCTGCGTATGATTCAGTTGGGAGTTTTCCGCGGCAAGTAACCCGGATGGCGGACCGCATATAATGTATTGTATGTGACTACAGGTGGCCTCTAAAGTACCGACTATGTTGTTGCTGAGCGCTAGCCTTTCTGCCAGATCAAGTAACTTCTTCCAATCATGTAACTGCAGCATTGGCCGGTCATACATCTTGAGGTAGCTCAGGCATATGTTGTCATCATTGAACCTGCCTTCAACAACCAGGGCTGCTGGCCTAATAAAAAGGCGTCCGACTACAAATCAAAAGATTGCATATTGATCAACCAGACAAATCTAGGACGGCTTCCCCTTGCAACGTGCCCATCTCCATTGCCTCGAAAACTCCCGTCAATGTGGCCATCCTCCCAGTGCGTACATGTGTCTTGATGATGCCGAGGGCGGCAAAATCCAACGTTTCGATCGCGTCGCGCCGGTTGCCAACCGCGGAGCCGGTGATGGTGCAGTGATTCCCCATCTTGGTGGCAGGGAGGGCACTGGCAATGGGCTTGGGCCCATTCTCGGGGACACCTACGCACACGAGGGTACCATTAAAGCGCAGGAACTGGAGTGCCTGGGCATAGGCGGCGTTGGAGCAAGTGCACACCACGGCGGCGTGGACACCCAGTCCACCGGTCAGCGACATCACGTGGGAGGAGATGGCCGCGCCGTCATCGTCCATGGGACACCTGGTAATGTCGACAAAGTGCTCGGCGCCCGACACCTTGACAGTTCCTCTTTGTTACCATAGTCGACCCTAATTGCCCGCTGTCCCATGCCCTTGCTGGCCAGCTGCACAGCGATGTGGCCCAGGCCACCGCCCGCCCCAGGGATGGCGACCCACTGGCCCGGGCGAGCGTTACGGGGCTTCAGCGCTGAATAGGCGGTGATACCGGCACAGAGCGTGGGCGCTGCCTCATCGGACGCTAACTCATCAAGGATCGGGGTCACGTAGTTGGCTGGAGCCCGGGTGTACTGTTGGAACGTGCTGGCGGTGTAGTAGGCCGAGGCTTTCTGGGAAAAACCGAGGGCTTCGCAGCCAGCTTCGCAGGGCTCTATCAAGCCGCTCAGTTCTATCTGCACCGCGTTGACCAAGGGCGGTTGATGGATATACCGCAATTTCACCACCTCTCCAATGCCCTCATGGCCGCTGATCTGGCCCGGTTGAGTGGGATAAGGGAGCACTTTCCACTAAACATCACGTTGGTGGGCTTATTTGAGCTCTCGCTGAAATTGGTAACACGAACCTTGGTAGTCATGATGCTATAGTCTGAGTGGCACACACTTGAATGGGTCCTACAGGTTGTCACTCCCAGTTAAGGATGTTTCGCTTTGAAGTGTCACAATATAAGATCATAGAGATTGATCAACACTTCGCCAGAGCCCGGCTCAGGAACATCGATCTCGGTGACATTGGTGGACATGGTACCAGGTTTGTCATAGATGACGGCCTTTTGTCTCAACGGGATCTCAGGGGCGGCCATCAGGACGAATGCGACTTTTTGCCCGACCTCGCGATGAAGGAGGTTCTTCGATGCCCGCAGAGTAGTAGAGGGTCAAGAGTATAAAGGAAGGCTTGGGACATCCTCATCGCTGATCCTGGTCAGCAGCCCCTCGTTTTAACCCTCGACGGATATTCGTCAGATACGAAGATCAAACAATCGCATAAGCCTATCACGGTCTCCAATGACCTATGCCACAAAAGTCTGACATAGCTAGTAAGATAGTTCTACTCAACCAGAGCCTTTTCTACATAACGCACTTATTTCTATGTCCGAGAGTTTGTCCAATGTCCATTATTTAGTGACGGTGTTTGCTTTTCAGCGCAGGACATCACTTTTCCCTTGCTGTCGTCTATGGTCTTGAGAGGAAGTGAGAGACGGGACTTGCATTGACGATCTTGGTATTTGGTCTTATACCGATGCAATACTGCGTTTTCGTACTCAGCAACCCCTTGGATTAACGCCAGGCATGGGCATAAACAGCGTAGTAATGTGAACCGGGAGGCGGTTGAGGTCAGATGAGGCAGACCGAAAGTTCATATTGGACACGTAGCAGGGCGTGCAGCATCACGGAATGGAGAATGTCAAGTGTAAAATATATTAGACATCACCTGATAGCGTATTTAGGTTCTATATCTACATGTGATATATCAAGTGCAGTGAACCATCAGAGATGCTGTGGTTTCCTTGTAAGATACATAAGTGCGCATATTGTTATCCCTGAACCTGGAGACGAGACCTCACTTTCTGCCCCTAAATCAGCTTTATGGTCACCAAATGCTTGTGTCATATGAGCAGTGAACCAAGTTCGGTTACGTCAGGATGGGCTCTTCTCTATTGCTCGTCGCCATCTCTCTGGGGACAATTTGTATTTTTGTCTATACACTTTCTTATCCCAGACGCCAGCTACCTTTGCCCCCCGGACCCAGAAGGCTTCCACTAATTGGCAATCTGCACCAGCTCGATATTAAACGGCCATGGGAGTCGTTCCATAAATGGCACCAGCAATATGGCCCTCTAGTCGCGGTTAAATTCGGAGCACGGACCATAGTAAGCATCAGTTCGGATGGGTTAGCTCGTGACCTGTTGAACAAGCGGTGTGCCACGTACAGTTCGCGCCCAAGGCTCTCCGTCTGCTCAGAGAATAATGCAGGAGAGCTCCATGCAGCCCTCATGCCCCATTCTAAACGCTGGGTACTTCATCACCGTATTGCATTGACTCTGCTTAATCCCGGCCTATCAAAGCAATACCGTCAGCTACAAGATCTGGAGAGCCAGCGAGTCATTCACGAGCTACTTCAGGGTAATGATGTAGCGCACTCCTTTGACCGGTACATGGCAAGTGTGAGCTTCACACTTGCCTATGGACTCCCGGTGCAGCATCATAACCAGCGTGAAGTGCTTCAAATAAGAAACTTCATCAATGGTCTCCGGGACGCAATGTCAAATATGTTTGTTGCTGTTGCCGAGATTTTCCCTCTTTTGGATCAGCTTCCTGGAGCATTTGCCATTTGGAGACGACAGGGGGAGGAACTCAACCGACATGCCACTGCGTTCTTCTTGGACAATTCAATGAAGGCTCAGTCAGCGCCCGGGTGGAACTGGGTGAGAGAATGTGAACGACTAAAGGAGACGCAGGACATGTCCCTGAGGGAGATAGCCCATGTCTTGGGCACTATTCAGGAGGCAGGGATGGAAACCACACCCAGCGTTTTCCGAGTGGTTATTAAGGCTTGTCTTCTGTATCCGGCGTGTTTGTCACGAGCCCAGGAGGAAATTGATGAAGTCGTTGGCAGGAGTCGGCTCCCGTCGTTTGATGACATGGGCCGGTTGCCCTACATCAACGCACTCATTCATGAGGCAGCACGATGGCAACCAATCACCCCATTGGGATTGCCCCATTGCCCACTGAGAGATGACGAATTTATGGGGTATCATATTCCTGCAGGGTCGACCATTTTCCCCAACAATCATTCAATGGTCAATGACCCTGAAGCATTCCCCGAACCTCGCGAATTTAAGCCAGAGAGATGGCTTCAGAGCCAAGATCCTCCCTTCAGCCCGTTTGGGTACGGTCGACGAATTTGCCCTGGCAGGCATCATGCTTTGGACAGTCTCTTTATCGTTATTTCTCGTGTTGTCTGGGCATACACCATCACCCATGCGTACCGCAATGGCGAAAAAGTTGATGTAGATGCTTGGGATACTCATACTTCCTTTACCTCTTCACCAGCTCCGTTTCCGACAGTACTCCGAGTTCGCAGTCAAACGCATCAGGAAATCATAGAAGAGGCCTGGACATCTACTAAAGAGAAACTGGCTAACTTCTTGGGGACCTTCAACCCGACATCTGGTGGATAGGTATTCTGAGGTATATATTATCTAGCCGTGTGCATAGTATATATCCATCGTTTGACAATATTTGCTCTGGACTCTGGTTTACGTTAAAGGCTTCCACAGCCTCAAGCTTTCTTGGGCTTCACTATGTTCCTTCGGGGTCATGTTAACTAGACCGTCAAGACGTATTTAACACGAGGTAGCCAACTGATATTACGGTATGATGCTTAATTCTTGAAGGACTGAGTTCTAGACTCTTGTAACTTTCATTGTAAATGATTCCATAGAGGATTTCTAAGTCCACTTAGATGGTTCTGTACCACCAATATTTACGTGGCCCTCCCCTTACGCAAGCAGATGGACGTAAACTCAAATTAAGAGCTGGCAGACGGGTGTCTCCAGCGAAAAAAGCAAACAAAAGAAACGGCCGCAGATGGAGGCACGACGTATTTTCGGGGAAGAGGGAAAGACGGGATATACCAGCACGATTTGTAAGCTAGGATTGATAGTGTTTACCGACAAAGCAAATGTATGCTGATCTCAAAGCTAATTACCGGGTGAATCAGCACATCTAGCGCGATTAGGGCCCCAACTATAGGAACCAGAACACCGCGTTGTCGCTAGCACGCGTGCCCGCTGTCGACAGTGTCAAAGCTCCTTACCTTCAATGATGCACATTGGCGAAGTCAAGACCGTGAGGAAGGAGGCAGATGGCAGATGAGACAGTGAGAATATATGATGTATGATGGGTTCATACCTGATAACTTAACTGACACATACTAGTTCATGCAGCTACAATATCGTCGAGCTAGCTAGCTCGATTTCCTCATCATGTACGGCATAACAAGTCAAGGACGTGTCATACTGCTCACATGCTGGAATACATACAAAGATTAATATCATGGAAATAAGAAGAGAATAGTTCAAGATCTGTGGAATGATAACTATGATCTGAAGTCATCAATTATGCGTAGCTCTCCAATTACCTGGCCGCATATTTGCTGGTGAGAGGAATCCTCACCTTGCATTTCACTCTGAGTCTGTCCTCAAACCCCTTGCCTAATGTACACACATACTTTCGGTGTAACCTATCTTGATTCTTGACCTGTTCGATGCTCTGATGAGATACCAAAATAATACACCTTGTTAGCAAGTCGAATGTGCCCTTACAATTGCTATTTAAGTGTGTTGACCTGTCGATTGGAAGCACTTAGGGTAATAGCTCTCACCTGAACTGGTAGATTCATTGTGTAGGGATTAGACTTGTCTCTGTAAAGGTCAGACTGAAAGGTTGAAGTAGCTTTCTCACTGGATCTATTAACATCATCGGTAAGGGCCCTGCGCAGCTCCGTATTCTACACAAACTAGCCCTTTTTGCTACTTGGATATCTTAGTAATCAGACATACGCAAAGATACAATTTTCAATATCTAACATAGTACAGAATGAATAAGACTAAGAATAAACTGGCTGGTTATATCTATATATTCAATTGTATGCTATAAAGTAGGTATTTCAACCATACAGGTGTAATATTTAATACTAACAAATTTATTATAAACAGACACTTCTACACATCATATGTTAAAGATGAAGTACTATGATACACTCTATGTAAAGTTTTGATTAACATATCTTGTGATTACTGGGAGATTCAAAGAGCCAAAAGAGGTGATTTGTATAGAATACAAAGCCGTCCAGGGTTCTTACGGATTACATGATCTAGACCAGGCGGCTAGGCCTTGCCAAACCCCACAGTGCTTAGTAAAGGCGGCCATCAAAAGGACATCCAATTAGATCTTGAGGCCGCGCTCACCGAAAAATAGAGTTAATGTGGCATTCATTGCCTTGCAGTAGCCTCAGTTCGCACTTAAACCCCATGGCGGGTTTTCCTTCATCCAGTAACTCTAACCTGCAAGTCCCATTGAAATATCGAAAGGGTTTCCGATCTGTATGAAGCGCTATGACGTCTCGTTGGGCCCCATTTCGCTCGCTACTAGATACCTCTCCATCGAACCACCTTATTAGTGGGCCATCCTTGCTGTGCAGCTTGATATCTTTGACGATGTTATGTGATTCTCATGAAACACGCAGAACTCAAACACGGCTCTGCCCGCTATGGTTTGTCCGTCGATTTGAGACTATTCAAACCTTCCCCTGCTATTGCAGCGCATTGACATTATTGACTGCGCAAGGGAGGGCATCATTGACAAGTGCTACAAGACATATGGCTCCACCAATCAATCTATAACATTTCAGGGGAATATGGAACCTCCCAGAGCCAACTCTGACCGCTTTCTTGCTCGACGAGCGAATAGAGGTTTGTGCAAGGCAAGACATATCAGGAATCGATAAAGAGGGAGAAGAGTAGCTGAGCCAGCAAAGCAGGATTTTATAGCTGGGGTTGACGAAAGAAAGGTCCGGTTCCCTTATATGTTCAAGTTCAGCCACTCTGTACCGTCTTATTTCTTGTGTATCGCGTGTGCTCAGGAATATTGTATCATCTTTGAAGATCCTACTTCTATGAATCATTATTCTTCTATATTTCTTTAGAGCAGCCGGCCCAGCAATCTTTCTATCATCTTCTATCATTGAACACATTCATTAGTTATAGGTATCCTTGTTTCAGTACCTCAAGCTACAATGGGCTCTTTCGATATTACTACGAGATCGGCGACTATCCTGGTTGATCTCGGAGGTATCTTTATGCATCCAGAAGTGGAACATAAACTGAAGACTCATGAATCCACCATCTCCTTACGAAGAATCATGTCGACCTCAACCTGGATGGACTATGAAACTGGGCATTTAAGTGATAAGCAGTGCTTTCGGCAGCTAGCCAAGGAATATCACTTTCAGGCGTCTGAACTGGATGAGATGATTCAGGGTTTCCGCGAGACTATCACATATGAGCAAGCTGCTGCTTCTATTTTCAGGGAAATTAAACGTACAGGGACGCGCATTTTCCTGGTATCAAACATCTCTAAGGAAGATTACGCAGCACTCCGCCGCCGGTGGGACGATAAATTCTGGTCTATCTTTGATGGCATTTTTATCTCGGCAAACTTGGGCGTCCGAAAGCCCAGTTTGCGTTTCTATCGGCACGTACTCCGGGCCACACGAGCAATTCCTCGTCAGACCTTCTTTTTGGATGACAGACCTGAGAACGTACTCGCGGCGATCTCTCTGGGAATGAGAGGAACATTTGACACCTCAGCTCTATATCGGACACTAACTAACGTTGTCGGTAATCCTGTGACACGCGGACTCGCATTCTTGCGACTTCAGAAAGGGCATTTTCCTACAACTACCCAACATAACGAGACTATTACCGAAAACTACGCCCCACTTCTAATCCTTGAAGTGTTAAGTGACCCGTATGTCTCTCTTCCACATTAGTGCTTACACGATACTAACTGCTATGAACTAGGAGTCTAGTGAACCTCAAAGCCCCGCCCCGCCTCTGGAACTTCTTTAGTGGTCGGTCTTCCCCGGATCTTCTGTCACCTTGTCCAGAAGTCACTAATCCACAGCTTAGGCGATCCAAAATACACGAGTGATAGCTATCCTGATGACTTAGACACAACCTCCCTCGGGCTCTTAACGATGCCTCCTCACTCTGAAATAGTCCACTCCATTCTAGATGAGATGCACAACTACGTAGATGAGGACGGTATTCCGCAGGTACGCCTTTCATACTTCCAGCAGCAGCACAGCTGGCAAAAGGTCTAACCTTCTCCTAACAGGCATACTTCGACAAATCCCGGCCACGTGTCGATGCAGTCATAGCGCTCAATGTTTTGACCCTGTTCCACAAGCATGGGCGCGGTCACGAGCTCCCCCATACAACAGAGTGGATGATTAGCATCCTACTGAACAGGGCGTATGTTAAGGGGACGCGCTACTACGCAAATGCGGAGTGGTTTCTCTATTATATGACGCGTCTACTACGTGCGTCAAGCGACCAAACTATCAAGGAAAGGATCGAATCACCTCTCAGAGAGCGTGTAGCTGAGCGGATTGGAGCTCCAGGTGATGCATTCTGTCTCGGGATGCGAATATTGGCATGCAACCACCTTGGCTTGGAGAACCACCCTGACCGCCAGACACTTGCAAATCTGCAGCAGGAAGATGGTGGTTGGGAGGCCTCCTGCATTTATTTCTTTCCTGGCGCTAAGCGAGAAGTTGGAAATAGAGGAGTCAGTACAGCATTTGCGGTAAAGGCCCTCGAGGACTGGTCCGGGTGGTGACAGATTGTATAGCCATTATGATAGGTCTTTAGGGAACCATGAAGTCCGTCGTGGGTATATAGTGGAATGTCTTATGATATCGGCGTAGTACCTGGCCCAGTGTATTATTCCGATGGTGATTATAGGCTAGCTGGCTGCTAAACACTATCTTCGAGATAAATCAATGAGAGTAGCCCCACACCACTCATTCGCTTGAAGGATTTCCTTCTCCGCTCCTTCAACTACTGTGCGATAAGTTGATACTCTTGTATACACAGGCGAGTCAGCGGTCAAGGAACTTAGGCAAGGGTCATTCAAAATCTGTACGGCAGACTTGCGATCTTTTACTGAAATCTTACTCTCCCTAGAATAGCCCTGCATTGCTTTACCCAGCAGATCGTGTAAATGTGCCCCATAGCCCCGTATTCGTGTGACCAAAGAGCTCAATATTTCCACAAGAAGGAACTGCTTGTAAGATTAAGACCCTTCTTTTACCTCGCCAGTTTCACTCGCTTCCGTGCAACTAAACCGACAGCCGTTGTAAGAAATTAGACATGATGCCGATATTGGCCTCAACAGCTTTTGTTTTCGATGGCTCCACCTTCATTTCTCTTTTTACATAATATACTCACAGCTTCCACGACATGTCCCAAACACTATCAGTGCGTGCCCCGTGACATAGATCTCCGACAATGCAGAGTCTATTTACAAGTATGATGCCATTCCACCACAAATATCGACAGTCTCGTAATTTGTTCCGAACCCCTTGATCTCCGGAATGATCCGGTAGTAAAAGTTGTCCGCATAGACAGGCCATGTAGCAGCCCCTGCCAGTGCCATAGACTTTTGATGGGTTTGGGTGAGCTTCGATCTTTCCCTGGTAGTGAACGTGATCTTGAACCCAGGGTTGTCGAATCGATTTTGCAAATTGGATCCTTCAGTGCTATTCGCACCAGAGTCCCCTTGTAAAGGTGGCAGGTGAAGAACGGTTTCACCGTTTTCATAGTGGTTGGCGATGATATCGTGCTTCGGAGAGTCGTCAACGGCGAAACCAGTAATCTGGAATCTGTGGGTTGGTAAAGGCTCGTCCTGAAGTCTAGCTAAGGCAATAGTATCCGAGGAAATCGAGAGAGGAGAGAGGCTTTCGTAGGACATATCAGCACTATTGGACAGCATAGTCTCCCACATCTGGAGATAGTCTTGCGAATCATCGACGTCGCGCTTGCCTGGTAGACCTTTGGGAATAGATTCAGAGTAGTGGGCGACAGCGGAGTAGGCCAAGAGTAGATCATCTGAAATAATATAAGATAGTTCCTCACATCTACCACCGCCGGCATATTCACAGACTTGTCGAGCAAGACGCGAGCCCATTACGATATAGACAACCCCAGAAATTACTAGTCTCTTAAAAGCTATTGGGCATCAAGAGGAGAGTATGCGCCTTACGTGAATTTGCTAGTACCAATGGTACGAACTGTTCGGTCGAGTATCTCACAGACCCTAGTAGCCCTCTGATCCAGAACCACCAGGGCTTCGTCAGACGGATTAGAAGACCGGATGTCAAGGATAGTATCTGAAGGAAGTTCAGCAACATCCACCGTAGCAACAGGCGCCGCCAAAGTAACTTGACTCGTGGCCAGGAGAGAGAGAAGGGGGATTGAGAACTTCATGGTGATGTTTTAGGACGGTTGTTGCTACTGAAGACATCAGGCTTTTTAGAGGTTCGTTACTCAATATTTGTAGCTGTATGTCGGTGTTCAGCGTTGGACGTTACTCCGTGGAGCGTACCTGATTTTTGATTACTATACGATTTGCACATGGGACAATAGAATAGCTATCCATAAAAGCATGGACTATTGAACTACTGGTGCTTCCAGCACATGAAATCCCTGTCTCTATGTGGACTCTATAATCAGAATAATCCAAACAGGAACAGTTGATAGTGGATAGCCGGCCTAGGAACCCTTGCAACGCTAGCGAAGGGAGCGTTAGTCTTCTTACATAAATACCTCCCATAGCGGATGGTCTTCTACTTTATTTATCTACCATTGTTTCCTGGGCACAACGGTTCTACACAGCCTACTCTTCTTTTCTTTGAGTGGTGCTAACATATTCTACTGTCGGATGGGACGCAATGGGTACCAATGAAAAAGCTCCGCCGATTTCTCAACCATCCTCTCCGCCAACACCTTCGCGAACTGTTGCTATCCTTCGGAATATCGTACGAAGTCCGCGGGCGTAAGTGCGGTCGTATATATCAATGCTATAAGATATCTGAAGTTAACTATTTAGCTTACCTTTTATCGCACTGATCACTCCGCCTGTGCGATGGTTTTGGAATTACATGGGATGGCGTAACGGAGGAGACGTGGCCCTATCGCTAAATCTCGGACTATTAATGCTGTATTTTATCATATCGCAATATGTTCGCAGGTACGATTGATGGACTGGAAGACAATAATCTATTATACTGAATAACAAATCTTCATCTGCCGACCCTAACTATCTGTGCCGGGGTGAAACTCCAACACATGCAGTCCGTTAATGTTCTACACTTAAGATCTGCTATCTGCATCCTGTGTTTGAGATCCTTGCCTGGCCGAGTTCTCTAGGAGTCCGCGATGCGAGGTTCGGTGAGACACTTCTTCCATAGTCCATGTCACTTGTCATCGCTACCTACCCAAGGCAACAGAAAAGGCCAAAATTCATGCATCCATGATCCTCTACCCAAATGGTTATGCCTTAGCGCTTTCTATGGGTCGTTCCCAACAAGACACCTCACGGAGAATTCCGGAATTGCGATATTAGGTATCCACTTGGCCCTACAGGTGTAGGGCTGGTCTGTGTACGGCGGAGTAGTACCATAGTCGACAGCTCACACCACGGTCCTACACAAATTAACATGTACCGGTGTTCACATTCTTTATAGGAGTCTTTCCCTACGCTGACAATGCTGCCCGGAGATTTGTAAAGTATCAACTCCACTCCTGGACCGTCCCACACTTTATGGTCTTTTCCTAGACTAGTCATCATCGGGATGATGCACAGGGCCAGGCCGGATAACCGACCACACGCTAAACAAAAGCCGGTCATGAGGCTACCTTCCGGGTTTGGCAAATGCGCCGCTAGCGTCTCGCTAAGCTCTTTCATGATATGAGGTTACATTAGAACTTGAATTTATCAATGACCAGAATCTGCCAGTACAGCCTCAAAACAATACTGCGCCGTTCGCGAATAGGGTATATCCTACAAGCAAAAGATAAACTAATCTAGAAAACAAAAAGAAATGACTTAATAAAGGGGATTTTGGAGCAAGCATAGATTGTTATTATGAGTAGACAATGTTGGTTCTTTGCACACGGTTCCTTCACTCTAGCCGGTCCCTACTCTGAGGTGGAGTCTAATATGAGATAGGTACCTACTTCCCATTCGGTTCCTACTCTGTAGTGGGTTCATACTATCCAGTCAGTCCTTACTCTGTAGTAAGTATCTTCCCTGTAGTAGGTACCTACTGAAAATGCCCCGGTTAGTATCACTCACCACGGTAGCCACTTTGATTTCCCATACAAATGTTCAATTAACGCACGAATATATGAGAATTTCACATATGAGCTGGTTGGCCCATACAAATTTTCATAAACCGGGGTATTAAAAACCTTGATTTAACATTGATCATTACTATTCTGGCAAGGTCACGTGAATGATAGGGTCACAATAAGTATCTATATTTCCTAAAATAGTTAGTTAGTAATTTCTGTTTACTAAGTGAGGACGGTGAGGTTCTGACCAATCAGAGGCATACCTCGCTATGCGAAAAATCCGTTCAGTGCAATTAATTGCCTTGGTTCATTAAGTTGCACGCGGGTCGGGTTCAGGTTCAAAGTCTGCAACCCGCCCCTGACCCGGCTCCGGGTCAGGTTTTTTAATAGGTCTCCCCGAATCCAATTCAAAATCTGCTAGGTTTAGATTTTCCCGATCTATGGATTCCTTGCCAAAATATATATTTAGGATTCTGTTAGGTAGGACTACAAATAGGTAATACTTTTCTAAATAATCTAATTAGATATCACTAAAGATTTAAAGAATTTACTACAACTTAATATTATTATTACTAGGCTTGTAATTGATCAAATAAACTCTGCTATATATACGAATCAATATATACTCACCTCTATATGTAGAATATATCAATTAACCGACCCAACACAGACTTTTGGAGGAATGTAATGTGACCTCACCATGGACCTCAGACCTGTACACAATATCCCCACCTGCCTTTCAGAACTTTTCATGGCCGCACAATACGAGTCTAGACATGAATTCGCTCGCCCAGAAAACAATTCAATCATCATGTTCGGGACAGAAATTGTACTAATGTGTTGAATACCGAGAGTTGGCTTTGCGCTGGCCCGCTGGGAGGGCAGCTTTGAGGCAACAAATAGAAGCAACATTTTGTGGGAGAGCAGGTGGTGATGAAGCCGTGGGTTGGTCACTGTCTACCCCAGTCCTACCATGCGTTCTCTGCTTCTTGAATTCAGAATCGTGCGAGAAGGAACAACACCTTCTCGACTGTCTTTAAAACCGGCCAACTTTGGGGCATGTCAACTACTATTACCCGCCTAAACTGTCAGACTTTGAGCGATCGTCCACAATAGAGTTGACGGGGGTGTATACAGAGCTGATTGCGCCGGGCCCCCCTTACCCTAACCCACGTGTATACTAGAGGTCTTGTCGTCTGATTACACCGGGGTCCAGATCAATTGCCCGTGGGATAGCTGACAAAAAGGGTGTTTTCCAGCCCTTCACAATAGGACCACGAGTTTGTCCTGGGAAGGGGTACGGTTCTTCATTGGGAGACAAAAGCAAAGAAACTAACGGCTCGTTGCAGTATAGCTTTCTCCAGGGCGAGCCTAATCCTTGCGAAGTTAATATGGACCTTCGATTTGCAGTCCCCTTCTGAACGCTCAAACTGAATCAATCAACGTGCATATATTATTTGGGACAAGAAACCGCTCATATTGAACTTAATCCCACGCCCTGTTGATCGCGAACCAGCCCAGTCGCCGTCCCTGGGGTACCAAAAGTGTGCTGGCTATTCTAATAACTGGGCTTTGCTCTGGAATAGTAACTTGTAATAGAAATGTTGACAAGATGATTATGACAGCAAAGGGCTTTTGTGAAAGTCTTGTCGACGATATGGATGACACTGATAAGGGCCTTTCTAATCTAATGGAGCAAAGGCAGTGGGAAGCACTATTCTATTAAATGGATTTCACCAAGCGAACTCTGGACGGAGGTGTGAAGTAGTTCCCAGGCAGACTATGACTGTAAAGAGGAAATATACTACTCTTTAGTATTAATAGCCTTCCGGTTGTTCATTTCTTCTAAACCGCAAAAGGTTGATCCTCGATTTGAGCCATTCTTCCCGAGACTGTGGTAGATATACATTATATGTGTTCCTAGCATTGTTTTCCCATAGTGCAAGGGCCCTCGCCAAATATAAATATGCTAAGGTGATGTAAAGTGCGTTACTCCCTCACAGCCCTGAGCTTGACATATACTTTCAGGACGCCCCGTCGTGTATATCCAGCAAGAAGATCGCTCGTCATACATACGTCTTCTGGCTCAGTGTTGTACAGATGTATATGGTACCGACGGCACATATGGGCAATAGTCAAGTACAACTCGGCCATGGTTAAACTACCCGAAAGCATCTGATAAGAAAGGATAATAGGATATTGGGGATAGGTAAGTACTTACTTCATTCCAAGGCAAACTCGGCTCCCCTTGGTAAACGCCGTGAGATGCTGTGTTAGATTCTCACCCTTCTCCGCTGCACGGATCCATCTCTCGGGGTCGAACTTATGGGGGCTAGGAAAGATATCGTGGTTGCGAGAGATAAAGTAAGAAGAACAGCTCATTGGGGTCTATCGACCGTGTTAGCCATGTCTCATTGCACAAATCATGTACTTGCGAGGGGGTATTCACGCCTGGAGGGAGAACATGGTCTTTGTATCGGAGTGTTTCTGTTGGCGCTATTCGAGGGAACCGTGCAATAACTGAGTCCGATATGCGCAATGATTCATAGATAAAGCCATGCTGTAAATATCCTGTTAGGGGGAGGAACACGTTGAGGTACAGCGAAAGTAGGAGCATACTAGATATGGCAGCTTTTCTAGTTCTGCATATGTGGCAGTGCTGGTACGTGTCGGTAGGACAGTTTTCAATTCAGCCCGTAATTTCTCACCAATAGCCGGTTCGCTACCAAGGTAGTACATAGCCATGGATAGAACTTTTACGGGTGCTTCTGTTCCAGCGACAAGAATCGTGATGACTTCATCCTCCAGACGCCGACGACTCCGTTCCATATATGGTATAGATGAATCGACTAGGTTGGAGATTATATTCGGACCAGGCTTTTCAATTTCTTTGCGGGCGACATTAGATTGCTCGTTCTCTGCTATTTGGATAGCATGCTTTAGGAGAGATTCCTGGAATTTAAATGTTGCCGCTCGACCGGGTATGAGGAATGCTAACATTCGTGGAGACAGTGCTCGCAGTGTCATGAAAATCCATGGGAAAAATCGGTTAATATGGAAGAACTTCGCGAAATCCACACCCGCCTGGTGAATGTCGCAATTAAAATCCTCTTGGTCTAGGAATTTCCAATCTTTCCCATAGCAGATATAAGTAATCATATCGGAGGTCAATGCTGAGAATACCTCATCAAGAGCCACTACGGTCTGGGTCTTCTCGAATTCATCCAGGCGTCGCATCAGCTTCTCTACCCTCTCACTAATTGCGGACGAAAATTCCATGACAGACCGCTTGGAGAAGAAATTCTGAAGGATGCCGCGTCGGAATCGGTGCTTTTCAGAGCCCACGGTCGAGACAGTAGACTCGTCGGCAGCGAGAGAGCGCACAAACCCCTTATACTTATCACGCTTTCGAGCCCCTGCTGCATATATTTCGTTATAGAAGGTGGGATCAATGATATGGACCTCTTTTGGATTGATACGCACAATAGGGCCTATTACCCAGTTAGACAAATAGTTGCCGTAATACACGGCGAAAGAGAAAGAAGAAACGAAAGAAGGAGAACTAGAAGAAGTGGGAAAAAAGAACAATACCGTATTTCCGATGCATTCTCTCGACTTGAAATACGAATTGACCTCCAAGAATCACATCATAGTAGAACTCCAGAAGATGTGTAGCGGCGGCTAGTTTAGGGCCAGGTATCTTTGCCAGAGGATGGAAATATAAACGATAAAGAATCCTAGTAGCCAAGATGAGTCCCGCAGTAGTCATGAGAGCCGTCCAGATGCGGGCCTGGTCTATCATCATATGCTCAGCTGCCGGTAAATGGCCTTGAAATTTGGAGAACACGCGAGTACACATCAAAGTGATGGAAGGTATGATATGCAGTAGCACCATCTTGGCTTTATGCTCAAGAGAATATTTTCTCCCCAAGACGATTAAATCTTTAAGAAACGAGAAGAGTACACTAGATTTTGCTTTGCCAAAAAGTATTAAGGAAGGATATGATATAGTGTTGTTGTCGGTGAGTTTGCAAAGAGATCGGACAACAAGATAACACATCGAGTTAAAGTTAACTTATACCTAAGTACGAGAAGCATTTTTAAGACACCTTAGCTGTGGTAGTTCGATGTCGATCATAGACTTCCTGTGAGCACTTGATAGAAATGAATGGAAGGGAGAGACGGTAAGTTGATCGAGGATAAACTTTAACCACACGCCTTTTCTCTTTCCCTTCATCATCGGATTCTACGATGCATCTCCGGCGCCGCCATGACCCCCCATCTGTGAATGTGTTGATTGAGCAAAGAAGCGGTAAGAGCTGCATGCGGTGGCAACCTAGTAAGCTAGTAGCTATCTACAGGAAAGATCGACAATAGTTAAGGCAGGCCCGCTGAACGAGCTCACGCTCAAGGAAGTTATGCATCTCAGAGTGACATCGATCAAAAATGGAAGGGCAACAGCGGATAAGATATATGAACCACTACTGGTAAATGAGGCCGAGAGCATGACGTAGATATACTTCCTTCGAGAGATAACTGAAGCAGCCTGAATACTAAGTAAGGAACATGCAAGGGGTCATTGACATATGACTTATATGTTGTGTAGCAGACGCACACAGTAACATACGGTGAGCAACCTTTCACTATGTGTCAGGTTTAGGAGATTGGAAACTGCAACGCGTTGTAACTCGTACCCTGTGTTATACATATCCTAGCCTCCTGGACTGCACAACAGGCTGTCACTGAACATACTCCATGTAACGACCCCAATGGCCCTTTCCTTCAGCATTTATACAATATTTTCCTTGGTATGTATGATCAAACCAGCATAACAGGCTGCTAAAACCTGACGAACGGGCGCAGGTTCTTTCGGTTATCGCATGGAAAATATTTTATAATCGACACCTTCACCCTCTCAGTTGTTACCCGGGTCCATTTATTTGGACTGTGTCGAGGGTTCCTTATGCGGCATATTACGCCCAGGGTAAGTTGCATAGGCGAGTGCAGCTACTCCACGACCAGTATGGGGACGTTGTCCGAGTCGCTCCAGACGAATTGAGCTACCGGAACCAGCAAGCATGGAAAGATATCCACGGCCACTCACGGAACTTTCCAAAAGACATGCGATTTTACCATATATCCAAAAACAAAGCTCCAAGTGTTCTGGTCGCTCCGGACGGTGTCCATCGCCGTCAAAAGCGAGCCATTCTCCGGGCATTTTCAGAACCAGCACAGAAGTCGCATGAGTGTCTTCTGCACCCATTCGTCGATACTCTTATTCACAAGCTGCAACAGAAGGTCGAAGATAATAATAGCGTCGTGGACATAACAGAATGGTACAATTATGTTATGTTCGATTTCATGGCGCTCGAGCTGTTCGGCGAGTCGCTGGGTTGCCTTGAGGATGGGGTGTACCATCCCTGGGTGGATATGCTCTTCGGATCGATCAAAGCATGGGCCTTTCTCAGCCAATCCAAGTATTTCCCGACAATCTCCTGGATGATTAAAATTGCAGGACTCCTTTTCTATAGCGATCTGCTCCAACACCGAACCACCAAATTCGATTCCATTGCCGCTAGGGTTCCAGGGGATGTGGAGTCCGATTTAGACCAGCCAACCTTTACCACATACATCAAGGCCCGAAATGACCCTCAGTCGATCCTTTCCAGGGAGGAAATCTTATCCAATCACAGCTTCATGATGATGGCAGGCAGTGAGACCACCGCTACCCTGTTATCTGGCTGTACATTCTACATCCTGAAGCATCCAGAGGTGCACAAAGAATTGTCTTGCCTGATACGGAACCGCTTCTCCTCTCCCTTGGAGATAACATTCTCATCACTAGCGGATATATCATACCTACGGGCTGTGCTCCAAGAAGCATTGCGCATGTACCCACCGTTGCCGCTCGGCATGCCGCGTGTTGTACCGAGTGGGGGCGCCATAGTGTCAGGGCAGTTCGTACCTGAGAAGGTATGAAACATCTCTATAGAAAAGAATTGAGCTGCAAGATAACCGAGGTCTATAGACATCTGTTGCCATCGCTTCATGGGCGACCTACCAATCTTCGTCCAACTTTAAGGATCCCCAATCATTTCTCCCAGAACGCTGGCTGGATATGGGCCCTGGGGATAATGATATCAAAGATGCCATGCAACCCTTCTCAGTGGGCCCGCGGGCGTGTCCAGGAAAGATGTAAGTCACGTCTTTGTGCATGGTTTCGGGTGCGGGCTAACCTAGTCTAATAGGCTGGCCTTTGCAGAGGCAAGCCTAATTCTTGCACGATTGATATGGGCATTCGATTTGGAGCTGTCCCCCCAGTGCTCCAACTGGGCGGATCAGCGTGCCTATATCATTTGGGACAAGGGACCACTTCTAATCAAACTGAAGGCACCCTCTTAAACGGCCGTCCAGTTTTAAACTGTGATCTTATCAGGTGCACCTAGCAGAGATGGGCTGACATCCGTCAACTGGATCGACAAGGCCCCCTGCTTACTTGTTAGTGATGACATCAGAGAGATGTACCTCATATGTATTAAGAACAGGGCAAACTATCAGCTAGAGACATACTACGACCCTAGAAATTATATAATGGCCCGATCCGAGTATTATGAACTCATTTTAAACGCACTGGACTGTAGCCTATTCTGCAATGAGGACATGCACGTCTTCGCAGGCAACGAGATCATTCGTGCTTCCTAATTCCACTCTATCCCTAGGAACCTCTCTATAGAGGTATGAGGTTACTGATAGGGTCACCAAAGTTGAGCTCAGTTTTATTGCCGCGACATTAGGCATGCCTAATTTGGCTATACATTAATATCTTCAACGAGTTAGGCCTCCCTGCGGTTGAGATGCAACTTTACAAAGACCCCGGCATCGTTTGCAACCGTCAACCGTGGATACAGAGCCAAGCCAACTCTCATTATCTTGTTTACACAGGGAACAGACCAAGAGTAGCCACCATTGGGCATCGTGTGTCCGCTCGCTCGGAATAGCGCCAGCTACGGCAGCTTCGGGGTTTGGCTCAACATACAGCAAAAGCCGGACTCTGCAAATAGGAGGCATTTAGCTTGATATGTCGTCATTGTGTATACAACGACCACCTTAAAGATCTTTTTATACATGACCTCACAGCGGAAATGTTCAAGTATATAGACGATGGGGATTCCGAGCTACACACCTACGAACTGTCTAACCTTGTGTAATGGACTAAAACTGCCATTGATATACCCGTGATCCAGTCCCCAGCAAAGCTTAAATCACCCTCGTTCGTACGGTCTGTTGCATTAAATACAGCTATGAACCTAGCCTCCTTTCCCCTGCGGTAAGATTCGTTCGTTCAAGGAAGCAGGATTTGGTAATGGCACAAAGCCAGCCTAAACACGGTTCACTCAATGCATGAACCGTGTTCCGTGTCGATCCAATCCGGAGATAGGGCTTTGCGGATCACATTTTAACGGCCAAACGGTCAAGTGGGTTACGGCCGAGTATGGCATACAAGGCGCGCGAGCTGCGATGTGTTGGCACCTTTTTAGAAACAGCTCGACCAGACTATCAGAGAGTCTCCATGGCTACAGTAGGTATATAGATCCGAAAGAATTAGTCATACACCTTTAGGGGTCGAGCGTTATTCGGATATTAGCCAGACGCAACTCGGCTTAAAAGCCCGATAACCGATAGTGTTCAAAGCCCGACACATGAACTGAGAAACGCAGAAGGCGAACCCGGCATTATTGCAGAAAGAAGCAACTCCGGGCCCCGAAGTATCGGCAATCCAACTATCAGCTATGGTAGGGTTTGGATAGTCTTTGACATGACGGATATCCATACTTCTATAAAGCGGACGAAAGCACGGGAGCTTCAGACGAAGGTCTCCCAGCAAAAAGAATCATCCTCCCTTGTGCTTCAAGAACCTCGTTTTGCACAGTTCAGTCATTCCACTTTCCGTCCCCATTTTCTATCGCTGCAAGATGGCCTACACGGCGCATGACGTGGTCATTGTAGGAGCTGGTCCAGTCGGACTCTTCCTCGCTTGTGAACTACGCCTGGCTGGTCTCTCCGTTCTGGTGGTCGAGAAACGAAAAAGTTCTGACGGCATGGCAGAGACACGTGCATTTGTCATGCACGGTCGATCTTTGGAAATATTCGCTTCTCGTGGTCTGCTTGACTCTTTTCTTGAAGCAGGACAAAAAACCAACTGGTGGCATTACGGCGTTCTTGACACTCGACTTGATTACAGTGTTTTTGGCCGTGAAACAAACGAGAACTATGTGCTACTCGTTCCTCAGTACAAGACCGAGATGATCTTATTCCAGCGTGCCTTGGAGCTCGGTGTGCAGATACTCAAGGGTGTCCATGTGGATTCAGTAATTGACTCGGGGCCTTCTATTGTTGTGAAGGGCGCCTATTCCGATGATCGGCCATTCATCGCCACCGGGAAGTACCTCGTCGGTGCGGACGGCGTTCGCAGCACGATCCGCAGACTCGCCAAGATTGAGTTCACTGGCAATCCACCAGTCAATACTGTCATGAGTGGAGAGGCTACACTGGGCGCGACCATGCCGAACCCTTACATTGTTCACAACGAGCACGGGTTGGTTATCGCTGCTGATCTGAAAGTCCCCAGCGGAAGGACCAGGCTCAATGTGTTTGCAAGTGATCGCGGCACGGTTCCTGAGTCGGCCGAAGTGACTCTGGGAGAGCTGAATCATAGCCTCCAGAAAATCACCGGTGTTGACTACAATCTGTCAAATCCTTGTATGCTAAAGCGTTTCAGTAACGAACAGCGGCTGGCGACAAGGTATCGCCAAGGTCGCATTTTTATTGTCGGAGATGCATGCCATAAGCACCTCCCAGCCGGTGGTCAGGGGTTGAATGTCGGCCTTCAAGAAGCTCTGAACTTAGGATGGAAGCTGGCGGCCGTCATCTCTCAGTCCGCGCCCGCTTCGTTGCTCGATACGTACGAAGAAGAACGATGGCCGATTGCCAAGGCCGTTGTTCAAAACACAACATCACAGTCCCTCTTATTCTTTGCCTCTTCTGGTCCGGAATGGGCGGTCCGGGCAGCGGTCGACAAGCTTTTGTGTGTACCAGAGGCCAATATGAGTCTAGCTAGGGAAATTAGCGGGTTCTCTGTCGCCTACCCCAAGTTACTCGACATGATACTCCCAGATGGATGGCATGCCCTACCTGAAAGCATCCAGGGAAAGCGTGCCTTGAATGTAAAGATGACATTACCGGCGGGGGAGGTCACTGAACTTCGTGAGTACACCCAAGACGGGCGTTGGATCCAGTTGCACCTCCCTGGGAAACATACCATTGAACTCCGGCCACCTCCGGCATTTGGTAACAGGACTACGGTGGTGGAAGCTGTCGACCTGCCGGATGAAGAAGCGAGGACGAGCCTGTATATGTGTGGAGTTAAAGAGATGCTGATCCGCCCGGATGGCTACTTGGCCTTTGGTCGATTTGACGAATAGGGTTGGATGCAGGAAAGGGAGGGCAGCAATCTCATAGTCTTCACGGAACAATATCTTATTTCAAGAGACAAGGAAAGAAAAAGCTCAGGCACCGGAAGGCAAAGAAGCTAAAGTGAAACACAAAGAAAATTGAAATAGAAATAGACATAAAATTAGGCCATCTCGGAGTTCCCCATTTGGTGCGTGTCTGTGTATCTAGCCAGATCTGTTAGTACCCATCCTTTAATTAAATCTTCGAGATTATTGGCCGCAATCACTACAAGTACATACCATTCCTATTTGGGATGGGTAGAGGAGATTACTGGGATGTGTTGTGCTGGTAGGGATCTTGAGTCCCAAAAGCATGTGTATAGTAACCAATTCAACAGTCCTCGACGAAACAACCGTATACTGCCGATTATTTATCGCTCTCAGGTTATATAGCCAGCAGGCAATCCCAACGTAAAGACTTAGCTGGCCCTTCTCTGCTCTTCACTGCTTAAACGATTCGTGCACAACAATACAAAACCATCTCATCCGAATATACAGAGTCTCCTCATGATTTCTGCGCTCGCGATCAAATACCAGCTACATGTAGGGAGACCAAAGTGAAGGTGGTAGGCCAATTAAGCTCCCACATTTGACAAGCACCGCTAGGGGGGGGGTTGTCCCTCCCAGGTGGAGCGTTGAAGCATTGCATTAAGCAAGCAGTGGTGGACGTGACACGTTACTTCTACCATACTGGCTGAGAGTGTACATGCTGGGTTCATAGTAATGATGTATCTCGGAGTACTCTGAACTCTCTGTCTTCGCCTGAAATGCCGAACCAAACACATTATGATTCAGAGCACTCCCCTCAGTCCGGTCAGAATGCCTCTGACTGAGATTAGGGCCGTGGTGATGACGGCCGAAGAACAAAAACCTGCCGAGGTCTGATAATGCCGATAACACCGAGACTGCCAAATACGGCAACTCTGACCGACCGGCATGCACGCGCCAGCTCGGCGTTTTCACACTTTTCTCGCTCATAATTCTATGCATGCCGATAACACGAAAGGACAACCAGGAGTCACTATGCAGTTTGGGGTTGGGGAATGGGATAATGGGAAACTGTAGATCAACATAATACTTTCAAACGCAGCCGCTCCAAATAACAGAAAAACTCCGAGTAGGATAAACGAGACGAAATAAATATATCCCGGGTGGAGAGTAATCCACACAGACAGATCCATAGAGATAGTCTATCCAGTCATCGGAGGGAGTTTCGTCAGGTCACTCGAAATTTATTTTCTCGTAGTCGCAGCTCACGAGGAAGCCCTCGTCTCGACACTGCACAGGTGTGGATACTTTGAGCTCCAGTATGACAGCGGACCATGACGAACAATAAATCATAGAGATGCCCAACAAATTCAGACAACTGTAGAACAATATATCACTGACGTAGGTGACGACCTGAGATGCTCTCTACTGCTCAAAGATCAAGAGTATATCCTGACAGCAGCGACTAAATATGTAATGTACACCTGAGTTACTATATTTGTAAGAATATATTTCACAAGTGAACCTTCACCCTCTATATCCCGTATCAAATAAGTCTGTCTATCACCGAAAATCAAATATCCCACCAACAATGAAGATGTGATATTGTATTCGTTAGTACATATATATTATATGCTGGATGTGTACCATATCTTAAGTTAAATAGACTATTTGAATGTATTTCAAGTCTCCGTATCTTGTGATTTGAGGAAATATACAAAACTTCCGTGGTATTATATATATCGAGAGAATTATTGACATGAAGAGTTTTATATCCACTATACTGGAAAAGTATATAATCCAAGCCTTTTAGCAGTAGCTACCGCTTCTCTTGGCCTACCGTTGCTGAGATATCTTGGAAGTGGTCGCTTTATATTGGATAGAGTCCAGAGGGCTGAAACGCTCGCCCGTGTAGAACGCTCGCCCGATGGATTTGTTATAACCAACAAATTCTAGAATTCATCAATGAGTAACGTCAAAATAAGAGAACTAATGCGGGGTAAACCTGAAGGACCATCCCTAGATCTATACATCTAGGCAGGGGTAGAGGGCAATCTCAGCGTGACGCTGAGTACAGGACGTCAGTAACAACATAGAAAATGTGGATTTACGCCCTCCAAGAATATGTTATCATGTATCTCACGCTGTTAATATTTCGCGAGTCTCACTCTTATCCAGCTGGCGGTGATACATATGCAGAACTAGAATAGGCCCTGCACTTGCGTCTAGACATACAGTATAGCGTATACCTTCTAAGCCGAATGACCATCTTATCTGTAATACTATGGCTTGAAGGAATATTCTGAAGTCAACTCGGTAAGCAATTCCCCAATGAGCACAAATTCCTTTGGCCTAGGCAGACCCTCACTAAATGGGCCCAAAGGGGAAGTTGGGTCGAGAGAGTTCAAGAGATCAACGTGGAACGGCCGGGCCATTTACCGTGAACCTTTATGGACAGGGAAAGACTAAGCCGCTGTCTACTCTCGGGAGTCCTGCATAGTACACCATATTGAAAGCGCACACGCAAGGTAGAAGGTCAGAGAACTCCACAATATAGAATCTAGAGCTAGCCCCCAATCGCTCCCCGATGACGTTGACTTGTCCACCCACACTCAAGCATCTCTTATCCCAACCCATTAAGACCACTTCCAGCGTCCAACCGCTGGGGGAAAGATGACTTGAGAAGCACGAAAGAGCGTTGGATTGGAGCATGATTGTTCTTGGCATGGATAGAATCATCTATTTTGCTGTTGATAATTTCGCCCTCCATGTTGTCCGGGGGCTAGGCTGAACACTTTGGTGGGCGTGTTGCTGTAGGTAACAGTAACATATCATCATGACATGCTATATCAACTGAGCTGATGTTTTTAGCCAACATCCCTGTTTTTCAAAAGGCGAAGTGTGCCTCCAACGTCTGACCGAACCTCAAAAGGCTTGCACGGTGTTACACGAGTCGGAAAACTGTCCCCGAGATTTGAGAACCCGTGGCTAGCCATCTCAGTACGGCCCAAGGGTTGAACATAGATTTTCACTATCAAGCAGCTGGATATGCACCGGGGGCAGCGAAAACTTCCGCCGACGCATTAGCTATCTGTCCGAGTCGGAACAAATGTCTGATAGTGTTTGAGAAAAATGAACTCTCGAAACCTTTACTCCACCTCAAAATCTTCCGAGCGGGTTCCGAGGAAATTGACAAGAAAACTGGGTAAGCGAGCATCCAATCAACATGGAAGAGTGTGATTGCGAAGGGCAGCAAATGGGAGATTGCTTAATCGTTGCTTTTGATTCAATTATGTGAGCTACCTCTTTCTCGCTTGCTCTTTTTGCTTTGTATTGACAATACTCTACCGTCTGAAGTTCCCTTGCTGTTGTCTTGAACAACAGCCTTCCCTACCATAATATGGCGCCGCCAGTTGAACTCCTCATTTCCCCGTGGATTACTTTTATTGTGCCAGTTTTTATATCTCTCTATTATCTGGTTCCTTGGTTCTGGATCCTTAATCACCTGAGGGATATACCCGGGGCCTTTTCAGGCCAGCTCTCGAACTTGTGGCTATTGCTTGCCTGTCGAGCGGGCAAGCGTTACAGCTATGTAGACGAAGCTCATAAACGATATGGACCCATTGTTCGCATACAACCTAATCATATGAGCATTGCCAACGAGGAGGTCATTCAGTTAAAATCGCTTCCATATTGGCTGGGTTAGTCAATGAAGCTGTATTCGCTCCCACTCGCTACTCATATAGCCACTAAGTCAATGTTTGGGGACGAGGAGTCATACATTTCACACCACCCGTGCTCTCCACCGTTTATTTTGTCAACGGCACCACGCTCCGTCCGAGGCCATTCCATGTTACCGAGAACCAGGCCAACGGTGTTGCTTTCTCCCAGGACCGCAACGGCAAGGGGGGCGTCTTTACTTCCCCACGGGGATGTGTCCCCGGACAAGAACCACCGAGGATACCTTACCGGCTCCGCACTCTAGACGCGTACGGTGTGTCGTACCCAGGCGCCTGGACGAGTGTCCCTCGGCCCGTCAGTGTTCTTATCTCTTTTGTCTACGACGGTGTCAAATCCACCAGGAGTGCCTGGGTATTCGCCTTTGCGGGGGAGGGGGTAGACGTTCTTGACTCTCAGACCGGGCTGGCGTTGGGGACCATTCGTGTGGTGGGCGGGGGGGACTATGTGGCGGTTAATATGGCCTTGGGACAGAACAAGCTCTGGATTATTGGGGCCGGGTGGTCTGGCATGTGACTGGCTTTCGCGAGACCCTTTTAAGAGGCTTCTAGGTGACCCTCGCAGGGACGGACTGCGGGTTTCAATTGAGATACCCTTTTGCATATAATCCGTAGTCCACGAGCCGGCCGAATGTTGAGGGTACCGTGATCTAAATGTATGAGTTGATGTGCAAGCTTCGACAACCTCTGCACTATTTCCCACTTAAGAATGATAGAAAGTGGGAGGCTGGGGATGATGGTCAGCTGTATGCATTTCCATTTTATGTCCGTTTGTTCTCTCGTGTCGGTAGACAGTCACCCGACTTCATCTCTGCCGAGCTCGCCTGCTTCATTTTCCTGTATACGTGAAATGGCAATTCTTTTGCTTCTACGGATGGTGCACGCTGCACTATTGTCATCCGTAAAGACTGATAAGGCGAAGAACAAACTCATCTGTGGCTCTGTGTGTTCAGGTCTTGGCGGGCCGTATAGTTGCGTTGCTTATATACGAATTTAGGTATACGGGCTTCCAGAACGTCATATGGGCTATTTGATTCAATTACCTCGATAGAGACAAATAGAAACGAAGAATGGCCCTTTTTAAATCGGAACAGCAAGCCGTCGGTGATCCATTGTGAAGCGTTATTGAACCTAACTTTGAAAAAAAAACGAAGCAAAACGCCCTCAAATCTTAACTTCGACAACGACGTACCTTGAAATTTATAGACGCTGCTAGATACGGTTAGACTCGGCTTTATCATTCCACGTCATTCAGCAGCTGCCTGAGACATGAGGACGCATTTATAGAAGCCTAGGCCCAGACCTCCTTCAACGGGATTAAATGTCTCTAAATGGCGATAATTTTTCACAAAACACTTACAATGATTACAAAAATTCTGAACTGCCTAGACTTCCGAGCCTTTCGCCACAGATGGGCTGCCGACCTACGTCAAATAGCCTTATCACCCCTCACAATCCTTGTTTGGACAGCATATACATCATTCAATTTCGTGAGATGGAATCTCATGAGGTCCCGACCATGCCCGCGCATCCGAGTTGTCTGTGTTGCTGACACGCACTCTCAGCGCTGCGACGTCCCAGATGGCGACCTTCTGATCCATGCGGGGGACCTGAGCCTCCATGGCAGTGCGGCGGAGATCCAGGAAACGGTTAACTGGCTGAAATCACTGCCACATTCTTACAAGGTTGTGATCTCGGGCAACAGTGATCGTTTTTTTGATGTTACCTCCCGATTGGCAGAAGATAAGTTGGCGATGACATTATCAGCCGACAGCACAAGCAAAGGAGCTGCACAGCTTCGGCGTTGTATGCCAATTGACTGGGGCGACATCTATCATCTACAGGAGGCTTCGGTGTATTTGCCCTTTCGGGACACATCTGGTATAACGCGGCAAATCCGTGTCTATGGGTCACCACAGATCCCTGTTTGCGGCGGGCCAGACAATGCCTTTCAGTACCCTGTCGACCAAAATCCATGGGCTGGAACCATCCCAGCGTCTACAGATATCTTGGTAACGCATACACCAGCCAAGTTCCACGGAGATTGGTACCAAGGGTCTCCTGAAGGCTGCCCATTTTTGCTGGATGAGCTGTGGAAGGTTCGCCCTTTGTTACATGTATTCGGCCACGTGCATACCTCTCATGGCGTGGAGAGGGTACAATGGGATAGCGCTCAGTGGTGGTTAGAGAAATACTATCGGGATACTTCAGACTCTGCTCAAAATCTGGGAATATCCACCCTGCGAGGCTTCTTCCATCCAGCGCTGTTCCTGGACGCTGTCATGATTCTGTTCTCTGCCACGGTAACTCTTATACGAGACTTAGCTAGTCTACGTCGCCGAGAAGAACGGTCTACATTGATGGTCAATGCGGCTTGCATGAGCGAAGACGGCGAACGGCTGGTGAATAAGCCGATTGTTGTTTATATATAGCCAGCGAAAATCCAGCTATCCGCGGTTAAGAGAATCGTCTCAGATCAGCATATCACTTGTCAGGCCACTGCGATGGGTTGTACTCTTGTGCAGCTTGGAAAAAACGTGATTTAGAGCAAGGCGCAGAAAGACGATAGCATCACGATTCCCATATTTGTATCATTTCTGAATGTCACTTCCATTTAGTAGTGGTGTGTTTGCGAGCTTAGGCCATAAATTTGGCAGTCTTTCGAATCACAGATACAACAATCACGTAAGCAAGAATATATAGTTATATAACTAGAGAGCACCCTGATAGGTGTTCAAGCTAGTTTTCATATGTCTGAATGATGAACTAAAGAAGGTCGGATTGCTAGAATCTAGATAGAAACGAAACTTGAAATATAGAAACGTAATAAGCAATATAGCCTGAATACGCAGTTTGAAGAAATGTACTTTTTGAGTTAGGGAAATCGCTGAAAGCTCTGCGTAGGTCTTGGTGATTGGATTCCGCAGCTCCAAGCCCCTAAACAGGCACGCGCCATGTATGGCTATATGCCGTCGACAGAAACTTTCTGGCTTTCTTGCTGACGGTCGCAAAGTAGCACGAACTCTTTCGGCAGGTGGCTGAGCAAAATGCTTCATGGAAGAGGTGTTGGGTGGAAAGATACCATCTGGGTCTGCAGTCTGCCTGGTTTTCTGGATCCTCTCGTACTTGGCCTGGTCATCGTAGTAGTAAGTAAAACTCTCCAGGTTAAAATCCCCATATGAATCCCACAGTACACGGCGGTCTTGTTTGATGAAGTTACCATTAGGCTCAATACCTTGTCATTGACGGTTTGCCAGTCCAGGGGCTCGCTGTTTAGCAGATGACGCGTGACAGCATTCTAGCACGCATGCAACTGTCGAGTCCTGCCAGCTGTAAGAGGTGCCGCTACTGGCATTAGTCGCGAACTTAGAGTAATTACCGCCAAAACACTACAGTTGAGCGGACAGCCAGCAGCGATTGGCATCGGGCTCGACGATCTCGTTGATGCGACCGGTGACCCAACTAGCCCAGCTATCATTGCTAAGTGAGGTTGGCTTGGTCAAATAGGCACGCTTGACGTACGGATAGTTGAATTCTCGCATGTTCCGGAAGATCCAGTCCCCTGTCAGCTTGGATATAGGTTTCTGTTGCACGCCCTGGTTGAAGATGGACATTTTTCCCAGCCGATCGAACCAGTCCATGTCGTATTTGGTACTTTTATTGAACAGTATCCACTGCACATAGACAACGATTGTACGGGGCCAGAAGGATATCCCATTTCCTCCATAAATCTCCGGATGTTGTTCTCTTATCTACCTATCCAACTCAGGCCACAAATTAATTTAATTTAAATGATGGCCTGCAGGCACTGATACAGAGATCATAATTATATACAAAGTTCTCATTATCTGGTATCTCCACTAAAATATCCAACAGTTGTCTCAATATCTCTTTATTGTACCGGTATAGTGCCTTAAGATCTCGGGAGCCACTATAGTCAATTTCACGATAGACCCAGATCGTGAAATGGGTCAGTACACCGAAGCTTCCTGGACTGCTTCCAATGATGGCGTAGAATAGCTCGGGGTTAGTCACCCTCGCAACTCCTTTGGATGTTCCTTCGTAATCCACGAGTTGAAGCAAGGTGGCATGGTCGCTAAACAAGCCAAAATCTCGCCCAATTTGGCCATATCCACCAGCCTGTATATGCCCCCCGAGATGAACGTCGGTACACTGCCCGTGAGGGAGAAATAGGTGGTACTTTTTGAAACATGCACTGAACTTTCCTAGACTCCAGCTGACGCTAGTGCGAGAAAAAGATTTGTAGTTAAGCTCGAGAACTGTAAGATCTTCAGGGCCTCTAAAAGCCTTTTCCGAATCCAGCTGGATATTGGGAACAAATGTAGATGAGGCACTGCTGTATTGGTGACCTCCAGTCCTAATTGTCACTGCAACTTTCTGGCGGTTAGCGTACTTGAGAGAAAGTACAATGTCATTTTCATTCTGTGGTTCGATTATGAGAGCTGGATGTATCCTGTGATCTATCTTGTGACTAGATGACGCACATTGGTACTTGGTATTCTGATGCGTCTCTGTCCCTTGGATGAACTGATTGCCTTCTATACCTGCAATGGTGTCGATGATGTTAGAGTAGGTCCATGCGAATTAACTGGTACGAGAGGATAGATATCTTGTACTGTGGGTGCATATATTTCATCGATTAACATGGATCTCGGAGTATTATCAAACCTCAAATGAACATGGGTTTACCGACAATCTACTATCTAGGCATGTGTGTAAAGACGGATCGCCGGATAGTCTGGTTACCCCTGAGGGTTCTATCACACCAATGGACATAAACACGGTTCTAAACCACGGCACCTAGCAGTCGTCATCTCAATGAGCGTTCGGAATTTGGTCATCATAGGAAGCACGCCTCCAAGGTTGCAGGTGTGACCTGAAATCGTCCCTGGAGACTTCTTACTCCGTACATCAGATACCGACCAGTCGATTTCAGATTTTCCATGTATCATTGTAATACTGCATAGAGGATCTAGGTTCTCACGAACGGTAAACCAAATAGCGTTTCTGGGGGTTTGGATGTAGATGGTACTTGGCTATTTTGAGACCTGAACGCACGAAATCGTTAATCGGGGAATGGAAATATGCATAGTTCAAGTATTTCAGGTTTCATACTTTCCTGACCGCTACTCCCGTAGCAAGACAGATACTAAAACCGAAAACAGTATATTCTACGACGGGTCGGCGGTATATATGCAATTCGTATTTGTAATTTATAAGTTGACCATATAGCAATGTGCTCGAAGCTTAGATCTTGCAGGATGTAGGAAGATCTCGTCAAAGTATTGCGCTCTGTATACTCTAACGGGAAAACGCAACCCAGGTCTTAGATTAATGTCCAAAGGAGGCGTTCCGTGCATCAAATACTGATAAGTGAAACTGAACTTCCACAAACTTTGTACGTTTGGGTGCGTGAGAGGCACGGGGCTCATTTTGCTAAATATTTTGACAAAGCTAACAAAGTATAGGAGAGCTCCAGGTAGCGAAGCAACTGACAATGTGTCTTCTGCAAAAATTGTTCCAATTCTTTCCTTCTTGACCAAAAAACTCGGAGGTGGTGGGTTCGGGTTATGCGTGGAGTAGCGAGCAGCGCGACCTCCAGCTTTATGCATGGCGCGTTTGAGATAAGAACTGCGCAGATGGTAGTGCTCGCCGGCCGTAATGGGAAGCGATCAGCGATCAGCGGCTGTCCGGGAAATGCGACGTCTTGGCTGCGTCGGAATTTCGATGTCCAGACAATCTACCGCAATGAATCATACACAATATCGAGCGCATTCTGTCTGTACCCGTTGCCATTCTCGCAAAGTCAAATGCGACTTGGAGAGTAGCCGAGACAATGTGTGCACTAATTGCCGTCGGTTCAATCAATCATGCATGTTCGTTTCTAACCCCCCCCCCCCCCCCATATAACTAAGGACTTCTCAACCGAATTGAATCCCAAGAGATTCTAACCAAATAACGAAGCAAACGAGCCAGTATTCGCAAGAAACGGAAGGTGGATGAGAGGAAATCTTCCCCGCAAAGATCGCGAAAATCACGATCTGAAGATTTAATCCCGGAAGACCGGGCTTTTGGCTCACAGCCGGGGTTGACCAATTCTGAAATTCAACCTTCACCAGCATGGGGAACAAGAGAATTCAGAGAGCATAACGGATTCATTGCGGAGCACTCGGTCCTGGCATACGACGAACCAACACAGCCCACAGTGTCGGAAGGATCTATCTCGAGCCTTCCATGCGTCAGAGACGCTATCTTATCAGCAACCGAGGCATTGGTCCTACCAGTTCCACCACTACGGCGAGCATTGATTGATATGTTCTTCGACCAAGTCTACCATGATTACCCAGTGGTTGAGCGAGGCGACATTTCGGCGTCAGGTTCATCCATTCTCCTCCAACAGGGGGTATTCCTAGCAGGAAGCCTTATGCGTCATGGCTCTGACAGTCTGAGGTTTTCGAATACTCTCTACGAGAAAGTCAAAGCATTAATTTATCTTCAGTACGAGACTAACAGCATTGCAACATTGCAGACGCTGTGCCTCTTGTCTTGCTGGAGCGTGAAGCCCCCGGACAAGATCAGTCTCGATGGGCCCTGGTATTGGACCGGGATAGCCTCACGACTCGCACTGCAGATGGGTTTGCATCAAGAGTCAACATACGCCAACAACGCCCATGCCTCATGTCTTCGAAAGATCTTTTGGCAACTCCATGTCAGTTTCAATCCTGAAATACTTGTCATATCCACACAATGACTAACGTACTCTACTTATCTGAACAGAATGCTGATAAACTACAAGCTGCATGTTGGGGTCGCCCGCCATCATTCAATCCTGCTTATATTGATGTGGAGTTACCGTCTCTAATGGATTTTGGTAACCAGTCCCTCCAGGCGATACTCTTCATTCACGGCACAAAGCTCTGTATGATAATTGGAGAGATTGCCGAGCTTCAGCGTGAAAAAGACCACATTGATCCGCAAAAAGCATCTCAACTCACGCAGAAGCTATGTGAATGGGTGCGGGAACTACCGGCAGAGCTGCATTTATATGATGCCGCGGGTGATAGGAACCAATTCCGTCGTGCGGTATCAGAATTGTTCATCAGATACTTTGCCACTGTCATTCTACTGCATCGCCTACACGGTGGGATTGACCGACACCGGCACACGTCAATACCGTGCTTGGTTGCCTCCTCATGCATGATCCATCTTTATGAGGAGATTTTGTTCAGGGATGAGGCATGTTATTTGCTTCAAATGAATGGGTTCCTATGCATGGTGGCGTCCCTCCCACAGATAAACTACAAATCTCGATCACCAGAGAAAGAAGCTGCACGTCAGAGGGAGATTGAAGTTCTCTGCTCTGTGTTGAAACAGATGCGAATGAAGTACGGAGGATCCGAAATGGTGCTCAGAAAGATCATGAAGTTACAAAGACAAGTGGATACTTCAATGGGAGAACAGCCACTCCCCGAAACAGAAAGGATCGAAACACCCACAAGTCTTACGGAAGGCAACTTTTACAGTCGGCTTCAAGAACTTTTTCCTTTTCCTAATACTATGTGCAGCCAGATGGATTTGTTAGAGCGGACAGTGGATTTAGAGGAATGTTTCGCCCCAAGCTTTCTTCCCATCGACACTGAATGGTTCTTTAATGCAGAGCTGGACCTCATGGACTCAAATGAGATGTACGCGGAGTTACCAAATGTTATTTATAATCCTTCCCTAGGGGAAAGTTCGATGTCGTACGCTTCTACTCAAAAGTCGGCGCTCGGTACACGGTTCTCGGCACTCGGCACGCCAATAATGACGCATCACGATGCTCGTGGAAATAAATTTATATAATCGTAATCCCCTACGTTCTGCCGATTGCTTTTACGTTCTGCCGAGTGGACAGAACAGTAAGGCAGGCCATTCCAAGCAATGAATGATCCCGCATACTTACGAAGTTTTCACGATACGCCGCAGGCCCTTGCTGGATCAGACTCTCGTCACTCCGGGAGATTTATGGGCCACATCAGGAGTTGTATATAACAGCTCGAAAACAATTTAAGTCGCTTTACACCACGAATCTCAGTAATCACGCTTTTTCGACATGCAAACTTGGTCATTGTTGGTTATTGTTGTTGAAGTATTGCTTCCAATTGGCATGGCGAAAATGCCAGTAATTGCCGCTCTCGGCTGACCGTCCGTTGGCTCGGCACGGATGGTTCCTCCGAGTTTTTGTCAGCGGCGTCGTTTCAGCCCTTAACTACTACTACCCAGAACGCCTCGACCGAAGTACGGTTCTTACAAACCATTTCTTTTTCAAGTATTCAACTTCTGAACCAACTCTGCTTCCATTACTCAATATCCGCGGAACATGGCATCCAGCTCCGACAGTGGAGTTTTGCGGTTGACGTTTCTTACGACAGGATCAGTCCGCATCAGGCCGTCAATGAGATCCCAGCCTCCAAGCAACGTTCCTCTTCTTCGTCGCCTGAGATCTGTTTGCGATCGTCGGTGGACAGATCCTCTGCCAGTTGGAGCTTTTCTCATCCACCACCCTGAAGGTCCTTTTCTATTTGACACTGGTCAGTCTCCTTGTTGCAACAATCCTGGCTATTTTCCACGACTCGCTATTTTCAACAGTCTCCTGAGTGAGTTCACCATCGAGCCCAAGGATGGCATTGTGAACCAGCTCCGGGAAATAGGAATAAAGCCCACCGACCTGAAGGGAGTCATCCTAAGCCATCTTCACAACGATCATGCGGGTGGTCTAGAGGACCTGATCGCCGAAGCACCAGAGTTGCCAATATATGTCTCTCGGGAACACTGGAACGCCTTTGGGAAGCATCCCTATTTTGCGAGCATGGAGGGAGCAACTCCAAATCACTGGCCGAAAGAATTCACGCCGAGGATTGTGGACCTCCAAGACAAACCCCTTGGGCCGTGGGAGCAGTCTTACCCGCTCACAGAGGATGGAAAAATATGGATAGTGGATACCTCCGGCCATGTTCCAGGGCACATCAGCCTGGTTTTGTATACTGATGCGGAGCATTCGAGCGTTGAGAATACCGGTAAACAGCGTCTTGCTTATTTTTTGCCCGGCGATGCGACGTACGGGTTGGATCTGCTGGATAAGGAGGAGCCGGACGGCATCAATGATGATCCAATGCGTGCCTTGCGGACCTTGAAAACCATCAAACAATTTGCTAAGGAAATGGATGTGGTCATTCTGCCCAGTCATGATCCTAATACTCCGCAGCTGCTCGCCAACCGACAGGCTTACCGACCACCGAATTGATGATCCTGCATTCGATTCGGACATTATCTCCGCTTTGTAAACTTGGAAGCAATTTTGCTGCCTTGGATAATTAATGAAGTTTTCTCACGTAAATAAGTTGCAGAGTCCTACTTCTCAAGCCCGGCCAGTATCAGCTAGCACTAAGAATATATTTCTCATCAGAAAGAAAAAATAAATTAATGTGATTTTCATGATTCTATATTTTGATTTTACTCTAGAGTTTCATAGATAGGCTTAATCTAAATTATATACTAAGAAATAAAGATAAACCGAAACTTGTCTTTTTATTATTTCTATCTCAGTTTCTGCTAAGCTCTAGTTTACTTTAATAGAATAGAGAGGGTAGTATATCGCTGTCTTAAATAAATAATAGTGTTACAAGATATACTGACTATCCGAATTGTATAGGGGATCCTACTTGATCGATGGTGGAAGTCGGAATCGATGCCGTATTAGGATAAGCTACCTTTCTATGAGACACAGGAATATCAGGGGGTATAAAGAGGTAACTAGGAAGCACGATGGAGCTGAGGCCCTTAATGGGGATCAGCAAGAGTGAAATTCAATGTTTACAGTGACCTATATTACTATATCCAATGTGGAAGCTGGGCCAAATCACGATTATACTCGGTGAATCGGACACGATCATGGAATGATATGCAAGGTGGAACGGTCTATAGTGTTATTTTACGTCTTTTATCTTCTATTTAGATTTATCTCCTAGCAGTTAATGTCAATGTTTCTCAATGACATCAATTTTCCCCTTCACTCGCTTAGAATTCTAGTTAAGATAGCAACAATATAGTTGTATTAAATGCAACATGGTAGCTTGAATCTAGTCACCCCGGCGTGTAGCTACGTAATGGCGTTAAGAGAGGCAGTGCTACAGAGAGCTAGGTTGTATCTAGTACACTCACCCCATTTATTACATGCACACTCAGTCATATTACCCCCTAGTGTCTGCGAGGATTTCGCGTATATCGTCGTCCATTCTAGATTCGCTAAGCAAAACCCTGAGTATGCTATATCAAAGGCTCTTCTTCAAATCGAATCCCACCCCCTGAAGACACAATACCCGCAGTCGACTCCCAAAAATTCCATCGTCTTCTGTCAAAGCGTCCACCGTGACATGTCCGGGTGGACCGTTTTATCGGGTGCCCAATTATATCCCCGCGGCGCCTTTGCTAGCCGCCAGGCAATCCATTCCGTATCTCGCCAGATAGTATTCTGGTCTGAGGGATCGGCATCCTCGAAGTTCATAATGTAGCTGCTCATAGTATACACAGGTCATATATTAGTCGGGTTTGCAGGCGACAACAGCCATTTCTGGCTCATAATCCCGAGCACTGCACTCACATATTGCCTTTTTCAGCATCCCAGATAAGATTTTCGATAGCTGACATCGCAGGTTTGAAGCCTGCGCTAACGCAGTTCCTAGTATCAGGATAATATTGTTAGAGAGTGTACGGTATGTAGTAAGGGGGCAAGACTAACAACCACGCTCGTTTGAAGGCATTTCGGACCGTGTTCCTATTCTGTCCGTCCATACTCCAGAAGATCTCTTGGTTCAGATACTTTCCTGGGGGGCGTTGGATCAGGAGATAGTGGAGAAGACCGCCCGGAACTGGGCCCGTGTGATCCTGTTCATCTTTCTTCACGTGTAGCAGCTTTGGGGCGGAGCTACATGCATTCTCGGTGAGGACCTTGAGGGCCTCCAATTGGTATTCCCCAAAGTTAGGTATTTTCTGAGAGGCAAGCCGGGCTCTTTCATTTGGAGATGTGTACTCCAGCCCCTCGTACGGGATCCTTGTCGCGGATGAGGACTTATCATATGTATGAAAGGGCAACGAGAACGTACTGCATGAAAGCCTTGATTATCCCTTTAGATGATGAATCGCTCAACTCATGGCAGCTGAAAGTTCCGTAGGCGGCCGCTACTCTGGGACGCAGATGATGTTCATAAGCTGTGTGCTGATGATACAGTTCAGCCAGTTTCTCGTCCAATACCCAAGTACTCGGAATATTGTCGCTATGTAGACTAATAACCTTCGACTCCCAACCTACAAAGAACTCCTTTCCATTGTCATCCATCTTGTAGGTCGGTCTGTATGACGGAGAGAGATATCGTGCGGAGCGTGGGTGGTGAACAGAATACGCGGGTTAGACAGCGCGGGGAAGTCCAAAGCTTATCATCACGACGTCAAACTACAATGCATTCCAGTGGGTGACTAATACTTTAATAAAATTATGTCAATTGGAGCACGCGCGCGTGTATGTCGCGGAGTGTTATGGGCGCGACGCAGAGTCCTGAGAGTGAATTGATTTCCCTTGTAGTAGGCAGTAAACCCGGATAAGAAAGTAAGTATGGAAACCCAAGCCAGAACCAATCTTCAAAATGCCAAGTGGAACTGCCCAGAGGCCCATGAAGGCCATTAAAGATTCTTTACCAGATCTTAATTTCGGCATACACAAGACTAAATCCCTTGCTTTGCATCCCGAGACTTTCATCGGGCCATAAGCCCCTTGGGAAAACTTTTGAGAAAGAGGCGAGGCAGAATCTCGTAGCATTGAACCTTGGAAATGGGGGTCCAGTATTGGGCTTCAGGTCGAGCAAACAACCGACATTACTACCTGAGGAACAATTCGTTGTCGGCGACGAGATGGGAATACAAGGTCGATTTATCGAGAGGCTGTCGCAAGCAATGACAGCTATTTTCACGGCGACTGGATCAAGAACACGCTTTGGGGATTACAAGCCTACTAGTGACTGATGCATCAAAGGGAAAGTGCCGGATGTGGCCATTATGGACCACAATAACCTGCTGCGTGTCATAGGGGAGTTGAAACCCCCATGGATAGATCAACATGATCTCGAAGCCGCATACCGAGACCACATTCGCCTGCGACGACTCTTTGGTATATACAAACATAAACAAGACATACATAGTGGTATCACTAACTTTGAACAACAAGGTCAAATCGTCGGGTATGTGGTTACCGCGAAGTTCAAGTACGGGTTCATATCAACCTATTGTATGACAATTTTATTGGAGCAGGAAGTGATAAGGGGAGTATGGACAATAGCCTCTAGTAGGCCAATCATGAGCTGCACAGAATGGAAAGATGTGGAGGATGGAAACTACGAGGACACGGTTTCCCTGAGCGTGTGTTTCCTCTATCTTGTGCGTATGGCAGAGAACGATCATATTGCGAACAATCAGGTGCCAGAGGAACAGTGGTTTGAATGTTAGTACAAGTTTGGGGTGATAGGGTAGGTCTTGTTAGTCTCCCATTTCCGTATGCTAAGAAAAGAAATACGAACCCCTTTAGCGGAATTCTTGAATCCTTGCGGGTTGCCAAGACATCAAGTATGGATTGACGCCGCAAGTTGCCTCTCATGATCAACATCGAACAGCAGCCAGGCAACCTTTGTGTTCGTGCAAATGTTTAAATTCTGTATATATCCAATAGAAATATACCTAGGTTTGATGATGGAAAACTATATTCCGTTTGCGGAAATGTGGCAATCCCTCCACATGTTTACCAGGAAGTGTTAAGAGCAAGTCAAATGTCCATGACGGTATGCTGGCAGCTATTCTTCGGTCTAGACATATTATATGCAATAAGTTGTACAGCATAAATTACCCTGTGGCAAATTCCCCGGGGGTTCCATCTTACATTAGACAAATTACGACTGTGCTTGCTAAACTCTACTAAAACTCAAAATGATTTTTAGTATCCGTTAGATGGCCATAATTGAGGGCTCTATACACCTCTGCAATGGATGCAGCCATCCCAGGAAATGGAACCACCATAACATATTGTCTACAGAATAGAAGCGCTCATTCGTAATTACATTATGTAGTTCTGTACAATAAGGCCAGGTGACCATAGGTACTTGATTCAACGCCACATGTCAAGTATACTATGATACGAATATGGTAAAACTCATGTCTCATGTAATTTAAATATCTAGCGGACCAATATTCTAAACCTTTTCATAACTACACCTGGGCTCATGATCGGATGATATTTGCACTAGCAGTAGCTCCAGATAGGGAAACGAAATTCTAAAGTAAAATCTTACGTCAAGATGAGATTGACACAAATACTATCTCCACATTGCCGATCAGCGCTGTCATATGAGTGTAGTACGAGGCCCCTAAGATTGGGCACATATGGAAAACCTTAGTAGCTCAAGGGCTCTCTAGGTACAACTGAGATAAGCGGTAACTTGAAAAACCTTTTGCTGTTTTTAAATAATCATCAAAATGATCTCTTGTGAACTGCAACTGCCCTTTAGAGGTATTTATATTTATTGATATATTAGATTCCGTTTACTTTCAAGTAAGAATACTTGGAGATTTCAGGACGACAGTATCATATCGCAAAATAAGGAAACCAACATAATGAGAATCGAGATATTTGGTTTGATGTTTCCAATATATAGTCGGTCGTTCGAGACTATCACTTGATTATAGAAGAAATCATAACAGCAAGAAAATGGAATACAATAATGTGTGGCGTTCTTTACATAATGTGGTGTTTTGCTGCTGTAGGCTATTGAGGTGATATGGACTCTAGACCAGTATGATATTATGGTTATTGAATCAACCTAGGTTTATAATCTATTTGATATTTATTGTATGACCTAAACCAGATATCTAACTAGCATAGTATATTTTTCCTGGCCTTAGCGCACACTCTTTGTCACAAATGTGCTCTCATGATAGACTATCACATGTGTATATTCGAATATGGTGTGACAATCACATCAAAGCCCAGACTTTTTGATTAATTATTCTTTACGCAACTGAAACAGGTCTGGATAGATATAAAATCCCGAGGTTGCTCTTGTTCAGAACCACCAGTTTAGTGGTTACCACGCCAATCTGTATGGCTGTCTCTGTGCTTTACATAATTAAAAGCTGAACTTCCAATATAAACCTTTGATATAGATACCGACAAGATTCATATGTGCAAGCCTAAATTTTTGAAGGAAGAATACTCTGGTCAGAACTGTAGGAGTGTAACCTCTGGCTCTGGGCTATGGTCTCTTGCTTTAGAGAAAATGTCCTTTTGGCCCAATGGCAAAAGGCTACGGGTCAGGTTCCTTTGGGATACCGCATATATAAAGGAGAAGATCCGGCAATATACCCAGGTGTGGGAAAAGTACGCTAATATCGACTTTCGCTTTGTTGAAACGGGCCCTGCAGAGATTCGGATTGCTTTCAAAGATGATGGCTCAGGGAGTTACGTGGGAACGGAGAATACGCGTATTCCTGCCGAAGAGCCAACAATGAATTTTGGGTCGTTTGACCGAAATACCAGGGAAGAAGAGTTTTCGCGTACAACAATGTGAGTATATACCTTCATCCAGTATATACCCTCGTACATCCCACACTGATTCTAAAGTACGTAGTCACGAATTTGGTCATGCGCTTGGGTGTATTCATGAGCATCAAAGCCCGGCTGCAGAGATTAAATGGGATGAGGGTAGGCTTTTAGAATACTTCAAGCCCTGGAGCAAGGAAACCATCGAACACAATATCATTTCAAAGTATGCACAGGGAGCCGTCGTTAACACCGCTTTTGACATGAGGCCTATCATGCTTTATTTCTTCCCGGCATCCATCACCACGAACAACCTGAGCACACCGTTGAACTCTGTCCTATCAGATCAAGATAAGACGTTTATCAATAGTATCTACCCCTTTCAGAACCGTGCTAAAGGGTCCTTTTATTCCTTTTCGACCCTTGAAAACAGACCATGGTATCCCCCAATGTTTCTTAACCCAAGCAGATCAAATATGACCCAACCTACTTACAAACCCCGAAGATAGCTGTTGGGCTTAACCTGCTAGATATCTATCTGGTATCACTAATGATTTTTCTCTTATTTATTCTTCGTTAAGTTAGTACTATTTCGTGAGTTAGAATCACCTTTTCTTTTGAGCTTTGGCAGATTATACAGATATTTTTGAGAATAATTACTACTACTGTATACTGAAGACAGCATTGCTGAAGAACGCATAGTAATATGACATATATAAACCATGTTATGGTAAATAACAACATGAATCGCTTGCATTCAGGCATTCTGTATTTCGATGAGACGGCCGGCTTTACGAAAAGACAATGACTTTTGTGTGAATGGCAAATTTTCAAGCAATCAGAAATACTAAAAGACATTGAATTTTGGGGACTCTCATCAGCACATTTCACTAGGCCTTTTCGTAGGAGTTCGATTAGTTTCACGTTGGTGGTATTGCTGTAAGTCCTTCAGGGAATGGAGGGATAATGTTTTCATGTCGTAGGTTGCATTGTTGAAAATGTCGCTGACAAGCAGCAGACCAAAATCTGATTGGATAACTCCTGTCGGAAAATTGTCTGCAACAATTCTGGCATCTTGTTTCTTCCTTCAGGCAGCGATCTGCACATGCGCGCAGTCCAATTATACAGCCTTGTCCCTGTCTTTCTAGGCCCAATCGACACTCTCGGAGTTCTCTTTGATTTTCATAACAATGCATGAGACAAGTCAAACCAATAAGACCGGGCTTGATGTCACACTTCGAGAAGCACGCCCCAAGCATCTCAGAGCATTTCCTAGTCGCCTGACAGTTCAATTGTGTTGTTAAGAACAAAAATACCAGTAAAACAATTCTAAGTTCCATGGCTCATGCGATAGGTTATCTGCCTTAGCAGTTAAGTAATATGGGAGTATAACAACAAGAAAAAGTTCTGTCTGGCAAAGGAGTAACTCCTGAATTTAACGTTGTCAGTCAGGATGGGAGGGTTTTCTTTCTTCCTTTCTTTCTTTCTTTTTTTTTATAAAAAACAAAATTCTGCTGATGTGGTCTCGGGTCACTTAGTGAAAGAAAATCAAGGTTTCTCAAGCTACAAGCCTGAGCAAATCTCAATGTATCAATATATCTTCGGTATAATCAAAGATTAGTTGAGAATTCCTAGCGGAAGGTGAAAGTGAAATATTTATAATTGTTCCCTGGTTCGATGTCGTCACTGAGGTCATCACCAGGGAAATAGAAAATTAAAATTCTGGGAAAACACGAAACTGGATTCGTCTGAAACCTACAAAATCATAGGTATAGACAATCTAGAGCTTAGCCGTCTGAAGTTTATCAATCGAATACAAAGTATCACAAGACACGCAAAATCTAGAAGAATACCTTGAGGCGCGTCCATTGGCTTAATCACCACCAAACCATCCATTCTAGACCTTCTAGGTTGCATGGTACATCATCCTACAGTACCACAGTTAAGTAAAGAAATTTCCAGACAGGGTTTCACTTGTTGTTTTCATTATGCTTACATATTGATCCGTCTAAACTTGTGCTGAACATGAGTTCGGTCTGTCATTTGATCTAAAATACCCAAGCCAGCCACAAAGTTTAATTAGGATAGGGTTAATTACCTCTCAGTGATTTGGTGCCAGGACTTAACCTATCTCAAAATTGCTGGACTCTGCTCTTTTTTTTCTTTCTTTCTGTCTTTTTTTTTTTTTTTCGGCTACAGTCCACCACCATGTTGACTATGATTCCTATCAGCTGTGTTGTCGATTCCGCTAACAGAGCAGAACCATTATCATTCAGAGTATACAAGCCGGTAGGTTGGTTTGAATATCGGCCCTCGGATAGCAATTGGGAAAATAGTTAACCGCAGAGAGCCACTCTAGATGGCTATGGCGGTTTCATGGTTTTCAATAGTCAGCACATGGTCCTGGTCGATTTAATTGGAAGATGCATCCCATGCCTTTTCGGCTTGTGCAGATTTGACGAAGTGATTATTATTCTCTGGGTCAACTTGCTGTTCGATGTTCGCAGACAGGAGGAGCTGGGTCACGAAATCTGATGGTTCCAAGTCTGTTTCCAGTGGGACAGTTGGAAACGCAGCAGTAGATGTATCATACGACCTGCAACCAAATAGTACTGGTGCAATCTCCCGTAATTAACCTCCATACAGGTGACTTGAAACTATATGGGTATATGAACTCGAATGAAAAGAAGGATGGCTTCTCTAAGATTTAACGTAGACGCTGTGGGGGAGAAGACTCCATGCCTGGAAAATCATCTGCTGCACCAGTCCTAGGAATGAAGCAAGACTCAGTACACATCACAAGCCCATAAAACGATCATGACGTGGCTTTACTGGCAGGAGAGCCCGCATCTTTGAACGCATAGTATAGTTGGCAACGGAGAAAAGGGACGGGCAACGCATTTTCACCTGGATCCTTCATCGAATTTCATCACTGCAAAGAATGGATGACGATCAAGCCTTCGCGCCTAGTCGGTCTGGACATCTTGACATCCTCAACATGCAGGAGTATAGACCGTATGAACTGCCCCGAAATTTTACCAGCTCTTGATTCAAGGTGCAGCTTGCGGGGATTAAGGTCACCCCAGAAGATCCCTACTCTAAAAGAGGGAAATCCGGTCAAGCCCACCAATCACCGTTTCTTGCAGCGGTAGGTGGAAATAAAGATTCCTTGTTTAAATTGTTGTACTATATAGTGTTGTGAAAGAAATACCGCCGAATTGTGTGGAATGTTAAAAAGGGGAACAGAAAGGTAGAAACCCAGGTGTAGCCGAAGCCTAATCAAAAACTTCAAAAACATAGGAGAATGACAATGCTTTCACAATTACTCTAGTACTTGCCCACCGTGCAAAGCATTTACGGGCATTTTGATGTGGCTGTAAAGGCAATGATGGCCTGCAAGATTGACCAATTGGGTCGAACCATTGAGAGCGGATGAAGGTCAAAAGACTAAGACAAACACGCCTAATTTTATTGTCTTGCCTTAGCCCGACAGACACAGGTGCTTGGTACGGGGCTCAGCGCCGTGACTAACCCATTTCAAGAAATTATCCAAGTTCAACTTGACGTTATTCGCGGTATTCGATACTTTAGTGAAAAATTGGCGCATTTCACCCTCATAATCATGATTTGGTCCATCAAGATACGCAGTTATGAACTACTTTAGCAATTTCGAGGGCCGTATCAACCTGAGATGTGTTGTCATACTTCTGCGAGAGCGATGCGTATTAGTTCCCTCCCAAAAGACCAGAAGTAGGGTTTCGAGCGACCCACTGTATATTTTTGCGTGTGTAGCGACACGTATCCCCTTCCAATCGAAAAGATGACCAAGCAAAATGGCTCGATAATTCCTGTTGCAATCCAATTTCAAGCATACCTTACCTGCACTCTAGACGCGGTCTGATATTCGAAAGGGTTTTAATGAAGTCAAACAACATGTATAGATCTCGTAGTCTATCCCCACACTCGGTACCCCTTAGCTAGCAGACCAACTTGCGCCACGACAGCACGTAGTATGTACTATGTCCCTAGTGCAGCTGAGTATTTGTGTGGAGCTGTGACAAATATTGCAAGATGTGGTGAGTTCTCAATAATTCAGTAAGTCAGACTCTGTCTGCCTGCGCACATCGCATTGAGGCGGAACTCCTCCTTATTATTAACCATGGTCCATTAATTGTACCGCTGAGTGGAAGTGGCTTGTAAAATGTACCAAATTCACCGTTGATCATGTGTCGAATACAATGATCCCCGGATAATGGGGAAAATGAACTCTTGTGCGCAGGCTCTGTGCCATGATTCGGCGGTCGCTAACTAGCCCCTAGCAACACGCAGAGCTAGAAATGAGTTGCCGCTTGTGTTTCAACTCGAGTAATTACAGTTAAATATTGCCAATCGAACTCATCAATCGATAAGACCACCTGTTCTGGAAAACCACATTGATGTGATGGAATCTTCATTCAACGATGGTTGTGAAGTGCATCTTCGATACGGAAACTCCCTCGATGAAAATATCTTGCATTTGGCTTTGTCATCCTAATTCGACATTACCTACGGCCTCCCAATTGGACTGGGCTGCTTGCTTATCGTCGAACTCTTCTGTCAGCTGACGACCTCTCTTCCGTCGAATGCCACAGTGTCCATTCAACAGGCGGTTTCGTGTTCGTATGGTCTAGTATGAGCTCCATCAGAGCTCCCCGGGTTACCCCCTATGTAAAGTTAGCAGCAAAATTTGACAATGACCAGTGCAAATGTATGTTGGTGCAAAACCATAGCTTCTCCAGTATTCCTAGACCACGTACTTGGCATTCCTTTTATTCTTACGAAAAGAAACAGGCTTCCACCATTTTACTGAAGGTACCCTACCTCAATACCAGACAGATATGCTATATCACAGACAGCAAGTCCTCTAATAGTTAATGCTTGCCTGGAATGTAACGCGGCTGCCTGCGAGTACTAAACATTGATTTGTTTCACATCATTTGATATTAGGAACATGGAATCCTTGTACAAAGAACTTTTTAACGCATCAATTTGAGCAAGCTGTGCAATTCGCAGGGAGCCCCCTTTTCGAAAACCAGTTATTGCCTTGCCTCATAGAAGCCGCAGTAGACTGTCGTATGAGCACTAGTCGACGCAATTGCCATCTCCACAGAGGACAACCGCGCGGTAATATACTTCCGCAATTGTCAGACACATAATACGTCTCCAAACTTGTGAAAATCCGCTTTGCCTCCCACATTCATTGTACAAATCCCTCTTGAATACATCATCAATTGTCTTCCTCGTCGTCTCTGTCAACCTGTCCTGTGCGCCGACATTCCGATAACCAAAATCATGTCGTCTGCAGCTCGGCTCAAAATTAAATCCCACTGGCATATCTGGAGCCATGGTACAGTCATCGGACGACCAATCAAAACAAGGGGGCTCTCTGGCCTCCCGAGCCGCGCTAAAAGCCTCGATATTCGTGTTGAAGATAAGTTCGTCCGTTGTGGCGGCAGTGCATTCATTCTGCCTTTTGGAATTTGAGGATGCCAGTAGAGCGCTGGTATTTGTGAAGAGTGTCAGGACAGTCCATATGGAGACCCTCATGCCGAGTCTATTCTACAGCCTCAGTTAGTTCACGCAAAATCAGATATGTGGAGTACAGACTTACCAGTAAATAGTTATCTGCACGTTAGGTGAGACGTTAATGTTGTATAAGGAATGGCAAAACCTATTTAAGCAGATGCAAGTAATGGCTAGTACTACTGGAATGTGGGAACAGCCTCTCGTATCATAGTTCTTTAAGTACTCAAACCCAGAAGGTATCCAAGCATGATCGAAGTATGGTTTCATGCTGATGATATCATGATAAAACTAAACTAATTTAAAGTGGTAACGTGGTCTACTGCGTGTGAACAGCATTTGAAATTAATTAATTGCAGATATGGTCGGACTTAAAATTCTGTGTAGCAGTCACCTTACCTCGGGTTCCAGGACTGACTTGCGGATGTGGGTATTCTTTACTAAATAGAGAGACATGAGGCTGCATATCCGGAATTAACTACCAAGCTAAAAGTCTCCTTGGCAACCAAATTACGTTTAAACTTTCTTATTCACAAATGGACACTAGACAGTAGCCTTTTTGTAACAATAATTGTTACCGGAGGTTGTTGTGGCACAAATAAAAGGAGTATTAGTTCAACAACTTCCTCATTGTTCATCTCTCAATGGTTGTGCCGCAGCTACCCGAACCAAAAGGCACCCAGATGAGCGATCAATGAAACCAGGAATATGGTTTCCAGTGCTTAATAATAAAGCTGTCAGATTGAGTACAAGTTGTCAGTCTAAGTGGTGCTCCAAGTAATCTCAAGCCATGAGCCCGAACCTTCTTTGCAGGTTGTAGACTCGAAAATTTGATCGTTTCGAATGCACGAAACTTTGGTTGACCCTCACCCAAAACCACGCTTCCCAATCCACAAATTTCTGGCACTTGAGTGCAGTCGTCTGGGTTGACCGACCCAATAGTTCTTCTGACAGCTAGAATGCTGAATTTTGGCATTCGAAGCTTTCATGTTTAAATACAAAGTAAACAAGCCGTTTTCGCATGGTGCAGATCACATTGAGACCAATGATGTTTCGTCAATCCGCAGATGAATCACGAAGCTGTTGGAAATAAAAGTGGCTATTTAACTCCCGTGAGGGTAAAACGCAGAGAAAAATCTTCTAGTCCTCCTACCTTTCCCATTTAAAACTATTCCTTCGGCCCCAAACGATCGTGTAATTCGCACGTCAAGACAAATATTAGTTTATTGCGACTGAGTGCGCGAGGATTGTTTATTCGCTTCCTATAAGGCAGTCAGACTGTTAAAGCCTATGGTAATGACAATATGATACCTTCAGGAACGTTCTAAAGGTGGGAATGGATATATCGCTCAATAATCTAGCCCAAAAAGAATTCCTGGAAAGTGAAAATAATTTCCTCGCTGGAATGTTTCAAACTCACTCAGCCCGAGACGAGCTTATTGGGATTAGCGTTACAGTTTTGCCAGAGTTTGATGGCCATTATCCTGTGGCTAAATTCTAGCTCATACTGCTGTCGTGAAGTTGTTGCAAACGGCCAAAGCTCAGTGGCTCCACCCGTGGAAGAACCACCCGCCAACCATTAGTAAAAAAAAAGGAAATGAAAAGAGAAGAAAAGAAAAGAAAAAAAAGAAATTATTGCAGCTGAGCACTGCATGAGTGTATATGTAACCTTCTCACCCGGTTCACAGGTATAGTGGTATGACCAAAATTGAGTCTAAATTCTGTTTCCTATACACAGCAACCATATTCAACTGACCGGACTGTTCTAGATCTTGAAGCCGCCCATAGAGGGTTTGGAACTACGGCCTAGGCGCCCGGGAATTCTGTTATGAATGACACACTGCTTGTTATTAGGCCCTCTTGTATCTTATTCCCTTCCATGCTACGACTCTCCAAAATACCCCCCTTTCTTTAATCAACAACCGCTATATTGACCTGGTCTATTATAGTATCATACTGTGCATATAAAACTCCAGAATGACCGCAGCATCGCGTGTCCTAGTTGTATCCGGCGCTCTCAGCGGCGTTGACGACGAATTTCTCGGTAATCACGAAAGAATGCACCGGCCTGTCTACGCTAGAGTAGTTTTATCAGAAGGGGTTCCCCAAACCTTCTTTACATGGTCTGAAGGCTGGGGCGGGGAATGCCGCCTGGAAGTCATCATTACCGCCCAGCTTAACGAAAACCGGCACATTTTCGTCACCGTCAACGGAAAGTTCTATGAGGGCACGAGCGAAGCAACTACGGACTTAGCTGATGAACAAACTCAGTCTGCACTAGTGCCGAAGGGCGGCCTTCCTATCCCATTCTCGCTGCAGTTTTTCAACCGAGAGCCTTTCGGAGGCGATACAGCGACTATCTCAGTGACCTTTGTTAATGTTGTGGAGGAGTGAAATTTCCCCGATTATACTTAACCTCTAATTTGCTTTGACAGTCGGTCGTTTTTAATTGGGGCTTTGGTTTTGGTTGCAGTCCTTCTGTCTAAGCTATTCATAATCCATGGATTATAATTTACTGATCAAAAATATAAATTTTCGGTGTATGGTGGTGTAGTGATTGCTACTGTGGTTAATTATATATCTCTATAGTCCTTTATACGCTTGTGTTTTCGCAGTCACATACAAAGTTAATCGGGTCAAAAATAGCCGCTGGACAGATATATATATAACCAAAAAGCACCCATATCTCCAGAGAATTCGATCAAGGCAGTAAGTTCATTCCAGTCATTTCCCGTCTAGGGCAGCATTCCAGTAAGCATAATGAAGCCTCCCGGTCACTTTCAAGATTTTATTCTTGGCCCATAGTCCGAGAGACATTTTGTACAGCTTTCCATGTACATCCACAAATATGGCCGTCTACATAACGCCGCGCATTGTTTCCTAAATTATACACGACCACCCGGCTCACGCGGAATAACGAAGAAGTATATAACCCCAGCTGGCTAGTAGACTATCTTTCTTCAGAGTACCGTCGTCAGTGTAGCATTATATAATTACTGCTAGATTCGCAATCAACATATAGATTATTTCCCAAACCCCAATACTAATAGTAAATACACTAGTCTAGATTTGAACTAGCGAACTCTAGACCGTTAAGAATAAAACTTTATTAAGGAGTTCAGGCCAATCATGGCAAGCCACCGATTTTCCGATTATTCAACAGTCCCGACACCCCCGGACCCCGATAAGTAAAGCAACGTTGTCACGTCCTTTTCACGTTCTCAGGTTATCCATTACATCACTGCATAACTTCAAGATAAAGAAAAGACCTTAAAAGCAATACATAATAGTCGAAGCAATGACTGACACGCCCGCGCCTCGCAAGAAAGGCCGGTCACAAACTGTGACAGACAATCAGCAAGTTCCCGAGGTGGGTGCATCCCGAGCAACTACAAAGCAAGTTGGATCTGACTCAAGGAATCCAGAGACACCGAAAGCAGCTTCGCATCGCGCAGCAAGCATATCGCAAGAGAAAAGAAACCACGATTGTCAATCTGCAAGCTCGCGTACAGGAACGCGAGTCGGGCATCGAGGAGCTCAGCGAGTCGTTCCTTTCCTTCAGTAATCTTCTGTTCGAGGCTGGGATTCTCGAAAATCAGCCTCGTGTCACAGCTGCTCTGTAAAATATTACACAGCAATGCGTGTCGCTTGCCAAAAGTTGCTGCGACGAGGCCGAACAAGCATCTGCAGCCCCGGCGGACATATCGCCATCGACATCTCCCACGCTCAGCGATACACAAGATATAATCTCAAATTACAATCCGCTCCCAACACAACTTGATTCATTGCCAATAATCGGTGACGCTTTCCAGTACTCGTCGGACCTCGCAGCTCAATGGCCTGGGCTATCGCAACTACCCCCCACACCACCCTACCAAGGACAAGCAATTCTACCGTTCGGAATAGGCTTGTCGCCTCCGAATATCTCCTTCTCATCCATCCCCGGTCCCAGCTTGAATTTCCCGACAACAGTATCGCCCGAGGATCTCTTAAAGCAAGGGAGCTGGACACTCTCACACCGTCTGGTCCAACAATGCTGCGACATTGGATACCATCTATTAACAAGCTCGTCTGGAGACAATCCAAGGGTCAAAGCAATCTTCGGCAAACGATTGACCGTCGACGAGCGCAACCGCTTGATCTCCGGATTCTTCGCCGTCATGCACGACGAAATAGGAGACACGATCGAGTTGAGAACAACAGTTCTCAATTCAAGAAGGAAGAGCTACTCGTCTGAACAACTCGCCGTTTCCTCTCGAACGTGGCAAATTGTTATTAAATCGGGTGCTGATGAGTGGATGGACGCGAGTGGTGTGCAAAGGCTGCTACAAGAGCGAGGGATTTGTATTCATGACCCGAGCTTGCCCTGGTCCAGTCCCCGGTCCAATTCGGCACCGCAGCTCAACGCCGCGAGCTTCATTAAATGTGAGTAATACCGAGATCAATGGTTCTTTGTGTCTTGTTGTCCATGCATTTACTGACCTTGTCGTATATCTTTCCCTCGAGGCTATCTGTCTCGGTCGCGGACCAGCTTTTCGAAAGCGCGATGTTGAGAATGCCATTCGCCTTGCAAGTCTTGATGGTCCTTGGGCGTTTAATGCTGTGTGCGAAATACTATGAATTATGTATAATACCAATAATTTTCTTAAAAGATATAGTCTCTGCTTACTTTGTATGATGTGACGATTACAAGCAGGATCCCGATGTGGAGTCGAGGAAATCCTCCTAGTGCATGTGTTCAACTGACATCGGTTTCGCCAGTCTCATGACCTTGTATTTGCATCTAGAAGATACTTTTCTTCTGGATCCCAACGTTATCAACCCTTTCAGGTACAATAGAGCTCATTTTTCCAGCCCAGTCTATAAACGAAGCTCACAGGTACACTACGAAAGTACCGCATACGGCTAGGCATGTCAACATTTTCCATTTATATTCTCTCCCTTTCTGGATCACACAAATGCGCAGGCACATTTCTAGTCACGTCGACGCCAAATTGAGACTCTGTCATGAATCACCCCATTCTCACCCTGGCCCACAGTGTGCGTGCGCTCTGGCTGCCAGTGCGCTACTCTCTCCAGGCCCCCCTTACTGGGCTCTCGCAACGGGTCCGCATTGACAAGACCCTTATCGTTGTAGGAGATCTTCTCACCGGGGCGGCTCAGGTGCTCCATGTAGGCCTCGGAGGGAGAGGCAAATGGAGGACCGGGGGCCAAGGGGTTCTTATGACGAGGAGATTCCAGACAGATCAGATTGCCTCTAGGTGAGGGAGCAAGGAGCTCGGTGTGTCGGAGAGCCCATCTGGGACGGAGCTTCGGGTTCAGGGCACAGAAAAACTAGATGATTATTAGAAGGAATGACTAGAAAGAACCAAGGTGGGTTGGAAATGGCACATCAAAAGCCCAAAGACAGAGAGCGAAGCATCTTGCAGGTCCCCCTGTAGAACGCAGAGTACAAGTGGAGAGAAAATAATAGCAATAACAGAATAGAGCCCAACAGCGGTAGTGAGTATATATATCGTGTAATCATACATAACATCAAATCCATTCCGAGGTACTCCAATTTCCTTCAACCAGGTATTATCAAAGAAATCCCTCTGGACGAAAGTGACCTTCCCTTTCCAAGCTTTCTTGTCTCCCACGTGGTACCGGCTATGGTTCTCCTTCTCCTTCTTGCATGCATCGACAGCCGTGGCGCTGCACTCCAGGCCATAGGCATCATACCCAAAGCTCGCCAGTAAGAGTACATCGACTCCACGTCCACAGCCCGGTACCAGGGCCTTCCGTCTGTGACCGTCCAAGGCGAGGGGCCCGCCAATGGTGTCAGCTCGCTGGACCAGGGTGTCTTCTAGCGCGGGGTTGGGGAAGCCACGATCCCAGGGCAGATTATCACCTTTGTCCAGAGGGAGGCCCAGCCCTCAACATACTTATTGTCCTGATATTTGGCCCAGTATGCTTGAATATCCTTGGGATCAATGTTGATAGGACTCGTCATGGCTATGAGGTGGTGGTTTAGTGTGGGGAAAGTTGGAGGGGCTCGCTCTGGAGTGACAGTGATAAAGAGGGTAGAAGATAGGAATAGTACAGAGTGGTGAGAAACTATTGACTACACAGGGAAGTAAATGATATCTGGGTGTACGGCGTCTGTTCTACTTATGCCTCTGTATACCCGTAATTGAATGTCGTGTCTTTACGCTGTGATTAGAAATTATTGTCGATGGATAACCTCAAGCTCCGACCGCGAACCAATAGTCAGTTAGGGTGTTGGGTCGAAGTTTAATCAGGCTTTACCTGTTTATTCATTATACTAAGAGAGATCTGTCGAGAAAAGTGGAGGTTTCTATTCTAGTGGCATGCTATTGGCCTAGGCGGAAATCTCGGGCCCGCCGTGCTCCAAGAATTACGCTGCTCTCCATTTTCTAGTCAGCATTTCTCTCCCGACAATTTTTTCCCTGAAGGCTTAACTTGACATTGAGGCGGACTATAGCATATCTGCATGCAAAGTCAGAACGTTATGATTAGTGGCGATGCAGCTGGGGACCAAAAAGATAACTAAGGTTTTGACTGATGACATCAACTTTAATGCTGCGCCACCCGGAAATAAATATAACTATTAAGGATAATTGGGCTAGGTCGGTTTCTATTGATACACTGAATTAATCCTAGTTGTTCGCTCATCGTAGATCGCAATGAATGTGATTGATTAGTCTGTCCAAGTGTCCATTCCACGGGGCTCCAGCAATCAAGCCCTGCCAGTCATCGCATCTACTCCGTAATGAGTTAGAGAGCTGGTTGACTTAAGCTGGGAATGTATAGTAATGACTCCAAGCGGGCACCTGATGATTCAATAAAGACGGTTGAACTAGTTTAACTCATCACGCCGTACGCAGATGTTTTAATGTTGAGTAATGGACAATCAGTGTTTACACCAACTAAAGCGATCCATTCCTGGGAGCACCGTCTATTTTATCCTATGATCATGAAGCAAACAATTTTGTCACACAGGAAAACCGGGCTTGGATTGCTGGCCTCAGCGACGACGGGGGAGCTGGTTCGTTGGTTGTAGTTGCTATAAAATAGATTATTCAACCTGCCAAGGATAAAGTAGAACAGCTCCAAGAATACGTTAACAGCACCGTTTTGGGGCTGTTGCAGCTTACCAATGGTACATGCATGTACGTGTTTTTATCATGACTTGGAAGCCATGCGCCCCCCCCCCCATCCGTATGATCAGTCCCTGGGCTGGGGTTCAGCCTGGAACAAGGTGGCGCCGGATTTGCTTACACGAGCCTACCATTACGTCCATGTCTCAGCGCTCTACTGGGGATTGTACAAGGCCGGACGCATCGCTCCAGGAATCTTGTCAAAGCAGACACCAGAGTGGTATTTATTGCAGTCCTACAACACGTAAGCCCAACGCAAGGCAATCAAGGATCTCGGACTTTGACTACACATGCTAACCCAGTCTCACTGTTTCTAATAGTGTTATGTATTCCATTGGCTTCCATTCAGATGGATTAGCTAACACTGAGTACAATCACCTTGGACTGATAGGAGAAACGGTGTGGAAATCACTGCTAGAATCCCTTGGAGCTGAAAACTACTTGTCCGAGGCGTACAAACTAAACGCAATCATGGAGTCCCGGGCCGACCATTGGTCAACCCATGAGGACCCTTTTGGTAGCGAACAACTGTGGGATTCTACGGCCCAAGAGGACCGTGGCAACGAATGAATTTATGACAAACATACCTGCAGAAATTTTATCAGCCACCGCACCGTTATCTTTGGCACGCTGAATTTGTTCGAGCAACGTTTGCAAAACATTATCAGAAGATACTGGTGCAATCGCCGTGCCAGATTCAATCGGATCCCCAGCTTTCAGGGTTCTGAACTGCTCCTCGACACCCTTGAGAAAGCGTTCCCCGCGTTCTTTGCCAACGACGATGAAATGCTTAGGCGAGGCACAAGTCTGGCCCATACCCATCATGCGACCAGTACTGGCCCGGGAAATTGCCGCCCCTAGGTCCACATCTTCAAGAACAATAAACGAGTCAGATCCGCCGAATTCAAGGACGACTTTCTTCAAATGGCGTCCAGCATGTTCGGCGACGGCTGCGCCCGCAGCCGGAAATCACCGATCAAAGCATTCATTTGCGATGTAGAACTGAAGAAGATACCAATTCAGCAAAGGCCAAACAGGCCGTCCAAGATCGGGCGACGCGCATTTTAGAACGAATTCTCGATGCTGGGTTTCTGAGGGACTAACATTGCGCGTTGGTGGGCTGCTTGCTCTGCTTTAAAGACGCAAGTTGAGGGATGTCAGGGGGCTTCGCGTTCCTAGGATTGACTTGATCATCGTGGTAGCTTCCTTCAGAATTTGTCAATGAACTGCTGATCTTGGAGCCGTACTGGGTCCTGATGATAGTTGGGTGGGGTAAAGTGAGGGCTGATCGATTCATGCTGTGCTAGCCCTGATTATGTACTAATATGGGAGATATGAAAGATACAAATGTTTGATCGCTGTGCAACTGTTAAGCTTCATTGAGACAAGTGAGGTCTTTTCAAAGCCGCAGTCGATCGCTCAAGGGGACAGAGTCTCTGCGCTTCTCTATCAGATGTCAATCCATCATGCAATGTCCGGAGCTTTGCTGAAAAATATTTCAATTGTCCATCAGATCGACCACTCTTTTTTTTTTTTTTTTTTTCGAAATTTTGTGTGGATGTCAACAAATGTCATTCGCATCATCTAGTATGGTCGATCCTAATTAGTGGGTCCTTCGTCGCGGAAACTCTTTCCATCTTAATTGCGTAGCGGAGCGAAGCGTAGCAAGCAATATAGGAGACTGCGCGATCGGATCTGGGTTCTGATTGAGCGAGAATTGACCAGTACGTGATATTACTTACCGCTTGCCTATACTGCAATATCTTAGATAGATCCTTAGAATGATTTAAGTAAATACAGTATATGCCTAGATTTCTAGAGCTTTTGAACACGCTGCAATATCTATATTTCTAAATTATATATATACTGTAATGCCAGCCTATTTAGATAGAGCAGACAATCTAGACAGACAATCCAGGTAGATAATTGGTTTACGAAATCTAAGCAACTTAGGTAGTGTAATATAAGATTATATAATTCTTTCGCTGCGCAATATTATGCCAGGTCCTTGAGCTGGTATCCCCTAGGATAGGACTTAGTTTTGACCATGAAATTCCAGCGGCATATTTAAAAGCTCTGTTCACAACCCATCAAAATCCCCACATTTGACCATGGATATCTCAACAACCATAAGAGATATGTAGAATCTGACTGAAAATTGATTTGTACTCCGGAAGACCTTATTTATCAGTCCTCAAAGTTAATACTCAGCAGTGGTGGTTGAAGCCCAAGTCGAAGGAGGTTTTGGCTAGTGGGCAGACCCAACGTCCAATCAGACAACAGAACGACAATGAAGGGAACAAAAAAAAAAGATATTTACTTTCGATATATGTATTGTAGACAAAGCCCATTCCGTTGATGCTGACTATGGCGACCTACTAGCCGGGAATGACTGACCAAGTCTCCCCAGTAAACACAAGTTCTCCATCCAACCTGAACTGTTCAGGGTCAAAATATACATTCATTCCAATGTTATTCCCACTTATATCAAACACGCGCAGAATCATGTAAACCTCTGAATAATCTCTCCTGTTATGCACAGCACGTATCTGGGTTTGGTTAGCGGATATATAGTACCGATGGTTGTCAACACACTCACTCTTTCATATTGATGCTTGCTCAAGTAGAAAGGAGTTTTCGAAGGCCCTGTGGTTGTCTTAACTTCAAGGTAGTATTTCGGCCGTTTATCTCTCCATTCTTCAGCCTCAAGGTACCCGCGATTGATGAGCATGGCTGTGAAATCGCCCTCGTAATCATCATATGTAATATCTGCTCTCTCTCTCCCATACCAAGGTGCCATGTTGGCGTAGTCCGGGTGGATCCTGACATATCGACGAATTGTGCTCTGCCAATTCAGAGCACTCCAGCCTCTTAGAGCTGGGTCCAGTTGTGTAAGTAATTCAAAAACCTGCAACGGGGTTATTCACACGTTGGAATTATACCCTAAAAAATTTACGGAAATATAACGCACATAGAGTTCTCCTGCGGCGCCAATTTTCTTGTCTCTTTCAAGCTGGCTGTCTGAGCGGAACGCATTCCTTACGTCAATGCCATCGAAACCATCGAATTGATGGAGAATTCCTTCTTCCGATAGCGCTTCATTCAGCTGGCTCATGTTGAAAGGCCCACCTGAGGGAAATGTGGCTCTCCTCGCAGCCAACAGCACACTGTTGAGGAGCGCACGGTACTGCACGGTATCCTCCGATATATAGTCACGCGGCGAGTACATCAGTGTTGGGCAATTGCGATCGCGGCTGGGCGGCCGGCTTATCATCTGGGTTTGTCGAAAAATCACTTGCTCTATGGTATTAAGCGTGGGTCAGCAATTCTGATGTGTAGACAGGGTGGGAACACCCGGTGAGTCCAGTGGAACCTCACCAGTGGATCGGTCCTGACTTTGTGACCGTTGGGATGGTATATAACCATCAATGCTATCATCATCGATGTCGTGGTCTTCGTTCAGTACGCCAATTTCGATGATACCCTGTCGTTCCAAAATAAGATTGGTAGCGGAAGGATCGATACTCAAGATCATGGAGATTACAATTATAGCATCGCTTTCTATTTTGTGGGGAATTTGTGTGGCCGGATCCCGCATGAGCCAATCGATTAGTCGCTTAGGCAAAAGGTCACAAAAGCAAAGTTCTTGGGCCTTTTTGTCTTTCGGCACATAAACAGTGAGGCCAGACGGTTCTTCACTGATGTGCAACTTACCAATCAATTCTTCAACGTCCACCACTACGCCATCTTGGGAGATTCTCAGAATCGAGGAAACCCCATCCGTGGCTTCTACCTTGGCCGTGCGAAGCAGCTCGTAAAGCCCGGATGGATTTGCGTGATATCTCGGGCTATTGAACGTGGCCGCGACTCTGGAAAGTAGAAGGGACATGAGCGACAGGACCCAAGTTTATAAATCCATGATGCCTACCGGAGAAATGCATGCGCTTTTCTTTTCAAGTCTCGGTGTGGCGCGGAAACTAATTGTGCTGTTTCCCCAGAGAAGGAGGTTACCTCCTTGATAGATGCAGATAGATAGCGATGTGTGAGATTTGTCCACTCGAAAAAGCATTTCAGACGACGGACTTCTTCCGGACTGAAGTCAAGCATCTTGATCCTGCCTCTGAATTGTGATGCCAGGTGTTCCCGGTCAGGAATGGCGAACTCCGTAGAAGCAGCCGTGAGCCCCTTCGTTCCATCTGGGAAAACAATGGGAAATATCTTTCTTTCCAAAAGCGGTTCTGGATCGGCATAACTTCCTTCTGTTTGAAGGAAACCATTGAGAGACCAAATCTTACGTTTTGTCTCGTCCATTGTTAATTCCAGGCGTGTTTCCAACAGCTCATCATATACCATCTGCAGGGTCAGCGTGTGTACCCCCAAAGTATCAACAAAGAAATCTTTCAGGTCCTCGTAATGAGCATTCAGGGTGACCTTCCCACTTATATCTGTGGTACTCGACCACAAACACTCGGAAATTTTGTACCAGCCGGGATCACCGTTTGTGTTGACAAAGATCAGACTTTCATCCTCGAATTCACGCCTAATAATAGAGGTTAAGTTCTGTGATGCAGCCCTAGATGAGAATAAGAGAGGTTGATACATACTGCAAATCATCAGTGAAGAGCAATTCCATTTCAGAGAGGTATCTGTACATGTCGAAGATTTGGTCGAAGTCCACGCAGTGGTTCTGGCTCCGCTCTACCAGTTCCTCTGTCAGATCTGACCAAGAGGCATCTGGAATACTCAATGTGTATCTGAAGAATCGTGAAAGTTGTTCGAGTTGGCCTTCTTCGAGAATTTGCTGAAAGACGTATTTGAGAGAATACTTCGACAACATATTTGGCGGTGCGTCCCACAGGCAGTGCTCAAGACCAGCCCATGCTGGATCATACGGATCATCCTCCTGGAGTTCAGGAACAAAAATGTAGTCACCATCTTCAAAAAAAGACCTCGAGCAGAACGTGAGCAGCTAGTTTGGGGACTCGCGAGCATTGAACTTACTTGATGCTGTCCCTGGCAGCCACTCTGTCCTCGGCAGCAAGTTGCTTTGCCTCAATTGCAATATATAAATCCCACAGTCGCTCGTACGAGGTAAGGGTGTATTCATCGGGATTGGCGCTCTGGATCCAATACAGCACAGTCAGAAGGAAATCTATGTCATCGTCTTTCCCGACTGAGAAATCGTTGTGAAGAAAAATCCACTTGGAGTAGAGTTCCTCATCCGAAAGTCCTTCTCCAAGGTATAGGAACGGAAATGGTTCATCCTCCTCCATAAAACGTTGACAAAGGGCATGAAGATTAGGTAGAGGTAGATATGTCTCGTCAAGCCGGCAGTCAACGGGCAGCTCCATATTGCAAAGTCTTGTGGCATTTGTGTTTTGAATATCCATGATGAGATCAGCATTATGATGCAGTTCGGACCTTTGGTATTTCCAGAGATGTTCCAACAGCCCAAGAAGCTTTCCCGGGCAAGACTCCGCGACATAGGTCCACGTGTCTGAAAGAGAATCATCATCGGATGAAACAAGACTCAGTCGTTCCCGAATCCCAAGTGAAGTAATTAGCCAGGCGCGCCACGATGGGTGGTTTAAATGAGACCCTGTTGGAATATTCTCAAGATATGTTGAATGCATGAGCAATACTTCCATGCCCGGGGAGTACTCTGTTTGGCCTAGGAGAGCCTCTGGTCCATATGGATGGTTGCTTGGCAGATAGATCTCTTCCTCGTCTGGATTATACATACACCCATCGTCGCAGTAAATATCAATATCGCCAAAGTTATCTTCCATTTGATCGCAGTCATGAGTCAGATATAGGTAATGAAGATGTGCTTTCGAATCTTCCATGCATATCTCGCTATACGAGGGACTATAATTCGCCAGTATTCCAGATCGAACAGCATTGACCGACGGTTCCACAGCCCCCAAGCGTATGAAGAAAGCTCTACGGTCTTCATTGGCAACCGCTGCTGGGTCCAAAATGCGAATACCCACGTCGGCCGGGATGTCTATTTCACCTGTCTTCGGTAAGCATACCGGGCCGCTATTAGCGGACACCCATTCACCATTTCGTAGAGGAAGAATAGCAAGCTCATTGAGATTATGCATCTCATCCTGGTCCTCATGTTCAATCCTCGACAAAAGTTGCGAAATTCGGGAGTGGAAGTCTGCGCTGGTAACATCCGACTTGACTCTAGAGGTAGAGCTTTCAAGATCGCTTTTCAGCATTTTGAGAATTAGTTCAAAAGTCCCCATCCGGAGTCCGTACTCTTCGAGAGTCTCTTGTAGCGCGGCTGGATAGGCGCTGGATATGAAGGGATCCAAGCTCGAGTCGTCCAGCAATGGATTCCCGTCGCTATCCATAAAGTCGTCTGGAAGAATTACAATGGAGTTTATCACATGAAGGCCGTCACCGTGCCTCGACCTGCAAACCGGGGTCACGGCAATCAAATCCCTAATCAATGGAACCAGGGGAGACCAGAAGCTATCCATGTCATCTTGTAACGAAGGAAGGAAGCTTGGCCATAAGTAGCACAACTCCGGGTCATCGCAAAATTCCAAAACTGCCTTTACAAATGCCGAGGCAATATGAGGCAATAGGCAAAGGTTCCTTCTCGAGGTCGTAGAGATATCTTGCCGATTTGCGGCAGTGTCAAAGTCGGATTTTATCAGGAACTATTTTCTCCAGTTAGTACATGTATGTACTGGAACGTTACTATTGCATGGAATGGAGGAAGCCTCACTTTGAAGCCCGACTCGCAGACTGGTGAAAAGTCACATATCTCCTGTTCCTGAAAAAAAGGCTTTGAATCCATTGTGAGAGGGAACGCCAAGACGACCTCCGCCTCTGAAAATGTCATATCGGTTTCCTGTGTATCCAGGATGTAGCGACTCTCGCTCGTCGGAAGCCCGGTGGCATTGTGCCTGGTGACGTGGTAGCGTTGCTCAGCCGTGGTATAATTCGCATCTCCAATGAAAATAGTCTTGAGGAAGACATTGTGGCCAGGCGCATCTCGAATACAAAAACACTTAGATTGCCTTACCGCACCATTATCATCGTGGAAGAAGATTCTTATGTGCTTGAGGCTCCGTAAAAAAAGCAATGAAGTTTGCTGAAGCTCACTGAGTTGCTGGAAAATGGTTTGGCGGAGGTGCTCGAGCGCGTGCGGGTCTCCTTCCGTGTGAAGATAAAGAGTCATTCGGGTTAAGCAATCGGGACATCCGTAGTCAGGGTCCTCCCACACTGGTAGAACCATTCCAAGACCAAGATCACCTATCCTATGCTTAAAGGAAAACGAAAAATTGCCCGACTGAATATGAACCTTCCACGCCGCGGTGAAAACGGACTTAAACCCAATGCCCCTTGCTCCCATGTAGCCATGAGAACCGGCTTTGGTGCTCTCGCCAACAGAGCAGATCGCCGCCAGATCTTCAGTCGTGAATCCATCCTCATTGCAGTCTACAATTATACGATCGGGATGGATGCTAAATGAAATAAAGGGTATTTCATCGTGTTCCCGTGCGAGCGTAAAGCGATTATCGTCTGCATTTTGCAGGAGCTCAAAGACAAACCGAGCATTACTGTTATATAGGTTTCTTGCAAGTCTAAGCAGCTCAAGTTAGCACACAACGCCTTGGGTCGCCGGTAAACACGTTGAGTAGGTGACAAACGCTTTGATTGAATGGCCTATATTCTCGTCCTTGATACGCAGACCCTCTTCAATTATGCGTCGCTCCTCAGGAAACAGTTCCCCAATGCGATCCAAGCTCGCCAAATCAACATATCCGAGCTTCGCAGCAATTGCTTCCACCGCTTCTTTTGCCGTTTCTCTGGTGGTCATCCTTTTAAGCCGGTACTTGAATGAGTTGAAAGGAAGTACCCACCCCCACGCTTTCATGAAAGGTGGTCTCATGGACAAAAGTACAGACGGCATCAGGAACCAGCACGTGAAGGGATAAGCACTAGACCAATCGCGGACTAGTGATTGTCTCTGTATCATCGACGAACCCGCTTGAGTCAGGCACCAGGGGCTTTCCGAAACATATTCTCTATTCTTTGCATGCTACGCTCTGCATCTCAATCATGGGGTCAATTATTATTCCGGTTAGCCGGAGATCCCGCGGTGTAAAGGAACATGCCGCCGCGAAGAGGCCGGAGGGCTTTTGTAGTGTTGCATTCCCTGTTTTTTAAGATAATGGATAGTCTGCGTCGGCGGAACAATGGAACCGGGGCTTGAGCAGCCAAGAAACGGAATTACAGTGCTTGACGCGATAAAGCTACGGCCGGGGAATCCTCAATTCAGGGTAAAGGAGGATGGGTCTATTAGATATCAGGATGCATTTCTTCCTAGGTCACACAACTGCATAGTTGGTAGTCATATACCAGCCTATATAGTCAACAAGTGATAAAAGAATACTAAGAGAGCACGGTCATATCAAAAACAAGCAAAGCGGCACGATAGAAGCCTGGTCATATCTTTATAACCCGGGACCGGACAAATAGGCTAGATCACTCGCAAGTCTCTTCACACTCGTAGCCCTCTGCGCCATTAATATCACCACTTTTATACACCGGGGAAAGTGGGTACGGGCACAATTTCCTTCTCAGCCCTGATGCAGAGACCGCATCCAACGTGTTAGGCACAATACCTCTTTCCACCCAATCCACCACGCGTGCTAATGGATCAATAGGGACAGGGCCATCCCCACCCTCGCAATGATGAACACCGGGAGCCTTGAACAGACGATAGAAATCTGAGACAGAAGGGTCCTTTTTTTGCACCTCTTTGTAGTACTGTTCCGTCCCTTTCGGAGGAATTAGTTGGTCCGATAACCCATGCCAAGTGATTATTTTCCCACCGGCACGTTTGAAAGATGAGAGATCTGGATTGTTTGTACCCATAATTGCATCAAAGTCCTGCTTAGAACGAGCAAATATTTCATCGAACGTTTCGTGATCTAGGTCGGCCAGGTTGGCGGATGGATTGCGCAGGACAAACCGGCTAATCCAGTCTGCGGATATAGGAAAAGGCGCACCGGTGCAATTAAGTCCCGAGCATTTGGTATATACGAGACTTGATTCCTCCATCGAGAGAGGAGTGCCTTTTTCAAGTCCATACCAGAGGAATGAGCCATTGGACGCGACAGGTCCTTCCCAAGTGCTTTGTACCACGAGAGCATCGTTCTCTGTGATGGTTACATTTTCACCTTCGCAATCGACCACGGTGTTAACCAAGCTATGAGGATCAAAGTCACAAAGATCTGGTAATGAGATAACTCCATCGAGAACCCCATCAATCCCGTCACACTCCGTGATTGCTGCAGCTGTAATAGCGTCGGTAACACAAGGAGCAGGCCAGGTACGAAGCTGATTCATCACAAACTGCGGCCAGAACTGAGAAACAACAAAGCTAGGCCAATTAACTCCAGGCGCAGCTGCTAAGATTCCATTATATGCAGTTGGATATCTTTGCGCCAACATTAAGCCCTGCCTGCCACCTGTTGAACACCCATTCCAGTATGAAAATCGCAGTGCCTGGCCGTAGAAACTACTCGCTACCTGCTTCCCAATTATAGCGGCATCGTTAAGAGCGATATATGCAAAGTCTTCGAGCAATGCCATATTCAAATTTCCCGCTTTATCCAATGACCATGACTCCGAGCTGAATCCATTCACTTCATGTCCTCCATCGGTCGCAAGAGCGGTGTATTTCTGAGCCACTGCTGCTGCAAGAACTGCATCTTCTGATCTCGCTGCGTACCCGCTACCACCCGAGCCTTGTAATCGGTGATTCCAGTCTTCCAAGGGAAGCCAGATCGTGACGTGGATGGCATCTTTCCGTTCAGGATGGGTGTATGTGACTGTGACGTTGCAAAAGTTTATTGCCGAGTCCTCATCTTGACGGTAATTCAGGACCGGGATAGCACTAAGTTCAAGGATTTGTGCCTCAGCTATGGACGGATGAGGAATAACATCTGACGAACAATTCCTGGTTTGAGCTGCGGTAGCAGCCTGCATAAACAGGCCTGCCATAGCTATCGGGAGTAGCTTATCGTGAAGCATGATGGATCTGGCGAAACGGAACCTTGCTCCATGACTTGTAGGAGCACTGAGGGGTATATATAGATGGTACTAGAGACATGATGTCGGCCAACAGAAGGCGCATGAATACGCGACGTAATGATACAAAAAGCGGGCCACTTGTTGTAAACGTAAACAGCACACTACTGAAAATCACTGCTTTACCAAGGGGACATGATCTTCTTCCTCTAGTCATTCTCTGAAGACTCGGTGTCTGCGGATGGGCTTGGCAAGGCTTGGAGAATGCTGAAGGAGGGCTGGGTTGGATTACAAATCTACTATAACATTGGTCTTGTAAAAGGATGTATGCTAGCTAGCGGGATTTGCTCAGTATTTGCTTGATAATCAAGTTTGAGACATTTATCAAGTCTCCTTACGGGCAAACTTAGGAACGATAGCGAGGATGATACTTATATAGTGGCCAATGTGCTTCTAGCCTATTGTATCATGTAGTAAGGAATTAGACTGGCTCCTAGTTGTACACAAAGTTATTCTGGTACGAGCCACTTTTAGCGTTTTCGCCAGTGATTCTTTATGTTTGAAAGGAGCGGATAGTGCTCCAAGGATAAGATGAGTTGATCAACAATTGTTCGGACAGCGAAAGGCTATTCTGGGTAATTTAGCCTTATAATCAGCCTTGCGCTCGAGACGAATATAAAATGTATTGCCTTCTACATGCTCCGTGAAAGAACGTTGACAACCCTCCAAACTTGACGCCAAAACAGGCTCTACAACTCATAAGAGGGCTAAAGACACTGCTCCACCTAGTCTGACTGCTGTTGAAACCTCTCAATCGTAGCTGGTCTATATTCACTAGAAAACATTTGATATCAAGGGCCTCTGTGCTTCAGGCTTGTGCCCCATCCGCCGGGGAAATATCCGACTGTGATTTGGTATGCTGGCTATTTCTGGCACCGCCATATTGGACCCAATGTGTGAGGGCCCCTACGGCATAAAATGTAACGATAAAAAGCTGGAAACTGGTCCTGCATTGAGCTCCTCAATTTCCTGTCTTATCAGTAAGCAAGTATTATATAAGGATCACCGGAGTCTCTTAGATATCCCGCGACGATGCTAAGGGCGAACTATGCCATACTGTCACGCAAGCACTTGGGGCTACATAGAGGCTACTAGCCTGTGCACGATTTTACTTCAATGAAGAGGCTGGCGAAGCCATCCATGACTTTTTAGCTGACAACTCCAGCATTTCACGGGACGATATTTTTTTCATGCCGAAGGTCTAGAGCCATCTTCACCATTATGAGGATGTGTTATGGTTGATCGAAATCCCTTTGTAGGCGCCGAAACTCAGTATGTGGACATGTTTCTCACTCACCTGTCTGTATTCGTCGGGAAGGACAATCGGGAGAATCCTAAGATTGGGCCACCGTTATTCGTGATTCATCTAAACCTGCATTCTATGATGATTTCTCCCGTGTGTAAAACCTGGCTCTGACATCTTAGTGGGGAGGATACCATGATACGGAGGCAATTGTTGAGGTAATATTCCACTAATAGATTATTTTGGAGAGAAAATATGGATTTCCGCAGGGTTTTACTTCAGGGAATTCCAACAACCTACCCAAACTCGCAACGATCTAGGTGGGGAGCCTGCTAGTCATAATCTTCATACAAGCACAACCGGCATGCGGAATTCTTGGTTGATTATATCCTGTGATGTATGCTGTTCGTAAGGCAGTTACTCTATACCACGATAGAATTTGAATTATGTAATGTGTGCTGCAGCATATACATACCTTTCCTTTTTCGTCTCCTTTTGGCCTGTATCTTGGTTGCTGTTTGAGAGAGAGAAATGCGAGAAACATGGTGCGAGCTGCTGTCGAAGGGGCCACTGAAAATGAACAAACCCCCGGAAAAAAAGAAAAAAATGATACAAGACTGTAATAATATCGGAACAGTATTCGTCATTCCAAATGATGGCGCCATGTTTGCTCGAAATCTTTCCATGGTTAACATGTGCTCTAGGTATGAAGCTTTCGCCCAAAGGCGATTGGCATTTCGCCTTTGCCCTCAACCTAGCTATGAGAGCAATGGTAGTCATGTGAATAGATCGCGGCTGGAGTGGATCCCTGACTGAAGGAACCAGTCCGTCACTTGTGCTTCCGGGTGGGGACTTCGCATGGTTCTGGATGGGCTTCAAATCCCGTTGCAAAGGCCGCAGACGTTGTGTTTGCAATCAACCCACTGTCCAGCACGAAAGTGGCATGCACCGAAAATAAAGTATTATGGAGAAAGGATCATGGAGACTGCCATCTTTCGGCGCGATTAGTAAAGTCGAACCAGGGATAAAACTCCCCGAGCTCGCGGAATACCAAAATGATGATATCATAATTAACAAAATTCCCATGCTTGCGAATGTACTGCAAGTGTATGATAAATGGTCTCTACCGACCTCTTCTTGAGCTCGTAGCATAGAAACCGGTCTTGAGTTAACTGGTGTCAGTAAACGAGAATACTACTATTTGCGAACATGTCTCTCCCTAAAACCACCAATCTCTGGACGGTGCATGGCAGTGCCCCAGGAGCTGGAACTGGCGCATTGAAGTGGAAGAATGACCAGAACATCCCCGAACTCCATCCTAGCGAAGTATTGGTGAAGTTGCGTGCTGGATCGTTGAACTATCGTGATATTGTCAGTAAGTCAATATATGCTTCCTCCTGTTTCTCCCTAGTTGGTCCCACTGACCTGTCAATCAAACAGTTTGCCAAGGCATCTATCCCCGCAAATTGATCGAAGGCGTTGTTCCCGGTAGTGATGGGGCTGGAGAGGTTGTTGCTGTTGGGTCCGCGGTCTCGCGCTTCAAAAAGGGGGACAGTGTTGTGACCACATTCTATCAGGACTTTTTCGGAGGACCAGCTCCGACAGAGACCAATGCAGAGAGGGCCCTAGGAGGCTCCGCCCATGGTACCTTTCGTCAATATGGTATTTTCGATGAGCATGGGCTGTTGCCCCTCCCAGCCAATCTCAACTATCTTGAGGGTGCGACACTCTCATGCGCCGGTCTCACGGCGTGGAACAGCTTGAACGGCCTACAATACCTCAAGCCTGGAGACTGTATCCTGACCCAAGGCACAGGCGGCGTTTCCCTGTTTGCAATTCAGTTTGCGTTGGCGACCGGCGCCACTGTTATTGCCACCACCTCCTCGAATACTAAAGCTGAGAAGTTGAAGGCCCTTGGTGTCCATCACATCATTAACTATCGGGAGGAGCCGAACTGGGGTGCGAAGGCAAAGGAGCTCTCTCCGAAAGGGCTTGGTTGCCAGCGGATCATCGAAGTTGGTGGGCCGAAGACAATTAAGCAGTCATTGCAAGCGGTAGCACCTGGTGGTCACATTGCCATCATTGGATTTCTGACAGGCTTTGAAAAAGATGAAGATCACCCTTCATTCCTAGAGCCATTCTCCCGTATGTGTATAGTGCGGGGTATTGAAGTTGGCAATCGGACCCAGTTCGAAGAAATGATCAGGGCTATTGAGGCTAACGACATTCATCCTGTCATTGATCCTACCGTATTCCCACTTGAGGACCTTCCATCGGCCTTCCAGTATCAGTACGATCAGAAGCACACAGGTAAGGTTGTCATCAGCATTGGGTGAAGCGCTGGCGAGTATATCGCTCTTGGGAAGGGCTGATGCAACAGATCTAAGTCTTCATCCCAAATGTGAACTACGATTCATTTGTATTTGATGCAAAATCTCTTTTGGATTATGGTATATGTTCGCTACCAGATTATTTTCCAAGGGACTATTGTATTATTCTGCCTCATAAGAACATAAATTCAGCAGAGTGTACAAAGAGCTACGGTATTAGACTCATAATCAGTAAACTGGCTACACTGTGGGCTCCTTGACTTCGATTTTCGCCATGAGATTTATATATAGGGGTATCCCGAGGGACTCTCACATGTCACTGGCTTGTAGATGCATGAAGATGCCCGAATAAGTCCCAATAGTAGGTCTGGAAAAAAGCTGATTGGATTTCGATCAGGACTCAATATGTCAGGAGCATTCGGCTGTGACCGGAGACTGCGCCGGGGCGCATTGTAGCATTAGCATGTGCCCTATTTGCCATCAACTCCGAGAAACTGCATCTTGGAGCTAAGGAGAGGTGAAGAAAGTCGTGATATTGAAACGAGAATCTACATGCTCTATTTACGATTGTAGTAGTACATACCACTCTCCGGAATGTAAATAGTACACTCCAAATAAATGAGCCACAACGCTTAGATAGATCTTGTAGCAGGTTAGGGTGAGCATGGGACGAAGGGGCCCACTCAGGAGAGAATTTTCTCCAAATCGGAGAAACGTAGGCCATGTACAGGTAGAGTAGCCATTCCGATGTCTTTTATTGCCGATTTGAACCAGTTAAATATCGTCAGGTCAGTTTAAAAATGGCACACCCCATGCTTCCCTGTCCTATTCCTGGCCAAAAATAACATAGAATCAGAATTATACAACCCCCTTTAAGCTGCGAACGATGGCAGATGCTAGGCCAGCACAAATATCAACCATGCCCAACCTACCGTCCTCGAATGCGCCTGAGCCAGGGTCAACTCGCTCTTCTGTTTATGCAAGGGGAGTATCTCATGCCAAGGTGGTCGAAGGAGAACTGGATCTCTCTCAGAGCGAGATCAAATGGTTAGACCTCGGGTTAGACACGCCGCTACCTCTTCCAACGGCTCTCATATCCCAGAATGCGAGCCAGTCGCGCCTCCCCTGCCCACCAAACGTCCAAAAATACGCTTCCCCCCTCCAATGGTCTACACAGCGAAAGTGGATAGTGACATGGATTTCATGTGTGGTGACAACCGTAGCGTGTTACTCTGCTGGTGAGATGAGCCCAGCATCAGAAGAGCTAACATCAGAGTGGGACATTACGTTGACAGCATACAATTCTGGAGTTACGCTGTTTTGCATTGGGTTCGGCCTAGCACCAATGGTTCTTGCAACCTTCTCTGAGATCAACGGCAGGAAACCGGTGTTCATCGGGAGTGGAGTTCTATTCTGTGGTACATGCAACCCTGCTTTGTTCTATACGTATCTAGGCTAATGGTGTGGAAAGCCTGCACTGTCGCCTGTGGCGGTACGCATGTATTCGCTGGTCTGCTGGTCGCTCGGCTTTTACAGGGCATCGGCGCATGTACGTTCAGGGCTTCCTTCCCTGATTTTATGTGAGGCACCCCTTTAACTTGAACCTTTGCAGCTACCTTCTCGACCATGGTCGGGGGCGTTATTAGCGACATCTATAGCCCCGAACAGCGAAATGTCCCAATGGCGCTGTTTTCGAGCGCTGCTTTGCTGGGAACAGGACTTGCACCGCTTATTAGCAGCGTTGTTGTATATCATAGTACCTGGCGCTGGGTGTACTACTCTCAAGGGATTGTTTCAGGCTTCTGCGTAGTGGTGATGATTCTGTTTTTTCAAGAAACGCGCAACACCGTGCTTCTCCAGCGGAAGGCAGATGCATTAAACAAGTATTACGAGAAGCTCGAACAGCTAGGCTACTATGGAGTCATCTTGGCAGACAAGGACGAGGTGAGGAGAATCCGATGGACACAGAGAGATGGGGAGAAGCACGACTCGGTCAGAGAAATGATCAAGGCTTCATGCTATCGTCCATTCCGTGAGTGTCAGAAGGACCCCAACGGATATCGACAAACCTTAACCATTGTTAGATATGCTTGTCACAGAACCGGTGGTATTTTTCTTTTCGCTCTGGTTATCATTCAGCTGGGCGGTGCTCTATCTCCAGTTCAGTGCCGTGCCGCTGGTGTTTAGGATGAACCACAACTTCAATACGGAGCAAATTGGCGCTGTCTTCACTTGTAAGCTACTTACATGAAGTTCTCGTCCCATCTTGGATCATCACTTACTAACAGCCAGAAAGCTATGTGCTGTGGTATCATTCTTATAACAGTTGTGAGCATATACCAGGAGAGGATGGCTAATCACTTTGGCCTCCTCCCCAAGACTCCCGAAGCACGACTCTACTTCGCATGCCTACAAGCACCACTAGTACCTATTGGTTTGTTTTGGTTTGGGTGGACTTCCTTCCCTTCTGTACATTGGATCCTTCCTACTATAGCCATCGGATGTTTAGCTATGGGGATTTTTTCTGTGTACCTGGCAGTTTTTAATTACCTAGCGGACGCATATGGTCCGCAAGCAAGCTCCGCCATTGCGGCCCAGTCCTTCTGTTTGTATTTGATATTCAAGGGAGCGGCCATATAACTAATATAATGACCAGGTCGCAATATCTTAGGCGGGATATTTCCATTGATTACGGATGCCATGTTCACAAACCTTGGATACCCAGCTGCCTCGAGCCTCCTCGGGGGAATAGTACGCTTTATCTCATGGTTCCTACATGCCACAGGCTCTGACAAAACATAGGCTGCCGTTCTAACCCTTGTGCCTTGGGTGCTAGTGCTTTATGGTCCCGCCATTCGTGCCAGGAGTAAGATGACTGTGGTGCGTTTGATGCGTCTATTAATCAGTCGGCTTTTACTAATAATGGCGGTAGGCTACGTAGAATTGAGTGTTTAGATGACTTACGCCCTTGGTGGTTGGTGTATTCAAAGACTCTTCTATAGATAGGTGTGTATCGTGGTGAACTTGCATCATCTCATGTATAGACTTCTATTTTTGGTTTAGAGAATGGAACTTGCTTCCTTTATAGTCTCTAACATCGATTCCTTCTCAATACACATATAGTGTGAACACTGCGCCTTTCTCATGCTACTTTCACCAGCCCCTAAGACTGCAATTTGGCTGTCAAAGCGTAAATTTAATGACCTCATATACCATACTAGTTTCTTTGGTCACCCTAACATAGTATTTCTGGTTTAGTTAATCCACCATAATTGCTCCAGATCAAAAACCCCCTTTCCCTGATGAGGTCGATGACTAATTCATTGCCCGAGTCCGAGGAACCGTGGAAATCCTATCTGGTGAAAGTGGAGCCCACGGTCGAACCCGGATAAGCACTACCCGGGACATCAGAGCTACCTTTCCACTGTTGTAGATTACCTACGCTGCCCGGATAATGCTTACCCTGATATGTAACGGTACCGACAAACCTTGCCTCGCATGCTTCCACTTGACAAGTACTATTCCAAGCTGTGGGCCCGGATACTGCTTACCCGTACGGCATCTGCCCTATTAGGTAGTGTGCCGCGTGTGAGGCAAGAATGGTAGCAAGCGGTGGCTTTGTCATGGTGTTTTTGAGTCAGGATATGCCGCTTAAAAGTTACTGTCTGTAGGTTATTGTTTTAGTCGGGGTTACGTTAGTGCGGTCTTCCCATGTTCCGTGATACGTTTAGGACATTCAGAGGGTCTCTAGTCCGGGTGAAGCTGAACTCGGCCGAGAGGGCAGGCTAGACCCAATTAGAACTACTATACAGGAACGGCGTGTTTTTACTACACAGAAGCATGAAGGAGAGAAAAATCGTTGGCTATATAGATATTACCGAAATATTAACAGAACACGCCCCCCTCCAAAAATACAAGCCAACTAGATTTCTAAAGTCAGACCAAGAGTGAGGGCAAAAGAAGAGCTAAAATAATGGCTGCATATCTAGATGATGCCAAACGTTACTAAAAGCCGTAAACTCGTCCCACCTGGGAACCGCGAAAGTGCTCTGCGCAGCACTCGTAATCCACGAGTTCAATTCAGTGCTTGCAGCTCCCTGCTCGGTATCTTCTCTTTCGTAGTCATGATGAGTTCGTAGCAGCCAATCCAAGTTGTCCTCGAGAAGGGGATCCATTGCGAAGCTACTATCGGCTTCGTATCGAATTGTCTCCATATCCATAGGACCTGTAGGATCACTGCATTCTACAGCCCCAATGGATTCGGTGGGAGCTACTTGTTCGACTGAGGTAGGCTCCAAGGGCTGCAATTTAAGGTGGCATTCAGTGGCTGATGGTATGCTTCTGGCGAGATTCTCAACCCGAACTGCCTCTGGCGTTAACCATTCGTATGCTAGGATCCTGAGGGCCCGGATAGCACGACAGCTCCAACACCACGCTAGGCTCATGGTTTCAAGGGCGTCTAGACAGATACGGAGGTTGGAGATTCCTCGACGACGAATCAGAGGAGTGGTCGATGTTGCGTCCATCAGGTGTATGATAGCAGCCGTAAAGGTGCTATGCACGGTGACAATGGGAGTGAGGCGCTACCCAGAAACGCAAGTCAGTACATGGACAATATGCAGTACATGAAACCTACCAAGGTGTAATGATCCTGGTATGTACGTAGCAGCTTTGTGACTTCCGAAGCGGAGTGTCTGCAGGTCTGTAAGTGCGTGTTGGACTCTTGTGAATCCAACAATACTCGAGACGAAATCCGACGCTTTGCAATGAGTGGGCGATGAAGAAGAATCTGAATGACATGGTACTGAATACTGTGCATACCTTTAGTCTATTTACAAAGCTTATGACGCTGGATCAGGGCTTACTGGAGCTGGTATATGTGTGGGAGGCACGGCATTCGAATCGAAACAGGGAGCCGAAGAAAGCTTGGGATGTCACGGTAGAACTGATGCAATGCAATATCGGTTCGGGTAATTATCCCCTCTAGTTCGGGTCGTCTGAGTTCGCTGTTGGGCGCATACCTGTATCGAGGGCGTTAACACGCAGATGGATCTTCATAGTCCAGCCTTGGATCCCGTACACTACATCTAATGCGTCTGTCGCAATGCCTAGAAGCTCAATGACATAGCTTGATGTGGACACAATCCGTATAGGAGCATTTGCCAATGTTTGATCGCTTGTCGACCATGGGATCCAAGGACCGAACTCAGCGGTTTGGCATTTGTTTGGCTTTGGACAGCTTATATCGTATTTTCGAGTCATTCCTGGTCGTCCATGGCCGAGACTGAATAGTCTAGACAGAGGCAAGCTTGTTAATTGCCTACAATTTGTTTGATCAGGATGGTGGGTTTCAATTCGATCCACGTACTTATCTAAAGTATAACATCCCCACCATGCAACTTTTCGAACCTCAGCATCGAGCTCGGACATATGTGCTGTTGTTACCCAATTTGAGCAATCAAGATTGAGTCCGAGATTGAAAGCCATTCTCATCGCCATACCTGAGTGGAGTTCAGTAATATACCGACATTTCTATGTCCACAGGTGCCCTAACCTACAAAAAGCCACCCGAGAGATTCGCGATCCTCGGCCATAGCATTTAAACCCAGTAGCACTGCGGCTTGAACAGTGGGGACTGTCGGGGTTTCCATTCCTTCCTGCAATAATATTTTTGCCTCGCGTGCAAAGATCTCTCCGGCAGTTTTAGGATTAGTTAAAACGGCTCGAACCTCGCGGCGATCAGAGTAGCGAGCGGCCAAAGCAAAGATTGCGAGAAGAAGCAAGGGTGTACAATACTTTCCCGACCGATGAAAGGCGTAATCCTGCATGAAAGCATCCTTGTGTATAACGTAATTCCATGGATTCTGCCACTTCCAATACAGGTCCAATAGGTGGTCCTGCAACTCTTGGGAGATACCCTGGCCGTTGTTGAACCGCGTGATAGGACTGAAGTCACCAGCGCGCCCGAGAGCCAACGGTTCAGCCGAGACTTCATGCAGACGGCCATGAAGCAGATTATAATTACTCAGGGTCCCAAAATACCATAACTCCCCATTAGTGGAGACGTTGAGACGCGCAGTCATGCCGCTGATTTCCTCTAGTGGGTTAATCCGGCGAGGTTGATTGACACCATCTTCGGTCTCTGTATCACTTTCTACCACGGCTTCGACAGAGGTTTCAGGGACACAGGGAACTGGCCTCCCGAGAGCCGCTAATTCTTGCTCCAGCAACTCTATACGAGCTTGAAGCGACCGCACGAACTTCTTGCTGGGAGGCCTTGTCCGTCGACCTTAGCCATGATCTATAAAGAGTCGGGGTACCGGCAAACTCACTTGCGCTTGTTCTCTGTGTGTTGGTATTCGCATGTTAAGTTTCGCTGCTGACAAGGGCCACAGCACGGCTCGGCTCCATCGCACTAGAATCAACTGTCAGGCTTCATACGCACAGAATACTCGCCCAGTACGTCGCTCACGCGAATACGTTTCATCCGGCAAAGCACACATGCCACAGACACCCTTTGCCGGATTTTTGACTGGCGGGACGCTGGGGGACGTCCATCCGCAGTGGACATGGTGTGAGTTATGATCGTGATGTGATTCTGCGATTGTACAGGTCCATGAGTTCCACAGACTGCATACGAACGTCTCCCATCATGGGCAAAGGTATGTGGATTTAGTAAAGCCGCGCCAAGGACTTCGGGATCTGCTCTCTAGGTCATGACATCACGTAAGCGATCTGCGCCGTTTGACATCCTGAAGATCCTTCTGTCAACCATGTAAAATACAGTGATCAACCTAGATCAGTGCCTAAACACTTGGGTTAGTATAGTGGTTCTGGCTCTGATACTCACTCTGTCTAGGATCCAAGCTATCATTAAAGAAACGTAAAATTCGATATTCTCAACTTATCTGTTAACGGCATCTTCATCAAGATCTGGTCAACGCTTTCAACAGATCCTCCTCGGTACCTGTAGCCGCAAGATCAGTCTTTCGTTTCTTACTAAATACTTTTTTCATGGACTTAGACTTGTTCTGTTCTATCCCCAGCCAGAATGTCTGGATTGCGACCCTGTGCTTCCTATACAATTAGTCATGTTGAAAAATTGCCTCCGAAGATTCTCCGAGAAGTAACTCGTTTCCATTGCCTTCAGGAAGCCAGGCAGCATTTGTTATTTATACTTCTCCAGACCAGTACACGTACTACGCAATTGATGAGATGTATTAAGTAGAAGAGGAGCGGGGTGTAATGAGTTATAACATGATGATCTACTTCGGAGGGCTGGTTCCTCATGCATCATGCCTAAACATCCACCAATTACAACGTTAGGCAGCTCATCAAGATTTTGGGTAATATTTGGCAACGTGGACTAGGGAGGGGGGAGTTCGCAGAATGAACAGAACGTTGCTCGCTCCTAACTAGTTTTAACGGACAAATACTGCTTACCCGCGTTGGTCCATAAATGCCCCGCTGCCGCTATCTCCATCGGTAGAAAATGTAGTGCTACAGGCCATGGCCAGACCAAAAGGCAGGACGGGCGGTGGGATACAAGACTACTAAAAGACGTAAGTCCTAACGTAATTCAAATGCTAATACATTTCACGTCGGTTAGTATGTCCAGACGTCCCATATAAAGATTTCCTATTCTAGGATTGACTACCAGGTATAGCTTTGGCACCGTTTACTCCTTCTATAAGAGAATACGGCGTGTGGAAGGTCATGAACGGCCGATATGTCCTGACAGAATATCACAGGTTGTCCCGAACTGACCGCGGCCCAGTCACCAGTGTGATCTCCTTTATCAGAATATTCCAACAATCAGATTTGAAAGTATGAGGAGGCTAGCCCGGATAATGCTTACCCTTTGCCGGGGAGGGGGG